CCTACTGTGGAGGTACATGATTAGACACTTTGGTTATCCAGACCATATGGTGTCTGACTGGGGAAGACAGTTCATTTCAAAAGCATGGAAAGCATTCACTATGGGCATAGGTGCTAAGCACTCCCTCAGCACAGCCTATCACCCACAGACTGATGGACAAACTGAGAGGGTCAACCAAGTAGTGGAGCAGTACTTGCAAATGTATTGCAACTATGAGCAGGACGATTGGGCTGACTTGCTCAAGACAGTGGCATTCGTGTATAATAACACAGTCCACAATAGTATCAGTGTCTCACTGTTCTTTGCTTGCTATGGTTGGAATCCGAAGGCCCATCCGGACATACCTCAGCGGCTGGGAGTCAATGACCCAGATCATTTCGAGTACCTCATTGATGGGAAGGAACGTTGCAAATACCTCCAGGACCAGATTAGGAGAGTGCAGCATCGAATGGTGGAACAATACAACCGGAAACACAAAGACATCGAATTTAAGGTAGGCGACATGGTTTATATCAATCGCCAGAACTGGAAGACGAGACGACCCATGCTGAAACTGGATACCAGGTTTGCAGGACCTTATCCAGTTCAAGAAAGGGTGGGCTGCCGAGCATATAGGATTACATTGCCAGCAAACCTCAGAGTCCATGATGTCTTCCATGTGTCAATGCTCGAGCCAGCAAAGACAAGCTCCCTCCCTCAACAGTTGAAACAACCAGTGGTACCATCACTACCAGATGAAGACCTCGAATTCGAAGTGGAAGCACTCATCGGTAAATGCACACACAATCGAACGACCAAATACAAGGTCTTATGGCGAGGATACCCAGAGGAAGCTGCCTCCTGGGAACCAGTGTCAAACCTCAATTGTCCTGACCTCATCCAGGAGTATGAGGTTTCGGTGGGGGGATGAGGTTAACAAACACGAGGAGAAGGCGGAAGCAGTAAGGAGGAAGTTGTTGGGACAGATTTGAGCAAAATCTGCGAGAATAGCGGCACTATTACAGATTACGCGGAAATCAGTAATTGTAGTAGCGCTATGACATTTTCACAACAAGAGTGGGAGAGGACAGGTTTTTCCCACACACATGAGAAACCAAAGATGAGGTGACCAATGTAACCAGGTCAGGAGCAATCACGCAAGGGTCAGGACACAGACTTAAAGGGATCGGAAGGAACAGAAGGCTGATATTGAAAATGTCGCTATATGTCGACATAGGAAGAAGGAGCAGGGGGAGGAGCAAGAGATGATCAGATCACCAGCTCCTTGTCCATAGGGGCCACCCAAGTATCAATGGAATCCGGGGGGCCACCAGGCACGGCTACTGACTCATGTGGTTGTTGCTCCAAATACAACCTGTTGTGGCAGGTGACAAAGTCCTGAAGGGTATGCAAAACAGTACTCACCCAGTTCGAGTCGGGCAAATGCCACATGACCTGCATGGCCGTGGCCCAACCCATGGACATAACGGGGTCCAAAACCCATTCCTCTGACCGCACAAACCTGGGGCCATACCCATTTGCGACTGTCAAATGGGCTCTTTCGGCTTGGTGCAAACCACGAGGCTGCATGCTTGGAGTACCATCGCCTAGGTACTCCATGCCGGGATGGGCAGGGATACTATGCTCACAATTACCCAGACCAGCCAGGTAACAATGTGTGCAAGCACGGGGCACCCTGTTCCTCTCACCAAATGGGTTGGTGAAAGTGGAGGCAAAACAACTGGTAAAAAGAGAAAGGGGTTAGGGACAAATAGGAAAGGTAGTCATATATGGCAAGGGACACTTATGGAACCTGCAGCTGGAAGCAGTGGCGACATTGCCAGCTTGGCCAAGGCATACAGCCTTTGGTCAAATGCAACATGACCAGGCGATGTAACCGGCGCTCTGGTAAAGACCCAGCGGGGACATCCCAGTCGAGGGGGAAGTGGCGATCTGCAACTCTGACCAAAAGGTCAGCAACCACGAATGGTTCAGCCCATTCCACGATCTCACCATTTGTCGGGAAATGGCGGTCAGGAGGAGGGGGAGGCGGAGTCTGGCAACCACGCCAGTGAGGAGGAGGAGTAAGTGGTTGCACATTCAACCGATACTCCAGGGTGATGGTGCGAGGAGGAGCCAGGATGGCGTCGACTATTTTGTTGGCAGTTGGAGGAGGGGTGGGGGAGCGAGCCAGCTCAGCTTCCCACATGGCTTGACACTTGGGAGTGGTCAGCTCCTGAGCAGGATGACTCGTACCAACCTTGTTCAGGTCATGAGGAGGAGGAGAGGCCGGAGAGTAGTCTTTGTCATGGGCCTGGATGCTCAAGAAGCAGGAGGGTCACTGGTTCATATGGACGGAGCACAGGTATCGAAGACCTAGTCGATACCAGTAGAGAGCATGGTCGTAGTGCAGTCTCCATGGAGACCATGGACTCCTATGGATTCACATGCAAAGGAGCACTGAGCCCATATGCGAGGAGGACCAGGCACAGCCACGAGGAGGACCAAGCTCAAAGAGCAGGCGCAGCCATGAGGAGGACCAAGCTCAGATGGTTACCACTCAGGGGCTCGAGAGACAGGAAGTCGACACAGGTCATGAGGAGGAGGAGCAGTGTCGAAGGAGTCGACACAGGTCATGAGGAGGAGGAGCAGTGTCGAAGGAGTCGACACCACTCAAGAGGCACAGGGGTGCCAAGCAGGAGAGGCCCCTGAGCAGTACTCGATGAAGAAAGTACTCTCTGGAGAGAGAGCAGGAGCAGCATCGCTGGCGATGCTGTGAAGAGGTATATAACCATGCTTTCTCATCATCATAGGTCGAGTGGATCCCCATCCACTCTACTCACCATACAACTAGTCAATACTTTAGAAACACAAGTACTCATTAGTTACAGTCAGCATAGCAGCAATCTATCAAGGTTGCTCCTCATCGTAGTGTGTGTGTTGTATCATCACTACCTGACGTCCGAAGGCGCCCATAGCAGGTTAGCGGTCCGGATATAGATAGAACCGAAGGCAGTAGTCCACTGCGGTCCGGGGATCACTTCAAAGCATCAAGTCAACACACTGGACACTCGTGTTGACACCACCAACCCTTTCACCAACACCATCAACCTCATTATCATTGACATCACCAGTCTTATCACCAACACCATCAACCTCTTTATCATCAACATCACCAATCTCATCACCAACACCATCAACCTCATCATCATCAACACTCACACCAGACCTTGGTGTCATCATAACATTGATATTGATCGTGCCGAGCTACCCCTGAACGGAGTGTCCACAGAGGTCAGCCGAAACCTACGATAGTATATACAACGAACGCCACCTGCTGTCACTGCACAACTTGATAGTCACCGATACCGAGACAATAGCTGTCACACAGTTTAATAGTCACCGAGTATCTCGACAGACCGACCTGGGTTTCAGGCGCGAGACCCCTGACATTAGAGTGGATCGTTCAAGCAGCTCCTCACGATCACCATGACGGACCCAGACCTCAACAATAAGCTCGATAGACTACTCACTCTATTGGAAGCACAGCTAGAGCTTACCAGACAGGGTCATCGAGAGGAACGATTACAACGAGCTCAACTGAGCAGGGAGGAGACAATGGACCTCTCTCACTCAGAAGACCAAGCAGGAGGAGGAGATGAGTCTATGATAGGAGACCCACATACTCCTACTCCAGCTCCACGACCAAGACGATCAGTCTCATTCAACCTGGATGAGCAGGAGGACATCAACTACGAGAAGTATGCTTCACCTACTGGGCCAAGATATGTCAAGACTAAGCTGGACCCCTACAGCAGGACTAGGACGGACCCTTACCCCCTGGACCACGAGGAGGATACCAGCATCATGGCAGAGCTTAACCGGTCAAAGCCCATTGCCACCCCCTTTCCAAAGTTCAATCCCCGAGACATGGAGATCTTCATTCTAGAAGCCGAAGCATGGTTTAAGTTCAACCAGGTGTATGAGCAGTCTAGGATGATCAATCACATGGGTGCTCAACTGGAAGGGACAGCAAGAGAGTGGTGGACCTCCAAGCTCCGTATTGATAGAGCTAGAGAAGGAAGGTTGTTCAATGATTGGCACTACTTCACAGAGCGACTGTCAGAGCAGTTCAACCCACGCAATGCTAGGATGGAGGCATACAACAAGCTGTTGGCTCTCAGACTCACAAGTGATACTCCTGGTGCCGCCACACATCATGTAGAGCGGTTCAGAGACTTGGAAGGACAGGTCAACCTAGATGACAACGAGCTAGTGATTGATCTCTTCAGAGGTAGTCTCACTCGCAGCATACAGGAGAAGTTCGAGAGGAATCCACCTGGGAAGAGATGGGAGTGGTATCGAGAGGTTGAGGAGATCGATCGACAGAGGATGCTACTACAGCAGTCCTCGGCTAGACACTCACTCCCAAATGCCACATCACCTCCACTAAGAACTGGGTCTCGGCCAAATCAAAGTTCGATCCCCATCCGACAACCCACTCAAACTTATCCAGCTCGATCACCATCACAAGCAACTACACAAGCAACTATACAAAACCTAAACCGACCCCTTCCTCATCATCCCACCCAACCCTCGAAGCAAGGAAGCCCTGCTCCATCAGGTATCAACACCTGTCATGTATGCAAAGGTATTGGCCATTGGGCCAGAGACTGCCCCAGCAGGAGGGTAGACCCCCTTAGCTCTCGACCCATGGGACCAAAGGTTATGGTCACCACAGCAGACCCCTTCGAGGAGGCCACCGACTCAGGAGATGGCCACACAGGCAGCACTGAGACAGGTGACCCCGAGGCCATGGACCTCAGCTCATACCAGCAACCCATGGACCCCGATCACGAGGAGGAGCACGATGATGATGACGACGAGGGAAACGTCAGTGGGGTGATGCACTGATGGCATGCATTGCTCTACAAACCTCCTCGCCATCACTCTGTATATATCAAGATTGTCAAGTATGTTTCTCTACCAGTGGAGGCAAAGCAGTACTGGAGCTCTCTGGAATGGTTCAAGACCATCCTGCTCGGATACTAGCTGATACCGGTGCTGGTTTGTCCATAGTCTCAGATTCTTTCATTAGTAAGTACCAAATACCCACAAAACCCATAAAAACAAGATCGATCCATGGTGTCACCGGGCACCAACTCTCCATCAATAGTTCTGCGAGCATGCAGGTATCTATTGGTACACACAATCTGGGTGTGGTCGAAGCTTCAGTGGCCGACACTGCGGACTATGACCTCATCCTGGGGTTCACTGAGCTACGGAGGCTCAAACCCACCATACAATGGGATACGGGCCAGCTGGAGTTCAAGACTCAGGAGCAGGACCGACCCCCTAGGAGACCCCCTGAAGCAGCAAGAGCAGGGGACCTAACCATGAGGAGACCAACCCTTCATGGTAACGAGTTTGTCTCAGCAGAGCGCATACTACGAGCAGCTCTGGAAGATGGACCCATAGGGTTCATGCTGTTAGAGGAGCCACCATCATCACTCCCAGCCTTTGGTTTTGTACCTACAGGCACAGACAAAGGAGTCGAGATGGAGGTGGAGGTAGATAAGGTGGTGACGGCTGCAGACATACCAAAGCCATACCAACACCTGCGAGATGTGTTTGATGAGGTGGAAGCAGACAAGCTGCCCCATCATACCGAGCATGATCTCCACCTCGAGTTGATAGAAGGAGGGAAGCCACCTCAAGGGCCCCTATACCTTAAGGGACCCAAGGAGATGTCCGAGTTGAGGAGGTACTTGGATGAGAACCTCGAGAAGGGGTTCATAAGACCATCGAAGAGCCCGGCACGATCACCGGTGCTCTTCGTACCAAAGAAGGATGGAGGTCTCAGACTCTGTGTGGACTACAGAGGTCTCAACGAGATCACTGTCAAGAACAGGGCACCATTGCCCCTCATCGAGGAGCAGCTGTTCTTACTCAGGAAGGCAAGGATCTATACCAAGCTAGACCTTAGAGCAGCATACAACCTCATCCGGATTGCTAAAGGAGATGAATGGAAGACAGCTTTTGGCACTCAGTTGGGACTCTATGAGTACCTAGTGATGCCCTTTGGCCTAGCCAATGCTCCGGCTCACTTCCAGTCATTCATCAATGACATCTTCCGAGACATCATTGGGATATATGTGGTAGTATACCTAGATGACTTCCTGATCTTCAGTGACACTGAAGAAGCACATGTGAAGCATGTCACCGAGGTCCTCACTCGCTTAAGGAACAACAGGCTCTTTGCTAAGCTGTCGAAGTGTGAGTTCCACACCAAGACAGTCGAGTTCCTGGGGTACATCATCAAGCCAACGGGCATAGAGATGGACCCAGAAAAGGTGCGCACTGTCAAGGAGTGGCCAATGCCGGAGTCAATCCATGACATCCAGAGGTTCCTGGGTTTTGCCAACTTCTATCGAAGGTTCATAGCCCACTTTGCTCGCATAGCCAAGCCCTTGACAGCACTGGTAAAGCCTATAGAACGGTTCAAGAAGTTCGAGCTACCAGAGGAGGCCCAACAGGCCTTCCACAAGCTCATCCAGGCCTTCACATCAGCAGGAGTGCTTCAGCACTTCGACTACCACCTTCCAACAAGGTTGGAGACTGATGCAAGTGACTTTGCTATAGCAGGAGTACTCAAGCAGGAGCATGAAGGATGATGGCATCCAGTGGCCTTCTACTCTAGGAAGATGTCTTCTGCCGAGAAGAACTATGAGATCCATGATAAGGAGCTCCTAGCTGTGGTCGCCTGCCTCACTCAGTGGCGACACATGCTAGCTGGACTACCGAACCAACTGGTCATCCTCACTGACCATGAAGCCCTCAAGTACTTCAAGTCACAGAGACGCATCACAGGTCGACAAGCTCGATGGGCAATACTACTAGCAGACTTCGACTTCATATTACAGTATCGACCAGGAGACAAAGGTGGTGAACCCGATGCTCTCACCAGAAGGACAGACATGCAACCAGCCGGTGAAGAGCAGGATCACAATGTGAGGCAACTACTGCCTCCTCAAGTGTTCAAGGAGACAGCAGACCATGACTCGCTCCTAGTGGCCCCCATGATCTCAATGGAGTCCATAGCATCAAAAGGTCTCAAAGACCTGGTCAAGATCTTCCAGCCTTTAGACCAAGAGCTACAGGAGATACATAGGAAGAAGCCTTTCGAACTCAAGGATGACCTATGGTACAGTGGAGGAAGGTTGGTTATCCCCAAGGTGATCATGCCAGGGAGGACCAACAACCGACACTCAAGGAGTGCCAAAGAGGTAGATGGACAGTCTCTCTCTGTAGAGCATCTGCGATTCATGGTGATGACCCAATGCCATGATGGTATCACTGCTGGACACGTAGGAAGAGATGCTACCATCAAGGCAGCTCAACGACATTACTGGTGGCCAAACATGACAGCTTGGATTGCAGACTATGTAGCAAGTTGTCCTGTATGTGCTAGGTACAAAGCTCCTCGTCATCGTCCATATGGGTTGCTACAGCCACTAGCAACCCCAGACAGGCCCTGGGGCTCCATATCCCTCGACTTCATTGAAGGACTACCACCATCAAAGAAGTATGACTCCAAGACCTATGACTCTATCCTAGTCATCGTCGACAGGTTAACCAAGTTTGCCATACTAGCTCCAACCCATAAGACAGTCACGGCCAAACAGACTGCAGTATTGCTATATGGACACATGGTTAGACTCTTCGGATATCCAGATCACATGGTCTCGGACCGAGGCAGGCAGTTCATATCAGGAGCATGGAAGGCATTTGCAGAGCAAATGGGTGTGAAGCACTCACTTAGCACGGCCTACCATCCTCAAACTGATGGTCAGACAGAGAGAGTCAATCAGGTCATAGAGCAATATCTCAGGATGTACTGCAACTATGAGCAGAATGACTGGGCCAACCTGCTGGACACTGCGGCCTTTGTATACAACAACACGGTCCACAACAGCATTGGTGTCTCACCATTCTTTGCATGCTATGGATGGAACCCCAAAGCTCATCCTGACATCCCTCAACGACTAGGAGTCAATGATCCAGGTCGCTTCGAGTACCTCATGGATGGAAAGGAGCGTTGCAAGTACCTCCAGGAGCAGATCAGAGAGGCACAACGTAGATCAGTAAACCAGTATAACAGGAAGCACAAGGACATCGAGTTTAAGGTGGGTGATATGGTCTATATCAACCGACGAAACTGGAAGACACGGAGACCCACACCCAAGTTGGATACCCGGTTTGCAGGACCCTACCCAGTTCAGGAACGGGTAGGACGCCGAGCTTACCGAATCACATTGCCAGCAAACCTTAGGGTGCATGATGTGTTCCATGTCTCCATGCTCGAGCCAGCAAGAACAAGTTCTCTTCCTCAACGTGCTGAACAGCCCACCATGCCACCACTTCCAGATGAGGACCTCGACTTCGAAGTCGAAGCACTCATCGACAAGCGTTCACACAATGGGACTACAGAGTACAAGGTGTTGTGGAGAGGGTACTCAGAAGAAGCTGCTTCATGGGAACCAGTAGAGAACCTCAACTGTCCCGACCTCATCCAGGAGTATGAGGTGTCGGAGGGGGGACGAGTGAGTAGACAAAGTAGAGAAAGGAGGAGAGAACAGGAGGAGTAGAGAGAGGAAGAGAGAACAGGAGGAGTAGAGAGAGGAGGATGACGTTGAGAGAAGGAGGAAGGATGACGGGGACGATGTTGTCAAGGAAGAGGAGGAGTCAGCATGAACCAGACCAGAGCATGCCTCGACGGAGCTCGGCTCTTAAGAGGGGGGTAGTGTCATGGGCCTGGATGCTCAAGAAGCAGGAGGGTCACTGGTTCATATGGACGGAGCACAGGTATCGAAGACCTAGTCGATACCAGTAGAGAGCATGGTCGTAGTGCAGTCTCCATGGAGACCATGGACTCCTATGGATTCACATGCAAAGGAGCACTGAGCCCATATGCGAGGAGGACCAGGCACAGCCACGAGGAGGACCAAGCTCAAAGAGCAGGCGCAGCCATGAGGAGGACCAAGCTCAGATGGTTACCACTCAGGGGCTCGAGAGACAGGAAGTCGACACAGGTCATGAGGAGGAGGAGCAGTGTCGAAGGAGTCGACACAGGTCATGAGGAGGAGGAGCAGTGTCGAAGGAGTCGACACAGGTCATGAGGAGGAGGAGCAGTGTCGAAGGAGTCGACACCACTCAAGAGGCACAGGGGTGCCAAGCAGGAGAGGCCCCTGAGCAGTACTCGATGAAGAAAGTACTCTCTGGAGAGAGAGCAGGAGCAGCATCGCTGGCGATGCTGTGAAGAGGTATATAACCATGCTTTCTCATCATCATAGGTCGAGTGGATCCCCATCCACTCTACTCACCATACAACTAGTCAATACTTTAGAAACACAAGTACTCATTAGTTACAGTCAGCATAGCAGCAATCTATCAAGGTTGCTCCTCATCGTAGTGTGTGTGTTGTATCACCACTACCTGACATCCGAAGGCGCCCATAGCAGGTTAGCGGTCCGGATATAGATAGAACCGAAGGCAGTAGTCCACTGCGGTCCGGGGATCACTTCAAAGCATCAAGTCAACACACTGGACACTCGTGTTGACGCCACCAACCCTTTCACCAACACCATCAACCTCATTATCATTGACATCACCAGTCTTATCACCAACACCATCAACCTCTTTATCATCAACATCACCAATCTCATCACCAACACCATCAACCTCATCATCATCAACACTCACACCAGACCTTGGTGTCATCATAACATTGATATTGATCGTGCCGAGCTACCCCTGAACGGAGTGTCCACAGAGGTCAGCCGAAACCTACGATAGTATATACAACGAACGCCACCTGCTGTCACTGCACAACTTGATAGTCACCGATACCGAGACAATAGCTGTCACACAGTTTAATAGTCACCGAGTATCTCGACAGACCGACCTGGGTTTCAGGCGCGAGACCCCTGACAGTCTTCTCCTGAGAGACCTGGCACAACACGAGCAGGGGGAGGAGAGCCAGGAGGACTCTGGACGACTGTGTCGTTGTCCATTCCCAGAAACAGTGGCACCAATGGAGAGGAAGGTACCACCGGGGATGCAAGAGGATCGGCCAACCGGGCCGGGGGTGAGGAGGCGGTGGGCTCAGTGGCGTCAGCTACGACGTCACGAGGACGAAGGCAGACAACAATCCACCGACACCCAGAAGGAGCCACAGTCCTTTCAGAAGAGGTTTCCTCTGCAGCAGTGCATGAGCGGGTATGGTAATGAGGAGACACCATGTTGCGCAATAAGTTGGGTGGCGACAACGTGGTTTGGTAGTGGTAAGAACAGCCATGGCACAGGACTTGCCTCAATGGAGCTTGGCTTTTAAGAGGGGGGTAATGTCATGGGCCTGAGTGCGCAGGAAGCAGGGAGAACTGCTAGCTCATATGAAGGGAGTGCAGGAATCAGGGGATTGGGCAGATCGTAGGATTTGCAGCAGAAGTCGCCGAGATCTGCAGTAGAATCGGCTCTATGACAGATCTCAGTGAGATCAGTACAAACAAGGATGATATCACAAATTCTGATGAGATCAGTAGTAGGAGAGGTCATATAGTAGATTCTGTGGAGATCAGTGACAAGGATGTTCGTACGATGAATCCACACGTGCAGAGGACCAAGCTCTGCCAAGACGGGGACCGAGCTCAGTAGATTGCAGCTGGTTACCACTCAGGGGTTCACAAGATAGGAGTCAAGAGAACAGTCACCAGTTAGGAGGAAGGAGAACTGTGTCAAGGACACCAGCATATAGTTCATGAGGAAGAAGAGCTGTGTCGAGGAGGTCGCCATGCAGCTCAAGAGGGACAGGAGTAGGGTTACAGGGACTCCTGCATAGCACTCGACGAAGGAGGTACTCTCTGGAGAGAGAGTTGGAGCAGTGGCACTGGCGGCACTGCAAAGAGGTATAAAGCCATACCTTCTCATCACTAAGTGGTCGAGTGAATCCTCATCCACTCTACACTCATCAAACAAACTAGTATTACTACAAGCAATAAGTATCATTAGTTCACAGTCAGCATAGTAGTAATCAACAGATTGCTCCTCATCAAAGCATGTGTGTTGTATCACCATTTCCTGACATCCGAAGGTGGTTCTAGCAAACCAGCAGTCCGGATAACAATAGAACTGAAGGCAGTTGTCCACTGCGGTCCAGGGATCACTTCAAGCGTTAGTCGACACACTGGACACTCGTGTCGACATCATCTATCCATACTCACACCAGACCATTGGTGTCAACATCAAGTTCACTTAGAGTCATATCGTAGTTTGATCGTGCCGAGCTACCTCTGGACGCAGTGTCCACAGTGGTCAGTCGAAATCTGTCACAACATCAATACAACTACAGATTCCAACGAGAAAAGCGGCAGAGATGGTTCTGTTGCATATTACACTAGGAATCGTAATACCACTAGCGCTGTCGCATAACTCGACAGAATCGGTGATAGTACTGATACTACTACTGATCTCAGGTTTCAGGCATGCGACCGCTGACAACCCTCTGGACACATAAATACTACCACTTCACCATAGCATATGAGTGGATCCTCATCCACTCTACTCTTTACTTTACTTACTCTTACTTAGTTATGTACCAATGCAATAGCAAGAAGCCTTTGCAATGACAGCTTGAACATGTGTGTTGTATCACCATTGGACATCAAAACTGTAGGTGGTGTTCCTCTCAACACCTGCAGTCCAGTTTCATCACTGTAGGCAGTGTTGCTCAACACCTGCAGCCCAGTCAGTTATTGTAGGTGGTGTCTAACACCTGTGGTCCAGTAACTCCCATCATCTGTAGGTGATAGGCATATTGCAGTCCAGGTGACATTGAAGAGCATTAAGCAACAGTACTACAAACACTCATGCTGTATAGGAGAGTGTAACACTCTCACCACAGGAAGTAACAGACATGCCGTGCAACCTCTGAATGGAGTGTTCAAGGCAGTCAGCTGAAACCTACCAGAATGAAGCTGTCAGGTTACTTTCAGTCAAAACATACTGAGTAGATCTTACTCAATTGATCTCACCAAAATCAATCAGAAACACCCAATCTGGTTTCAGGCATGCAACCGATTACACAGTACTTCTGAGTTGTTTGGAGAGACCTGCCAGTGTCTTGTGTAGGGATTGGCATGCCCAATCACCTTGTGGCCATTGGGCCATTTGAGGTATGCATTGTCTGAGTTGAATGTCACACATACACTGTTGTTTGCTAAAGCCTGTACCAATATCAGGTTTATGCTTACATCAGGGACATGAAGTACATTGTTCAGATATACCTTATGTCAGTTGACATTGATAGCAGCCTGACCTCTAGCCACAATTCAGATTGATGTTCCACTAGCAGTCTTCGCAAAACCAGTGCATGGAATAGGAGAAACAAGGTGTCATAGGACAACATGCGCAGAAGAACTGGGTTCATATGAGAAGAGACCATGTGCAGGAATTGTGGGATCAGGAAATTGATGGGTTCTGACAGAGTTTGTTGAAATCAGTGGGATCTAGGTCCTACAACAGAATTCATCAGTATCAGTAGGAGCGAGACCTTACAACAGGATTTGTCAGGATCAGTAGGACCATGACTCTACAATAGGATTTGTCAACTCGGTAAGATCTGTGGTAAAAGCTGTCATGGGAGCCGGATGCACAGGAAGCAAGAAGAGTTGAAGTCATATGAAGAGGAGCACAGAAATCATGGGATTGGGCTAAACAAGAGCTTAAGGAAGAGTTCACTGAGATTGGTAGTAGAAATGACCCTATGGCATAACTCATCAGGATCAGCAGGAATGAGGTCATTACTACAGAGTTCAGTGGGAACCATAATATCATGCTAAGTACAACAGACCTCACAAGAATTGGTTTGAGAGGCACCCCATTGCCAATATGGTGAGAGGAGGATACCAAACAAGGGGGAGGACACCACCAGATGAAGTAGGGGCCTGGCACAATGATGAAGTCAGTGCCAACAGGTGGGAGCCAATGACAGGAGGGTGATGAAAGGGGGCAAGTCACCACTCAGATGAAGTGGGACTGGCCCCTAATGAAGATGAGGCAGCAAGAGGGCCATCCATCCACAGGAGGCAAAGGAAGTGGTGCCAATGAGTGGCATCACAAGATGGATGGGGAGGATAGGAGGGATGAGGAGAAGGAGCAGTGTCACCCATGACACTGCAAGAAAGGTATATAACCATGCTCCCCATCATGGTAAGTGAGTGGATCACCATCCACTCTACACCATATAAACTAGTTATCACTTCAGCATAAGTATACATTAGTTTCAGTCAGCGAAGTTGCAATCACAAATAGATTGCTTCCATTGTAGCACATGTGTTGTATCACCACTCACTGATGTCCAAAGGTGGTTCATAGTAACCAGCAGTCCAGATAATGATTAGAACCAAAGGCAGTCATCCACTGCAGTCCAGGGATCACCTCAAGCACTCAGTCAATACACTGGACACTCGTGTCAGTGCCACCAACAATCTCAGTCACACCAGACCTTGGTGTCAGTACCAGTTCATATAGCCATTGATTGTGCCAAGCTACCTCTGGATGGAGTGTCTGCAGCAGTCAGTCAAAACCTGCAATAGCAAACACACTACTACATCTTCAGGCAAGAAAAGTCATAGAGGCTTTTCTATGACATACCTCAATAGAAATAGTAATACACAACACATTACCACATATCTTGACAGGATTTGTAATAGATGCATTTCTATTACAGATATCAGGTTTTAGGCACAAGACCTCTGACAAAAGCCGTGTGTCGACTGAGTGCTTGAAGTGATCCCCAGACCGCAGTGGACGACTGCCTTCGGTTCTATGATCGCGAGCCAGACCACTGGTTACTATGAACCACCTTTGGTGTCAATCATTATCCAGACTGCAGGTTTCTATGAACTGCCTTCAGATGTCAGTGAGTGGTGATACAACACATGTGCTACAATGGAAGCAATCTATTATGATTGCAACTTGCTGACTGAAATTAAGTATACTTATGCTGAAGTGATAACTAGTTATGTATGGTGTAGAGTGGATGGGGAACCACTTCACTTGTTATGACAAGGAGCATGGTTATATACCATTCTTGTAGTGTTGTCTGTGACACTGCTCCTGTTCTGGGATGCCCCCTCAACCTTGCTCCTCCTCCTTGTCCCTCCTATCTACTCCATCCACCTTGTGATGCTGCTTGTTGGCACCACTTCCCTTGTCTCCCATGGATGGATGGTCCTCCCACTGCCTCATCATCAACAGGGGCCAGTCCCACTTCATCTGGGTGGTGACTCACACCCCTTCATCACCCTCCTGTCATTGGCACCCACCTGCTGGCACCAACTTCATTGTCATGCAAGGCCCCTACTTCATCCAGTGGTGACCTCTCCTTGTTTGGCATCCTCCTCTCACCATATCAGCAATAGATGTGCCTTTCAAACTGATCCTCATGAGATCTGTCATACTTAGCATGGTATTACCATTCCTACTGAACTCTGTAGTAATGAACTCATTCCTGCTGATCCTGATGAGCTATGCCATAGAGTTGTTCCTACTACTGATCTCAGTGAGCTCTGTCTTAAGCTCTCGCTTAGCCCGATCCTGCGATTTCTGCGCTCCATCTTCATATAACTTCTGTCTTCTTCCTTCTGTGCATCCGGTCCTATGACTCGCTTCTATTACAGATCCCGTCGAGATATGTGGTAAACAGCGACCTATTATTATTCTTGTCAAGCTTTGTTGTAGAAGGCCTTTATGACTTTTCCTGCCCAAATATGTGGTAGGTAGTTTGTTATTGCAGGTTTCAACTGACTGCTGTGGACACTCCATCCAGAGATAGCTTGTCACAATCAATAATGATAGATGTATTGCAATGACACCAAGGTCTGGTATGAGTAATGCTGTGGGTGCTGACATGAGTGTTGTCAGGGGGTCTCGCGCCTGAAACCTGTCATGGGCCTGGATGCTCAAGAAGCAGGAGGGTCACTGGTTCATATGGAAGGAGCACAGGTATCGAAGATCTAGTCAATACCATTAGAGAGCATGGCTGTAGTGCAGCCTCCATGGAGACCATGGACTCCTATGGACTCACATGCAAAGGAGGACCAAGCCCATATGCGAGGAGGGCCAGGCACAGCCACGAAGAGGACCAAGCTCAAGGAGCATGCAGATGGTTACCACTCAGGGGCTTGAGAGACAAGAGTCGAAGGAGTCGACACCAGGTCCTGAGGAGGAGGAGCAGTGTCGAAGGAGTCGACACCAGGTCTGGAGGAGGAGGAGCAGTGTCGAAGGAGTCAACACCACTCAGGAGGCACAAGGGTGCCAAGCAAGCAGGATAGCAAGGAGGAGGAGCAGTGTCGAAGGAGTCGACACAGCTCAAGAGGCACAAGGGTGCCAAGCAAGCAGGAGAGGCCTCCTGAACAGTACTCAATGAAGAAGGTACTCTCTGGAGAGAGAGCAGGAGCAGCATCACTGGCGATGCTGTGAAGAGGTATATAATCATGCTTTCTCATCATCAAAGGTTGAGTGGATCCTCATCCACTCTACACACACATCATAACTAGTTATCACTTCAGCATAAGTATATATTAGTTTCAGTCAGCATAGCAGCAATCTATCAAGGTTGCTCCTCATCATAGTGTGTGTGTTGTATCACCACTACCTGATGTCTGAAGGTGGTTCATAGCAAACCAGTGGTCCAGATATAGATAGAACCGAAGGCAGTAGTCCACTGTGGTCCAGGGATCACTTCAAGCATCAAGTCAACACACTGGACACTTGTGTTGATGCCACCAACCTTATCACCAACACCATCAACCTCATTACCATCAACACTCACCAACCTTATCACCGACACCATCAACCTCATCATCAGTAACACTCACACCAGACCTTGGTGTCATCATAACCTATGCATTGATATTGATTGTGCTGAGCTACCCCTGAATGGAGTGTTCACAGAGGTCAGCTGAAACCTACGACAGTATATACAATGAACACCACCCACTGTCATCACGCAACTTGATAGTTGCTGAGCAACTAGCTCGTCGAGACCGATACTGAGACAATAGCTGTTGCACAGTTTGATAGTCACCGAGTATCTCGACAGACCGACCTGGGTTTCAGGCGCGAGGCCCCTGACAACCAGTTCCACTTCTGGTGTGCCGAGCTCATTTCGGCAGCTGCACAGCACAGCTTCTTATGATTTCTGTGCTGGCCCTATGACACTTGGGACCCCCCTTGTGGTCCCCAAGGTTGGTGGGGTGGAACACCCATATGTCATGCTCCACCTCCTGTGTCCTACCATCTGTCAGCCCAATGCTCCTCTCTTTGGGTTGCATGATGGGTACAGGCCACTCACTTGTTTGACCTTCCTCCAGCACCTTCACTCAATGCTCTCTCACCTTGGGCTGGACACATCCCAGTATGCAGGACACTCCTTCCATTGAGGAGTGGCCACTTGGGTGGTGTCACAGGGCATCAATGCAGACACCATCAAGCTTCTTGGCCTTTGGAACTCAGATTGCTATTGCTGATACATTGACTGTTTGGCAGCCAAGCAATGCACAATGGTTGCCACTGCCCTCTACTTGACCTGGCAGGGACCCCTTGTCCCTATGGGCCCCTCTTGGCAGGACCCAGTCCTCTAAGCTTGGTGGAGCCTTCAGTTCCTCTGCTGTGACTGTTGTCTGCTGTGCAGGCAACACTGCAGCTGTTGGTGGGCCAGGAGCCTCCTTGTCGAGCTTTGAGGACCTCATGGGTCTTTGCCTACAATCCACTTAGTTTTGTTCTGGTTTCGTGCGATTGAGTCCAGACGGGACAACTTAATTTGTGTGCTGTTCTGTTCGATTTCGGATGTGCCGTCAAGATCAAGCCTCCACACACGCGTAAACTCATCGGTTCCTCCGAATGTAACTGCAACGCTACGCTCACTTGGCTTCTCTTTCGGAGATCACCATCACCCTTGGCTTCATGTCTATGGTCGGCACACGCCACTCTGGCTTTGTCAACTACCATTCCCTCACGAGATACTCAAGGTCTTGGTCATTGCAGCTCACCTCTGATCCCAACCGGAACCCATCACTTCACGCGACGATCGATACGGCCAAGAGGCGATGCAATGCACGTCTACCTTCAAGATGCTCCGCGGGTAGTCGCATTGGTCTCGGATGACCTCGAAGCGGCTCACAATGGATTGGGCTCGGAAACGGCTCCTTCTGCCACTGCCATCCTCATCTCAACACAAGCATCCCCAGCTGCGGCACTCGCCGGTTCCACAGCAGCCAACGCACCCTCTACTGCCAAAGCGGTGGTCGAAGTCGTGAAAGAACAAGAGATTGAAGCCTTGACGCTGCAACGGCTCACTTGGAAGCCAATACATGGCTGCCTTGGCCTCATCAATGTCGGCCAAGATCTTTTTGTTGCGGTCGTCACTGCCGGTCAGCAAGTGGGTGCCATCCGTCCGGGCGAGGTGGTCATGCGCATCACAGCCGTCTCTTTTTACTGTGTCAATCGATCTACCTGGGATGATACACTCATATCCGAAGCTCCAGGCTCGCAGCCCGAAACACATGACTCCTACGGTCCAGGTCACGAAGGCGCCGTCACCCAACCAAGCGTCTACGAACACCCATGCACCAGCCTCAAGAAGCTGCTGAGCACTGGCACATTCTACTTTGCACAAGGTGGCACTTTCGACCTTTCAACACGCATCGACAAGCGTCTTGCAGACGTCTCGAAGCGCGGCAGTGCTTCAGGTCATGATATCTCACGCTACGATGGCCGATTCGTATGGAACAACTACATGATCGAACCTCTCATCAGCTTCCGCGAGCGTCTCGAACAGGCCGACCGTGCTCGGATAGACGCTGGCTGCTTCTTGCTGTTAGCAATACAAGGCTTTGTTGGCTGCTTCGACGCATCTGTGTCAGCGATGCCGAATCTCGTGGCAACCCCCGCTGTTGTCACTCCTACACCCACATCCAACGAGAAAGGTCCTACCGCTGCAACTCTCGCTTTGATCAGTCGACTTAGCTGGAAGAGAGCAGGTACGCGCTTCAACACTCGTGGTGTCGATGACGACGGCAATGTCGCCAACTTCGTCGAGACCGAGACGCTCTTCAGCGATGGCATCACCACGTTCACCTTCGTGCAAGTCCGTGGCTCTGTCCCACTCTTCTGGGAGCAGCAAGGTCTGCAGGCCTTCAACGCCAAGATCCAAATCACAAGATCCCCTGGTGCCTCTCAGCCTGCTTTCGATCGACACTTTGCCGACCTCATATCTTACTATTCCCGTGTCCACGCCATCAACTTGCTCGGTACCCGAGACGCAGAGACAGTCCTCACATCAGCATATGCAGAACACATGCGTCACAGTGCGGCAGAGTCTATCGCAGTCCTGCCTTCGGATGAGCCGACGGCTGCACGTGGAAATGTTGTTGGCGACGACGGCTCAGAGCGCATCGGCTTGACCAACTTTGACTTCCACACCGTCTCTCGCAACACTGGCGGCATCGACGGTGTCCGCAGCGAGCTTCGTTATCTTGGTCCTGTACAGCTCAAGCGCAAAGCGTTCGGATACTCACTCATCGATAGCGCAACTGGAGAGTTGCTTCGCCGCCAGAAGGGTATTTTCCGTACCAACTGCCTTGACTGTCTCGACCGCACCAACGTGATCGAGGATATGCTCTCACGCTCCATGATCGACACATTCTTCGAAGGTGCTGCGAATCGAGACGCTGCTTACCAGGCATTTCAGGATCCAAATCACCCGCTATGGGCCCACCACCGCGTGCTCTGGGCTGAGAACGGCGATGCGCTCTCCAAAATTTATGCGGGCACTGGCGCCCTCAACTCTAGCTTCACTCGCAGCGGCAAGAAAACCCTCGGTGGCCTTCTCAGCGACGCAGCCAAGAGCGCGGGCCGAATGTACATCAACAACTTCCAAGACAAGAACAAGCAGAACGTCATCGATGCGCTCCTCGGTAACAAGGCCAATCAAAAGCCTGTCACTGTCTTTGATCCTGTGCTCGACAGTGTCACAGCAGAGCTCAACGCCAGGGTGGAAGAGTACTCATCTAGCCGTGATATTACTCTCTTTGCTGGCACTTACAATCTCAATGGCAAGGCACCTGGCGAATCACTGATACCATGGTTGTTCCCTGATGGCGAGGATCACGAGCCCGACATCTTTGCAATTGGCTTCCAGGAGATCGTGCAGCTAACGCCACAGCAAATCTTGATGACAGACCCAGACAAGATCCGCATCTGGGAGGCAAAGATCATGGAGACCATTGCAAAGAGGCCCAACAGGAAGTCTCAATACATTTTGCTCCGTAGCGAGCAGCTCGTCGGTACAGCGCTCGTCATCCTCATCAAGAAAGAGCTTGTCAACGACGTCAGGCTGGTGGAGGCAGCCACCCGCAAGACGGGACTCAAAGGCATGAGCGGCAACAAGGGCGGTGTCGCCGTCCGAATGGACTATTACGATACCTCAATCTGCTTTGTCACAGCTCACTTTGCCGCAGGTCACTCTGCCTACGAGGAGAGAAACGCCGACTATTGGACTATCACCAGAGGTCTCTCGTTTGCTCGAGGCAAGACCATTGGCAGCCATGACCACGTCATCTGGCTCGGCGACTTCAACTACCGAATCGATCTCACAAACGAGACTGTTCGGTCGATGGTGGCTCGAGAAGACATTGCTGGGCTCTACGCACGAGACCAACTTCGTCGAAGCAAAGACGCCGGTGAGGTGTTTCCAGGCTACGAGGAAGGGCCCGTCACATTTGCTCCCACCTACAAGTACGACAATGGCTCGGACCAGTACGACTCATCCGAGAAGCAGCGCATTCCAGCATGGACCGATCGCATCCTTTATCGCGGCTTTGGCTTACGGCAGCTGAGCTACGCGCGCGCCGAACTCAGAACCAGCGACCACCGTCCCGTGTATGCCGCCTTCATCGGGCCTGTTAGGATCGTGGATCATCTCAGGCGCGATGCGATTCGCAAGCAACTGCTGTCGGAAAAGAAGGCAGCAAACGGAATCACGGGAGCAGGATCAGCCTCGTCTGACTCTGAAGATGACGAGAGCCTGCCAGATCCATCAGATGAGCACCAGCAGTGGTGGGATCGGCCAGCATCACCGCCTGATGCTCAAAATGCCACGTCAGACAGCGAGAGCAGCGATGACGGAGTAGTGGGGACTAACCCCTTTCGTAGAGATGTCACTGCTGCGCGCCTGACAGGACGAGGATCTCCTTCACCGACGAGTAAGACACGGATCGGAAACCTATCTCTAGGCACCAAAGCATCTGCAAGCACTCAAATGGACCGAGCACACTCAACACCGCCATCACCAACCACTACCGGTGCTGCGGAAGGTCCGACCATCGCAGGGACTCCCTTGCGCAAGACAATCTCCACCTCACCGACCATGGAGAGGAAGATCGCCTCCGGACCTGCTGCCATGGCCAACGGAAGATCCGCGCCGCCGCCCATTCCAAATAAGCCGTCAGTTGCAGCGACCAGCGTGAATGGCATTATCTCAGCATCTTCAGCTTCTGCGGACACATCGAACGCACCTCCACCAGAGCTTCCAAAGAGGCCAGGAATGGGATCTCGATCGGCTTCCTACTCTTCGCACAAGTCGAAGAAAAGCTTGCTGGACGACAGCGACTAGACTGGCCATCGATGTGTTCGTGCATGTTTCGACAATCATCATCGTGTAGAGTTCCCCATCTGTCATCCTTGAACCCTTGCAATGGACTATATGAACAAACTGCTGTACCTCACACCTGCACCAAGAGCTGTAGATTTCTGATTGAAGTTTGTTATTGCGATTGTACTTGTCTATTGCCCAGCGTCGTAGACTTCGGCATTGCCGCTCATGTCCTTGTACTGTGATGTTAGACATTGGGGTGAGAAGATTGATGTCAACGACTCCACGTTTGGCAGACTGGACGAGAGTCGAGGTTTCACTTACCTCCTGAATCGACATGTTGGCAATTGAGACGTTGGAAGCCTGCAGAGTGCAACCCGAAAGCAAGACATCATCAGCACGAGGATCCTGTCGTGCAACAATGCATTGAACCCAGCACTTACCACCTCAACTGAGGACCTGGCTTTAGCTTTCAATCTCTGCTCCACTTCCCCACCTTGCAACTGCAGCACATAAACCAAATCGTCCTGATCCTTGTCTGCGATCAAAACGCAGTTTCCGTTCCACTTGGCATCTTTGCCGTCGACCTTTGCACTTGCATTGTCCTTCAACAGCTTGGAATGGTATTCTAGCACGTCCTTCTCAGAGTTGAGCTTGATCGAGGAATCGGAAGGTTGCACCAGCTGAATGAGGTTGTAGAGACCGCACTCTTCGCGTGGGCCTTCACCGCTATTGATTTCGTCGATGAAGTCGCTTGATCGGATATGTTTGAGGACAATCTCACCCTTCGATGAGGATCCTGAAAGGACGTATAGTGCCACGTGTTCCGACATCGTTGATGTTAGGTGGTGGTGACAAGGTGCTCAGAAGATGTCGGGTCGAGTTTGCAGCAAAAGGTGGCACGTTCGTAGCTTCATGCGCCAAATTTGACTTTGAATCCTCCACATGTATTGCTACATCGGGGCAAAGAATCGGGATCGGCGGATCGACTCTTTCAAGCGGCACACTTGGCAACCTGACTCTGCCTGCCGAGCTTGCGACTTGATGAGCTCAAGAACAACAAGAGCATTATGCTAGGAAGCCCTTGGGACAAGCAGCTAGATACTCGACCAACGCCAATTGCGCCGAAATGAATCCTTGGCGATTTTATTTGACGTGAACAAAAGCGTATCAATAGTAGTGGAAATGAGTTGAGAATTTAGGGATTTTGCTGCTATTGTTACGTTAGATCAAAAGATTGCTACATACATAGTCATATATATATATGCTTAGTGATCGCCTTCAACATATACTAGTTTGTGATGAGTTACTCTTCATATCACCCCTGAGTTGGCACTTTCTGTGTGTTATGATGACAATGCTTACATATCCCACATGCGTCGCCACCTGTATGTGGCTTTGGTCTGTCGGTGGCTCAGTCGCCATCCACTAGCCCCGTGGCACTCCGCGGGCCCTGTGAACCCCGTTGGGAAACCGACGCGTTTTTAACCGTTGTTACGTCTCCCTCAACTAAATGACTGCAGCTTTCGAACGGCCTTTTTTTTTTCTTCTTGGCATCCCAGCTTGACTCTCACACGGCCGTACAGATGAGGATCAGTCGGACGATACAGAAAACGATACAGAAACCATGTTAGATTACGGGTCAGCGAGGTGGCTCGCTGGCTCCCAGCCCGCCGTAAGCGGGCCGATCGAGCGCAGAAAAGAGAGGGTCGTACAGGCGGAACGTAAGGGAGGGAATCAGGTGGGAAAAGAAAGATTGGCAAGGTCGATGCTGAAGCGACACTTGCCGAAATGAGAAGATGATGGTAGGAAGGAGAGAGGAGTGCGGAGCAAAACAAAGCAAATAAGCCGATTGAACGAGTTGCGACACGTGTGGCCCAGCTCAGAGCGCACGCCATGTCACGTGCAGCAGCAAACTGTCACGCCGTGTTGGACGTACCATATCAATTCCTGCCTTCTTTGCCTCCCTCCTCCATTCCCTCAAGCGGACGACCCTAGGTCAGGCGACAAATTAGAGCTGCTTGTCCATCTCCTCCGAGGACATGTCCCGTTACATCGCTGGTGCGGCAACGAGCGCTCCATTGTGCTGTCTAGAGATTTTCTACATGCCGGCCACGATGGAGACGCATGGTCGGCTGTGCGTGAAGTCGTTACGACTTGCCAGCTAATTCCATCTTCTCTGCACCTAGCCTACTCCCTTCGTCTTCTTCTCATGGCACCCCGTTTATGTTGAGCCCTGCTGTGTTAGAAGTTCGTGCCTGTAGCTGAATCTTGTGGGAGTGACGTTCAGAGCGTGAACCAATTACCGTTATGAGACAGACATGACGTTTGTCGAGACCGACTCTTTTTGCCAGCCCTAAACAAGCCGTAGGCCACGGTCTGAAGAGAGAGCAGCAGCAGTAGCAAGTCGAAGGGGTTTCCAAATATGGTCATCTACTCATCGTCCCGTCCCCACCTCCTTCTCCTCCTCCTCCATACTACCGGCTGGTTTCACTTCCTCCATATTTTTTTCCGTTCCCTCTTCCCCCTTTCTTTTCAGCTTCTTTCCACCTTCCGACTGGCCCTGGCGATCGTTTCTTCTGCTTCATACACATCTTTTGGATCGTTTCAGTCTCGGTACACTCTCTTCTCAACGCATTCTCTTGGCTCGATTCTCTTTGCTCGTTACTAGAAAGAGGCTGGTCGTAAGTATCGCGCACAACAATTTGGGAGGAAGACGATGAAGACGCAGCGCTGATCTTACCATTGCCTTGCTTCCATTGCTTTCAACTGCGTACATCTTCGCGCTTCGAAGCTCACCTACGCATTCCCTGCAACCACATTTCCTTCCCAGCTCGGTCGATTAGTTGGATCATCAGGCTCAGATACACGCCGACACTAGATCTCTCAGTTCATCTGTCGAACCTGCATAGGAACCACCCCAGCCTAGACGATCGAAGGCCATATCGCATCCAGCACACTCCAGAGTCACTACATTGAAGCATTCAAAAAATGAAGAAGTTCTCGAATCAATCCTTCACACTGCTTTTAGTGCTTCTATCCATCGGAGCCTTTGACTTGCACGCGCTTCTTGGCCATGCAACAGGGTCTTCAGCAAGTGTATGGCCCGCAGCCTCGGCTGCACCTCTCTACTCGGCATCCCAGGCCTCGAACCCCCAGACACGGTCCAGAAAGCCTCGTGTTGGCATCGTCATCAAGGATTCCTCAACTCTTCAGAAGGCGCCGAAAAAGACCATCGCTACTGGCGGCTCCAAGTCGAGTGGTCCCGCTTTCGAGAATCCAAATGGAAGACTGGGCATGAAGGTTCAGCTCAAGATGCTCGGACGTAATCAAGATACTGATCCTCTCATGGTAAGTACCTTCACTTTCAGAAAAGCGTATTTGCTCCGCGCATCCAACTGACCATTCCATAATCTCTCGCATTATCCGCGACAGCTCTACCAAAGGCACATAAATAAAGCAACGTCGAAGCTGGCTAGTATCTTGGGTCGTAGCGGCCCTACCCAAGAACAGATGCAGCAAGCCTTAGAACGGCGCAAAATCAGCATCCTCCAGCGTCGAGGACTTCTCTCCGAAGACTCTACACTCTCTGCTTGCGAAGGTGCTCGACACACCAAGCCTCGTCAAGGCTACACCAGCCATGCCGAGTCCGGTGGTGACATGCAACGTCGATTCCTCTCCAGCATCATGGACGACCTCTTTGGCCGCACGGGTCTTGAAGGAGGTTCCAAAGCCAAGTCCACCATCCAGCAAGTAGCTAACGAAGGCTACTCCGAGATCGACCTCATCGCCTCGAGCTCCGACAATCTCACCCTCGCCTCCGCCCCTACCGCTGTCCAGAGCACTGGTCTTGACATTGAATCCAACGACATCGGCTATGTCGCTGACATCCAGATCGGCAGCCAAAATGAGACTTTCCGCATGCTCATCGACTCTGGATCCGCCGACACATGGGTCCCCAGCACTGCCTGCCAAGCTTGCGGCGGTACACACAGGAAGCTCGGCAAATCAACTTCGGATACCTTCGTCGGACTCAAAACCCCGTTTTCTATCCAATACGGAACTGGCGATGTTTCGGGCAACCTTGCTAGAGATGACATGGAGATCGTCAGCTTAAACCTTGCGAGTTACACCTTTGCTGTCACAAAACAAGAATCTTCTGACTTCGCCGATGAGACTGTCCCCTTTGACGGCTTGATGGGTCTCGCTAGAAGCGAACTGTCTAACGCTGGCCAGCCGACCCCAATCGATGCTCTGTACGCAGAAGGCAAAGTCCAAGCTCCCGTCATGGGCTACCATCTCGGTCGTATTGCAAATGGCTACAACGATGATGAAGTCACATTCGGTGGTGTTGATCCAGCCAAGTACTCTGGAAAAATCACCGAAATCGACAATGTCTCAACCAAAGGGTTCTGGGAAGCCTCCATCGAGGCCATCACTGTAGGTGGTACTGACCTCGACCTGCCCGGCCGAACCGCCATCCTTGATACCGGTACAACCCTCATTGTCGCCCCCGAAGCCGACGCTGACGCAGTACACGCTCAGATTCCAGGCTCAAAGTCCGACGGTCAGGGCAGATACACGATCCCCTGCACCACCACAAAGCAGCTCGCTTTCACCTTTGGCGAAGTAGAGTTCCCAGTCGACACTAGAGATCTGCTCTTCTCGCCTGTTGATCAGAACGATCCCCTCGGTGATTGTGTTAGTGCTATTTCGGCGGGTAATGTTGGTCAGAGAAATGAGTGGTTGGTAGTAGCAACGTTCTTGAAGAACGTCTACTTTGCCACGAATACTGAGGCGAATAAGATCGGTCTTGCTCGTCTCAACACTACCGACACCTCGTCTCAGGGGAACAATGGTACCACTGCGGCGAAGCGCTGCTTCGAAGCTCGCTAAGATCGCTTCCCTGGATTGAGCAGAGGCAGTCTCTCACCCCCTTCTGCCACCTCTTTTTGGCCATCTGAAAGCGTCTTTCACCGCAACTGAAACAATGAGGTAGAAAGTCCCACTCACACAATCGGAGAAGAGTGACATAGAATGATTAACAAAGTGAATGTGATGAGTCTACAGCTTGAAACGACACTGTGTGTAGTGTGCTTTTGAAACGAAGTGCTTTGAGTTGGACGAAAGTAAATGCAAGACAGAGATTTCGGCTACGGAAAGGATCAACCTTGACGATGTATCTTGTTCTAAAGAGTGTAATAGTGAGGTTTCGGTAGCAACGTCGACGCCGGTCTCGGCCTCGGCAAGGGCTTCAAAGACCAGCTAGCTGAGTTTCAAACGAGGTTAAGCCAAGTCGACGTAGGCCGTGTGGACGCTGACCAAGACCCTTTTCCATTAGTAGCAGTTGAGCGTTGGCATGTTTTTGAGAGGAATGTAGCATATATTGCTTGCCGATGATGAGTGCCTTTCCTCGGGCCGCGGGTTGGTGAACTCATGGTTATTAATTCCACAGACGCGTCACGTGGATTTGATTTGATTTGAATTTAATTTAGTTCAGTTTTTTTTTAATTTTTTTTATTTTATATTTTTTCAAATTGCGCAGTTCGTCGTTGGTCGTAGGTAAGCAACCGAAACCTATGTTGTTCCAGACGGCCTGTCTGAGCACGCGTCGAAAGTCCCTTACAGACCCCTTTGGCTTTCACACAAAAATCCTCACTACCTTTTGTTCGTCATCACTCCCCTTTGATCATGCTCATCACTTCCCTTTGTACTTAGGAGCGCCCTTCAGGCGCTCAGCAGAACACAGCCAGACATGTAAGGTATACATAGAGGGAATTCGCATTCCCCCCTTCACTTCTTAATTCAAGCTTCCCTTCAAACGTACCTGAAGGCCCTAGGAAACAATGTGTCTACCAATAAGCACGAGGCGGCTGAGCTACAGCATCTGACTTCTCATCCCATGTGTAGGAGGTGGCAGATGGAGTTAGCGAGGGGGAATACTTGAACGAGTTAGATGTGTAACCTTCCGGTGTGCGTTGGATGTGTTGCTGTTGATGGTTGTCGTGGTACCGGACGAAGTCATGCGTTGCATCGAAAGGCATGCTGACCACGGGGTCGTGTTCCGTAGATCCAACAAGCGTAGTGTCTTGTGAGCTGTCGCTACCGTCACCAGAAAACGGGCTCTTCTCCTCTAAGTACACCTGCTGGTGCTGATTCTTCCTCCCCTCCCGCATAAAATCAGGCAGCGGCAGATCCTCGATCCAAAAACAGCAAGCAAAACCGACCACCACCACCGGCATGAACGCATACATTCCCTTCTGCAATCCATCCGCGTACATCTGCCTCACCTGTTCCCTCACCGGATCCGGCAAATCCCTGATTCTCTCCACATAACCTAGCACCGTCGGACCTGTAAATCCTAGCTGTGCTACGTCCGGCATACTTCCCAATCTATCGCTCACCGTCGCAATCAGCACCGACGTCGTGATGGCGATACCCCAAATCGCACCGAACGACCTACAAAAGGCATACGTTGCAGTTGTCGTCTCCAGCTCTTCAATCGGCAAGCTCGCCTGGATAGGTGGCAGAGTGATGGTGAACAGAATACCAATTCCAACGCCAGCAACGATCTGCGCTACGATGAGCTCCCACTCCACCGTGCCGGTGGTGAACCGAGTCATCCAGCCAAATCCGAACACAGTGAATGCCCAGCCGACAAAAGTGAGGTTTTTGTACTTGCCCGTCACCGCCATCGCGATACCTGCTACGATGGTGAAAGGTGCGGTAGGGGCGGTAGAGGGGAATGTCGAGACTGCAGACCGGAGCGGAGTCTCCTCCTTGATCGATTGGAAATAGACCGGAAGAGCATAGGTAACACCGTACGTCGCAATCCCATGCAGAAACGTCATGAAGAACGCCGAACAAGCCGTCCTGTTACTAAACAGCTTCAAAGGTAGCACGGGTTGGGTGCTCAGTGGATTCGGCAAGAATTCAATGAGAAGGAACAAGACAAATCCACCCATACCGGCCACCAGCGGAATCCAAATCTGCAAGCTGCTCCAGGGATGGGTCACTCCACCCTTGGTAACCGCAATCAAGCTGCTCGCCACTGATCCGAGTAGCACCAGGTTCCCGATGATGTCCATCTTTGCGAGCTTGGTCTTAAGCGGCATCTTGGGCACGGGGAGGTTCATAGTTGGGGTGAGCATAAGCAATGCCAGTGCGCCAATGGGGATGTTGATCCAGAAAATCCATCGCCAATCATGATCGCTAAAGTATCCGCCCAACACAGGGGCGACGAAGGAGGCGAATGCAAAGACAAGCCCGAAAATCCCAACAAAGAAGCCACGTTCGCGAAGCGTGATGATGTCCGAAACGGTGATCTCACCGATAGCTTGAATGCCTCCTCCACCTAGACCTTGTACACCACGACCGATGACAAGGAAGAGCATGTTATGTGCAAATCCGCACACAACACTCCCTCCCACGAAAAGGATCACGAATAGTACAGCGGACCATCGTCTTCCGATCACGCAGGATAGCCCACCGAATAGAGGCTGGAACGCGGTTACTGTGAGGAGGTACGAACTTGTGACCCACCCACCAGCGACCGTAGACGTGGGTAGGTCTTCAACGATCGAGGGAAGGGCGGTGGAAATCATCTTCATATCCAATGCAGTGAGTGTTACTGTAATAGCAAAGGCATAGATAAAGGTCCAGAACTTGATCGTTTTCTTGCCGTTCTTATCGTGCAGACCGTACTTGAACAGTCGTGTACGAGCTACTTCTGCATCATCTATCGGATCTTTCTTGTCGATGGTGAAGTGAGATTTAGGATCTATGTCGACTTTGAACGTCGGAGGAAAGGTCGATGCAGATGGTTGGAGTGCTGATGATTCCCCATAGTCTCGTTGTTGCAGTTGAAATCCGTCTTGCTCGAGCTGTTGCTGGTGAGGGTGGGCGGAAGAAGAGAACGATGTGTGTCGGGAGGGGACAAGATTGGATCGAGAAGTCATGGCTTGTATGCGTCTTCCTTGTTGCTCTGCCCAAGGCTGGTATGCGACTGTGGGAGATTGTGAGAAAGGTTCGAGTGGTTGAGGGATGAGAAAGTCTCGTAGCTAGGTTGGCCCATGGCTACGCTGTCTTCAGCTTGATAGCCAGTGTCTTCAGCTTGATAGCCAGTGTCTTGCATGGTGGCTATACCAAAGTCACCGCCGCTCACACCAAGGCCTTGTGGCTGCCGTCTGTGATGCTCTTCTTCTTTCGAATGGTAGCTGCGACTGCGGAGGAGGAAGGGCGGTTCAGTAAGACACACACACACACACACACACACACACACAAGAGTGAAGGAGGTAGGCAAGGGAAGCGGCATGAAATTAAAGAAATCAATTTATTTGACTGCTTTTTGATTTTCTGGGAATGTCGACTACAGATGTCACAGGGCAACACGAGACGCAGGCTGCATGTTTGTTCGGCAGAAATGGAGCTGTCAAAAAAAGGTTTGCCGATATCAACACCCTGGACATCTTGCACTAATGCAACCGCAACAGCAACCGCAAGCTCAACAGCATGTGACTCGGGGATAACACTCAGTGCTGGGTCGGATCGGATGTTTTTCGACATCGATGTCGACAAAGGTTGTGTTATCAATCTGCCGAGATTTGACTGTGAGTAGGGTTCAGGCGAGGTCGATAACATGCCGACGGCGGGCTTCAGCTCAAGCTATTGTGTGACTGTGTTTTTCTTTCAAGCTTCCGCTCATGATGGAGGAAGGTATTAGAGATGACATAGGCTGGTGGCTGCTAGCTTTTTAGCACTGCGTGGCCTCATCCTCGCCACAAGACAAACCAGTACGACGTTCGACCCAGGTCGAGTTCTTCGCAGCGCCGTCAGGGTTGCTTTCACTCACTTTTCCAATATCCCTATGCGGCGCCGGAGCAACCTGCAACTATACTCTGATACATCTGAATCGCTCATTCGTCACTTGCTCATTAATCGGCATATGAAAGAGTCCTGCAGGCGGTTCGAAGCGTCAAAGGACCGCCAACATCTTCACCTCCTTCATAGCGAGAATAAAGATGAAGAAAGGAAGTTTGACATCGCGACCCCTGACAACTCAACCGCAAAGGCATGCACAACGCGCCTCTCCTTTTTGAGCTGTCAAAAATCACATTCCGACGATCCTCCATCTTCGGCTAGAGGAGGACAAAGTAAAGCTCTGTTTTCATGCATGCTGCGTTGCTCGTTGTGACGCCCCGTTCTCGCATCCCCCTCTCTCTTCCTCCTACTAACAGCAGACCACGCTGTACATAGGATATCACGACTGGCGATCCACGAGGCAAAACATCGGTAACGTGAAACAAAGGTGGCGCACGCGCGCCGCCCCTGCTTGTTTAGTGTCGAATGGTGCTGCTGTCTGTCACGCACGACTTAGAAGCTCCCCCTCCCTCCTTTCGTGAACAAGTCAAGGCGTAGTAGCAAGTATGAGGAGATCGAAATCTGCACCACTGGTAGTACATCGAAAGGAGAGGAGGTAGAGGAATGTCCACCCGAAATAACAATATTGCAGGAAAGCAAGAGAATCTTCAATGCCGCCGGCAACGAACAGGCTGATCCCCCCCAACAGTGCAGTATGCACAGAACAATGTCACAAAACAGAGGCGTACAGCTGTGAGCCTTACCCTTGCACTTTGGCTTGTGCAGGTGCCGATTTGACCACTGTTCTCTTCGGCGTGCAGACTCGCTTGCTCTTCATTGGGAGGGTGCTGGTTTTACAAGCTGAGAGGGTATGGCCATGCGCTACACTGTCCCATTTCGAGCTCCTAGTGTACAGACCATTTCTGCCTGTGAAGACATTGCCAGCAGGGTGTACCGATCGACTGGAGCGAATAGCAGTTCAGTGCAGACCCCACCTTTCCTCACCTCAGCGCTCGAATTCCAACAGTAGTGTTTCATGCAGTACCACACCCTCACGATTAAGCTTTGCCATTGACCTGAACATAGAAGGCTTCACTCTGTATTCTGCTTTTGCTTTTAGTACCCGAACTTTGAAACTTTCGCTCTCTCGCCTCTTCCCCACCACCACATCATTGTCTTTTCCACTCTTTTGGGCTCCTGCTGCTCTTTCGGTTGTCGGCACGATCGAGCATCATTCTCTCTGCCTACCGCTCCCTCAAGCCCCTTCCCGGCATACCCTCCTCGCCTGATCAGAGCAGCACCTCATAGACAGTCTTCAGCTTCCGCATTTGATTCAAATCCCCCAGCATCGCATCATCCAAGCATTATTTCTCATCATCTGAAACACCACATCACCCTTCAGAAATTGACTCCGACAACATGACGTCGAAAATCGCGTCACTCAGCAGCACAATCTGGCAAGTATGGGCCGAGCCCCTATTAGAATCACTCGGTCTGTACGAATCAGTAGATAGAAGTTACGGACGATGGAACGTTCCGTTTTCAGCAATGGAAAAGAGGTTGTACGAGAAAGAGGATGTGGAAGTTACATTTCATCAGGTTATGTTGCAAAATGGGAAAGATTGGGTCTGGTATCAGGTTTGGCAGGATTCTCAAGCCACAAGGGATACGGGAAGGGTGCTGATATGATTTTTGTGTAAGTCTTGCCCTTCCCCTTTCCCCCTCGCTGCTATCTAATACTGACGAGATGTTGTTACCTCTTGTTGTGTGGGGTTTTAGTCACGGAACAGGAGTGCTTTCGGGAACACTAGCTAGCCAATGCCGACGCTACTTAGATGCAGGGTTTAGGTTGATCGTTCCCGATCTCCCCTCTCATGGCTTTTCGTCTGGGCTGCATGTGTATCAAAAGAACATGGCTGGATCTTGTTCTGGACTTAATGCGGTACTACACGATGTTGCAGCGAGGGATCAGGCTGAATCAGCGTTTCCGGGTGTAAGACCGTCAAAGTTGGAACGAAGACAAACTTTTATGCTTGGGTTATCGTTCGGTGGGCTCGTAGCCTTCTCCTATGCCCTCCAGTGCCCCGCTTCTTACCGGTACGACACTTCCGACACCGAGGAAGTCCCAATCGATGGTTTGGTCGGAATCGGATCAATGGTCGCATACAACACTCGATTCGTCGTTGTCGGAACCCTCCTCCGCTGGCTTCTTACTGTTATGCTTTTCATCTTCCGTCTTGGTAGGCTGGAAGTGATCGTCCCACACAGAAAGGCAGTTGACAAGGACCCCAAGGTTTACGAATCGCTCATTATGCAAGATCCCCGTTCGCACCAAGGCTCCTTCCGAATCGGTCACTTACACTGCATCGTCACCGCCATGCAAGATTTATGCGATAGAGCCGAAGAAATTAGGCATCCGATATACATTCAAATGGGCGGCGAGGACCGAGTAGCCGATAACGGAGTAACTTTACAATGAATCAGAAGGACCAAAGGCGAGGACAAGAGGTATGAAGTCTATCCGATCTGTCAACACGTTATTTACAAAAAGGCCAAGAATCAGCATGATGATTTGGCAGGAAGGATCAGCGTTATTGCTGATAATGTCGAGTGGATGATGGAACGATCACCCCCAACTTACACTGGGAGGGTCGTGCAGAGACGGCAGTTGAAGTTAGCGTCTTATTCGAGCGAGGGAAGTACGACTAGCAGAAGTACTAGTAGAACTTCTCTCTTCGATGACGAGGAGGAGGGGGATGATTCGGCTAGTGCAGCTACTACAGTGCCGACTACGCCGAGTTTGGCCGACCAAGAGGCTTCCATGCAGGACAAGCTGGAAGGTTTTAGCGGAGAGGGTCATTTGTTGCCGGAACACCTTTGTGGCTGGAGGGAGAATGGAGAAGGTGAGAAGAGACTGTATAGGATGACTTGGAACTTTAGAGAGGATACTAGACCTTTTATTTACGATGCTCATGCTGCGCTCTCGCCGATCCCGGCTTCATAGAGTTGTGCATTGCTTGGCTTCGATTCTTGGCTGCTGGTTCACAGCTACTTGATCACACGCACGTTTTTTTTTTTTGTCCTTCACATACCAGCTCTTGCACATTTCTGATGATACTCTCTCACTTACATTTGTCCAGCACATAGTGGTTCTGGGTCTCTCAATGCACACAATCGATTCGCACAACGTCCGTATTTGAGAAGGATGATGGCATGTGTGCATTGAAGGAAACGAGATGCAGAAGTGAAGTGGTGGGTTGAAAAGGAGCCATGTGACAGAGTCTAAAAAAGTACAAGATATAATGAGAGATGCTGTGGAAAACCGACAGAGTTAGAAACTCGAGTAACCTCGCGATCGGCCTACGACGCTTGCTTCGGCGAGACACCAAGACCTCGTCTGGCAAGCAAATCACGCACATCACCCAAACCCTCCAACTGCCCCTGTGCTACTACAGTCGCCTGCCCAGATCCGCGTGGAGACTTGTTACCGGTCGAAAGGGACATCTTCTGCGGCCTAAGGACACGAGTCGCCACCCTGTTCAACGTCCTCAGATCCACCTGGTCGATCTTCTGACACATCTCCTCCACCGACACCTTGTTGCCATGCGCCTGAATCTGCCTACCCAAATCCTCGACTTCGACCAACCTCGACTCAAGTGCCATGACAAGCGAGCTCTTGAGCTGGTTCTTAGCCCTGTTGAGCTCGGCCTGGGTTACGGAGCCTTGGTAGATGGAGCTGGTGCAAAGCTCAAGTTCACGAGCAATGACGTGGACAATGCTGGCGTTGAAGCTAGGGTGGACTGAAGCAGAGATGCCGAAAAGGCCAGAATCGGAGTAGCAGTGGTGGAAGGCGGCACAGTAATCGACGCTGTGGTGCTGGTTGAGAACGTTGGTGTAGAGGCGAGAGTACATGCCTTTGCCCGGACCGCCGGCACTGAAGCTTCCACCGCCTCCGAGGAGGATTTGGAGCGTGGCGAGGGCATAGATGTCGTCATCATGGATACTGAGGCCTTCGAAAGCGACGTAGACGTGGGTGAATTCGAGGTCCTTTTGCGGAATGTAGAGCTCGCCGCCGGTGTAGTGTGATGGTGTGGAGACGATGTCGGCACGTTCAGTGGAGGTGGGTGTTGCTGACGAAGATGAAGATGTCGAGAAGTTAGACGATGAACGGGAAAAGAGCGATGATGACAACGAGGAGCGGGACGAAGACGATGATGATGCTGAAGACGATGATGATGGCGAGCTCGAGAGCGAGGAAGAGGCGGAGCCAAGAGGAGCGGAATCGGAGGTGGGCTTAAGATCGCTAAAAAGCTTCTCCGACAACTCGACGAGTTGCTCATGAGGCATGCCGCTACCGGCGACAACGATCCTTTCGGGCCTGTACCAGGTGGACATGAAGTTGCGCAGGTTGTCGGCTGTCATCTGCTTGAGGCTCTCAATGGGGCAGAGCAAAGGGTTGCCCAGTGTGTTGCCCTGGTATGCGGTCGTATGCAGAAGCTCGGGCAAGATCATCTCGGGCTTGCTCCAAATTTCTTGGATTTCGTAGGCTGCTGCTTCCCTCTGTACGTCGAGCTCTTCCGGGCTGAGGAGGGGGTTGAGGATGGTGTCGGCAAGAATTGAGAGAACAGCGGGTACGTCCTTGTTGAAGACGCTGGACTGGTACATAATGGTCTCGCGAGACGATGAGCACATGACGTTTCCGCCTAGCGCCTCGATCTCGGAGGTCATCTGCTGTGAAGAGCGGTTGGTGGTCGATTTGAAGGCGAGTCGGTCCAAGAGATGCGAAGAGCCCGACTCGCCGGCGACCCAGGGACGTTCGTATCGAGAGCCGGCATCAATATAGACGCCTACAGCGCTGAAGTGACCTGGTGTTGCTTCTGTTGCTACGCGAACGCGGTTGGGCAATGTCGTAACATTGATAAGTTCTGAGCTGGGCAACGGTGATGCGTAGGGAGATGCTGCTGTTGAAGATGACACGGGGCTTGCGATAGGGGCAGACACGGATACTGAAGAGGATACGGACCGTGCCAAAGAGGTGTTGCGCTTGAGTTGCGACTGTCGTGCAGCATTCAGTGCCGACGAGAGATTGGATCCAGGCTTTGCAGCAGCCAGATCAGACAAGGATCGAGGCGCAGGTGCAGATTGTCTTGGCAGGGATGCTTTGAGGGGAGGCGTTGATGCTGTGGACACAGGGCGAACCTGAATTGCTTGTGAACGAGACAGCACTCGTGTCACAGCAGAAGAGGAGGAGGATGTCGGTAACCTCATCGTGTGGACTGAGCTATAGACTGAGGATCAGATGCGATCCCTTCCTGTTGATTGATGTGGGTTTCTATGGCGGCCAAGTGGCAAGGCATGAAGCAGCGGGGCTTCGATTAGGTATTCTGTCGGGTTGTTGTGTTATCGGGAAGCGGGCTTGTACCTTGTTTGTCCGTCGTTGAGAGGGTTCGAAGATGAGGATAAAGAAAACGCTGATGAGATCGGCGCCTAAGAGTCACACTATCCGAACTGCGCCTTATTTCGGTTTCCTGACTGCGCGGCCGTGAGTTCGAATTGCGAGATTTTGGTTTGCAAGAGTTCAGAATCTTGAGGAAAATGGAAAACGATAATTCGAGATGGTTTTGCTTTAGTGGACAATGTTAGCTCTCTACAGCTCACACGGATTACAGATCTCGTCCGAAAAAGGCAGGCCTTGACTTCCACATTCGGTTAAGTGTCGAAGAGGATGCAAGGTGTCCGCTTTTGTTACTGACTCCGCTCTGGCTTGCTCTTGCTGTTGAGCTGGCACTTGTATTATTTAGTGGCTATGCTTCCACAGACGAGATCTCGGCTGTGCAAAAGTCTTGAATCTGTTTGTACCCGCCAGGTGGAATTGCAAGCTCCGTTCGTGGTCGTGTTAACCACGCAGGCCGCTTTTCATACTGCGACAAGGCAGCGTGGCGAGGCTTGCGGAGGAAAATGCTTTCCTGTCTATGGAACATGGCAGCAACAAAGAGCGGAGTGCTATGCAGGCAACGAAGCGAGAAGAAAAAGGCTCCGACACAATCAAGGCCCAGAGTGCGGGTGCAGGCCAGATCTTGTATCATGAGTCAGTGCTGCTGCTGCTGCTGCTGATGATGATGATGATGATGATGAACAACTGGTGATTTGCTCGAGCAGCCGTCCTGACTCGTATCGTCATGCAAGGAACAGAGTGCGAAGCTGGCTGCGGACTAAGGTATATGCGCTGTGCAAAGACTCGCTTGGCAAAGCAAGGCTCGTCAACTGGCGCCTCTGTGAGACCATGTTGACGAGATCGCACGGAATTACTGTAAAAGCGATCCCAGAATTGCATCTGCCGCTGTTGGGTCGTACCGTAGCAATATCCGGTCGGGCACGCAATGATTGCGGCGCAAAGAGGGGGGACAAGACCTTGACGTCGAGTTCTGTTCGAGCGGATCAAAGCCAAAGGTGAACTTGAGCGAGCTCGCTTGTGATGCTGCGCTTTCTCCCTCTCTCATGGAAATGAGATCCGCAAGAGGGTCTCGCGTGTGACACAGCGGCGCCACGTTGGCTCCGTCATGTCAAGAATGGATTCGGAAAGGGTCGAGTGGATAAAAATGGGATAATTTTGGATTACAAAAGAAGCGACTTGGCAATACAAAACAATCATGACATGAGCCTGGACGCTGGGCCTCTTTTTTATTTTTCTCTTTTTTATTATTTTCATTTTCATATTTATTTTCATTTTTATTTTTACCTTTTATTTCCACTCTTTCTAAATGACCTTTTTCTTCTTTTTCATTTCATTTTTTCCGCTCCCTGCATGCTGGAACAATAGACCTATTCACTCAGTGAGTCGGAGCCTAAATTCTTCATCTTGTTTGAAAATCTCTAAATGATGGCTTGGAGGCGAGGTGACGAGAAGGGCCCTGCAATTTCAATTTTCAATCATCATTACTATATTTGGTCGTCTGTGCTCACAGCCAAGAAGCTCGCTCACTCGCTCGCTTGAATCGCGTCGCGGCTCGTCAAGCAACAAAGAGTGCTCAATTCGTGCAGTGTTGCCCTCTCACTTTCTCTTTCTCTCTCTCTCTCTCTCTCTCTCTCTCTTTGCTTTAAAGAAATCCCCTCCATGCACACACACACACACACATGGCATCTCATCGCATAGCATCGCATCGCATCGCATTGCATCGCTTCACATCGCTTCGCATCGCCAATCTTGAAATCTGTTTTGCAAATCCGTCGTGGCGCAGTTGCGGTTCTGGGCCCTGTTCAGCTCAGTGGTTGTCGTATCTCTGGACCCGTTTTGGCCAAAAGCCATTCATTCAGCCCATCCCAAGTTGACTCAGTCCGCAGCTGCCAATACTTACTCGAAGCCGAGGTATTTTCAGCTGTCGTCTGTCTGTCTGTCTTTGGCGTTGTCGTCGTCGTCGTCGTCGTTGTTTCAATCGTCGCAGTTGACACACTTCATCCTTTTGCCTCGCTTCTTGCCTCTCCCTCTTTCTACCTTCCCACTCAACTCATCCGCCTCTTTCTCTCCATCCCGACGATTTCCTTATCTTCACTCACTCACCCCATCCCTCCATCCCTTTGAATCATAACGACGCTTCCGCCCCTCCGTAACTGACCGTTACGTTCGCCTTGGCTGACGACGCCCTCATCCGCTTGCCTGTTCAGCTCGCGTCCTGTATCGCCGTCATTTCCTATTTTCCCTCCCTCCCTGGCCCATCCTTCTTCCACACCGACTCTCGGCCATTCGAACCTCACCATCCGACGGTTACTTAGCTTCAACACCGATCGTCTTGTACATCGAATTACAGATCCCAGTCTAAAGCACAGGGTCTTTATACCAGGATCGCGCGCATGTCCCCTTGCGACCAACAATTATCACCTTGATCTACTTCCACTATTCCGATCGCCGGTCATCTAGGATTTCACAAGCTTACACTCACGTCGATTGCTTCGTATCTCTAGTCGTCCTCGACAGCATCCCATCACCATGTCAGCTCAAGGTCAGCATTCGCCTTACGGCAACGACATGCAGGCCGACTACCAGCACTCCAGTTCTGGCCCTGTTCGCACCAACAACACCAAGGCCGATGACAGGAATAAAAAGGGGCCCGTCGCTGCTCCTGTCAAGAGTGCATGTACTTTCTGCCGATCGCGCAAGTCGCGATGTGATGGCAACAAGCCTTGCTCTGCTTGCGTTGGCAGAGGTCGTCCGGACGAGTGCCTCTACACCCTCTCGCGTCGTGGCGGCAAGCCCAAGCCAAAGATTGACCCAACCCAGGACTTGCAGAGCCATCTCAACAAGCTCTTTGCCATGACAGATATGCCCTACGCCTTCCGAAGACCCGGTGGTCTCGCTGGACCTTCGGCAGCCGACATCTCTGCAGCGCAAAACATGCAACAGCAGCAGCAAATACAGCCTCACTCAAACGTCTTCAACTTCCCCAACCAATTCCAGTCGTTCGATGTTTCCGTCTTGCAGCAGCCCGCGTCACATCAGAATGGCTTACAAATGCAGCAGCAGCAGCCGCAGCCGCCTCAACAGCCTCAGCAACAGTCAGCGAACGCCTTCTTCAACGATCCCATGCACGATTCCTTCGCACAGCAGATCAATGCTTTCCCAGCAGGCGGTTTCATGCGTTATCAGCTTGCTGACCCTTCTCAGCAGCAGCACGCGAAGCAGCAGTACGCGCAGCAATTGCATCAGCAGCAGGCACAGCAGATGTCCTCGCCTCAAGGTCCCCAATTCGGCAGGCAAGATGTCGCCTCGCCACAGAACCGCTTGCCCGATCCATCACGCACTCCAGCATCTGTTGTCTCGCCTCAATCCAACCCTAGTCCAGGCTCTCTCGGCCCTTCCAACGCTGCTATGGCAGCTTACCACGCCAGCTCCGTGGCGACGCCAAGCAGCAACAGCCAGTCCGACTCGTCACGCAACGCATCGGTCGATAATGCGGACTCCTCCAAGATGCTCCAGATGTTCTACAAGACGCTCAATGCTGTCGCTGCTGAAGCTGGCAGCGTCAAGGCACTTCTCGTCGACTACTACCGCTATCTATACCGCTTCATCCCCGTTCTGCCTCCGCCCAAGCACATCGACGTGCTCACCAAGTTCTTCAAACCCGACTCTGCCTTCATCTATGCGCTTCAGTGCGTCTTGTCGCTGCTCCGCGACGAGATCCAGCCCATCGGTGCGCTGCACAAGCTCTCGGGTCAAGGCATCAACTTTGGTTCCGAGGAGAAGAAGGCAGCGCTTCATGAGCGCACACTCAACTTTGAGCGCAAAGCCACCGACGGCCTCGATCTGTTGCTCGAGCAGGCCGACGGTGACGAATCTGGCGAGAAGATGCTCGAAGCGGTCCAGACGCTCTGTGTGCTGGTAGTCTACGAGTACGGCAGCGGTAGAGCCATCAAGGCGCGCTTGAAGGCAGATCAGGCGCTCGGTCTTGCTATGGGTCAGGGTCTGCACAAGTTGAGCCACACGACTTCTCCAATGCAGAGCCAGTCGGCGCCCAGTAGCTCCGCATACGTATCCACGGCCCGTCATCCGCTCACCACGATGGGTGTGGACCCTAACGACATCTTTGAGATGCGTAAGCGCTGCTGGTGGTCGGTCTGGAGTCTGGTGCTGTGGGCTGCCTACAACACGGGTCGCATCCCCACCATCCGTGCCGATGACCCACGCGTCAAGAGTGAGATGCCAGCAGCATCACATCCAGAAGTCTGGACCTCCAACATCAGCTCGCTGCAGGCACTTCTCCTCGTTCAGGACCGTGTCTTGGCGCTGGCACAGTATGGCCAGAGCAATGACGGCGGACGTGGTTACGAGCCACCTCAAGGTGAACCATCCATGTCGCCAGTATCGTCCTCCTCGGCTACCTCGCCCTTCGCTTTTGGCCGCATTGGCATGTCTTGTTCAGGCTCGGTGATCAGCGATGACGTTCCACCCACGTTCTCGACACTGCCCACTCGTGCTACGCAACAGGAAATCCTCGACAGCATGCTCGAAATTGACAACTTCCTCCAGGAGCAGATTCGTATTTACGAGACCACCGATGCGCCCGACTCTCCTCTCCCGTCCGAAGTGCCGCAGACAGGCGATCTGGCCTTTGTCGAGAAGGAGCTCGAGGACTCTTTGCGCATGGCAGCGGCTGTGCAGCTGTACACCTCGTCGTTGACGCTGCACATTGGCCAGGCTTTCCAGGGCGCTTCGCTCTTCGAACGCAAGTTGTGCTTCCTCAACTCGATAAAGGACAACAAAGATGGTACGGGCGAGACGTTGGTATGCCTTGAACCAATGCCTGCGATCACACAGGATGAAAGGATGGGTGCAACGCCCTTCGCCAATGGCAATGCGAACGGCAAAGGCATCAGCGATGGTAATGGCAACTCCTTCGGTTCGGGCGCAAGCCCGGCTGCAATGACATCGCCCAGCTCCAGTGTGCAGCCGACCAACTTGACGCAGCAGGATCTTTACGCACGCGGACCCTTCTTGCCACGCCTTTCGCTGCAGCGATGCGTTCATGCCAGTCGCAAGCTGCTCGACATCGCCAAGCGCCGTCACGGCCAGTCGGTCAACCCGAATCCTTTCAACTGCTGCAGTTTCGTATTGATCAGCTTTGTTCTGCTCATGCAGGCGCTTGCAGTTCACGGTGGCTTTGCCGGCGAGTCGGGCGAGGATCAGCAGGATGGCGAAAAGTTCGGACAGGAACAGAACCACTGGTCGAATGGAAACAATGACCAGGGCCAGTACGCGAACGATAGCCTGCAGCGTTTCCTCGACCAGAACAACGTCGACGACGACTCGATGATGGACTCCTTTGAGCCCTCGATCGATCCTGTCAAGCAGGTACAGTTGCGCGATATTTGGGGCCGTGTCCGAGAGGCGCGCGATACGCTCATAGATCTGGGCAAGCACTGGGAGGCGGTCGTCCCTATGGCTGACGAGGTTAACCTGTGCTTGGAGACATCGCAACTGTTGTTCAGCAACTCCTACTAAACGCCGTTGAAAGCGACTATTGTCATTCTTCTTCGCCGTCCTCTTTTGGCTCTTCCCACCTTCTTTCTCCCTCTATTGGTCTTTGTCTGTCACCCTTTCGCCTTCCATCCCCTCACTATTTGAACGCACAACGTCTGCATGAGCCACTGTAGCTCGCGGCTTGGTCATCAATCTTGTCTCAGCGTAATCTCATCCCCTTCCGCGCATCCCTCGTAATCTTCATAGTGTAGTCACAGCAAATCAGGCTTGTTTGTACATATAATGTATTCTTCCACGCATCGCGTCGAAGCTGTAACCGTGACTTGTTCCACCGCAAAGCCGCCCTCGATATGAAAGCGTGCTTGTTCCCAGCAGGAAAGGCGAGGTACGAATGAGGCAAATGCTTCATCCGCACGGCAATGTTTTCGCTGTGACCAAACACGCGCTGCACGTGACCAGAGTTGTTCTCGCCTGCAAAATGAATTTCTGAGTGTTAGGAAACACGTCTGAGCGCGCGCGCGCCTCTTTCTCTCACTCTCTGCCAAATTTATCGGAGCTGCAGTTGACTGTGAGCTGCAAAGCATGAACCCTGTGAATGACGGAATCGAGCTCAGCACTTGCCATCCATTACCGCTAGCCGCTCTCTTCCACCATCATCCATTCCACGAACACCGGCGCTATCGCTACTGGACAGACTTGAGACTTGGAAGGACGAAACACGTCGCAATGGCGTAGAGAAAGGCCTACAGTCATCAAAACCATCATTGCATCGCAACCATACGACTACATCAACACCTGGTTCCCCTTTCAAAGAAACAAACACATCACTCCGCGTCGACACTGCACACACTGAGACCACCGCTATTGGAAGGACACCCAGTCTCAGCTAAAATAGCATGGCCGACCGCTTTGCGGCACTAGCCGGCTACGATGCCGGTTCCAACTACGACTCGACCGTAGAACAAAGCTTAGCAGCAGCCGCAAGGGACGACTTACCAGGACTCGAAACTGTAGCCAGCATCAAGATCGACCTTCCGCCCTCGAAACCGCTCAACAACACCTTTAGCAAGTCCAAGAAGCCCAGCGCAGCTACTGAGCGTGCCAGACGAATCACTTCGGGCCCTTTAGATCTCGGCAACGGTCGCTCTCGCACTCCACCGCCGCACCACTCTTCCGGTACATCATCCAACAAGGAGAACGCACGTCATGACGAGCCTCCCTCCACACAACGCAAGCAGGAGCAGCGAAGGCACTACGGCGTACGCATCGCCGAGGATGAGGCCTTCGAAGAGCTCGAAGACAGTTTGCAAAAGGGCCACCAGCAGGATGAACTTCAACGCACGCAACAGGACATCTCACAAGGTGGCGACTCTTTGCTTGCTGCTTCGCCAGGCAATGACTCGGGTCAGTGGGAAGCACGTGCCATGCGTCGACGCTCAGCAGCCGGTGTCTCGATGAAGTCGGCTCAGGAGAAGATCAACAGTCTTACACAGGAGCGCGATGAGCTCAAGATCGTCGTCGATTTACTTCGAGAGAAGGTCTCGCTCGATGACCGACTGGCGGAGCTTATCGTCCTGAAGAAGGAGAAGCTCTCGTATACCAACAAGATGATCGCTCAGCAGGCTATGCTCAAGCAACAGGATCGTGCAATCAAAGTGCTTCAGAAGGAGCAGCAACAGTGGAAGGGCACCAACCCCGCTGAATACGAGAAGCGTATCGCCGACCTTCAAGCCAAGCTGCTCGCTGCTAACAACAAGGCAGAAGAGGAGCGACGTGAGAAGGTGCGACTTGAGGACGAGCTCGACTTTATTAAACGACGAGGACCACCACCGGGTGATGCTAGTCGCGGTGCGGACGAGACTTCAGCTACTTCTCTCGGCGACTCGACTCACTTACGGCAGCGCATCGACGCCCTGCGCGACGAGCACGAGGACGAGAAGTACGAGCTTCGTAGAGAGCGCGATCAAGTGCAAGAGCAACTGGAACAAGCCCGCGACGAGATCGAGCACCTTCGCTCTTCCCAACGACGCTCCGCTTCTCCCGGCGAGACATCCCATTACCATCGCAACGTCGACGAGCTCGAACAGCAGCTCGCCGCTCAGAAGACCGAGGATGCCAAGATGCTCGAACGTCACGCTCAGCTCATTGCTGATATCGAACATCACAAGGACGAGTTGTACGAGTTGCGGTCCTCGGAAGAAGCACTCCAGCGCGAGCTCGATGTAGCTAACCAGCGACTGGAGCATGTCAGCATCACTCAGGAGGATGAGGCAGCGCGTTTTGTCGAAGCTGATCGTCTGGCTGCAGACCGATACCAAGATCAGATCGACAAGCTTCGAGACGAGCTCGCGTCCGCACAGCTGCAGATTGACGGCAAGGAAGCTGAGCTCGAAAGGCTGGACGCAGAATTACAAGATCTCACTGCCAAAGTTGCTGATCTCGAATACGAGCTGCGACAGGCCGAGAACCTGCTGGAGGAGCAAAAAGTGCAGCTCGAAGGTGTCGAGGCTGAAGCAGACGAGCTCGACCGTCAAGTGCAGGCGTTCAAGCAGGAAGCCGACGAGCTGCGTGCTGAAGCTGAAGAGTTGCACAAGGAGCTTGACGCCAAAGATGTTGATCTGGCAGAGACCAACAAAGAGATGCAAGAGATGTCGAACCGCATGTTCGGCTTAGAAGAGGAGCTCGAAGCGCGTGCAGATGAGATCAAGCAACTCGACGAGGAGATCACGAAAGTGGAAGAGGCATTACAGCAAGCCAACGAGAAGCACGAACGACACACCACTGTGCTCAAGGAGAAGCTTGCAGCTACTACACAGGAGCTGAGCGGTACACAAGGTCAGCTTGAAGCAACGCTGGGCGAACTCGAAGCGATGCGTGACGAGGCCGATACATACGCACGTGAAGTGGAGCAGCTCACTGCCGAGCGAGCACGACTTGAAGACCTCAATGCTAAGTTGGATGCCAAGGTGGCTGATGTTGTTGAAGATCTTAAAGCTGAAGAGCGGGCGCTTGACGACGCGCATGCTGAATGGGAACGCAAGCTGGAAGAGACGGAAGAGCGCATGGCACGTGTCGTTCGCGACAAAGATGAAGCTATTTTATCGCTCGAGAAGGAGCTCAATCAGATGGAAGACGATCTCGCGACACGCAAAGCCGATGTTCAGACGCTGCAAGACGCACTTCGATCTAAAGAGAACGAGTCGTTCCGAATGGGTCAGAGCTCAGCCAACGACAAGTACAGTCTTGAACTCGAGATCGACCGTCTCAAACGCGACCTTGCACGCTGTGAAGACGACCTTGCTCGTGCACGCAAGGATCTCGATCGCAAGGATGACTCGCTTCGACAGAAAGAGGAGAGCCTTGCGAAGCTGCATTCGGAACTGCGCGATGCACAAGCCAAGCTGGCCAGCGAGATGCAATCCCACCTTGGGCTCTCCGAGCGATTCGAAGCACAGCAAAACGCAGTCAAGACTGAACGGAAAGAACTCGAAGCGGCACGAGCCAAAGTGGAAGAGCTCGAGTACGAGCTGAACGATGGCGAGCGAGCCACTCTCCGCACGGAGCAAGCGACTCGCGATGCACTCAACCAGCGCAACACCTTGCTGCTCACCATCTATCAGCAGATGGGTAAGATCCTCGCTTCCTCCTCTGCTGATGGGAATTCGACACCAAGGAAGCGAGAAGCAGAGCTCAAGCCTTTCACCAACTTTGAGGTCTTCCATTCGAGTCTCCTCGGCCGATTGCGTCGTGTATTGGATACGCAGCTTGGTGTCGATCAGAAGGCGAAGGAATTGGAAGCTAAGCTGTTGGAGAAATACAACGCACTCAAAAGGCAACAAGACACTCGATTCCGCCAAATCGATCGCTTCGAAGCCTCGATCAAAGTTGCGACCGATAAGCAAGGGCAATGGCGTCAAAGACTCGTCACTAAACAAGCCGAACTCGACGCTGTTAAAGCAACCAACGCTGAACTCTTACAGCAGATCTCCTCTCTCAAGACCCGCAGCTCCCTCTCCACACCAGGTGATAATAACAAGCTCACCGCGCTTACAACAAGAGCTAACACTGCTGAGCGTCGCTTAGCTACCGCTTTAACACAGGCTACGCAAGCCGAGGACAGATTGGCGGAGGCGAAAGTGAAGTATGGCGAAGGAGAGGGTAAATGGGCTGCAAGAATCAAGGAGCTCGAGTTGAGGTGTAAGGCTGCAGAAGAGAGAGTGAAGAGGGAAAGACAGGGTGCGAAAGAGAGAGTGGCTGAATTGGAAGAGATTAGAAGGAAGTTGGAGAAGGATTTGGAAGCTGCGACGAAGCGCAATAAGATCGTGGGTGAGCTGCAGGCGAATGTTAGAGGGATCAACTAGGTGTGGCTTCTCGAGTGTTGCTGGTTGTCTTGTCGCCGCCCATCACGCTTTCTTGACTGGGTCTTATTGGATGTATGCTAGCTTCTGCTTTTCGTGTGACCTTCGTTTGATGGTTGGATTTTCTCTAATGTATTATGTATTTCTACCGCTTTGCTTTGACGTGATGTGATCTTAGCCTTGGCCGTCGTGATAGCTCGTGTTAAGAACTATGTGATTGTCATAAGCGTCATGTTTCATGGAGTGAGCACTTGCGAGCACAAGCTGGATTGAACTTGAGCTACTCCGCTCGTCATTGAAACCTCCTGCGTTTCCAACCAGATCCTCCGCTATTCCCCTTTCCTACCCTTCCCCTCTCCTTGTTCGATTATGCGATACCACCCAAGAACATCATCCCATTGGGACCCCATCAACCTTCTTCACCCGGGTCTCCTTCTCGTAAATCAACCCAGGATTACCAGCCGTAACCAGGGCCTGTACCCTTTCCAAGCTCACTACCGTCCCTTTCGCAGACGGATTCTTCTTATCATCAACAAAATACAAATCGCTTTCCTTATGGATTTTCATGCACAGAGAACGCGTTGTTCGGAGAGAGTTTTGTGGGGTTTAGTTGAGACTTGGGTGTTTGTAAGGAAGATCGCCCGGTCTGCTGGTGAAGAGGCAGGATTTGTTGGGGGAAGGATTCCATCAGAAGAAGTTGGAGGAGACGACTTGGGAACGGCAAGATTGGAGTTGGTGGATAGGAGAGGAGAGAGCGAAGTCGTTTGTTGCTGCTTTGGCTCGGACATGCTAATGATTTGGAAATCTTGCTTGTCATCACTTTGTTCAGAATCCGCGCTGGGACTGTTTCTAGCTTGAGCAACATCACTAACGGATTCAGAAGGGATTGAGATCGTCCCATTGTTGATATGCTGCGGAGGAAGTATGGACGAGGCGATCATCTGTCGAAAGAGTGAGAAGCGCAAAGGGTCATTGACAATGCGTTCGACTTCTTTTTTGTTTCGCGAATCGACTGCATCGAGGACCTTGCTCATCAAGATGAGCTCTTCCGTTGATAACATGCTGTACTGGAGAAGGCAGAAGAAGAGAAGATGGTGAAGCTGACGACGTGTAGTGACAGCACGAGCACGGGCCGTGCTCAGGTCTTGGATGCTGTATAAGTATAGAAGTCATCCTTGAGCAAGTTAGCCTCAGCCAGACCCTGAGGATTGTAGAAGCTGAATCAACTGTCGAGAATGGCTCGACTGCAAGGATGACTTCAAGTCACTACAGCGTTGAGTGATATCAGGCGACGATACTATAGGATGCTTGTGCGATACTTGAAGCAAGCGCTCCATGTCAGATCGCCAGCAACATCCCAAATGACCATAGTGAGGGTTTGTTCGGAGCGACAATACGTGGTGATGTTCCATCTTTCGGCTATCTTTCGGCTTCTCCGACTAGACTCGGGATCGCCTCGGTCACGACACGGCCTTTTGGTGCGATTGATGGCGACGGGGACAAATCTCGAAAGTGTCACATCTGTCGAACGAACGGCTGAGGGCCAGCAGAGCTCAAAGCATTGTGTCCGACAAGGGACGGAGGCGGAGGTGCCGAACCATCCATTGGTCATCGGCCATCGGCCATCGGTCATCGACCATCGGGTCTCAGCATCGACAGATGTGAGCCCAAAATACATACAGTCCCTGTCCAAAGTTTGAGGACAGGGTCCAATAGACAATAAATCAACCATCCAATAGCATAGCTTTCATCTGCTTGGAGGAGTGATCTCTCATAAGTGTCAGATGGAGCAAAACATACAGTGAGCAAGCTCGGAAGAAGAGCTTTCGATTGCAGTGAGTCTCGGAGCTGACTAATACTTGAGCAGACCTCCATGCTTAGTAAGCACTTGCTCCACGTGATGCTCCATTGACTCAATCACAGGGTTGATATGTTCGAGCATGATCTGGGTGTTCCACACCTCCTCTGCAGCTCTGGCAAGTTCATCCCAGGTTTTCAGTACCAGCAAGTGCTTACCAAGCAAGTTTTTGAATACATACCATATGTTCTCAATAGGATTAAGGTCCAGCAAAGCTGGCAGGTGTTCCTGTGTCTTAATGTGGTATTTGGCCTGCCATTGCTTGCAGATAGCAGCCTGATGACAGCTGCTGCTGCCTTTGACAACTGACAGGCTGTCAGGGTATGCACTAACAGCAGTTATGGCATCCCGGAGTGGCCCATCAATGATCCAATTGTGATATCTGACAGCTGTGAGGTTCTTGGCAGGATCCCATTGATTAGCTGACCCCAACTGCTTCTTTCTTGGAGCCAATGGGAGCACAACCAATGGGGTTTTAAGGTTGTATGCAATGCCAGCCCATACCTGGATGCTGAAACAGCCAGAACAGAACATTGGAACCATGTTGTTGATGTCTTCTTGAGTGTTTTTCTGGCAACTAACCCATGTGCATCTGGGCCAGTAGCCAACCTTGACAGCTGCCTCATCTGTGAACAGAACACCCCTCCAATCAGTGGAGCTGTTAGCCTTGGCCCATTCTAGACATTTATGCTGGTTTTTGGCTGTCAGAAATGGCTTTCAGAGCACAATCTGGCAGTTACTACCAGCCCAGTATGCTGCTTTCTGGAGCTGTGTAACTGGAATGCTGCCAAGCAATGCTGACAGCTGTTGCCATGACAGAAATGGGTTTTTGAGTACCTCATGCTGAAGGTATTGGTCCAAGGTAGCTGTCCAGGAGTGTGGACAGCCAGATCATGCTTTTGTTTCGAAGGCACCATGCTCCTTAAAGTTATGGATGGTCTTGTGAACTGCTGTCTTGGAAACACCACTTAGCTCCACAATTCATCGAATTGGCAGCCCAGTATAATGCATTGCAATGATTGAAGCATGCTTGCTTGGAGAGAGCTCATTGCCATGGACCATATCAGTGTTTGAAGTGTTCTTGATTAGTATGATGGTAGTGCTATTGCTTAATGATGATGATGACCTGAATGTGGGGTAACTGGCTAAATCGGGAAATTACCCGATTGTCCCGAAACTTATGCACAGGGACTGTACAGTATGTACATGCGATAAAATCCCAAACCTAAAATTGAGATCTCAAAACGGGGCTGCGTAGAAGTTGAACTGTCATCGCTAGCTTTCCCGGGTTTATTCGGAAGGCCCACAGGGCGAAACTGGTGAAAGCAAGCGCCGCTTATTCACGAGCTTACTCAGGCTCGTGAAATGCATCAAGGTCGACATGGCAACGGCTCAGGGCCTCTGCAGGAGAGACACTCGACTCACCTCATTCGGCGTCGGGTGGGAGAAAGGTCAAGCCACCTCGTTCAGGATGCAGCCAGATCGCATTGCAGGTGCTTTTGGTCGGGCATGGGCTTCGAAGAGCTTTGCTACAACTCCTGATACCCACACAACTCAGCTCATCGAGACAATATCGGAAGCTGTTCAGAGGGAAGGCCCCGCGGTGTGGCGCTTGCCGGCCTGCTGCTCGAATAGGGTGCTGTATATTGTCTCCATAAAGTCTCGCCTAGCCAAGATGCTTCCATTGTACCCAAAGAGCCCATTGAGCTGTCTCATCTTGCGCGCTATCAGCATCTGCTCTAACCACCGTCTTGCCTCCAGCCACCTGATCTAAAGCGAAGTATCGATTATGTACAGACCGCAGCGACCCCTAATACTGCATGCGTGACGCTTCCGAATCCTGATGATTCATACCTTATCGTGGCTGTTGCTCACTCATGAGCGGAATGTTGTCGAGATCGTAGGAGCGGGCAAGATGATGAGCTCGGACTCGGAGCAAGGCAAGGCGACGATCGATCGACGTAAAGCAACTGAAACCGTTTCGCGTGTCCTCTCCTGCCTTCCGACTTGCTCTCACCGTGTGTGCCAGCTAGACTGCCAAACGCAATCGCAATGGGCAAGGAGAGGAGGAGAGGAGGAGAGGAAGATGGCAGTGGGCAGGCTGGAAGGGGAAAGGGGCGAACGGCAGGAAAGTTCCCATGCCAGGGCGTTCTCCGAGCTGCATTTCGCGTCACCCTTTGGAGACAGGAGGCGAGGCGAGACGCGTCGCGTCGCGTAAAGTGCTGTCCCGGAACGTTTTCAAGTTTCGCACTATCCACGCTACTCAGCAGGCCAAAATGGCAGAGAGAGTTTTAGAGTTCCAAACGCGTCGACGCGAAAGATGGAGGAACAGAAGCGAGTCGGACGCGTAAAGTGCAACGTTTGCTATGCATGTCTCACTCTGACTTGCACCTTTTCACAGCTGTTTTGCATCTTTTCGCGCACACACCACGTTTGGGGTTTTACAACCGACATGATCAGTTCCTGTCGTTTCTGTCGGTGTCTGTAATGTTGGAAGCTGAAGGATGCGCGACATCGCCAGCGGCTGCAGGTTGCAATTTCAACATCTGTACGTTTGCCTTTTCCGTTTGCGCCTTGTGCTTTCCCCTTGCTTTCTGTGGGTGTCGAGAGTTTTTCTTCTTACTCACTTTCTTCTTACTCACTGCCCTTCAGTCACACACATTCTCGGCTGGACCTGATGCGAGCAGTACAGTCGCTCGCGATCCCGCTACGCAACTTGCAACGCTTGTGTAGCATCAAAAAGATGCAAAATGAAGCCGCAAACTTGCAGACGGCAAACCCAGCGGAGTCTGTGAGAAGCAAATGTCGATGGGAAAAAAAAAAAAAGAGGCCTCGGTCGGGTTGGCGGCTTTTCGTTTTTCGAGGTCTCTGCAAATCCCTGGCTCGCTTGCAAATTGGTGTGGATGCGGGGGAAAGCCTTCTTTTGGGCTCAAAACTGAATTTGGCAATTTTGCGTGAGAGAGAACCGTGCCCACCATGGCCAAGGAGAAATCGTCCGATCGCTTCGCTGGTTCCTCTCGCCTGCTATCAATCTATCGCTTGTCTCTAAGTCTGCCCTGTCTGATTGCGGCCTTCCGCCTCTTGACCTCTTGGCCTCTTGGCCTCTTGCTCGGGTGCTGTTCCTGCCGCTAACTGCCTCCAACGTCGGAGCTCGCTTTAGACTTATCTCTCACACTGTAACGCTGTCTCTCTCGATTGCCATCACTGCATCATTCCCCTTGTCTGCATCATCTCCTCCTCCTCGCTCCACTCATCTGCTATTGCCGCTGTCAAGGTTCAACGTCTACACTCTTGCCTTGTGCCTGTCTCTTGGACCCATCGGTAGTCGGAGTGTGTGTGTGGGCTTCGTTCGTTCCTTCGCCGCACGCCTGTCTGCAGACTGCCTGCATTTGAGCCACCTCCTCTTTCCCTCACTGGAAGCTGAGTTGCATTGCATCCATCTATCACCTTGCCCTTCGCATTCCATTGTCTCTCGATATCGCCTTGGCTTTTTCTCACTGCCATCATCACCAACTCTTCCACCCTCACCACAACAACGATCGTCATCGTCGCCTTTCCCAACACCATCCCTCACTCCCAATCTGTGTCTCGGCCATAGCATTAGACGTTGAGTCTCGGCTTGCTTCCACCTCGAGGACTCTATCTCAGCTGTTCACCTCTTGACAAGGTTACATTCATCAACAGTGCAGCTTCTTCCCACATTCTCTTGCTCCTCTCAACATTAGCAACCACAGCGAGTCTCAACAAAGGTCCTCGCTCGGCTCGCTCATCTCCAACTGCAGCAGCGACACAATCACCGCAGCATCCAACATTTTGCACACGATCGCATTCGATCAGAATTATCCACCATCGGCCCGATAAGCTCCCGGTATAGTTGCAAAAGCATCCATTCATACGAAAGCATACGCAAGCATACGCAAGCATACGCTTTCGCACACGCAAAAGAGTGTTCTATATTTCTCCCTGACGCAGTGCATCGGCATTGCCGATTCGAAATCGCACCGCACCGCCACCGCATCACAGCACATCACATCACATCACATCGCCATCTGCAGTCATCCATTTTTTTCCACCCCCCCCCCCCTAAGTCGCAAAATCCCGGTGCAATCCAACTCTGCCCGGCCCAATCCTATTGCACTTGTGCGCGCGGCCTGATAACACTGTTGTCACCTTGGATTTGCTTTGCTTCTCTATCGTCACAAGGTCACAACTTTCCTGTCCTTTCCTTTTCTTTTCTTTTCTTTTCTTTTCTTTTTGTTCGGCTCTTCCGATTTGCTTTGTTGCCCTGCGCAGACTCACTTTTTAGGCTGAGCTTCGAGCATTGAATTAGACGGAACAAGTTCTTGTCAAGGCTTTCTAATCATCACCGCTGGTCGTTGGTTTCGCCTTTGTCTTTCTTTGTTCTCTGCATGAGGAGGGATTGTTCAGGTAAGTGCAGGTCTATTCCAGTCTCGCCTTTGTTTCTCCTGGCTGGCTTTTGCTGCATCCATGCCCCGTCTCGTCTTCGGTTCACTGTCCCCACCGCCTCTCTCTCCATTTCATTTAGGTCCCTGTCGCTAACATCTACCCTCTTTTATCTTTGCTCTTCTTCGCCATCATCATCATCTTACATCTCGCTTGCTTGTCGTTACGGCGCATACTATCGTCCTATCGCGCTGCTGTTCTGGACTCGATGTTGCGATTGCCACCATGCCTCGATCCAACCCTCATCTCGACCTTCCCTTGCCAACACCGGTATCACACTTGCCCCTCGCAGCAGAGCCTTTCCCACTGCCTCTCACCTGTCTTGACAGCATGACAAGCGCTCTTTCGCCCTCGATGGTCAACAATCAGGTGCCCTTTGCAGATGCCGGTCATCTCAAACCTGGTCATCGTCTTTCCCAGTCTCGCACTTCTTCTCCCTCACCTCAAAAGAAGCTGCGCAAATCTTCAGCCTTCTCTACCTCCACGCCTGCACCGGCATCGTCGCCGCTCAAGAAGCGTAGGAGCTCCTTTAAGCGCACCTCCAGCACAGCAAGCATTATGGATGCCGTCATGAGTTCGAGAGCAGCTACCGATCACGACTCGGTCTCTGCACACCGCTCCAGCCTCCCTCTCTTGTCGTATTGCGCAATCGACTACAGCCCTTCTTCTCCTTTCGCTTCGTCATCGCAGACCACTCTTGCTGATCTCGAAACCCAAGATGCTGCCAAGGTGCTTTCCACTCCTCGTCGCGGTAAGCGAGTAGGTGGTGTCGACATGGGCTGGCAGTCACCCATCACCGGCGACCAGACGCCTACTGTTGCCTCTGTAGCTGCTGCTTCCACCGCTGGCCCTCACACACTGCCAAGAGCAGCACGATCCTCCCGAACGCTCAACAGCGCTGCCCTCGCCGCTTCTCCGAGCAGGCGCAAAGCCTCCACTGTCTTCGCATCTGAACTGCGTCAATCGCAATGCAGTCTTGTCGACACTGCTGGTTGGGCCTCGGCAGCTATGATCAGCTCGGTCCCTCTCTCGCAAGTTCCAATCCAAAGCTCGCCTTGCTTCATCCCCGAGCCAGTCATCACTGCTCTCACCACCGCCGAGACACGAGACCCTCTGTCTGCATTCATCCTCGACTCTTCTCCCATCGTCAGCCAGAGCGCCAAGCTCGTACCTGTCGAGGTAAAAGGCCTCGGCCGTGTTGCGGTCCACCCCGACTTTGCGCAACAGATCTCGGATCACCCTCCAACACCAAGTCAGTTTGCGTCTGGACGATTCTCCTTGTCGTCTGACCGTGATACTATGCTGCTCCGAGGGTCCTACTTCGAAGATTCGGCTGCTCGCAGCGAAAATGGCTCTTCCACAGATCCCACGTCGGCAGGTACTCCTTGCCCATCTGGCGTCTCGCCAAGCTTCTCGCTCTCTTCGCAGTTCCCTGCTTCCGAACCCGCCTCGCCCGTCAAGAAGATGTCAGCATCAACAACACGCCACTCTGATGATATTGGCGCTGAAGCACAAAAGGCATTGATGGCTCTCATGCAGATCGACCCCACCCAAGTTCAGAAGCAGCAGCAAGACAAGCTCTACCGTCCGCGTCTCGGCGGAAGCACCGACTCCCGTGCCCACTTGCCGACACTTGACTGGCCTGACTGCCCTAGCGGTCCCTGGTCTGCTGCTGGTCGACACATTGATGAGATCAAGCAGAAGCGTCGTCAAGGTATCCAACGCTGGCTCCAAGCTGACTCGAGCGACGAGACCGATCTCGAAGCCAAGGAGGCATTCGATGCTGCTTTCCGTCACCACCCTATGGTGGCAAAAGCATTGCTCGACCGTGCACGCAAGCAACAGCGTGCTCAGCGGTCGGCTGCTGCTGCCAGCGCACAGACGCTTTCCAGACGCGGTCGCAAGTCGAAGAATCAACCCTTGCGCGTAGGTGAAACACCTTCCAAGCGACGTGGACGCAAACCCAAGCTACTTGCCTCGGTCACCACAGCCACCTCTTCTCGCAAGTCGGTCGCGACAGGCGCCTCATCGGTACGATCCAACACCAGCGCCATCTTTGGCTGCAAGTGCGGCATCGACGATGACTCGATCATCATGGTCCAGTGCGACGGATGCAGGCGATGGCTTCACCTGCCTTGTGTTGGCGTCAACACTGTGAACGACCTCGATGACGAATGGTACTGCGACGACTGCTGCCAAGCTGCTCTCACTGGGCACCTCTCGCCTGCATCGTCGATGCTTGCCTCTGTCTCATCGTACGCTCACCTCAGCACGCCCGATGCGCTCCAAGCGGTGATTGCGGGCCAGGAGCCCGTCTTCACTTTGCCGAGCGGCACACCCATCCATCGCCACGGCGTTGCAGTGTCGTCCTCGATCGCGTTGGCGCCCAGTCCTCCCTTGTTGTCGGTCGGTGACCGCGGTGGACGAAGCACCGTCAAGCGTCAAGGTCAGGGTCGATCGCGTGCCGAGCGTGTTGGCTGGAGGATGAACGAGCCTGGTTCGCCCCTTGCACGCAAGAGCACCACCGCTTCTTCGGGTGTACGACCAGCTGTGCTCGAGACTCCCAGCAAATCGAGCGAAGCAGCCACCGACTTTACCGATGCAAGCACCACTCCAAGCCTGCTCGCCGGCTTCTCTCGTGCCGACTGGGAGCCTACTCGTGCAAGCAAGAGGTCAGAGCGTCAGACCACACCACCTCGCATGGTCGGGATGAGCACCCCCAGCCGTCACGCATCGGGACGCAAACCCAGCCATTCCGGCCCGCTCTCCTTGGGACTGGGAGACGACGAAGCAGTCCACGCCGACGTCTTCTCCACTCCCTCCCGCCTCGCTTCTGGCGGATCCTGGGCTTACCGCACTGGCGCAACCCAACCTTTGGGCAGCCAGACACCCTCTCGCTCCGGTGGTCGTCACCAACGCATCGACTCCTTCAGCGGTGGACTTCTCTCCACCCCTGGACGAGACTTTTTGTCTGGAGCATTCGGCACCGAACCATCCACCAGCATGCCCAGTCTGGTCTGCAGCTCCGGCTATGTCGACAGCAGTTTCGCCGATGACGATACCTTCTCCAGTCGAGCATGGCAACTTCAATCCCCCACTTCGAGCACACGTGCTGCACGAGCACGTCAACCATCCGGATTTGGCACTCCTTGGTCTTCCTCCCTCCTCAAAACACCCGAGTTGCAACCTCGTCAGCCGAATACGTCGTCGATGCGAGGTGGAAGCGATGGCTTCCCTCCTTCTTCCTCTCCCTTCCCTAGGACACCCACTTTCGATATGAGCAGTCCAAGGTTCCTCAACCACCACCATTACGGCGGTGCTGGCTCGACGCATGAGAGACAGCCTTCTCATTTGGGATTGGGTTTGCCTTCCGGTTCGAACAGCGCTAGGTTGCATAAGGCGCTCGGTGCGGTGAATGCAGCAGGCGGGAGAGATGATAGGTCGTTGTCGATTTCAAGTGCTGGTGGTGGCAAACACCGTCAGGTTTCGACCGAGGTGTCGATGGGGTTGGGAATTGGGTTGGACTTGGATGATGTTTTGGATTGGTCTTAAGACCTTGCTTGTAGTGTTGTTTATTCTTCGTATGGCTTGATAAGCCATTCCTTTTTGGTATTTCCTTTCTTCAATCGTAGTCGCATGTTTATTCGATACAGTACTTTGCTGCTGTGTTTGTGTGTGTGATACTTAGCTGACCAAGCTTGTGTGAGTTGCCTAGTGTGTGGGGTTGAGGTGTGGTCAAGCGAGGTCGCCCGAGATGCGTGCGGAACTCGGATAGAAGAAAAGTTCAGGGTCCTTGTGGAGGCAAATTGACACTTTCCACCTTGGACACCTACCATTCCTTCAACCAACACTTACACCTGCGCACGCAGCTCGACCTACCATCAGCAATGCATCCCTGACTGCGGCTCGCCCCACAATACATATGGACGCCTCGACCACACCAAGTGGGTCAGACCCACGCCAACTCAGGCGAGAATTCCAAACTTTCGCCGAAGGCACCCGACGATTCTCCTCACCCGAAGAAGTTCTGCAGACCTACATCACCCCTCTAGCTCGCATCTTTCCGGCTGAGTCACTCCCACCATTTCTCCGACCCCACATTCCCAATGCTACCACTTCACCATCCTCACAAAGCGCAAATGGCGTCCAAGTGGACCCGCTATTGGTCGAATCAATCCAAACATCGCTGCTGTCGCGTATTGTCGTCGATTGGTCAGTGTCCCTCGCTCCACAGACTCTGCAAGATTTGGCGGGATTATGGTTCTTCGGTCCCCCCTCCCTTCCCTCCTCCTCGCCGGCAGAGGTGGCACGGGGTAAAGTGCAGCAAAGTGCCCTACGAACCCTGACAAAACACCTCTCCGCCTCCACCTCCTCAAGCTCCACAGTTCACCCAACATCCCGGCAAAGCATCGTCCAACTCTGCATTGATACTCTCGACCGAATTTCTCTCCCCTCTCTCATCAGCTCTATCTCTAAGGGTGAGAGAAATAAGGCAAGGGCAGAAGTGGCATGGACTGAAACCCTCCGCTTGCTTAGCTCGCTGCCGGATAGACTGGCGAACTTCACTCAGGGTGATCTGCCTCCCACGTTCAGCTCTTCATTGTGGATCGAGAGGGTATTCGTCTCTGGTATAGCCGCAACACTTGCAAAAATTCTAAAAGAGGGAGAGTTGAGATTGTTGAAAGATGTATTGAACAGGCTTGACAAGATGGGCTACCTCACACAGCCAGTTGACGTTGAAGGGAGGGGATTCTGGCCTGCTCTTCTCCCTCACCAAAACATTGCCGCACAGTGGCCTGAGCTCAGGGCTAGACTTGGTGCCGGATTGAGGTTGAAGTTGGATAGAGCACTTGTTGAGACTCTACAATACACCATCACTCTCAGAAAAGGGCTGCCGACGGGTCTAGTTACGGCAGTGGAGAGGAATAAGCCGGGGAGTGAAGGGGTTGTTTTCCTTTCGAAGGGTGCTCAAGAGGTTGTTGGTGCCGTTCCGCTTGTTCTCGCTGCTTTTTTGAAACCTCGTACCTCTTCTGAGGACGAGTCAGAGTCGGATTCAGACAGCAGCCCAGATCAGAGGATTGTATCAACATTCGAAAGAATCGCCCTACCCACCCCACTCTCCCCTCTTTTAGGTTGGGGGTGGACCACCTACCTTTCCTCCACCCTTTCTCCTTCCCACCTCATCTCTTGCCTCCGTACAACACTCGAACGTTGGTCAGACGCAACACGAATCTCGCGCTCACTGAGAGAAGAAGAAGTCTATCTCACAACTCTGATTGTCACCCTCCTCGCCTCAACTTCATCCCAACAAGCGGAGCAGGAGCTAGGCGAACTGTCAAGGTGCCCCACGCTACTGGATGGCGTATCATCGCATCTCTCGCACTCAGACCCACTATTTAGAAGGATGGGAATGTTAGTTGCTGAACTGATCAGTGCTGCGACGCAGCGAAACAATGGGGAGGAGGAAGGGGGGAATAAGATGCTGAATTTCGGCTCTCGAGTGTGGAATGGGAGAGGGGAGGGCAGGGAGGAGGCTAGAGTTTTGAGGGGGTTGGTTGATGGTTGGGCCCATCACTCCGAAGCGATCACTGACATTGTAAAGGGTTGGAAAGTGGAGGGTGTTGCAGCGGCAATCCGTGCTTTGAGTTTAGGGCTGGATACAAGCTCAAAGACGGCAGAGAGGGAGAAAGAGCTGGTAAGAGAAGTGAAAAAGAGAGAAAAGGCCAAGGTCACAAGGCTTCCAAGAAGGGTTAATCCACCACCCCACACTAAGGCTAGGGCGTTGATAACGATGATCGACTCAGACAACGAGCCTCTCCCAGCGGAGAAAGAAGGAAGTGGGGGCCCGCTAAAGATGTTCTCCCGCCTCCAAACCACTTGTACTCGGTCAAGATCTGATTCTTCCGCATCAAACCCTTCCTCCTCAGACGAGTCCGACAGCGATACCCCGCCCGAGTCTTCCGAGACCGAAATTCAACGCCTCGCAGCCTCACTCTCCGGCCTATCCCCTTCGGAAGCACAACACCATCTCTCCTCTCATCCCTCTTCCTCGCCTTTCCCCCCTCCTAAACAGAAACAACCCCGCACCAAATCTAGCATAACCGACCTGGACGCCGACACGGAATCCCACGCTCCTCAATTCCAAAAGAAAACAGCGACTCCAGTGTATATCTCGCAACTTGCCCCACTCCTCAAGTCTTCTTCCCGATCTTCCATTCGCACGGCACTCGGCCACGCTGCGCGACTCATCCGTCTCAAATCCTCAACCGCGCATTTTGGTGGGGAGGTGAGGGAAAACGCAATTGATCTAACCCTATCCCTTGTTGCGTTGCATGATAACTTCGGTATCAAACGATTTGAACGATTGAGAAGGGAAGCGTTGGTGGAGTTAGCAAAGGCGGAAGCGGGGGTTGTGGTGGCAGTGTTGAGTGAGCAAGTGTTTGGGAGTCAGTATTCGGGGGTTCAACGAGGGGCGATGTTGGGTGCGATTGTCGAAAGTGCACTGACTCTGTCGGGAAACGGGGGGCAGATGGGGGAGGGAGAGGTGGGTAGGAGAGCGGATAAAGTTGTGGAAGGGGTGATTAGGGATGCTAGGAAGGTTGGGGAGGAGAAAGTTGCTGCTATTCGTCGTCAGCGAAATCTTGAAATCCATCCTTCGCACAGCACTCGGGGAAAAGGTTTGATTCAGCCTCACAACCCGACCTGGATCACATCACCATCTCCAGCCGAGGTGAGGGGGAAAGAAGAACAATGGACCGCAATAGCAGGCCCAATCTACTTGTTCCCGCTCCTAAACCGATTCTTAGCATACACAGCACACCACCAAACACGGACTACCTTCGGAGCGGGAGTGGGGGCTCTGTTTCAACCGGAAACCAAATCCCTTCTGCTCGACACTCTGACAATTCTTCTACCCCTCCTAACCGGCAACGCAACGACGCTTGTCGACGCTACAAGGCCGTTGGTTGAAATTCTATCCATCCTCTTAACCCCTCTCGACGGAAGAGTAGGGGAAGGGGTGGGTGTGGATAAAGCCTCAGCACTCAACCTCCTATCTGTGCTGCTTGATTCGCATCTCGAGTTGGACGCAGGCGAATCTCTCGTTCGGGACCAAGAGTTGGTTCGTGGGTTGAGGGGGCTGTTGGGGTCCGTGCAGGAGTTGTTTTTGGATTTGCAGAATCAAGCCGGCACTGGAGGTGGGGGAGGGGTGAGAGGAAAAGTGTTGTCGAGATGCGCAACCATTTTGCTTTTGATGGATGAATTAGATCGCCGTCGACAAGAGGCGCTTAGGGTTGCACTTGGTTTTACCGTGCCCTCGAACTGAGACTCACTTTCGCAATGCAGTGGGAAATGACGACCTTTTTCCGTCTGGATCCTGTGAAGAATGCGTCTCACACCTCGCCCTTCTTTTGTGCGATTGGTGAAGAATCAAGCATCGAGTGAAGGAGGACAAATAAATTTGCATGATGAGAAAGAACCAAACCAAACCGAAACCCCGAAACCTGCCCACGCCGGGATCTCTTCACTTCTTCTTCTTCTTGCCCGCTCCACCAGCCGCACCGACAGCCGGAGTGCCCGCTCGACTACTACCAGCATTACTACCTGTATCCAACGCCTTCCTCTTGCCTCCTCCACCACCTTTTCCATTCGCGGCCTTCTCCTCTTCCTCCTCCTTCAAGACCAACAATGTCAGCGTGTTACACCTTCTTCCCAACTCCTGCGGAGTTCTACTCTTTATGAACCAATCGAACCTAAACCCGGGATACACCATAACATCCTTCTTGATCCTGTCATACGTATCTCCCTCTCCTAAGCCATATTCGGCTAATTTTACCAGCAAAAACCTATCCTCCTCCTCGCTGTAGGATCTGCCTTTGTTCTGGCCGTAATGCAATTTCAGCTGAAGCAGAGGTTGACGGTATGAAGAGACTTTGCGCCGAATGATCTGTTCTTGATGTTGTTGTTTGGCCAGTTTTTGTTCTCCTTCTTCGATTCGAGCGATCAACTTGGCGCTATCGGCCAACTCGTCGATTCTGTCCCAGAAGACTTTGCTGTACTCCCGAACTTGTTTCTCCGTCTTAGACGCATCGGGCATGTCCGCAGCAATAAGTGCAAACGCTTTCCTTCCGTACCTCTCACAACCTCGAACAAAGATCTGGAATTCACGTCGGTTCCAATTTGCAAACCCTTGTTGCGCTAGGTGCTCCTTCTCTTCCACTTGCTCCTCCGTCAATGCTTCTGCAGTATCGATGAATTCTTGCTCCCTCTTCCTCTCCTCTTCCACCTCTTCGCTCGTCTCCCCCTCTCCCGGCTCCCTACTTGGAACCTTGTAGCCGATGGATCGCTGATAAGCGGCAGTTTCTCTCTCCTGCAGTTCCGTCAATCTCTCCGGATAGAACTGGAAATCATTGATATTAATCTGCTTAGGCGCCCTTGGAGCCCTCGCCACCGCCGGTTTCGGACCCACCCTCATCGCATCTCTATAGTAGTTATCAATACTATAATTCGCCTTCCTCTCCCTCTTACTCGGTTCGATCCACAACTGTCCGATCGGTTTCCTCTCCGAAAAATCGTTCCCTTCCCAATTGTAAACCGTATCGCTCTTAAAGTTGTTCAAATCGTCCAGATTCAACCCTTGATATTTCGCCTGAATCGCCTGCGTCCGCTCCTCACCCTTGCTGATGATCGCATCGATATCGTCGTTGATCGACATGTCCTCTTTCGAGGAAATAATCTTTTCGGCTCCGTGTTGGATCATGTCCACAAGATCTTCTTTCGATTGGGCGGATTTGGCCGCTTGTTGGGCACGACCTTGTTGGATTACGAGTTGATCCAAGCGGAGTTTCTGGGCAGCTCGATCGAGGATTCGTTCTTCAATGGCGTGTTCGGTGACGAAACGGAAGACGTAGACTTGTTTGGTTTGGCCGATGCGGTGGGCTCGGTCCATGGCTTGGAGATCGGCTTGCGGGTTCCAATCCGAGTCGAAGAGGACGACAATGTCGGCGGTTGTGAGGTTGATTCCGAGACCACCAGCACGGGTTGTTAGGAGGAAGATGAATTTTTCGCTATCGGGTTGGTTGTAATCGTCGATAGCCGCAATCCTATCCTCGTGTGCAGTGCCTCCGTCAATTCGACAATATTGATACTCTCTGAATAGACAGTAGTCTTCGAGGATATCCAACATCCTACTCATCTGACTGAAAATCAAAACCCTGGAACCCTTCTCTTTCATCTTGCGCAACAACCTGTCCAAAATCACCATCTTACCCGAATTATCCACCAGATGCTCATCCGTAGTAAAAGGCGGTCCAGGTTCTGCTCCATCGAACAAATACGGATGGTTACAACATTTCCTCAACTGCATAACAATGTTCAATAATCTCGTCTTGCCTTGCTTCCTCCCAACACCACCGTTGACTGCATCGATATCCTTCTCGAGGATACTTTTGTACCATCTACGCTGCATATCCGTCAAGCCTACGAAAATGTTGATCTCCTTCTTGGGCAAAAGTGATTTCTCCACATCCGCCTTGACCCTTCGCAACAAGAACGGTCTGAGCACCTTGTGCAACTGCTGAACCACCTGATCCTGATTCTCATCCCCTTTACCCTTAAACCAAGTCTCGAAGTCTTCCGAATTGCTAAACACATCCGGCAACAAAAAGTTGAGCAACGACCACAACTCCATCAAATTATTCTGCAGTGGCGTACCTGTGATGAGCAGACGCGAACGGGAGTTGAAAGCTCGTACGATCTGCGACAGGATCGAATCGACGTTCTTGATACGATGCGCCTCATCAATCACGATGTACTCCCAGGAGAGTTTCTTGAGTGCGCTTTTCTCGCGAAGACACATCTCGTAGGTGGTGATGAGAACGTCAAAGTCTCCAGACAAGAGGTGGTTTTGGATGACTTGTCCGCGTTCTTCTTTTGCGCCTTTGAGAGTGACGACGTTGAAGCCGGGAACCCAGCGTTGGAATTCTCGATACCAGTTGTCGAGGGTCGATTTGGGTACTACGACCAAGTGGAACCCGGGAGTGTCGCGCAAGTCGCGCAAGTATCCAAGGAAGGAGATGGTTTGAAGCGTCTTGCCCAACCCCATTTCATCGGCTAGGATACCATTAATACCGTTATGGTAGAGCGAGATCATCCAGTTCAGACCTTGAATCTGGTAGTCTCGCATGGTACCACCCTTGACATAGGAAGGCGATTCGTTAAACACGAAAGCCTCTTGCTCATCTCCACCTTGCTTGAGCAACTCCTCATCTTCCTCCTTCTCGGTCTTTCGGCGACGGTTGTCCGCGCCCTTGTTCGCCTTCTTAGAGCTGGCTTGCTGCGACTCATCCAGCATCTTGGCAAATTCTTCATCGCGTTCCTTTTTGATATCGATGAAATGCTGGAACAGCTCCGTCTGACCGAGGAGGTAAGAGAAACGCTTCATGCTATCGGCGAGCTTGGATTTGGCCATCTCCTCACGCGTGCTAGCGAGAGTTTCGTTCTGTGCGGCTTTGACAGCTCTCTCCTGCTGACGTGCAGCAGCACGCTCGTTTTTCTCGCGCTCCTTTTCGAGCTGACGCGCTGTTTTGGAGGGAGAAGACATGGAAACGTCACCGTCATCATCGAGTGGGTCGGCATCTTGGTCATCGGAATCAGCATCGGTTTTCTTGGGGTTGTTGGGTGGGGTCTGTGCTCGTGAGACTGAGGCCGAGGCGGTGGGAGCACGGCTGAGATCGACAGAGTCGGGGATGTAGTCGGAAAGCTTATCCTCGTCTTCCCAATTTTTAGCGTCACGCATGGCTGGGGGAAGACCAGATGGCTTCAGACGGCCGTTGGAGCCGTTGGAGCCGTTGGGTGTGCTGGTCATCGTTGTGGCGGATGAGCGCGGGCTCGAATGTAAGGTAGTGTGAAGGGCTGTTGTCGGAGGTAGGACGAGCGACTATGGTGCGGGCGATTAGGGTCTGCTGCGATCAGAGACTGCGAAGGGACAGGCAAGGCTGAGCGGGTAGCGTGAGGGGGATGAGGGAAAGTGCTGCTTGATGACTTGGAGCTGAGAGTGGCAAGGGAGGCAGGGAGAGCGGAATGGGTGTGATGATATGGTAAGAAGTAGAGCAAATCGGACCAACGCGTTGTAGAAGAACCGCGCGTCAACAAGATTCGTAGCCGTGGGCAGGATCGGACGAATCGGCAATCTTGGCAAAGGTTGTAGAAGCGAAGGTGGTTGAGAGAAGGTGGTTGAGAGAAGGTGGTTGAGAGAAGGTCAAGGCTTTCCAGCAGTTGAGAAGCAGCAACAAATATGTGCAGACCCCAACGTCACACAAAGCGAGGAGAGAGCGAGAGAAATTCTTCCCGGCCGGCTGTGGAATTCGCAGCTGTCTATCAGTGCAAATCTACAGTCGCGTGGACGCGTCTTGGCGGCGGCATTCATCAACACGCTCCTCCAACTCAGCCTCAAAGCGAGCGGATCGAATTGACGCTAGCTAATGTCGCACGAGTAGCCATCATGAACAGGGCCCTGCTTGTGTTCAACTCATCCGGCTCTGGTTCAGTCGCCATGAATAGGACAAGCCTTTGCTCAGACGGTCACATATTCTGGTCATGAAACGCAGAAAAGGCTCCAAGGCCGGTCTATACATTTTGGTAGCATGCAATGGGAACAATGACAGACACCACTTGTTCTTCTCAAATCTACTACTTGGAAGACGACTCGGAAAGCTCGCGGTACTCAACGAGACGGAGCAAGTTCCTCTGGAGCATAGCAATGGTGGTCTTGCCGATAGCTGGCAGGTACATCGACGCACGTGTTCGCACATCAGGCTTGAAGTTCTTCTCGCTCGAAAAGTTGACGCAAACTGCACCAGGCTTGATCCACTCGGTTTCGACCTTGTAGTTGGCCGAAGGAACACCAGAGATGACGACGTCAGAAGCACGGATGCACTCCTCGGCAGTCATGTTGCAATTTCTAACAACGTGGTGTGGACGGAGTTGCGAGGCGGTGTTCTGAGCATGTGCCTTGTTGACAATCTCGGAACGAGCACGTCCTTGAGGTTGGATAGGACAAGAGGACTCGGCAGCAGCACGCTTGTTGAACTCCTGAATCGAGTCAATGTCGATCGAGTAGACCTTGGCACCGTCATTGGAGAGCAAAGCGGCGAGAGGACGACCCACCACCTCGGATCGATTGATGACGGTGATGGTCTTGCCGTACAGTCGGTCGCCATAGGGAAGCTCGCCGTCGTAAACACCGATGGCTTCGAGACACTTGACCATGGCCAAAGGCGTGCAGGGAAGGATCGACTTGGCCATACCAGGAGGCACCTGCTCGTCGTTGAGCGCCTCGCGGGTGGCACGTTCTTCGGGCAGCTCGCGTGTAGTGCCTGGAGCGTTGCCGAGCTTGGCGGGCGAGATCCATCGCACGTTGTGGTACATGTTCCAGCAGTAGCTGAAATGAAGTCCCTCAACGTCCTTGCGTGGGTCAACAATCTGCTGCAGGTAAGTATCCTGACGACCAAAGAAGATGGGGTAGTACACCATGATACCGTGCACCTTGTCATCGGCGTTGGCAGCAATGATGAGATCCTCGACGTCAGCTTCGAGGTCGAAGTCAGGCGCAGAGCCCTTGTGCTCCTCCTCGCTAACCTCGACCGAGTCGTCCCAGGTCTTCCAGATCTCAAACTCGACACCGACAGCTTGGCATGCTTTGCGCGTCCACTCGGCGTAGGCTACACTGGGTGGGCTTGGGGTAGCGAGGATACCGACGAGTTTGGGTCTCGACTTGCCCTCCTGGATGCGCTTCTGAATCGCCTCCTTGATAGCATCTTGGTAGGGAGCAGCGATACCGGAAGCCTGAACGAGCTTGCCAGGATTCTCAGCACTAGGCACCGAGTTGGGCTGGGAAGCATGTTGGGCGATGGGTTCAGACATGCTGCTTGCTACGCCGCGAAGAACGTCGTTGGGCCGGACCGGGGTGATAGCGTTGCCTTGACGGTCAAATGCGTGTGCGAGGTCGGAGGCCGAGAGCTGGTAGCTGCTGGGCTCGAAGTCGCAAATTGTGGCACGATGGAACGTGTCGAGGAGTGCGTTGAACTGGGCCTTGCGTTCGGAACGGACGTACCAAGACTCACGGAAGGTTCCTTTGCCTCGAAGACGAGGAGTCAGAGCAAGTGCCAAGGAGGAAGAGGTGGCAGTGGCGGGAGCCGAAGTAAAAGGTGGCCAAGGGCTTTCGGACGAGGACGTGGACGGAAGCAAAGACGGGCGAGCCAACTTGTCGAGAAGCGTGTTTAGATGGGAGAGGTCGGATCCGCTAAGGTCCGACTTGTGCGATTGTGCGCTGTGATGAGTCGACGAGTGGAAGGCCGCCGAGCTCAATCGGATCACTGGTGTGCCCTGTAGTGAAGATGCCGAAGATGTTGAGGCGGAAGATGCGAGACTTGGTGTGGTCCCACGAACTAAAGGCGGTTGCAGGAGTGAGGAGGAAGAAGAAGAAGGGGGAGGGAGGTCCGTGTGCTGCGTGTCAGTGATGAATGTTCTAGAGCAAGAGCAGGTTGGAAGAAGCAGAGATGGCATAGCTGGCATTGCAGCGGAACACGAAGCAACAGAAGGGAGCGCATAGATGGGGTCGATGTAAGACTGAACAACAATATCGATCGACAAAGCAGCGTCGAGAGCAAGAGTTGCGAGAAGATTGGATGCTGGTGATAGGTCTTGCTTTGTATGTCTTACAGCGAGCGCTCCTACAGTCGATGTTGCGTGCAAATTGCGAGAGGGGCCTGGCGCTACGAGCTGATGAAATGTGAGACGATGCGTTGCTTTGTTGGCGGTGGGCTGTTGCTAGTGCTGGACATGGTGGGCGGTTGTCGTCTCGGTGCTGAAGGGTGAAGACCAACACATAATCGGGGTAGGCTATGGCATTTGGTTGCGCTGCTGAACTTGCCTGCACTGCTATGCCGAGAACGCTTGGCTTGTCGTGATCATTGGAGGGAAAGGGGATCATCGGCAAGGCAAGGGGAAGGTTGTCCGTGGAAGCATTTGCAACTTACCTATTCCGTAGAAAGACGACGAGCTTGGGTGAGCTTTCGATGCTGCTGCTCGAAACGAGGAAGCCAAGCCAGCTCTGAGAGGTAGATGAGGCGGAATGATGGGCGAGAACAAGTGCGAAGAGGTCAGGAGAGTAGCAAGATGGGCTGAATGAAAACAAGAGCAACCAACACCACACAAAGCTGGCAACGCTTGCGCGTTGGTCACGTTCCCCTTCGCTCACCATTAAAAATTGTGCATGTGTTCATTCGCACAATAAGATTTAGATGTTTGATGGTACAGAGAGAATCACATAACTACATAGATGAAAGGACTACTATGAGCATTGGTCAGAAGTTTTACCAAAAAGGTCAGTAAAGTTGGCATGCCATTGTAACTGACTGATCACCATGTCAGCAAACTCTTCAAGAGCCTCTAAGCATGCCTCTTCCTTCAACTCCTCTTTGGAGCAGTTGTGAATGCCAAAATGCTCCACAAGCCCTTTAGCTGCTGTGGAGATTCTTTCCAGGGCAGCTTCTGCATCTGTTCCCTTGGCAATATCAATGCTTCTGTAAGCCAAATTGATATTGCTCTGCAAAGGCACTGGCCTTTGGGGTGAAGCTCTATAGCCCTGTGAAAGAGAGGGCCCTGGTCTCATTTGACTTGTTGCCAACCCAGCTTCAGCAGTGGTTCACTTGGAACTGCTCAGAGGATTGGAGGTGGTGGTGGTGGGTTGGCCTGCACCATGTTGGGCCACCTTGTATCCAGCTCCTCTTTTTGTGCCCTGGTTGTCAAACTTATTCCCACAGTGCACCCTTAGAATCTTGGGGGTGACACCAGTGAGATAGTCATTGAGACTTACCTTGTTGTATTGCAGGTGGCCAAAGACAGCTGAGCTGCCATAGACCATGACATTGGCAACTATGTGAGCCTTGCCCTGGCTCACAAGCCCATCCCACTTTGTGACTAGAGTCTGATCCAGCCAGAACTTGTGGTGACAGGGGGGATTTGACTTGCTGTTGCAAGGCTTGCACTTCACCTCATAGCTGCCAGAGTCAGCAGGCACACAGTCAATGCTGACCTGCAAGCAACTTTCACACAGCCCACAGTGCCTGGCAGCCAGAATCTTGCAAGCCCTGGCATGATTCTGAGTCTTCTTGAAGACATGTGTCAGGGGTCTCGCGCCTGAAACCCAGGTCAGTCTGTCGAGATACTTGGTGACTATCAAACTGTGCAACAGCTATTGTCTTGGTATCAGTCTCAACAAGCTATGTCACTCAGTGACTATCAAGTTGTGTGATGACAGTGGGTGGCATTTGTTGTATATACTATTGTAGGTTTCAGCTGACCTCTGTGGACACTCCATTCAGGGGTAGCTCAGCATGATCAATATCAATACATAGGTTATGATGACACCAAGGTCTGGTGTGAGTGTTGATGATGATGAGGTTGATGGTGTTGGTGATAAGGTTGGTGGCATCAACACAAGTGTCCAGTGTGTTGACTGATGCTTGAAGTGATCCCCAGACCACAGTGGACTACTGCCTTCAGTTCTATCTATATCCAGACTGCTGACCTGCTATGGGCCACCTTCAGACATCAGGTAGTGGTGATACAACACACACACTACAATGAGGAGCAACCTTGATAGATTGCTACTATGCTGACTGCAACTAATATATACTTATGCTGAAGTGATAACTAGTTATGGTGTGTAGAGTGGATGAGGATCCACTCGACCTTTGATGATGAGAAGGTATGGTTATATACCTCTTCACAGTGTCGCCAGCAATGCTGCCCCTGCTCTCTCTCCAGAGAGTACCTTCTTCATCGAGTACTGTACAGGGGGCCCCTCTAGCACCACTCCTGTCCTCCTTGAGCTATCCTGCTTGCTTGGCACCCCTGTGCCTCTTGAGCTGTATCAACTCCTTCGACACTGCTCCTCCTCCTCAGGACCTGCTTGCCAGTTTCCTATACACTGCTCCTTCTCCTTTGACCAGTGACAGTTCCTTTGACTCTTGTCTCTCGAGCCCCTGAGTGGTAACCCTCTGCATGCTCCTTGAGCTTGGTCCTCCTTGTGTCTGTGCCTGGCCCTCCTCACATATGGGCCCAGTCCTCCTTTGCATGTGAGTCCATAGGAGTCCATGGTCTCCATGGAGACTGCACTATGACCATGCTCACCACTGGTATTGACTAGATCTCCAATACCTGTGCTCCTTCCATATGAACCAGTGACCCTCCTGCTTCTTGAGCATTCAGGCCCATGACAACACGCATGCCTCCTACTTTCTTTGCTGTTGCCTTGACATGACCCAATTTGCTCTCCTCGCTTTCAGCTTTGCTCCCTGATGCCAAGGAAGCACTACCCTCACTTGTGTCATTGCTGCCTGATTCATATGACCAGTAATCACCCATTTCTCGAAATCTGATTCCAGCTTGCCTGCCTTTTGCCTCATTTGTGCTTCAGCTCGATCCAACTGTGGGAATAACAACTTCCACTACTGGTCATTGTGGATCACTTGATGGAGGAGGAGATGGAGATGGATCACATGAGGGAGGAGACAGAGATGGATCACACGAGGGATGAGGAGACAGAGATGGATCCCTCCAGGGAGGAGGAGACAGAAATGGATCCCTCCAGGGAGGAGGAGATGGAGATGGAGGCTCTACCATGTCTCGTGAGTAGGACATTGATGGCCCTTGAGAGGCACCTAGAGCATCGTGAGACTCTGCTGTGTGCATCATCCCTGCTTGAATAGGTACAAAAAGGTCCCCAGGTGGCATTTTGTCATACAGATCCGCATCGCTGTAGACCTCTTCTACTACCTTCCCTTCTGCATCTGGCTGCTGCAGCAGCTTCTCGACCTTGGCATGGTCCTCTTCCTGAGCCTTGCACAAACCCTTGGTCTTCAGCATTTCTCTAACATCATCCTGGTACCCCTGTTGAGTGTCATTACTCTCCTTAGTGCCAAAGTCAATGCCCCTCTCCACCTCAGGCTTGTCATCACTTGAGCCATCTCTGTACTCCATCAAATATTTTCTTGTGAGATCCAATGCAGCAAATCCAAGCCTCTTCGACTCCTTCTCTTGTGCTTCTGCCTCTTCATCTGTGTCCTTCTTCCAATATTCCAACTCTGCCTGCTTGTCATCATGCCATTCCTTCACAGCTGTAGGCCATGTTGGGTACCACCCCATCTCATCAGCCCTCTGCTTTCTGGTCTTCTTCTTCTGTGTTGGTGTGACATTTGAAGTGGTCGACTCAGCTGGTTTGAGAGAAGAGGTTATGGTGCTCGAGGTTGTGGCACTCGAGGTTGTGGCACTCAAGGTTGTGGTGCTCGAGGTTGTGGTGCTCCAGGTTGTGGCACTCAAGTGTGCAGCTGGTGCTGATGAGGTAGCAACGGGTGTTGTGAATGTAGCTGGCACCATAGAGGATGGGGTGGTGCATGTGTGTGAAATGGATGCCAAGGAAGTGGCAATCACAGATGCCTCTGGTATGACAGAGGAAAAAGTGGCAACTGGGATGGTTGATGCTGCTGCAGCCATGAGAGGAGGTGTTGCTGGACTCTCTGTGCTGAAGATGGACTCCCAATTAAGCTTAGTATGATGCCTGAACTTACAGTATCCTGAATGGCAATGTCCTATGAATGCTGCCTGCTGTAGAGTTTGAGGCTCCTTCAATTCTTGCATCTCCAACCAGTTTTCACTGTTGTTGCAGGCTTCAGCCAAGTACAATGCAATGTGGTCAGTGTGGATCATGAGATCACCTATGTGCTGGAGGTCATGTGCGATGTGTCATGGGCTTGGCGGCGCAGGAAGCGGGAAGACCCAACAGTTCATATGAAGGTAGCGCAGGAATCGAAGGATCGGGTGGATCGGTGGATTTACAGAAGAATTCAGCAGAATCGGTAGTAGACCCAGTTCTATGACAGATCTCATTGGGATCTGCACGAATGAACTTGATATCACAGATCTTACCAGAATCTGCAGTAAGTACGATAGTATGGCAGATTTCGTTGAGATCAGTGACAACAACATTTGTATGATGATTTCACATGTGAGAGGGACTACACTCGCAAGTGAGGAGGATCGAGCACTGCTGAGACAGGGACCGAGCTCACGAAGCATGCAGACGGTTACTGCTCAGGGGCTCAGGAGATATGCAGACAAGAGAACCATTGCCGGTTGAGGGAAGAGGAGCTGTGTGGCGGGCACCGGCGAACCAATCACAAGGAGGAGAAGCAGTGTCGATGGAGTTGATACAGCTCAGAAAAGACAGGAGCGATGAGGCATGGTGAGGGAGGAGTTTCAATGGAGACTCCTGCACAGTACTTGGCAGCGAAGGTACTCTCTGGAGGGAGAGTCGGAGCAGTGTCACTGGTGACACTGTGAAGAGGTATATAACCATACCTTCTCATCACAAATGGTCGAGTGGAGGGACATCCACTCTACTCACCATACAACTAGTCAATACTTTAGAAACATAAGTACTCATTAGTTTTCAAGTCAGCATAAGTTGCAATCAATAGATTGCTCCTCACCAAAGCGCATGTGTTGTATCACCGTTTCCTGACGTCCGAAGGTGGTTCATAGCAACTAGCGGTCCGGATAACAATAGGACTGAAGGCAGTCATCCACTGTGGTCCAGGGATCACCTCAAGCATAGTCGATGCACTGGACACTTGTGTCGACACCACCAATCCATATTCACACCAGACCTTTGGTGTCATCAGCAAGTTCACATAAGTTATTGATCATGCCGAGCTACCTCTGAATGGAGTGTCCGACAGTGGTCAGTCGAAATCTGCAATAGCCTCATCACAACTACAGATTTGAGCAAGAACAGTAATAGAGATGGCTCTACTACATATCTCGTGAAGAATCGCAATACCACAAGCACTGTTGCATAACTCGACAGAATCGGTAATAGTATTGATACAACTACCGATCTCAGGTTTCAGGCGTGCGACCTCTGACACGATGCTGGTTCAGCCTTCATTGGAACCTGTGCTCCTCCACTCATTGGAGAGGTCTTCGAGTTGTTGGAGGTAGTCATCTCTGACAGATGTGATGAACTCTTGAATCACTTTGACAGTTTCATAGTTTGCATTGATGTCCTGAGCGAGGATTGTAACCACTTTGGAGATCGTGTTGGGCTGGTATGCTTGAATGTTGGATGTGTTGATGATGTGAGCTACACCATTCTCATCTTTGACTTGAACCACCATCTTCATAAGCAGATTTGCCATGCTGGAGGCAGCTTGCAGGTAAACAGGAGGTGCAACAAGCAGATGGTGAGATGGAAGTGAGAGCAAGTGGTATGAAAGTGGGAAGAGAGAATGAAAGTATGAGAACATGAAGACAGATTATAAGCACTCAGCTGCCCAGCATGTTCTCACACATTCGACTGTTTTGAACCTGTGTTTGGACTGTGCCACATCAATGCCAGTAGCATATGGTGCACAAAAGCTCTTGACCTGGGTGAGTCATGAGAGATTGTCATTCAAATGAATGAAGGTCATGGGACCAATGTGCAAGTGACAGCTAGCGACAGCTGGCTCATCTCTGCACTGGTGACAGCTGGTTCATCTCTGCACTAGTGACAGCTGGTTCATCTCTGCACAAATGCCAGCTGGCTCATCTCTGTGCTGGTGACAGCTGGTTCATCTCTGCGCTAGCGACAGCTGGTTCATCTCTGTGCAAGTGCCACCTGGCTCATCTCTGTGCACCTTTCCCAATCAATCACAATGCACCAACCACAAAGCGACAAAGCAGATGAATGGATGTTGTCAATCCATGGTAGAAGCTCTGTGTGACCATAGACCACTATCATTGTGCAATGTCACCATGAATAGACAAGAATGAGGATTCCAATGCTTTTTGTGAGACTGAGGTTGATTTATGCAAACCTTCGAGCTTTTGGCACTTGTGGCACTTGAGTAGTGCTTCCAGCTGATTTGACTGGGTCAATTCAGATGCAATGCTTCACTGTAGGGTCCAATGGTGGCTCTTGAATGGCAAAAGTCAAAGTATGTGGTGCCATCATGATTTCAATTGCAAAAGAGTGTACCTCTCTTGAGCTGCCTTTTGTGCTACTGTTTTTGCCTCTTTTTGCCTTGCTTCTGTCTCCCCTCTCCTTGCTGAGTGTCACTGTGCACTTTGGCCACATAATGGAAGACATTCTGGATGGAAGGCTCCATGTGCTGCTCAATGGCCTTATGAAAGAAGCAGGTGATTGCCCAGCATTCTGCCACATCGCTGACTACAGCTTGATCTGAGAGGTGCTGAGTGGTTTTGTGGTACACTACATTGGAACGAAACAGCACAATATCTAGCGGCTGAAGTCCCAACTTGATATTGTAGTCAGGAAGCTTGAGTACAGCATGCTGGCCAAAGTTGAGAAGGATTGAGATGGCAGAGTCAGCCATGTCAGTGTGATCTTCAATGGTGAAGCCTCGAAATGGGACAAACGTCAAGTAGAGAGGATGGCAGAATTTGTCATAGCCAGCAACATGCTCTTTCACCCATGGATAGTGAATTGACTCTCATTGGTGAAGGATAGCTGCAAATTCATCACAAAGACCTGTCTTGATCTGGTTGCCAGCAACAAGCAGTGAGACATGCTTGGTAGTATAGCACTGTAGCCATTCAGAGAACTTGCTGACAGCCTCCCTTGCTGTGTTTGTGCCATTGTTTTGAAGGGTGTCTGCTGTGAGCTGGAGCCTTTGGTAAGCTTGATCATGCCAAACACTGAGGTGGAGCCATTTGAAGATGTGTGCATGCTGGGGATCCTTGCACAGAGTCTGGATAGGCATGCTTTCTTCATGTACAGTAGGCAGCAATTCAGGTAGGTCCAACGTTGGTTCAAGAGTGTGATTCTCAGCAGCTTCCTGCCAGGGCCAAGCTGGCTTAGCTACACATTGAGAGGTTGTCACCAGTGCTGGTGCTGCAAGTCACTTAGCTGCCCTGGAGGATTGAGCAGAAGCGCTTCTGTCTGACTTGCTAGGGGTATCCAAACCTGCATGGGTGGCAGAAGAAGGTGATGAATTGGTTCGAACAGTCTTGGACTTGCTGTTGCAGATGGTGTGCTTTGTGAGGTTCATCAGCATTTCCTATGGCAGCTTCTTCCTTCATGGCTTGGGCAGCATACTGCATGGGAGGCCCAAATCGCTGCAGAAACACTCCAGAAGCATCACAAAGGGTGATGTTGGCAGTGTACAGGCTGTCATGCCTATCTTGGTACTGTGTTGCACAGCGGCCAGAGAGATAGTGCAGTTTGGCAGAGCCATTACTTGAGTGCCTCTCTGTAAGCGGTCGCGTGCCAGAGACTTAGTTTTGGGGTGCTATTGAGTTTGATTGAGTAAGGTCTACTCAGTAAGTTTCACCTAAACATAACCAAACATTGCCACCTGGTAAGTCTCAACTGACTGCCTTGAACACTCCATTCAGAGGTTGCATGGCACAGACACTGGTCATTGGTGAGTGAGTGAAACACCCTCTCCTACAGTATGAGTGTTCATAGTACTGTTGATAATGCTCTTGGATGTCATCTGGACCACAATATGCTAATCACCTACAGAGGATGGGAGTTACTGGACTGCAGGTGTGATTCACCACCTACAATAACTGACTGGACCACAGGTGTTGAGCTACACTGCCTACAGCAAGGGACTGGACCACAAGTGTTGAAGAACACCACCTACAGTAAGGGACTGGACTGCTAGTGTTGAAGAACACTGCCTACAGTTGTTGACCAACAGTGATACAACACACATGTTGAGAGTTGTTGCAAGAGCACTGCTATTGCAATGGTACGTAACTGAGTAAGTAAAGTAGATAGAGTATGTAGTAAAGAGTGGATGGGGCTTGTCATGGGCCTGAATGCTCAAGAAGCAGGGGGGTCACTGGTGTCAGGGGTCTCGCGCCTGAAACCCAGGTCGGTCTGTCGAGATACTCGGTGACTATCAAACTGTGCAACAGCTATTGTCTCGGTATCGGTGACTATCAAGTTGTGCAGTGACAGCAGGTGGCGTTCATTGTATATACTATCATAGGTTTCGGCTGACCTCTGTGGACACTCCATTCAGGGGTAGCTCGGCATGATCAATATCGATGTTATGATGACACCAAGGTCTGGTGTGAGTGTTGATGATGATGAGGTTGATGGTGTTGGTGATGAGATTGGTGATGTCGATGATAATGAGGTTGATGGTGTTGGTGATAAGGTTGGTGGCGTCAACACAAGTGTCCAGTGTGTTGACTTGATGCTTGAAGTGATCCCCGGACCGCAGTGGACTACTGCCTTCGGTTCTATCTTGATCCGGACTGCTAACCTGCTATGGGCACCTTCGGACATCAGGTAGTGGTGATACAACACACACACTATGATGAGGAGCAACCTTGATAGATTGCTGCTATGCTGACTGAAACTAATGTATACTTATGCTGAAGTGATAACTAGTTATATGGTGAGTAGAGTGGATGAGGATCCACTCGACCTATCATGATGAGAAAGCATGGTTATATACCTCTACTCAGCATTGCCAGCGATGCTGCTCCTGCTCTCTCTCTCCAGAGAGTACCTTCTTCATCAAGTACTGCTCAGGGGCCTCTCCTGCTTGGCACCCCTGTGCCTCTTGAGCTGTGTCGACTCCTTCGACACTGCTCCTCCTCCTCATGACCTGATGTCAACTCCTTCGACACTGGTCCTCCTCCTCATGACCTGGTGTCGACTCCTTCGACACTGCTCCTCCTCCTCATGACCTGGTGTCGACTCCTTCGACACTGCTCCTCCTCCTTTGATCAGTGACAGTTCCTTTGGCTCTTGTCTCTCGAGCCCCTGAGTGGTAACCATCTGCATGCTCCTTGAGCTTGGTCCTCTTCGTGGCTGTGCCTGCTCCTTGAGCTTGGTCCTCCTCGTGGCTGTGCTTGGCCCTCCTTTGCATGTGAGTCCATAGGAGTCCATGGTCTCCATGGAGACTGCACTACAACCATGCTCTCTACTGATCTCGACTAGATCTTCAATACCTGTGCTCCTTCCATATGAACCCATGACCCTCCTGCTTCTTGAGCATCCAGGCCCATGACACTACCCCCCTCTTAAGAGCCGAGCTCCGTCGAGGCATGCTCTGGTCTGGTCCATGCTGACTCCTCCTCCTCCTCGACAACATCGCCAACATCATCCCTCCTCCTTCTCTCAATGTCATCCTCCTTCCTCTTCCTCTCTCTACTCCTCCTGTTCTCTCCTCCTTTCTCTACTTTGTCTACTCACTTGTCCCCCCTCCGACACCTCATACTCCTGGATGAGGTCGGGACAGTTGAGGTTCTCTACTGGTTCCCATGAAGCAGCTTCCTCTGAGTACCCTCTCCACAACACCTTGTACTCTGTAGTCCCATTGTGTGAACGCTTGTCGATGAGTGCTTCGACTTCGAAGTCGAGGTCCTCATCTGGAAGTGATGGTATGGTGGGTTGTTCAGCACGTTGAGGAAGAGAACTTGTTCTTGCTGGCTCGAGCATGGAGACATGGAACACATCATGCACCCTAAGGTTTGCTGGCAATGTGATTCGATAAGCTCGGCATCCTACCCGTTCCTGAACTGGGTAGGGTCCTGCAAACCAGGTATCTAACTTGGGTGTGGGTCTCCGTGTCTTCCAGTTTCGACGGTTGATATAGACCATATCACCCACCTTAAACTCGATGTCCTTGTGCTTCCTGTTATACTGGTCTACTGATCTCCGTTGTGCCTCTCTGATCTGCTCCTGGAGGTACTTGCAATGCTCCTTTCCATCCATGAGGTACTCGAAGTGACCTGGATCATTGACTCCTAGTCGTCGAGGGATGTCAGGATGAGCTTTGGGGTTCCATCCATAGCATGCAAAGAATGGTGAGACACCAATGCTGTTGTGGACCGTGTTGTTGTACACAAAGGCTGCAGTGTCCAGCAGGTTGACCCAGTCATCCTGCTCATAGTTGCAGTACATCCTGAGGTATTGCTCTATGACCTGATTGACCCTCTCTGTCTGACCATTGGTTTGAGGATGGTAAGCCGTGCTAAGTGAGTGCTTCACACCCATTTGCTCTGCAAATGCCTTCCATGCTCCTGATATGAACTGCCTGCCTCGGTCCAATACCATGTGATCTGGATATCCAAAGAGTCTAACCATGTGTCCATATAGCAATACTGCAGTCTGTTTGGCCGTGACTGTCTTATGGGTTGGAGCTAGTATGGCAAACTTGGTTAACCTGTCGACAATGACTAAGATAGAGTCATAGGTCTTGGAGTCATACTTCTTCGATGGTGGTAGTCCTTCGATGAAGTCGAGGGATATGGAGCCCCAGGGCCTGTCTGATGTTGCTAGTGGCTGTAGCAAACCATATGGACGATGACAAGGAGCTTTGTACCTAGCACATACAGGACAACTTGCTACATAGTCTGCAATCCAAGCTGTCCTGTTTGGCCACCAGTAATGTCATTGAGCTGCCTTGATGGTAGCATCTCTTCCTACATGTCCAGCAGTAATACCATCATGGCATTGGGTCATCACCATGAATCGCAGATGCTCTACAGAGAGAGACTGTCCATCTACCTCTTTGGCACTCCTTGAGTGTCAGTTGTTGGTCCTCCCTGGCATGATCACTTTGGGGATAACCAACCTTCCTCCACTGTACCATAGGTCATCCCTGACCTCGAAGGGCTTCTTCCTATGTATCTCCTGTAGCTCTTGGTCTAAGGGCTGGAAGATCTTGACCAGGTCTCTGAGACCTTTTGATGCTATGGACTCCATCGAGATCATGGGGGCCACTAGGAGCAAGTCATGGTCTGCTGTCTCCTTGAACACTTGAGGAGGCAGTAGTTGCCTCACATTGTGATCCTGCTCTTCACCAGCTGGTTGCATGTCAGTCCTTCTGGTGAGAGCATCGGGTTCACCACCTTTGTCTCCTGGTCGATACTGCAATATGAAGTCGAAGTCTGCTAGTAGTATGGCCCATCGAGCCTGTCGACCTGTGATGCATCTCTGTGACTTGAAGTACTTGAGGGCTTCATGGTCAGTGAGGATGACCAGTTGACTTGGTAGTCCAGCTAGCATGTGTCGCCACTGAGTAAGGCAGGCGACCACAGCTAGGAGCTCCTTGTCATGGATTTCATAGTTCTTCTTGGCAGAAGACATCTTCCTAGAGTAGAAGGCCACTGGATGCCATCATCCTTCATGCTCCTGCTTGAGTACTCCTGCTATAGCAAAGTCACTTGCATCAGTCTCCAACCTTGTTGGAAGGTGGTAGTCGAAGTGCTGAAGCACTCCTGCTGATGTGAATGCCTGGATGAGCTTGTGGAAGGCCTGTTGGGCCTCTTCTGGTAGCTCGAACTTCTTGAACTGTTCTATAGGCTTTACCAGTGATGTCAAGGGCTTGGCTATGTGAGCAAAGTGGGCTATGAACCTTCGATAGAAGTTGGCAAAACCCAGGAACCTTTGGATGTCATGGATTGACTCTGGCATTGGCCACTCCTTGACAGTGCGCACCTTTTCTGGGTCCATCTCTATGCCCGTCGGCTTGATGATGTACCCCAGGAACTCGACTGTCTTGGTGTGGAACTCACACTTCGACAGCTTAGCAAAGAGCCTGTTGCTCCTTAAGCGAGTGAGGACCTCGGTGACATGCTTCACATGTACCTCCTCAGTGTCACTGAAGATCAGGAAGTCATCTAAGTATACCACTACATATACTCCAATGATGTCTCGGAAGATGTCATTGATGAATGACTGGAAGTGAGCTGGAGCATTGGCTAGGCCAAAGGGCATCACTAGGTACTCATAGAGTCCCAACTTGGTGCAAAAAGCTGTCTTCCATTCATCCCCTTTAGCAATCCGGATGAGGTTGTATGCTGCTCTAAGGTCTAGCTTGGTATAGATCCTTGCCTTCCTGAGTAAGAACAGCTGCTCCTCGATGAGGGGCAATGGTGCCCTGTTCTTGACAGTGATCTCATTGAGACCTCTGTAGTCCACACAGAGTCTGAGACCTCCATCCTTCTTTGGTACGAAGAGCACTGGTGATCGTGCCGGGCTCTTCGATGGTCTTATGAACCCCTTCTCGAGGTTCTCATCCAAGTACCTCCTCAACTCGGACATCTCCTTGGGTCCCTTAAGGTATAGGGGCCCTTGAGGTGGCTTACCTCCTTCTATCAACTCGAGGTGGAGATCATGCTCGGTATGATGGGGCAGCTTGTCTGCTTCCACCTCATCAAACACATCTTGCAGGTGTTGGTATGGCTTTGGTATGTCTGCAGCTGTCACCACCTTGTCTATCTCCACCTCCATCTCGACTCCTTTGTCTGCGCCTGTAGGTACAAAACCAAAGGCCGGGAGTGATGATGGTGGCTCCTCCAACAGCATGAACCCTATGGGTCCATCTTCTAGAGCTGCTTGTAGTATGCGCTCTGCTGAGACAAACTCGTTACCATGAAGGGTTGGTCTCCTCATGGTTAGGTCCCCTGCTCTTGCTGCTTCAGGGGGTCTCCTTGGGGGTCGGTCCTGCTCCTGAGTCTTGAACTCCAGCTGGCCCGTATCCCATTGTATGGTGGGTTTGAGCCTCCGTAGCTCAGTGAACCCCAGGATGAGGTCATAGTCAGCAGTGTCGGCCACTGAAGCTTCGACCACACCCAGATTGTGTGTTCCAATAGATACCTGCATGCTCACAGAACTATTGATGGAGAGTTGGTGCCCGGTGACACCATGGATCGATCTTGTTTTTATGGGTTTTGTGGGTATTTGGTACTTACTAATGAAAGAATCTGAGACTATGGACAAACCAGCACCGGTATCAGCTAGTATCCGAGCAGGATGGTCTTGAACCATTCCAGAGAGCTCCAGTACTGCTTTGCCTCCACTGGTAGAGAAACATACTTGACAATCTTGATATATACAGAGTGATGGCGAGGAGGTTTGTAGAGCAATGCATGCCATCAGTGCATCACCCCACTGACATTTCCCTCATCGTTGTCATCATCGTGCTCCTCCTCCTCATGGTCGAGGTCCATGGGTTGCTGGTATGAGCTGAGGTCCATGGCCTTGGGGTCAGTCTCAGTGCTGCCTGTGTGGCCATCTCCTGAGTCAGTGGCCTCCTCGAAGGGGTCTGCTGTGGTGACCATGACCTTTGGTCCCATGGGTCGAGAGCTAAGAGGGTCTATCCTCCTGCTGGGGCAGTCTCTGGCCCAATGGCCGATACCCTTGCATACATGACAGGTGTTGATACCTGTTGGAGCAGGGCTTCCTTGCTTCGAGGTTTGGGTGGGATAATGAGGAAGGGGTCAGTTAGTTGGTCGGTTTAGGTTTTGTGTAGTTGCTTGTGTAGTTGCTTGTGCTGGTGATCGAGCTGGATAAGGTTGAGTGGGTTGACGTATGGGGATTGAACTTTGAATTGGCCGAGACCCAGTTCTTAGTGGAGGTGACATGGCGTTTGGGAGTGAGTGTCTAGCTGAGGACTGCTGTAGTAGCATCCTCTGTTGATCGATCTCCTCAACCTCTTGGTACCACTCCCATCTCTTCCCAGGTGGATTCCTCTCGAACTTCTCCTGTATGCTGTGAGTGAGACTTCCTCTGAAGAGATCAATCACTAGCTCGTTGTCATCTAGGTTGACCTGTCCCTCCAAGTCTCTGAACCGCTCTACATGATGTGTGGTGGCACCAGGAGCATCACTTGTGAGTCTGAGAGCCAACAGCTTGTTGTATGCCTCCATCCTAGCATTGCATGGGTTGAACTGTTCTGACAGTCGCTCTGTGAAGTAGTGCCAATCATTGAACAACCTTCCTTCTCTAGCTCTATCAATACAGAGCTTGGAGGTCCACCACTCTCTTGCTGTCCCTTCCAGTTGAGCACCCATGTGGTTGATCATCCTAGTCTGCTCATACACCTGGTTGAACTTAAACCATGCTTTGGCTTCTAGAATGAAGATCTCCATGTCTCAGGGATTGAACTTTGGGAAGGGGGTGGTGATGGGCTTTGACCGGTTAAGCTCTGCCATGATGCTGGTGTCCTCCTCATGGTCCAGGGGGTAAGGGTCCGTCCTGGTCCTGCTGTAGGGGTCCACCTTAGTCTTGACATATCTTGGCCCAGTAGGTGAAGCATACTTCTCATAGTTGACGTCCTCCTGCTCATCCAAGTTGAATGAGACTGATCGTCTTGGTCGTGGAGCTGGAGTAGGAGTATGTGGGTCTCCTATCATAGACTCATCTCCTCCTCCTGCTTGGTCTTCCGAGTGAGAGAGGTCCATTGTCTCCTCCCTACCCAGCTGAGCTCGTTGTAGTCGTTCCTCTCGATGACCCTGCCTAGTAAGCTCTAGCTGAGCTTCCAATAGAGTGAGTAGTCTATCGAGCTTATTGTTGAGGTCTGGGTCCGTCATGGTGATCATGAGGAGCTGCTTGAATGATCCACTCTAATGTCAGGGGTCTCGCGCCTGAAACCCAGGTCGGTCTGTCGAGATACTCAGTGACTATCAAACTGTGCAACAGCTATTGTCTCGGTATCGGTGACTATCAAGTTGTGCAGTGACAGCAGGTGGCGTTCATTGTATATACTATCATAGGTTTCGGCTGACCTCTGTGGACACTCCATTCAGGGGTAGCTCGGCATGATCAATATCGATGTTATGATGACACCAAGGTCTGGTGTGAGTGTTGATGATGATGAGGTTGATGGTGTTGGTGATGAGATTGGTGATGTCGATGATAATGAGGTTGATGGTGTTGGTGATAAGGTTGGTGGCGTCAACACGAGTGTCCAGTGTGTTGACTTGATGCTTGAAGTGATCCCCGGACTGCAGTGGACTACTGCCTTCGGTTCTATCTTGATCCGGACTGCTAACCTGCTATGGGCACCTTCGGACATCAGGTAGTGGTGATACAACACACACACTATGATGAGGAGCAACCTTGATAGATTGCTGCTATGCTGACTGAAACTAATGTATACTTATGCTGAAGTGATAACTAGTTATATGGTGAGTAGAGTGGATGAGGATCCACTCGACCTATGATGATGAGAAAGCATGGTTATATACCTCTACTCAGCATTGCCAGCGATGCTGCTCCTGCTCTCTCTCTCCAGAGAGTACCTTCTTCATCGAGTACTGCTCAGGGGCCTCTCCTGCTTGGCACCCCTGTGCCTCTTGAGCTGTGTCGACTCCTTCGACACTGCTCCTCCTCCTCATGACCTGATGTCAACTCCTTCGACACTGGTCCTCCTCCTCATGACCTGGTGTCGACTCCTTCGACACTGCTCCTCCTCCTCATGACCTGGTGTCGACTCCTTCGACACTGCTCCTCCTCCTTTGATCAGTGACAGTTCCTTTGGCTCTTGTCTCTCGAGCCTCTGAGTGGTAACCATCTGCATGCTCCTTGAGCTTGGTCCTCTTCGTGGCTGTGCCTGCTCCTTGAGCTTGGTCCTCCTCGTGGCTGTGCTTGGCCCTCCTTTGCATGTGAGTCCATAGGAGTCCATGGTCTCCATGGAGACTGCACTACAACCATGCTCTCTACTGATCTCGACTAGATCTTCAATACCTGTGCTCCTTCCATATGAACCCGTGACCCTCCTGCTTCTTGAGCATCCAGGCCCATGACACTATGGTAGCTTGAGAGTATTTATGTGTTTGATTGGTGTTGCCCATGACACCTATCCTGCTCCTCTTGAGGGGCCTTTGTCCCCTGTTTGACACTGTCTTGTCCTGCTGGCATCAATCCATTGATACTGCACCCCTACTGTTTGCATGGCATAAGGGTTATGCAACACTGCCCTCTCGCCTTCATGCTCTCCTTCTGCCTGATGATGTGTGATGCCCCCTTTCAACACAGCTCCTTCTTGACCTTGTCTTGTGAATCCCTTTAGCCTCTTGTTGAACCTCATGACCAAACCCCTTGGTCATGTGGTCACTTCGACACTCCTTCTCGACCTTATCTTGTGAATCCCTTTAGCCACTTGTTGAACCTCGTGACCAAACCCCTTGGTCATGTGGTCACTTCAACACAGCTCCTAGTACTTGCTCATATCAGCTGACTTGTTGAAGCATACTGATCTGGCTAATTCCAACTGATCCCCATGAGATTAATCTGGAACCCAGGGTTTGATTGATCTCATAATTCATATGCACTACCAGCCTGATTAATCTCGTTGATCCCCAATGGTTTGGTGCTGATCAATCTGGCACACCCTCCATATATTGATCTGTTGTGCACCCTTCATACATTGCTCCATTGCACAACATTCCCATGACTGCTGTTGATCAATTTGGCGCACTCTCTTGCGCTATCCTTCTGACCCTGTGACACTCTCCACCTTGTAAGTGATGCGCTTTGAGAACGAGAGATGGTAAACTTCTCGTTCAGTGATGCATCTTTCGCTGTTGCCATTGAGTTGGGGAGGTGAATCATACATATTTTGCCAGAAAGAATGTGTCTGAATATGGTTGATGATTAGTGATAGCATATGGAAGCCAAGAGCAGTGAAAAGCACAGCTCTTATAGACAATCTGTGACTGAAAAGTTTTGCTCAGAAGACAAGGTGATGCCATTTCCAGGCTCTTTTCCAATTTTCCTTCAGCCAAAACAGCTCTTAGCAACTGATTCAGTTGTTAATTTCCAATTTTTTTTGACAGCCAAAACGGCTGTTAGCAACCGAATCAGTTGTTAATTTCCAATTTTTTTTGACAGCCAAAATGGCTGTTAGCAACCAAATGTTAATTTCCAAATTTTTTTGACAGCCAAAACGGCTGTTAGCAACTGATTTGGTTGTTAACCTCAACTGAATTTTCAGGCCAAATTGAGGACCAGAACAGATGTAAGTGACTGTTCTGGTTATCAGGAGAATCCTCAAAAGTGCCAATTGTTGTTGGAGGTTGACCTGACCTCATATTGGTGGCATCTGCTGATATTGCTGATATAGGGGTTGAGGGAATGGACCTCCTTGTGATGCATCCCTGCATTGTGATAGGGGTTGAGGGGCTTGGGACTCCTCAACCAGTGTGCCCCACCTGTGTCCAGCAAGCATAAATAGTCATACTCATTTATGTAGATAGTCATGTCAATACACCATCTTCCCATTGTCCAAAAACCTAAAACCAGCTTGTCCAAACCATAGCAATGCAAGATGACATAACCCTATCAACAATTGTGACCTCTGACTGGGTGTTCTCTGAAGCACACAACAATGCAGTTTCACAAGAGACTTGGATTTTGGGTGGATCAGGTTACAAGCTTACAATTGCAAACATAAAAACAGTATCAACAGAGTAAAGACAGCAAGAGACAATGGAAACACAAATCAAGACATGCAAAATGGAGAAAAGGGACAAGTTGGTTTGCTGGGATGGCTAGCACTTATGACTGGTATGATAGTGCTGAGACAAGCCAGAACTACAATGAACTGTAGTGTTGCTGGACAACTAAGCAGTCTGCTCCTCTGAATCTGAAGCAAGATGTTGCCTCACCCATCAAGTGGGTGGTTCATACAAGTTGTCATCCAATAGCATGGATGGATCGATCTCTGGATATGACTCAGAGCCACATGCAATGGCTGTATTGCTTGAGTCAGTCTGTGAAGTGCCACTCTGCTGTTGACCAGGTGCTGAGGGAGTGGAAACAGCATGATGATGGGAGCTGCCAGATCTTTGCTTGGAAACTGCCACTGCTTTGGCACTCACATGGCCTGAAGTGTTGTTGTTTGGGTAACCTTGTTCAATCCATCTAAGGAATTCAGGCCTTCATTTAGCCTGTGATCTGCCACCTAGATTTGAGAGATCATCAGCCAGTGGTTCTGACCTTTTTCCTGAAAGGCCAAGCTCATGTCAATGATCAAGGTGCAGGGCCAACTCCTTTATTGGCATCACCTCACCACAAGATGGGCAAGTCATTGGGCTTGAGGACATGTTGAACAGGTGTACCCCTGCAATGTGGTGAGCAAGATAGCAAATAACCCAAACTCAACTTCTTTGCTTGGCCAGGAGGCTCTCATCTTGGGCACAAAATGGACATGCATGGTGAACCACCAACAGCCTGCCACAGTGGCCAAGACAACAGGCTGAAAGCATTGGGCAAGATGAGTTGGCTGAAGATGCCTCTTGAGTGGCACCTGTTAATGAAATGGGCAGCACAGAATGGCCAACTTGTCCAGCCACTTGCACCTCAGCATCAGTGACTGCCTGTGCCTTTGATGCATTGATCTCTTTCTGGGCTGCACTCTGAATTGATGACATAGCAGCAGGTGGTGGTGGTGAGGGAGTGATACTCTGCACCCATGAGATCCAATTTTCCCTACATTCATGAGCTCTTGAACCCTTGCTGACAAGATCAGGTTGATGCAGCAGAGATTTTGCTCCAAGGACAAGGTCATGCTCTTGCAGATGATTGGTGAAGTCATATGTCAGATTTTGCTTATTGCAAAAGGGGCAGTGACAAACAGGGCTGCAATCTGGGTAAATGTGCACTGTGCACACATGTTCAAAGGGATCTTTGGGTTCCTTGAAGCAGTGTGCCCTTGTTGCTGCTGCAAGGCCCTCATTCACAAGGCAGAACCAGCAGGTTCATCAGCACCCTTCTTGCTTGGCATAGCCCCTGAGAAGTGCATTGATGTGCATCTCAAAGTGACCATTAGTCTGTTCATGGCCAAAGGTCCACTTATTGTGCCAGGCACAATACTTGGTCATGTCAGATGTGATTGTAGGGAATCTGTGTGCAGTTTCAAGGTGCTGCATCACATCAAGAAGAGATGAAGGCTTCCTTTCTTGCCAATGCAAGGCCCACTGGCACTGCTCAGCTCTGCTATTGATTGCAAAGGGACACCTATAGCTCCTGTTTGGCACATATGTGAGATGGTTGAGGATCTGACTGATCCCTTTGTAGTGGCACAGGATATGGTGGACCAGTTCCTCATGGTCTTGCAGCAAGATTTGACCACAACATGCTTTGTGCCAGCATGGTTGACAAGCTAGTGCCTCACAGCAAGCTTCCTTGTACTTGCTGTACATGTGAGGCTTCACACAAGACCACATGTGATTGATCATCATGCCCCAAGTGACCAGCTTGAGGGAGACCTTGGAAGGGCCTTTCAGAAATGATCTGAACAGTTGGTGGCACCAGCAGCAGGATTTACCATTTTGTTTCTTGAGGGTGGCCAAAACAGCATTCTGTGTGCTGACATTGTTGGTCATCATGGCTGCAAAGAGCTCATGGAGAGGCATGCCAGCCTCATCCTTCTTGAGCAGATCATAATCAGGCTGGGGCAGATCTCCAATCATGGAGCCAATCTGATTGCACAGCCCATCAAGCTTCTCATGTAGAATGAGAGACATAGGCTCTTCAGCTGATAGTGAGGTGCCAGAAGCTGGTGACAAGGTGTGTGCCAGGTCATCTGCTGTTGAGGACAATGGAGTCGATGTTGAAGCAAAAGAAAGGGGTACCTGTGAGAGGAAAGGGATGCTGGTGGCTTGGTGCATCCACTCATAGCTTGGATCAGCATTGCCTTGGTCACTTGTGTGGCTATCCAAGTGGCTGCCAAGAGGCACACAAGAGGTATGTGCTTGGTGCATTGTGCTGGAGCCAGCCTGGTCACTGCTGTCATTGTCATTGGTATCACCACCAGCCTGAAGGTGTTGTGACAGCTCCCATGCTGCTGCTGCAGGACCCACACCACCAAAGAGTGAACCATGGAGTGCACATACATTCAGGTCCTCCTTCTCTTTGTAGGTGTGCTTGATCATTGTTCGAAGTTGGAGCTGGCTCTGAGTATGTGCCAGACATTGCATCTTCTTGTTGTGGTCTACCTTCAAGGCTTGATACTCATGTGCTGGCAAGCCTTGTGCTGAAGCATCAGAGAGGGCCACCTTTGCCTGATTGCACTCATGCACGAGTCACTGAATGATTGGCATTGACTCGACACCAGCAATTCCAACAGCATGCAGAGAGCTCGGAGTATCTTGTCATGGGCCTGAATGCTCAAGAAGCAGGAGGGTCACTGGTTCATATGGAAGGAGCACAGGTATCGGAGATCTAGTCGATACCAGCGGAGAGCATGGTCGTAGTGCAGTCTCCATGGAGACCATGGACTTCCGGGCCCATATGCGAGGAGGGCCAGGCACAGCCACGAAGAGGACCAAGCTCAAGGAGCATGCAGACGGTTACCACTCAGGGGCTTGAGAGACAAGAGTCAAAGGAACCATCACCAGTCAAAGGAGAAGGAGCAGTGTATAGGGAACCGGCAAGCAGGTCCTGAGGAGGAGGAGCAGTGTCAAAGGAGTCGACACCACTCAGGAGGCACAGGGGTGCCAAGCAGGATAGCAAGGAGGAGGAGCAGTGTCGAAGGAGTCGACACAGCTCAAGAGGCACAAGGGTGCCAAGCAAGCAGGATAGCAAGGAGGAGGAGCAGTGTCGAAGGAGTCGATAGCTCAAGGAGGACAGGAGTGGTGCTAGAGGGGCCCCCTGTACAGTACTCGATGAAGAAGGTACTCTCTGGAGAGAGAGCAGGAGCAGCATCGCTGGCGACGCTGTGAAGAGGTATATAACCATACCTTCTCATCATCAAAGGTCGAGTGGATCCTCATCCACTCTACACACACCATAACTAGTTATCACTTCAGCATAAGTATATATTAGTTCCAGTCAGCATAGTAGCAATCTATCAGGGTTGCTCCTCATTGTAGTGTGTGTGTTGTATCACCACTACCTGATGTCTGAAGGCGGCCCATAGCAGGTTGTCATGGGAATGGATGCGCAGAGGCCAGAAGATCTGTCAAATTCATATGAAGGGAGTGCAGGGATCAAGGGATCAGGCGGATCATGGGATTTGAGACAGACTTCACTGAGATCGGTAGTAGTGCCAGTCCTATGACAGATCTCACTGAGATCAGCAGAAGGAAGGATAGTACTATGATGACAAGATTGGCATGAGAGAGGATGGTACTATGGATCACACCGAGATTGGTGATAGAAGAAAGGGTATGGCAGATTCTGCCAGGATCAGTAGTAGGAAAGATCCTATCACAGATTCTGTGGAGATCAGTGGTAAGGATGATAGTGTGGTGAAGCTTCACATGCAAGTAGTGGGACCAAGTGCCGCCAAGAGGGGACCTAGCTCAGGAGCATGCAGCTGGTTACCACTCGGGGGCACACAAGATAGGAATAAAGGGGGTCCGTTGCCAGTCCAAGGGAGGAGAGCAGTGTAAGAGAAACTGGCGAGGAAGACATAAAGAGGAGGAGCAGTGTCGATGGAGTTGGCACAGCTCAGGAAAGACAGACAGATGGCGTAATGAGGAGGAGGAGCCTCATTGGAGACTCCTGTGAGGTACTCAATGCAGAAGGTACTCTCTGGAGAGAGAGCAGAAGCAGTGATGCAGGCGACACTGCGAAGAGGTATAAAAGCCACACCTTCTCGTTGCTAATGGTTGAGTGGATTCTCATCCACTCTACTCACCATACAACTAGTCAATACTTTAGAAACATAAGTACTCATTAGTTTTCAAGTCAGCATAAGTTGCAATCAATAGATTGCTCCTCATCGAAGTGCATGTGTTGTATCACTGTTTCCTGACATCCGAAGGCAGTTCTTAGCAAACCAGCAGTCCAGATCTCAATAGAACCGAAGGCAGTCGTCCACTGCAGTCTGGGGATCACCTCAAGCATAGTCGATGCACTGGACACTTGTGTCGACGCCACCAATCCATATTCACACCAGACCTTTGAGGTCATCAGCGAGTTTGCATAAGTTATTGATCGTGCCGAGCTACCTCTGGACGGAGTGTCCAACAGTGGTCAGTCGAAATCTGCAATAGCATCATCACAACTACAGATTCGAGCGAGAAAAGTAATAGAGATGGCTCTACTGCATACCTCATGAAGAATCGCAATACCACAAGCGCTGTCGCATAACTCGACAGAATCGGTAATAGTATTGATACAACTACCGATCTCAGGTTTCAGGCGCGCGACCGCTGACACAGGTCAGCAGTCCAGATATAGATAGAACCGAAGGCAGTAGTCCACTGTGGTCCAGGGATCACTTCAAGCATCAGTCAACACACTGGACACTCATGTTGATGCCACCAACCTTATCACCAACACCATCAACCTCATCATCATCAACACTCACACCAGACCTTGGTGTCATCATAACCTACATATTGATATTGATTGTGCTGAGCTACCCCTGAATGGAGTGTCCACAGAGGTCAGCCGAAATCTACAATAGTATATACAACAAATGCCACCTGCTGTCATTGCACAACTTGATAGTCGCCAAGCAATGTAGCTCATTGAGACTGATACCAAGACAATAGCTGTCACACAGTTTGATAGTCACCGAGTATCTCGACAGACCGACCTGGGTTTCAGGCGCGAGACCCCTGACATATCTGTGATGGCTTTGACATGACAGAGACCATGCAGCATGATGCAATTCTTGGACTCTTTGCCCCTCTGGACCATGCCCTGAATGTCAATGACATTGTGCCATGACAAGTAGCTCTTGACAATCTGTGAAGAGGCAATCAAGTGCCCAATAGAGAGCCTCTTTTCTCCCTCTGTCACTGAGGTACAGTCCAGCATCTGAATCATCATGCATTGAAGCAAGTACATTGTGTATTCAGGCATGCCAGTGGCAAGAGCAATCTTTTTCATGGCAACATTAGACATATTTGTTGTCCAGGGTGCCAATTCCAAGACAACCCAATTGCTGCTGCTTGTTGGGCTGTTGTTGTCAGCTGCGAGCAAAGTGGAAGTGGAAGTGGAAGTGGCACTTTGATGCTGGGCCATTGCTACTGAAGTGGTACCTCTTCCTGAAGACAATGCTGACTCAATTGCATGAAGCACAAAGTGATTTTTGGCCTTGGCCTTAATGGGAATAGGAAGGAACTCATCCACATTTTTAAAGTATTCTGGATCAGCTGTCTCCATCACACTGGCAATGCTGATGCCATGGTCAAAGACACCATCCTCTTCGGCCAGCTGGGCAAGGATGATTGCTGGCTCCATGCAGGCTGGACTGCCATTGTCATAAAGGGGTTGACTCTGGTACATGTTGGGATTGGTTCATCCACCCTTCAAATTATGGATGGTGACCTTGCAGCCAAGGTGGTATCAGGTTTGTTGATGTTGTGAAGGTTGCACTTCATGACCTAAATCCCAAACAACAAGCATGCCACCATCATCCTCCATCAACTCATTATCATCATCATCTTGTTCATCATCATCATTGTCATCCCAGAGTGTCAGGTAGAATTATAGATCACAATACTTGAGGGCATCAGTTGTGAGGTTAGTGAGTGCCACCTCGCCAGGTCAAGCTGCACAGAATGAGACAATGAGGTGGAGAGCAGCAAGCTGCAGCTGCTCACAAGGACAAGAAAGCAAAAGATGATTGCCAAAGATGCCATCTGTGATAAAAGTGGCAAGATCATGATAATGTGCCACTGGTTTGGGTTTTGCTTTGTGGATGCTTTCCACTGTAATCAGTGCCAATGCTTCCAAGGTGATGTTATTGTCAATCCACTTGTGTGTCAGACAGTAATAGATGGTCTTGATGTGCTGCCAGCTGCAGTGTGCTGTAGATAGGTATTGCTTCTGCTCTGGGTTGACAAACAACTCTTTCTGATGATAGATGCAGAATTTGGCAACCTTCTTCCAAAACAAGCAATTAGCCAAGACATTGTGTCTAGGTGGGGATGAGAGGAAGTCATCAGCAGTGATGATTGAGTGAGGACCATAAGCATGTGGGAGGAAAACCTTGTCACAAAAAGTATGCAAGAACTGCTCCACCACAGTGTTCCCCAAGTGGGTGCCAGGTGAGAGTTGTCATGCATGGAATGTATTGTTAAGGTCTTGCTCCACCTCAGCTAGATTCTTGTGCAACTCCAAGAAGGCTGGATTATCATCAAAGTGATTCGATACCCCCTTGGCCTGCCTGACAAGGTGTTCCTCTGTGAGGGAGGTGTGTGTCATGGGCCTGAATGCTCAGGAAGCAGGAGGGTCACTTGTTCATATGGAAGGAGCACAGGTATTGGAGATATAGTCGATACCAGTAGAGAGCATGGTCATAGTGCAGTCTCCATGAAGACCATGGACTCCTACGGACTCACATGCAAAGGAGCACTGAGCCATATGCGAGGAGGGCCAGGCACAGCCACGAAGAGGACCAAGCTCAAGGAGCATGCAGATGGTTACCACTCAGGGGCTCGAGAGACAAGAGTCAAAGGAACTGTCACTGGTCAAAGGAGAAGGAGCAGTGTATAGGGAACTGGCAAGCAGGTCCTGAGGAGGAGGAGCAGTGTTGAAGGAGTCAACACCACTCAGGAGGCACAGGGGTGCCAAACAAGCAGGATAGCAAGGAGGAGGAGCAGTGTCGAAGGAGTCGACACAGCTCAAGAGGCACAGGGGTGCCAAGCAAGCAGGAGAGGCCCCCTGAACAGTACTCGATGAAGAAGGTACTCTCTGGAGAGAGAGCAGGAGCAGTGTCGCTGGCAATGCTGTGAAGAGGTATATAACCATACCTTCTCATCATCAAAGGTCGAGTGGATCCTCATCCACTCTACACCCATCATAACTAGTTATCACTTCAGCATAAGTATATATTAGTTTCAGTCAGCATAGCAGCAATCTATCAAGGTTGCTCCTCATCATAGTGTGTGTGTTGTATCACCACTACCTGACATCTGAAGGCAACCCATAGCAGGTCAGTGGTCTGGATTAAGATAGAACTGAAGGCAGTAGTCCACTGCAGTCTGGGGATCACTCCAAGCATCAGTCAACACACTGGACACTTGTGTTGACACCACCAACCTTATCACCAACACCATCAACCTCATCATCATCAACACTCACACCAGACCTTGGTGTCATCATAACCTATGCATTGATATTGATCATGCCGAGCTACCCCTGAACAGAGTGTCCACAGAGGTCAGCTGAAACCTACAATAGTATATACCACAAATGCCACCCACTGTCATTGCACAACTTGATAGTTGCTGAGCAACTAACTTGTCAAGACTGATACTGAGACAATAGCTGTCACACAGTTCAATAGTCACCGAGTATCTCGACAGACCGACCTGGGTTTCAGGCGCGAGACCCCTGACAGTGTGGTCACTGAACTTGCCAATGCAAGTTGCTCCTGTTGGCACTACCTGGCCAAATCCCTGAAGAGGGTGCCAAGGTGCATTTGACATGGTAGAGAGAAGAGGATACAAGGTGCAGAGTTCGATGGCAAACAAGTGGTACCTTCTGTGACCAGAGGAGGAGCATGATTGCAAGAGAGTGCCACTTTGGAAGCAAAGCAGTGCTGAAAGTGAATTTGATTGGCTTGGTTGGTTGCAAGAGGGATGCTACAGACAAATTTAGAGTGAAGCTGAGAGAAAGAAGATGAAGGTCAAGGAAGATGAGGGAAAGGAAGGGCAAATCTGGGATGTGGGAATGATCTGGGCCCCTTATATGCACCATGAAAAGCCAGCAGTGAGCAAGTCCTGCCAAAGGGAGAGGGCATCATTCCCTTTCCTGAGGGCAACACTGGTGCCATGCCAGGCTGAGTGAGGTCAATGCTTTCACCCAAGCTGTCCAGCTAGCCAGCCTGGACCACTCATTGTCAGCTGAGGTGCCAAAGGGAAGAAGAGGAGGAGAGAAGCTGAAGCTGAAGCTGAGCTGACCCATCATAGCCAAAGTCACCAATGTGACACTTGAGTTGCTGAGCCATGTGGCCTTGGCTTGAGATGAGGCAACAAGATGACTCAGCTGCCAGATTGACAAGAACAAGGAGTAGTATGGAAAGGAACAAGAGGAGCAGAAGCAAGATGGATAGGCCGAACACTGACTGACTGCCTGCCTGGCATGTGTCCATGCATTTGTGCATCTGTGCCTGTGTTGCTTGATGTGACTTGGGAAAGAAACACACCTCCTCAAAGTGACTGTGGAGAAGAATGGGAGAGAGGAAAAAAGGACTTGACTCAACTCTGCTTGACTGAAGCTGTCATAATCCCCCATATCACCTCCTTGCCTTTGTTGAGAATGATTTGCTTGCCTTTGCTGAGAATGATTTGCTTGACTTCGTTGAGAACAGTTTGCTTGCCTGAACCTCCGGGAGAAAAATTTAAATTGCGTGTCTCGATTAAGATAAGGAAAACGGCAATCACTTGGCAGCAAAAGTCTCGCTTAGCGCCATCAAAGAGTGTCAACAAGTCGAGGCCGAGATCCGAAAGCAAGCGTGGTCTCACTGGCACAGCTCTCTAGCAACACCTCTTTTCCGCCGTCTTAACACTCAGAAAACGTCCTGGTTGCGCTGGCTGAGCGACTCGTGGTGCTTTCGACCGATCAGCACTCAGCCTGAGTTCGATCAAGGCATCATGTCAAACAAAGGTCGTTTGGCATCGAGGTGCTGAAGTCAAGGTTGTCTCGCCTTGCATGCTGTTTGGGACATCAGGCAAAGTATCATCATCTTGAAATCGCACGTCATGACAATATCGGGCAACGGGATCGGTGATGTAATTTTTCAGCAACATGTTCCTGCTGCGCAGCTCCACCTTCACACCCATTCCCATTTCCACTCACACCTTCCTGCACTACATCATCTCCACACACACACATCTCAACATCGCAAAAGCCTGAACTTGGGCCGCCTGGCTGATCAAGGCGCGGCATGGCTAGCCACTCTTCCGTCGGTGCTGCGCGTCAGCACAGTCGCATCCTCTTTGTCAAGAACCTCAACTACAACACTACCGGTGCCGACCTGTATCAAGTCTTTAGTCGCTACGGTGCCATCCGTCAAATCCGGCTCGGTGATGGACCAAAGACAAAAGGAACCGCCTATGTAGTATACGAAGAGATGGCAGATGCAAAGCGTGCATCCGACCACTTGAATGGCTTTCATCTTAACGAGAGGTATATCGTCCTTCTCTTTCATATGCCGGCAAGGTTGGCAGCCAAGGCAGACCTCGCGAGGAGAGAGGCTGAGCTTGCTGAGCTCAAAGCTTTGCATGATATTACCGATGATGCCTAGAGCTCATCATGCCTTTCCACAAGTCCAACCGTCGACCACAAAGGTTGAGGTCTCTTGAATATCCACCAAGATCGCTCCTATCATCTTCACCGCCCTCACACCACATCTCACTTTCTGGTCATTCAGCAGTCACACATCACGTCAAGGCTCGTTCGACTGCTTTGCAACCTACGATCCTCATGCTCCCTCATCAATGCCTTGTATTTGTACCTTCCCATTGCCAATTATATCCTTATTCAGCGACCACAACGACAGAATGGTCCAAACACGCATCACCACCATCGCAATCACCTTAACTTTCGTCGCCTTCAGGCTCCCATGGGCTGGTCGGCGACGCTTTCGATGGCCTTCTGTTCTATGAATGAGAGAGCCTTTGAAGGCAAGATCGCCGATTCCACTTGCGTGTCGAGCTGATTTATCGCGATTCCAACCCGGCATTTGGTCTGCCCATTTCGGCTACTCAAATTTCACCTCCAACCCTAGAAGGCGGCGAGCCCGATTGCCGAGTGTCCGGATGTTCGGTGACCGAGAAGATCCTCTTTTCCCCCCGCAACAGCAACACTTTACCCCACTCTCTAACTCCTCCCTCCTGACAATCATCCCATCCATCTCCATCACTCCATCCACAATTGCTTTCAAGATGGCCGCTCCACAACCCAACAACAGAGTCATGGTCTATGGCTATGCCGCTTCCCCCTTCTACCAAAAAATCACATATCTTCTCGATCACTACCAAGTCGAATGGACCCTTGTCGATGTACCCCCCGTTATGCCTCGTCCCATGCTTAGCAAGCTTCTTGGCATCACCTACCGTCGTATCCCCATTGTGTTCATCGATGGTCAAGCCTACATCGACACAACCGCTGCCTCGCTCGCCCTCGAACGAACATTCGGTGGTGGATCAGGCCCCAAATCTCTCCTCCGTCAATTTCCAGCTCTTCAGCTCCAACTTGCTGTCAACTGGGCTGAAAGTTCCATCTTCCGCCTCGGCGCTGGTCATCTTTACAATGCTCCACTCAACGAAACCTTTGTTAAAGACAGAAAAGAGTTTATGCCAGGTTCAAGCTTCGATGGTGCAGCTATGAAGGCTAGGGTTCCATTCGTGAGGAGTCAGTTGGTGGCGAATTTGGAAGCTATTGAGAGTCACTTGAAGGAACAGGGAGGAGGGGGAAACAAGTTTTTGTTTGGAGATGAACCTCAGTATCTGGATTTCAGTCTGTTTACGCCATTGAACTGGGTTCAGACTCAGTTGAGGACGGGCGAGGACTTGTTGCCGACCCTTTCGGCCAAGAATCCGAACCAGGATTGGAGTAAATATCCTTTTCCGAGGGCTCTAACTTGGTTGGCGAGCGTGAGGGAGTATATTGCACAGCACAAGGTGAAGCCGGTCAAGTTGAGTGCGGAGCAGGCGGCAGAGGTGATTTTGAAGCAGTCGGAACAAAATGCTGGCAAGACAGAGGGCGGGTTGAAGGTGAGTAAGGATGATCCACTGGTGAAGGCGGGTTGGGTGAGCGGCGAGAAGGGTCAGAAGGTCAGCGTTACGCCGGTGGATACGGGAAGAGTGCCGCAGGTGGGTAAGTTGGTCGGGTTGGACAGCTCGAGTGTTACGATCAAGGTAGAGGTGCCGCAGGGGAGCAAATCGATCTTCGCTACTTTCCCGAGGGTCAACTTTGATGTACGTGCTGTTGACGGTGCCAAGCTCTAGGCTGTATAGCGGAAGAACCGTTCGGTATCCTTAGTATAGATGCGAGTCAAGCCAGCATCTGCCTCGTCATATGGGATGTATATGGATCTGCAGCACACTTCTCACCGTCGCTTCTTGCTCCATGATAAAGCGGATCACAGTTCAGAACAATGTATCCTTAGAAGCTTACTCCTGATGGTATGAAGTAGCGTAGGTACGAAGATAGTCGTGACATCGTGATCAAGTTGTGTAGCATCCATGATAGGAGTGAAGTGAGCGGCCGAGAACGTGTTAGACCCTGAACGGCTTCGAGGCAAGACCGGCGCACGGTTCACACTTTGGACCCTGAATTGGCGGCCAACCCTCTCCTCTGAGCTTAATTTGGGTTCCCGCGCTGTGCTCACCAATTTTCATCATCTCACCCCACCACCGCCACCACCATCAACTCACCCACCATGCGAACCACAATTTCCCTCACCGCAGCCATGCTCGCCGTTGCATTCGGCACCACCACCGCGGCCCCGCACCAAACCCCTTTCACCCTCCTTCACAACAACACCCTCGACGAGCCCTGTCTCTCCTGCACCACCACTCCCACATGCTCACGCGATCCCTGCTCAACAAACACCCCAGGCGGATTACTCCTCCTCACCCAATTCTGGGACTACTCCCCACCCATCGGCCCCTCCAACTCATGGACAATCCACGGTCTATGGCCAGACACCTGCACCGGAGGTTACGATTCCGATTGCGACCCTTCCCGAAACTCTGCAAACATCGCCTCAGTCCTCCAATCCTCCTCTAACCCTAAAGCTGCATCCGCCCTCGACACTATGAACCAATACTGGTTGGCTCTCAACGGCAACGACGGGCAGTTCTGGAGCCATGAGTGGAACAAACACGGCACATGCGTCTCCACCCTCGCCCCTCAATGCTATAACGATGAATTGAAGGGACAGAGTTATGAGAAGGGAGAAGACATTGTAGACTTCTTTACGACGACAGTGGATCTTTGGGAGAAGTACAACGTGTTTGAAGCCCTCAAGGAGGCCGGAATTGAACCGAGTGGAACAAAGAGATATAGTTTGGATGAATTGCATAAAGCAACAAGTGACAAGTGGGGGAAGGAAGCTACGTTCAAGTGTCGAAATGGAGCACTGAATGAGGCGTGGGTATACTTCCATACAAGGGCAAGATCGACGAATGCAGAGGCTTTTGTTCAGGTTGAACCTTTGAGTGGGAATAATGGATGTCCTAGCCAAGGGATCAGGTATCTACCCAAGTAATGCCTTACTACACTAGAGCATTCTGTGTATCTCATCAACCACGCAAACAAAGTAGTTGCCGGTAATACAAATACAAATTGCAGTTTGGGTATCAACAGTGATTGTCCTAAGAAGAGAGAGTGGGGAGGGGATCAGAGAAGACCCGAGCTGAGATGGCGAATCATCTTATTCCCATTGATCGTGTTGGTAGTTGCCACTACGAATCGTCTGTTTCTCGTTTTGCTGTTCATGAATCGCAAAGCTGCGAGTTCGGTGTATGTCACCCCACCGAGGAAGAATACGAGGGTTGTGGTAATTGCATCTGGGTCCGAAGGCGCTGAGAGCCCGGCTACTCCTCCTTCTCCACTACTGCCAGTAGAGGAAAGGCAAGCAGATTGCACTTCGTCAAAAGTAGCACCGGCAAGTTGGTTCACTACGTCTTCAAACCCACGCCATCCGACAATGGGGTGTGCTCGTGGTGGGGTTCTCGGTTTTCCGGCACCAGTGGTAGAGGATGTGCGGTCGTACGAGGCGTAATTAGGATCTAGCAGGGCTTCCTTTTGCGCGATTGCCTGAACGAGACGAACTGAGAGAGGAGCGTAACCAGAATAGACATACGAGATATCCGCAGGTGCTCTTTCGTCAACTTCGTCATTGATAAGACGAAGGCTCTTACGAACACTTGCGAATCCTCCATTGCCCCCCTCTGCTGCGTTACCCCTCACCTCATTCCCTCCAGCCCCAGCCGCAGCGCTGCTTCCACCTCCAACAACACTACTCAACGCCCCACCCAATCCTCCACCCACAACAGCGGGTGTTTGACCAGCCTTCGTCAAAAGCCCCACCTTCTGAAGCGCCAGCAACAAAGGCAAATACTCATATCCATACGTTTGCACAATCTCCCTCTTCACAAACTCCAGATTCTTGGCCTTGATCCCTCCTCCTACTCCACCTAGCCCTACTACACTGGTCAAGCAGAGCAACCGCAACACGCCAACTAGGTCTCGCTCCTCATTGACCATATCTTCAATCGCACCGTACTGATTCGCCAGATCGATACCCGCTACGCAGTTCTGCTGCACTTCCAACATGCGGTTAAACTCTTCTCTCGCTGTCCATTTCATGATCCTTTCCGTCAGACCCGTGTGAAGCCGGAGTGAAGCATGCTCGGACTGCAGCCCACCAAGTTTACCAACAAACGCACGGATCTGAGAGACAGTTTTGGCTTGGTGTCTACCCTCATAATCTTGGTTGAGACGTCTGGCTGCTCGGTGGAGTCGATCTCCAACGACGGCGAAATTGAGGTTGCGGATTTCAGCGAAGAGCAAATCTGTCCAAGCATCCAATCGATGTTTCCGTTTCTTAGGGGTGCAAGTGAGTTGGAGTGGTGTACCACTACCCGAAGCTTGTGGTTGAGCACCCATCCCTGGCGTTTGAGGCTGTCCACCGGTTAGAAGCGAAGGATCGACTTCCACATGACCGTTACTGATTCCCACCACTTCATCCACCAACCCTTCATACGTGAGCTGGGTGCATAGAGGAGTAGCATAGTCCACAGCCCGATCTATGATGATCAAGCTATCGATGCTTTGACTTGGTGTGGTGAGAGCTGGACTGGATGGATCTGAAGCAAGATGCTCTCGTCGTTGTCTGATCAAGAGATCTGCCAAGCGACGTGCGAGAGCTCCTTTGCCCAAAATGCGCGGGAAGAGTCCACATGCGTGTTGAAGCGTCATGAGCGATTGTGCTGAACGAAAGATAGGGGTATGATCACCGTCGCAATAGATCTTCTTCCACGCTGAATCGTCTTCCAGACTGATCAGGTCGTCGTCGAGAGCAATGAACTCGAGACCGAAATCGAGAAGCGAGACATCTGAGAGAGCCGCTTCCTGGTCGAGGAACTGCAAACATGGCTCAGTTCTGTGCGGGACGAACGAGATCGTATAGGTGTGCTGCAATGGCGAAGTGGGTCTTACACTTCGATCCGCTCGGAGATGCTCTGCATGAATGCCAAGGCAAAGATGAGATCCAAAAGTGTCAGTCTTTGCTTTCCAATGCTTTTCGAGCTTGCACTCAAAGGTAAGAGGGGGAAGAAAAAAGGGGGTGGGAGGAGAAAAGAAATGTCGCCTCCCGGCACAACCCAGCATCCGTGGAAGCGATTAAAGCAGAGCGGGGTTGTATAAAGGAAGGAAACTTCGTTGGGAGCATCCTTGTCAGGAAGATCTCCTTGTTCTTTGGACATTGACTGACCGTATGCCTATCGTTGAGGAAATCTAGTAGGCTCGGCTAATTTAGTCCAAGAGGGGCCGCAGGGGAAAGGGGAAAGAACACAAGGTCATATCATGCAGCAAGAGAGAGAAGTACGTACCAGCAATAGCTTTCATCCACTTGATTTCGGGTCGGCAAATGTAGACGACCGATTTGGTGGGAGCGTTGACGCTTTTCAGGCCTGCTTTAGTTTGTGCTTGGGAGTGAGCTGTGTCTGTGTTGGAAACAAAAGCGGGGGAGGCTGGTTCGAGCCAGAACATCTTTTCAACGCCGTGTTGTTTGAGGCTGGAAACGTCGGCGACAAGGCCAAGGGGTCCAGCTAGGGATGGATCGAGCATGAGGGTTTTTGCTTCGTTGATGGTGTCGAGGGTGGACATAAGTCCTCGACGAGCCAAGTCGGTGAGAATGCGGGTATCGAGACCATCCCAAGGTTCGGCAATGGGTTGAGCCATGGCTGCGGTTGCGGCGCTGGCAGCATCCTTACTGGAGTTGCCATTGGCAGCGGTGGGCGCTGGAGAGCCAGACGGACGAGAGGCAGTCGCCGCCGAAGCCATCTTTGACGACTTGATGTAAAGTGTCCTGATTCACTGCCTCCTCCCGCTGACAGTAATCCCAGTGACGCTTCGCCGATCAGGAGTTGAGGAAGGGTCCAACACTGGTGCGGGAGGAGTTGGTGGTCGATCTGTGAGATGTCAAAGTCAAGAGCGAACGACTCAAGATCTCTGCTGCAGTGGTGATGACTGCGGTAGAGAAGACGGGAGAGTGAGCATTGGATGTGGGCAACGTCGTGTATCGTTGAACCAATCATCGCTTCAAGTTGAGACAGCGACGATCAATCGACACAAGCAAAGAGGAGGCTCGTGCTATTTCCATCTAAAGACATCGGGGACACAAGATCGCAGATTTGCTTCCCACCGACTTCCGATTTCCGATTTCCGAGTCACGAGTCACTTGCCGAACAAAGCTCATTTCCAGCGACAGCGCACAGTGCCTTCCACAGCGAAGGAAGAGAGAGAAAAGAAGGATTGGAACCAACACTTTTCGTCAGGAACGACACCATCAACCCTCTGCTTCATCCCACCACACGATCCCCTCATCTCATCCAGGCTATCGTTCCGATCGCACGTCATCATCGACCGTCGCATGTCGGTGTACAGATCCGGCCTGCTACGTTCGCGCACCTTAGTTTCTTTCGTCGCTCCTTCTTTTGCAACCACGCAACTTGCTTCAACCGCTCCCGTTCGATCTTCACTCTTTGCCCCGAAACGCGAGCTCAGCTGCGCTCGCAAATACAGTCTCATCATGGCAGCTACACAACCCGAGCCTTCTACCTCTGCGTCTGCCATTGTCGCAGCTGCTGCTAGCAAGATCTCGCAACCAGAATGGCACATTCCGCAAAAGCAGGTCCCTGAGCCAGAGCTCAAAGTGTACAACTCGCTCACCCGCACCAAGACTCCCTTCGTCCCCAGAAAGGGTCGCACTGTCACATGGTACAACTGTGGTCCTACCGTCTACGATGCCAGTCATATGGGTCACGCTCGTAACTATGTTACTCAAGATATCATTCGTCGCATTCTTCGCGACTACCTCGGCTACGACGTCCACTTTGTCATGAACATCACCGATATTGACGACAAGATCATTATCAAGGCTCGTCACCAATACCTCCTCAAGCAGTTCCGTTCGCAACACCCTCAGCTAACCAAGCCGCTCCTGAAGGCTGTACAAGATGCTTGGTCTGCCTACTTTGCCAAGAACCTCGAGCGCTTTGCTCCTCCCGTCCCACCGCAAGAGCAGCAGGGAGGGCTTGTTGACGAAGCTGAAAAGGCAAGGGCTGGGGAAGCAGGCTTTGAAGAGATCTCTAGACTCTGTCAAGACGCTGCATGGCTCAAAGCAGCTTCCGATAAGGAGCCCAAGTTCGGCATGTGGTTCTCGGCGCTTGATAAATCGCGTCAGGCACAGGTTGCTGCTGCCATGTCTCTAGCTGCTGCAGATTCCTCGAGCGAAGCTGCTTCCGACCTCATCGACGCGTCTCAAGACGTTCTCGCCGCCCACCTCGACAAGCAGTTCGGCGACACTGTCACAGATCCAGCCGTCTTCCGTGACACCGCTGCCTACTGGGAGGCCGAATACTTTAACGACATGAAAAGGCTACACGTTGAGCCTCCAACCACCTTGACACGTGTCAGCGAGTATGTTCCCGAGATCGTCGCTTTCGTCCAGCAGATCGTCGACCGCGGGTATGCTTACTCCGAGGGTGTCGACGCCGATAAGAAGAATGTCTGGTTTGACACGCGTGCCTTTGATGGTGCCAGAAGCCAGGATGGCAGCTTCGAGCACTCGTACGCCAAGCTTCAGCCATGGTCCAAAGGAAACCGCGAACTGTTGGAGGAGGGTGAAGGTTCCCTCTCGACCTCAACCACTGCCACCGCCGGCAAGCGTGCTGCATCTGACTTTGCGTTGTGGAAATCGTCGAAGCCCGGTGAGCCAGCTTGGCCTTCCCCCTGGGGTCCTGGTCGTCCAGGCTGGCACATCGAGTGCTCCGTCATGGGTTCCGCTGTCCTTGGCGAGACCATGGATATCCACTCTGGCGGTGTCGACCTCATGTTCCCTCACCACGACAACGAGATCGCCCAATCCGAAGCACACCACGGCTGCCGTCAATGGGTCAACTACTTCCTCCACACCGGCCATCTCCACATCGAAGGTCTCAAAATGTCGAAATCCCTCAAGAACTTCATCTCGATCAACGAGGCACTCGAACGATTCACCGCACGTCAACTCCGCATGTCTTTCCTCCTCCAACCTTGGTCCGGACGCATGGACTTTAAGCCTTCCGCTCTCGGTGAGGTCAAGAACGCCGAATCGGCCTTCAACAATTTCTTCGTCGGAGTCAAGGCTAAGATTGCCGAAGCAAAGGCACTGGGCGATGCATACTCGGATGGACAGCATCACTATGGTGCCGCCGAATGTGCACTGATGCAGACTTTGGAGGAAGGGCAACAGGCGTTCCGTGAAGCTATCTGCGATTCGTTCGATACACCAAAGGGTATGGAGATCCTGTTGGACTTGGTCAACAAGGCGAATGTGTACGAGAAGAGCCATGACAAGCGTGTCAATGTCAACATTGGTGTTCTTACCGCTTTGGCACGATACGTGGGCGATATGCTCAAGATGCTCGGTCTAGGTGAAGGCCCTGCGCTCGCTGCAACTCAGGAGATTGGTTGGGGTGTAGCTGACGAGTCAGGTGAAGGTGCTGGGTCGGCAGTGAACAAGGAGGAGTTGCTACTGCCATACTTGCGCGCGCTCAGCACTTTCCGTGACGCTGTTCGCAATCTCGCACGCAGTGGCGCTCCCGCCTCGGAATACCTCAAACTCTCCGATGCACTCCGCGACAACGATCTCGTCGACCTTGGCGTTGCTCTTGAAGACACAGAAGACGGTAAAGCATTGGTCAAGCTTGTCCCCGCAGCGCAGTTACAAGCTGCAAAGCGCGAAAAGGAGGCAGCAGCGGCAGAGAAGGCTGCACGTAAGGCTCAAGCTGCAGAACAGGCGAGGTTGAAGCGATTGGAGAACTTGGAAAAGGGTAGAACAGCACCAGAACAGATGTTCAGGACAGAGGAGTACACAGAATGGGATGAGAGAGGGTTGCCGACTAAAGATAAGGAAGGAGCTGAGTTGCCAAAGAAGAGGAGAAAGAATTTAGAAAAGGACTACGAGAAGCAGACTAAGCTGCATAAGGAGTTCTTGGAGGCGAAGGGCAAGGGCGAGATTCAATAGACAGATTGCGCAACGCTCGTAGTGTTTCACTGATCGAATGTCAAAACAGTCACCACAGACAGTCATAGGTTTGATGTGTGTGTTGAAACTGTGTAATATACACGTTGAATACAAGCAATGTGAGGCTGGACCTAGATTACGACGACACCACCTCAATCTTGGCAAACTTCTTGATGTCATCTGCCGAAACAGCCGCCAACTCATCCTGTAAAGCAGGAATAAACGTCCCCGGGCCCTTAACATCCTCCCTCACTGCCGCTTTTTCACTTGCGATCGTCATAGCCAACAATCCGGTTAGCGCTCCGACCAACAAATCCACCTTCCCGTGAGCCACCAACGTGTTACCCAACGACTCCACTTTCTCCTGCTGGGTCTTGGCAAGGTTGAAAGCAGCCGCCAGCCCCGCACCCACAGTAACGCCCAAAGCGCAGCCACTTCCAGTAATCGCACCCAACAACGGATGTCCATTATCACTCGTAATCACCGTCTCACCATCGGTCAAGTAATCTTTCTTACCTGAAAGCAGCACCAAACATCTCTCCTTCCTCGCCAATCCTTTTAGCAACCCGATGGGGTCCTTGAGTTGACCAGCGCCAGAGTCTACACCTCTGCTCTGAACTTGATCGGATTTGCCTGCGATACTGGCCAATTCAGCGGCGTTTCCTTTGAGAAGGGTAACTTGGGTATGGTTGAGAATGCTGCGTACAACATCTTTGCGAAACTGCGTTGCGCCCCCACCTACGGGGTCGAGAACGACGGGTTTGAGGTAACGGTTGGCTGAGGTGCCGGCGACGTACATGCCTTCGCGAGAGGCCGGGGAGATGGTACCGATGTTGAGGACTAGTGCGCCGACAGCGAGGGAGAGGTCGGCTGCTTCATCTGCTTCGTGCGACATAATCGGGGAGGAGGAAAAGGCGAGCGCGAGGTTGGCTGACATGGTGGATGAGACGTGCGAGGTAATGGTTTGGATCAGGGGTGGGCCGTGGACTCCTTCTCGATGGAATGCGAGAAGTTCGGCTGCATGAGTTTTGTACCACTCTGCGTCTTTCTTTGTTGAAGAGGGGAGAGCGAAGGCTGATGTTACACCCTGAGCAGGCGAAGAAGCGATAGAAGCTTTGAGGCCAGCTTTGTAGGCTCGTACGATACCAGCGAGTTCTTGAGCAGCCTTGTCCGAATCAGCACGACCAACAATCGCCGAAATGACAGCGATTCCGTCCGGTGCATTAACCTCGCTCGTAGCACCAAACAACGTTCTTGCAGCTGTCTTCTGATTCAACCCCCCAATGAGCACGCAAGGCATCCTCTTTCCCCCTCCCTTGTTCAGCTCTTCTACAATCGCTTGTGCACCACTACACCCGATTACCTTGTCCTCTGTGATCCCCGCCTTACTCTGCGTCCCATAACAAGGCCCAACGCCAGCGTAGTCAGCTGCACCCTCCTCCTTCGCCTTCTTCGCCTGTTCGAGGTTCTTCACCGAGATACCCAACAATCTCTTTTCGCCCAGGATCCGCCTTGCATCAGTGGCCGGGATGTCCTCTTGACCGATGTGGAGGCCAACCCGTTCAGGAAGTGAGAGACAGACGGAAAGATTATCGTTGATCAGCATGGGGACGTTGTACTTGTCGCATATGGCAAGGGATTTCTGTGCGATTTCGAGGAACTCGTTTGTTTCTGCATTTTTCTCGCGGATTTGGACAACGGTGACGTTGCCTGCGGAAAGACAACGGTCGAGGGATTCATAGTAGTCGACGCCGGGTGGAAGAAGTTCGCGGCCTGTGACGAGGTAGAGCGAGTAGTCGATTTTGGTTTTGTCGAAGGACGACATTCTGACCGGATATGAGATGGTTGATGATGGTTAGGGTAAGGGGGAAGGCTACGCCGGCCAAGTTGACGTCAAAGAAGTTTGGACCATGACCATTTCTTCTTAGCAAAGATCGGCAATAATGCAGAGAGTCGAGTCAACAGATTCTTTGATGCGTCCGTGCGTGGAAAGGGGTCCGGTTATATTTATTTATTGCCTTTGTGTGAGGTCGCAACTCCAAACAGTTCTGGCATGAACCTCGGTTGTTACACCGCCAATTCTGATTCCGTAATAAACGTTTTCTAGGTTTTGCATGCACGTCAAAGATCGCATCGAACCCTTTCTAAGCGCCATATCAATTTGGTCCTGCACAACTTCCCTCACCCCGACCACTCTTTATGGGGCAGCGACCTGTACATCACACATGCGCCGAAACTTGCACATCAGTTGACATATCCCCACCTACCATGAAATCTCGCATGACCTTCCATCGCCTGACTTGCTAATGCATGCACAACTGTGCCGCTTCCTCCACGGGCCAAATCAGCCTTTTCTAAGCTAGGCGCTGGATGCAATAGCTCATCTGTACCTTGTGCATCTCTCGTCAACTTTGAGTTCGTCCAAGACCGTCGTCCCCTTGCACCGAGTTCCCAGCAGCCTAGCTGTCCGTTCATTTACCCTCTACCTCTCTTCCGTTTCTGCCCTAGCTTCACACAGAGGGAAAGGACATAGCCGACGATCATACGATAGAGGTACTCCTAAACGGCAATGACGACAAGATGGCCTGACCTTCCTTTTCTCCGTGCACCCCTTCGCGGGTCTTCTCTCATGCCCTTCATGACATCCATTCTCACAGAAGCGTTAAGATCCAATCACACACTTGCAGATCGCATCGGCTCGCATGGCGCATTGCCTTAACAGCCCCGTCCCATGGTTGAGGCTTCAATGTACAGGAGCTGCCAAAAACTGCATGATCAGTTCTCTTGAGTCTGCTCTGCAATTTGTCCGCCGCCTTGCTGGCTAGTCCGTGGCGACTTTCAACAACCAGCAACCCTTCCTTCTTGTGTCTGAGCATTGTCTCCCCTGAACAAGGGAGAAAAAGACACATTCGTCCTCGCTCTCTTCGCTTCCTATCCTTCCACCACAATCAACTTTCTTTCTCTTCCACTTCTTTCTTCCCTCCCCCTCTTCTCTATACCTTTTACTTTTCTAGCTGGCTTTGCTGTGGCTTCCTCTTCTTCGACTCGACTTTCTATGAGAACTCCGACACCTGGTGCTCAGCAGAAACAGAACGAGAACCAAATCCACCACTACCATCACCTTATTCGCTAGTCGAATCATCCTTCAGCAGCCAGTAGAGCATTATTTTCACTTCTTTCGGTGCATTAGAACCGGTTTCTTTCGCAAACAAGCCGGAGTTGGAGGGAAACAAGCCTTTCTTGACGAAGCCGAGAAGCCGGCAAGGGGGATTCAATCTCGACAACAACCTCGACGGATCTCTGGTAGATCAAATTTCATCCCACAACCCATACTCATCATCAACCTCAGTTGGAAAGCAGCAGCAAAGTGACAGCTCGTCATTAGTAGTGTTCCAACGCGTGTCTCACACACCAAAAAGTCGTGAGTAACTTACCCTTTCCTCTACCGAATCCTCCTCCCTTCCCGTGCTCCTATAGCCCCGCAGCATGCGAATGTTAGGAGGGAGTCTCGGACGAATTCGCCCGGCGTCAGACCCATCCCTCGGGGAAGAGCATCCTGATCTACTGATGACCGATGCCTCCTCCTAGCGTCATGTAGAATATCTAGCTAACTTTCCCACCTCCTCAGCCTTTCCTACCTACCTACTTCATCCAGCTCAAAACAGCAATGGTATCATCTCCCAAGTCGAGCCGCCGTACCAAAGCAAGCGGTGCTTTGGCACAACTAGCTGTAGCATGCGCTCTCAGCACGGCGACTCTCGCCTGTGCCGCCAGCCCAGGTCTAGGGTCATGGTGGAAGCGTCAAGATCCGACCGCAGCAACGAATCAGGACCCATCAGTGCTAAAGCTAATCAGCGCGACTGGTCCGTACGCTACTCTGGTACCAGGTAGCGGGAATGGAAACGCAGATGCTATCCAGTCTGCTGTGGGTATGAGCGGGGATATTCCCTCTCAGGCTTTTTCTGCTTTGGCTCCGGCTGAGACTGCTGCTACTCCAACTGACGGTGCGGCAGATGCTGTGATGCAGGCAGTCGAAGCCACAGTTAGCCCCACTGCTAGTGCTGCTTCCAAGGTGGCAAGCGAGAGTCTAGACCGCAGTCAAGAATCTCAGATGCATAGCGAGCCTTCTGCAGAACCCACGGGTGAAGGCGAAGTCTCAAGCTGGACGTACGACCCTGGAGCGTTCGGTTGAGGGTTTGGGACTGAACCAGCCGTGACTACACAATGCAGCATCTCTGCTCCCTCCAGCACTCCCAGTATCGACCCTGCTGAAGCGCTCGCTGAGTCTGTTCTCTCCAATGCCGCTTCCGATTCCGACTTCTCATTCGCATTCCTCGCCCCCGCCTCCGCCGTCCCGCCCGCCACTCCAACCCCAACTATCCCCCTCCACCGTCGTCAATACCCCATTCAAACGGAAGATCGCGAATCAAACCTCTTCCCCCTCTTCACATCCTACCTCACCCTCCAACCGCCTTCCACCACTATCGTCAACTTTGGTCCCACCCCTAACTTAAACATGTCCTCGATCCCGCGCCGCGCACCCGGCACAGGCTCGGGCAACGGTGAAGCACCGAGTGACATTAACAATCCCAACTCTCCCGACGTCGGCTGGCTCGATCTCCAAGTCGGTGCTGTTCCTTACAAGAATGGTGATCTCATCGCTAGCATTGTTTGGGTGTTGGCTACGATTGCGTTGATTCCGTTGTTGTTGATTCGATTGTTGAGGAGGAGTAGTTTGATCTCGATGGTGTTGCTGACGGTGATTGTTTATATGGTGTTGATGTTGGTTGCCTTTGGTGTTAGGGCCAGGTTGAGCGCTACTACTCCCACGACGAGCTTGATGAATGTCGAGGGTATTATTCTAGCGGTGTTGGTTCCATTGCTCATCGAACCATTGTTGCATCTGCTTGGGTTGTACTCGCAACAAAGTGGAAGGAGTACAGGAGTACCTCAAGCAGCGTTGATCTTGCGAATCCTCAACTTGATCGTTTTCCTCCTCTTCCTCGTTGCAGCTGCATACTACGCTTCTTGGCTCGACAGCAGGAACAAAGCCTTGCAAATGACACAAACCGCACAAGATCTCCCCGGAATCACGCCACCCAAAGTCACCCGGATCGGTCCAGTCGTAGCCTCAGTACTCGTAATCATCGTCATCCTCGGAGCAGCTCTTCTCATCCCCATAGCTAGGGGCGATAGCGGTAGCATGCGTCCAGGTGGATTCTTCTTTGTCCTTCTCCTCCTCCTTTTTATCTCTACTGTCTGGCGTCTCTTGCAAACTCTCCACGCAACTACTCGCATCTCTGCGGAACTCGGCGGAGAACTTGACTCAAACAACCTCCTTCCATTCTTTAAGGGTGGAAGTAGTAACAGTACGACGGATAACCAAAGGGTGGCTCAAGGTTTGAGTTTGGCCCCACAAGGCATGTATGGGCCGAGAACGGAAGGAATCGCATGGGAACAGTTACAAGTGACAATGGCTAGTAGGAGTGCGCCCCAAACACCATTGATTTTCAACCTGGTGTATGTATTGCCGATGTGGTTGATGGTTTTCTTGCTTTTCTTTGCACATGCACCTGTGAAGAAGGATGGTGAAGTTGCCGCTGAGGGTGGAGATAAGGCTGTGGCTGTTGCCGAGGTTTAAACCCTGACCTACAGTCTGTAGCTTGTGTTTTCCCTTTTGTACTTAGTTCATTCTCCCCTAACCACAATATTATCAACTAAACCCCCTTTGAGAGGATGTGTACAAGGAGATCGATGGCGAACAGATGTATTAGTTGTCTATTGCTAAAAGTACATGTATGCGAAATGACAAAGAAAGAAAGATCTAAAATTGCCATGCTGCGCTCTACGAAAGAGTAAACTGGCTCTTACTCCTGATCCTCTTGCCATACCTATAGAAAAGAAAAGGAACCGGAATCATCAACACGTTCAATCCTGCTAAAAACGCACTGGCACCTGCCGGTGTCATTGCCGTATACATCTGTCTTGCGAAAAGTGGGAAGGCAGCAGCCCAACTGCTCCTACAGAACGAATTGGCCGCCATGGCACTCGCTGCTACCGGTCTATACGCGTGTGTAGTATAGGTAAATACCGCAGTGTAAATATAGCTGATACCAAACCCGAAGACTAGAGTTGCGAGAACGGGTAGGATCCAGTGAATTGAGCGATAAGTTGTAAACGCGAACCAAAACATTCCAATGGGAAGACAGATGGCGCCGACCATTGCTACGGGGAGACGGAATTCAGGTTCGGCAACACCGTTACCTTTGGTTTCGACAAGACGAGTGTAGTGCCGAGCCCAAAAAGGCATGGTGCAAACGGCAGAGATCATTCCTATTCCGATACCGAGGAAGGAAAGACCGATTTGTTGAAGATTGAATCCGTGTTGGGCGAATACGATTGGGAATGCTACGAAGAAGAGATACAGAATACCGAGGAGTAAAGCTGACCAGAGACAGAGGAGGAGAAGCATTGCTTCGCGAATAAGGAGTTGGAAAGGTCGAGTAGATGAGGTAAGGATAGTGCTAGCGAGTGATTTTTGGGCTACGACACGTTCGTGTTGGGCGTATAGAGCGTCGTTGCCGGTTTCCTTGCGCAATCCTTTCGCCTTTTTGGAGAGGAGCACAGGAGCGTAGGATTCAGGACCGAAAAAGACGAGAATAGCGAGCATAACAGCAGACCAGATGTTGATGGTGAAAAAAGTCCATCTCCAGTTGGTGTTCTGGTTGATAAAGCCACTCAACAATGGTCCGAATACGGGGCCGAGGAAGGGGCCGTTGGTGTAGATGGCCATGGGAACGAAAATGTCACTTGCTGCAAAGACGTCTGATACCGTACCCCCCGCTACACTTAGGAATGCCGAGCCGCAGAATCCGGTGAGGAAGCGGAAGATGAGGAATAGCGCCAAGTTGTTCGCGAAGGATACCGGCAACCCTAGGAGCGTAAAGGCGGTGTAGGAGACGAGATATACTGGGCGACGGCCATAAAACTCTGAAAGAGGCCCTAGTAGCATTGGGCCGATGCCAAGTCCAACTACAAACAGCGACAATCCCAAGATTGCTACCTCTCTGGAGATCCCAAACTCGTCCTGGATCCCCTGGTATGCATTGCTGATGATGGAGGAAGTGTTGGTAACGCAGAATGCACAAGAAGAGACGACGACAAGAAGCATGATTTTCCGTCCCCGGGCCCAGTTGAGCGGGTTCTGGGGATCATTCTCGGACCAAGTGACCAAGTTTGGGTCCTTTTCCGCTACATGTTTTTTTGCTATCGAGGTGTTGTGTGATTGCTCTTTGGTGTCTGGTGTTGTGGAGTCCGACTTAGTTTCGCCCTGTTCTAGCTGTGAAGCGGTCTTTGGTGAGTGGTGGCAAGTGGAGGCAGCGTCATGGGAGCTTGTGCTGGGTCTGGCGGTGTCCGACATGCAGGTTCGCTGTGATGATAACGCCGGCGTGTCCATCGCGCCATCCAGACTTGCGAGTGTGGAGATGTTGGCGGAAGAGGAGGTGGTGATGATGATGGTGGTCAGGTCGAAAGGCAAGTCAGGCCAACAAGTGTCGCAAGGCATTCTGTGGTTGATCCTTCAACAAGTTCATGCTCCGAGCTTCCGAGGATACGACTAGATCTCCCGATGAAATTACTTCTTCACCTAAGATCGGCAGATGAAGACGCGCTTTGAGGATGTGACACTTTCGAATGTGATCTTTAGACTTGTCACTTGTCATCGCCCGCCCGCCAATCTCGCTTCTGACAGTCACATCAGCCTCATCGCAAGCTGAGAACTGCCTCAATCACTACAGCAGTGCCGTATCTCTTCCGACATCCGACCATTTCAGAAAGTGTCATTCGGCTCATCATCGTCGCAATTCAAGCAACCACTTTGCCTTTCATCATCACTACACTCTCCTCCTCCTACTCTACCACCGCCTCCCCTCCTTCTTCTGGTGCGCGACCTCCGACGTAGCGCCAGAGAATTGAGCGCCCATCATTCATCCTCCATCCAATCCGCTCAACATCCCCACACGCCGTCGCAGGACTCAAAGCGCAAACCTGCAAGACGCGCTCAACTGTCGTATCAACCTCTCTTCCTTCAACAACAACAACAATAATCAAGACGTCAGCAGCAGTAGTAGTAGTTCAACACACAACAGGTCCACATCTGACCTCACACACGCAAGCAGAAGCTATCCTCCACCGCCTGCAAGCTCTTTTCTAACAGCAGCAGCAGGCTACGCTACCTCCTCAGGTCCGTCTGGCTCTCTCGTCGACGACATAGTCAGCACGGGCCACAACCCTGCCCTTCGCAAAGTCCTTTTTCAGCTAGGTTCAGCTCAGGCTCCTGATTTGGCTGCTGCTGCTGCTGTCGGCTCGCTCTCATCTGCTCCGGCTGCGAACTCGAACTCATTGTCATCCTCTGCTACTGGCGAGGCTGCACCAGACAACGGACAAAGTTTGCAGAACAAAGAGCAAGCCGACTCTAAGAACGAGTCAGGACCCGACAAAAGCAGCAGTGAGGCAATCGCTCGTCCCGTTCCGCGCCCACAGCCATTCACCGGCGGCATCTCATTCCGACAGCATCTCGAGCGAAGTCAAGTCCAGCTCCAACAACCTTCCGCCATGTCCAACCAGAACATGCAGTCGCAGCAAGGCCAGCAACAGCAACAGCAACAGCAACAGCAACAGGATGGCCCGCTTGACTCGGTTACTCTTGGCCAGCTTCGTAACCTGATCGTAGTTGACAAGCCCAAGTCGCGCCAATACGACTTCCCAATCGATGCAGACGCCGACACGATGCAGAACGAGATCGACGAGTTTTACTCATACGTCGAAGTGCCTCAGACAGCCGAGAACAGAGCTGCTTGGGAAGAGTGGTGCGCCATGCCTGCTCACTTGCGCAATGCTGGCTACTCGTCTACAGGGTCAGAGATGGGCGCTGAGCCGTCCACTTTGTCCAACCATGCACAGCTGGCTAAAGGTGGTGGTGCACTAGGTCTCGGTCTCAATCAAGGTGCAGGTGCGACGTCTGATGCGACCAACAGTGCTCCAAGAGGAAGGAGGCCGAGCTTGGCTGAGCCTCTGCTGGGAGAGTGGACCACACTCGGCAGTGTCACTCGTCGTCGCATTCTTCAGTCGCTTCTGTCCGCACTCGAGGTCAGAGATCCCGAAGCCAGATTCCGCGCTTCTCGAGCGCTTCTCTACCTGCTTCAAGGTGCCTTTGCTGACACCGCCGGACCGGAACACCAGCTTCACTGGCTTCTGGAGAATGCTCACATGGTCCGGTCACTCGGCGGTCTGGGCGAGATCTACTCTGCCATCAAGCTCGCAAGCTGGAAGCACGACTATCTCAGTTCGCTCCCCGACCACATCCCAGCGCACCAACCCAGCGAGGCAGGTCAACAAGGCCCGGTCAACGCTCCACTGCTCACACCAGAGGCTAAGCTAGAGTATCTCGACGAGATCAACCTCGAGCTCGCACTCCACTTTGCTCAGCTCTACTCACTTCTCGAGAGTTCAAGAGGTGGAGAAGAATGGGGTGACGAGCTCATGTCTCTCGACCCTCCGCTTCCTATCTTTCTCTTCGGTCTGGTCGCTTCCTTGCGAGAGAAGAGTGCAAAGGGTTACCCGGTCAAAAAGCTACTTCTGTTGCTGTGGAAGTCGCTGCTTTCGTGTCTCGGAGGCATGAAGGATGTTGAGCGATGCAAGTTGCTCGCTCGCCAGATCGAGGGTTTAGGGCCCATCGATAAGTCGACCAAGCGAAACGTGCTCAAGTCTGACCCGCTCGACTTTCAGGATTTCCAGCATGAGATCTCGGTCAAGTATCCCACCTTCGAACCACCAAAGCGTCAAGAGAACGATTTGCCGCTGGATAAGCTTGCCAGTGCCATTCATCCTATTCCGCCACGCAAGCCGTTTAGCAACAATGTTGATGGTAATCGAGGATATCCTGGTGGGCCGCAGCAGGGGCCAAACAGTATGCTTCCCGGAACACCTGCACCTTCGCCGCCTCCCTCTCCGAAGCCGAACAAGGCGAAATACCAGACGGACCAGACTCGACCCTTCATCTTCCCATACAGCAGGCAGGTGCATGGTGCAGGTCGGCTCGTGCCACGCAGTATTGAGGAGGCTTCCAAGCTCTACACCGAGCATATGCATGTCAGTCTGGAGCTCTGGCAGACTTGGAGGGTGCGCGAGCAGTGTATTCAGGACGAGAGTGGAGTTGGTAGTGCAGCGGATGGCACTCGGATTGGTCTTGGTGTCAAGTCGGCCGCATCGAAAGCCTATGCTGGGAGGACGGATGCTGCTTCGTCCTCGCAAGGCAGTCGCAGTCCTGTCACTTCCGAGGCATTCCCACCACGCGGCAACTCGGAGCGCACTTTCAAGGTCAAAGGCGAAGCGACGTACGAGCATTTAGTGGAGATTGAAGAAGATATTGAAGCCGAACTACGCGCTGTGCAAGGTGACCATATGCTCGCTGCGCTTGATAATCCTCGGCACACTGAACTCATTGATCAGCTAGCCCAAAAACGTGCAGATGTTCGTCGCTTGCAGCGCGTTGATCAACTCTATCGTGCCGTCCTACCCCAGCTGCAATCATCCGTGATTGTACTGCTTAAGCTGTTGCTGGCTACAGTCACTTCCGTCAACGTCAACTCAGCTCACGCAGCAGCCATTGCCGAAGGCGCAGCCATCGACGAAGCTCCACCTCCCACCCTCGAAGACGTCGATGTTGCTCGTCATCGCGAAATCCTCACCAAAGCCGTCTCTGCCATCCTTCTTCTCTGCTTGAAATGGTTCAAAGCGAGTCATGTGATGAAGTTCAACTACCTCTCCCAAGTACTCGTCGACAGTAACGTCCTCCTTCTCATCCTCAAGATTTTTGGACTGCAGGAAATTGCACATAGCGTAAAAACCGAAAACGAAGCTAAAAACTTCCGATTCTTCAACTACTGCTACCTCAACGGCGGTCGTGAAGCTCGAGGTGCCCGAGCGGAAGACTCGCTCATGTCAAGACATAACATCATTGGTCCAGTTGCCATTAATCCTGGTACCACTTCCCCGCCACCTGGTAAAGTAACAACTCTACCTGATGGAACGGAGATCGAAGTAGTCAGCGACTATTCCTGGCGCAATTTCTTCTCCTCCATCAACTTCACCCGGATCCTTCAGAAGTTGACAAAGCGGAAAGTGCATAGAATTCTGCTCTTGGTGCAGTACAAAAGTTCAGCCATCCTCAAACGCTCCCTAAAGGTTCCACATCAAGGGTTGGAATTGTACGTGTTGAAGGTGATCAAGAGTCAGATTCCGTTCTGTGGAAGGAAGTGGAGACAGAGTAATATGCGGGTGATCACGAGTATCTATTTGAATTGTAGGCCGGACCTGAGGGATGAATGGTTAAGTGGGTCGGATGTGGAAGCGGATGTAGAGGATTCCTTGCCGCAGGAACAGGCGCTGAGGAGCTTGGTAAAGTTTTATAACAATACGAGGTTTGGGCCTCCACAGGCGGTGAGTGGGGGTCATGGTGAGGGTGGAGGGCAAGGGCACAGAAGATCGATTAGTACTAGTGCGGAGAGGCATCAGCAGGATCAGCAGTCGCAGGGTCAGGGTCAACAACAGGCTGGGCAGGGGTCGCAGTTCCAGCAACAACAACAGCAGCAGCAGGGACAACAGCAGGGGCAGAATCAAGCTGGAGCGCAATCAGATCAATCGCAACAGCAAGCACAACAGCGTGGTGTTGGTGGAGCAGCAAACGGCGAAGGCGGAGCAAACGATACCGCGCCACACGCCGCCACACTCTCTCCCACACGGACTTCCAATGGTCCTTCGTTTTTCGAGTCCGATGTGCTTCCGCCATTGCGTAGATCGCACCAGACTTCGGCACCGGGTGGATACATCCCAGACGATGTGGTAGAAGGCTACCTCGACACGTACGAAGATGTTTTGGGCGAAGTCTTCGGCGAGAACGTCTTTTATCCTTCCGTTTATTCTTCCGATCCCGGACATGAGGGTGGCGGTGGAGCTGAAGGGGATCCAACACACAGTGATGGTGCTGACAATTCAAATGCTGCATCCGGCTGGAGTTCAGGCAAGTGGGGATTAACCCATCAAGGTTCCTCCACTGCTTGGGCTCGACTGGGCGAAATCTTGGGCGAAACAGTCACCGATTCAGATACTTCCTCCATCGACGCTTCTCGTTCTGACCCAACCGATCCTTCCACTGCCACCGACGACGAAGGGGAAGATGAGAATAGGAATGATTGGGAGCATCTCTCGCCTAAAGAAATGCGATATCTTTCTTCCGGGGTGCTTTCTCCTCCTTCACCCTCTCCAATTCCGTTGGGTGGGGGTGGAAAGCAACCTTCGCCCCTCCAATCACCCCGCACCGCTGCATCGCCTTTGCATGGGGGATCGGCGCTAGACACTTCCCCCGGATCTCCAATCCGTCCTTTCACAATTAGTGGAAGTGGAAGCAGACCAGGAAGTAGGAGAAACTCTAGGTCCAATTCGGATTCCAGTCCTCTACGACCAGTGTTGACGGACTGGAAGAATGACGACGAGCTGGATAGTCTGGATTTGTTGGCTCAAGCTGAGGCTAGGAGAGCTGAGGAACAGCAAGCGGAGGAAGCGGGCGAAGATGAGGAGGAGGGAGTGGAAAGTGGACCGTTGCCATTGCAGAGGAGGAAGTCCGGTGGAATAGATGAAGTTGAGCATATATTTGGTACCTAAACCCTCACCTCTTATTCCCCTTTGTCAATCGCAATCACAATGGTTTGAAAGCCCAGCACCTCAGACCGTAGCTGTGATCTGTTGTTTGATGAGACCGCATCCGTCGAGATCAAAGACCAAGAAGCATCAGCTTCGGCATCCAACCAAACCACGATCGGGACATTGACACTGCGAATCAAAATACGAGCATTGCTTGAAACTGCACATTTACAATCGCCCTTAGACTGGGTCGGTACATCTTTGTTTAACCGTAGTTAAGACTGTACCAATCAGAACGCAAGTAGCATATCAGTATTCAATGCTGTCCCTGTCTCTTGTTGAGGCTGCGAGTGTGCTTACCGGAAGATATCATTAAAGACATAGAAAGAGCCGTTTTCAGGGTTCAACGTGAAAGTCTGAGAGAATTTGAGTGGGTTTGCACCATCATCGACAACGAGCATTCCTGTAACAAGGACGACAAGGCTGTTACCATCGCCGGTGGGCTGTGCATCACGAGTTTCGACTTTGTGTTGGACTTTGGTGAACGGCAAGCCCTACGATACACAGCAACGTAATGGTGCAAGGAAGAAAGGAGATGTGAGTAAGGGGGGAGATGGAGAAGGAGGTGACACAGGTGGAAGGGAACTTACGGTGAGCTTTTCGACGATAGCTTGAGCTCCCTGAACTTGCGAGCCTTCGAAAGTGAGCATTGAGTTTGCTCGCTGTGATCATCGAAGAAGGTGCAAGTGGATGTAGAGATTGGCAAAAGGCGGAGTTGTTTTGATAGATTTGGGAGCGGGATGAAAAGGCAAGGCGATAGGTCAGTTTGAGCTGTACACTGAACAGCTGTGGGATCGAGGACCAGCCAGCACCTAGCTCCGTTGAATCTAGTTGCTCCATATTCCTGCCGCTGTGTGGCTTCGATCGTCAGGCCTCCTCCGGACATAGCTTTTACAAGGAGACCCTTTGCAATATTGCAACGTTGGAGCCACGCAGTATCCGTCGCAACAGTATCCTGACTTGCGCTGGGCTGACTAGCTGAGTCCCCGATCCATCATCGCTCTCGCTGAGCTGAGGCACGTACGTAAAGGTTGACCAACTGGTTCCGATCAGCGTCGAAAGTCGAATAGTAGAAGTCGGTGAACTGCTGGGCGATCTGCTCCATGTTGGGCAACGTTGATCCTAAGGTTGATAGAATAGATGGTGGTGGTGACGATACTAGTAGCATTCGATGAGAGAAGTGATGGAGTTCCGGTTTGATGTTTTCTCGAAGCAACACTTTTGGTGTGTCTTCCCGTCTCCGCCGCACAGAGCCGAAAATTAATAGCGGTGTTAGACTTTCGTCGAGTGGACGCTAGAATTTTCGATCACAACTCGTCCAAGAGCGGAGGCAAGGCAGCAACAAAGCTAATTTGTGTGCCTCATTTTTGGTGCACCTTTTCTTACAATTCACCGAGCTGTCTCGGAATGAACAGAGCAATACGAGCACTTCTGCGACACACCATTGTAACACCAACACAACTAGTAAAGACAACTCAGAGCATTCACAAACCATGGTCAGACCGACAGCAATAGCAAAGGATGAAATGCAAAACCTATAATCACTGTTTCAACGACGACTAACAAAGACATACAGAAGAACAGATTTTTTTTGAGAATCGATGCTTTTACTCGTCATCCTCAGCATCGCCAACCTTGGCAGCGACAGCGTTGGCACGCTTTTTAACAGCATCTTTCGCCTGAACAGCAGTAGCCTTAGCTGAAGCGGCAACCTCCTTTGCCTTGCCTTCAGCAGCCGTAGGAGCGTCGACCTTCTTACCGTCCTTAGTTGTGACCTGAACCTTGCTGCTACCACCCAGAACACCTCCCAAGAGACCAACAAGACCGAGCAACCCAGCAAAAGCAGCGCCAAGACCACCTGCGACCTGAGGCATCTCCTTGATAGCTTCAATGGGATCCTGTCGTGCTTTACCTATGAAAGTGTTGACGTGAGTGCGAACCTGACCGACGAAACCGGCAGCTGCTTCTGCGGCCGCTTCAGCCTTCTTAGTGGCGGTCTCCTGCTCCTTTTCTTCCTGACCCTGCTCGATCTTGAACTTTTGGTCGAAAGTCTCTGCGGAGAAAGCCTTGGCTTGGGCTGGGTCGTGACCGACGTAAATGTTATCGAACAGGATGTCCTCGTCCATGGTCCAGAGCTCGAAGCCGACACCGCCGATAGGATTGAAGTCGGCAGGCGTCTTGTCCTCAAAGTAGTTGGGGTTGGGGATCTTGCGAGGAGCCCAAACACCCTTGTACTCGGGGTTGTCGATCAGAGGTGCTGACCACTTGCCCTTGTATGCGGGGTTGCGGATCATGGGTCGGACCCACTCGCCACAACCAGCAGCAGCTTCACACTTGGGGTTGGGAATGCTGGGAGCGAACCACTCTCCATCCTCCTCCTCGTCCCACTCTTCGGGCTTCTGTGCGTCAGGGTCCGGGATGGTCAATGGCTCATCCTCGAGCCAACCATCAGGCTTGACGGCATCCTCGTCGGGGATCTCGAGCGGTGCGTCCTCATCCCAGTCATCAGGCTTAGTAGCGGTAGGGTCAGGGATCTTGGCCTGCTCAACCCAGTCAGCGGGCTTCTTGTCCTCTGGGTCGTCAATCTCGGCAGGAGGGTTGACGGGAGGCTCAAAGTCCTCGAGCAAGGAACCCTTCTTCTTGCTCTCGTTGTTGATGAAGATCTCGAAAGTCTGATCTGGCTGCACCACAAGGGTGTACAGCGTCGAGGTCTTGGAGAGCTTAGGGTAGACGGGGTACTTGACGTGCTTCTCCTCGTATTCGCCCGTCTTGGGGTTCTTGTGACGGAAGATAAAGTGAACCTTGTTAGTCGCACCACACTTGTCGGGACCGAACATGATGGTGTATGGAGTCTTGTCTGAGAACTCTTCGGGTGTGACGCCGGCTTCGGTGGCAGAGAGAAGCTTGATGTAGGCACCGCCGCAGCTGAGACCCTTTTGAAGCTTGACCTCGTACTGGACTACAAGAGGCATGCCCTTGGGGTCGATGGGCTTATCAAAGAGGTGCGAAATAGCGTGTTGCTTGGCCTGGGACTTGAGAACAAGACCAGCATCACCTGCGAGACCGGGCAAAACTTGAGGCTCCTCGACGGACCAGACACCGTCGTACTTGAATGCCTCGGTGTCGCCCTCCTTCTGGAACTTGGAGGCTTGGGAAGACTGCCATCGTTCGGACCAGTCTGGGGTGAACTGCTCGATGAAGGGAGCCTGGATCGAGGTAGGGGCGAACTGAGGTCGGGCAGCGGCGTCAGCGGAAACCACCTCTGCCAGAACAAAGGCGGCCAGGGCAGCAGCGACAGAGGGCTTCATAGTGAAGGGCTTGCAATGTTTTGAAGACCTGTTGTGATGGGAATATCGACAGCGGCGGCGACGACGACAGCAGAATGAGGCTTGAGCCGGGTCGAGTGAGGTGGAGCGTAGATGGGTCCTTGGCGAGTTGACCGTGTTCTTCTTTGAGAAGAAGAAAAGCGTCGGTATGGAGGTGAGCAGGTGGATGGGTGCTTGACGAAGAGAAAGAAGGAGGAGAAGGTGGAAAGGAGGAGCAAGCTGGATGCGAAATTATGTATGTAGCAGCGCAGAGAGGGGCCGTGCTCTGTTGGAGTGTCTGTCAGAATGCGGGCCAAAAGGAAAGCGAAGGCCCACACCAAGTGTTGCACTGACTGACTGACTGACTGACGCCAAAAACTCGGAAGCCCGGTGATGTGGAAGCTGCTGTCCTTGTGTGCTCGTGGCTGGAAGCTGGAAAATTGCAATTCACCGCTTGCTTCGATAGACTGTGAGACACACAGAACAGGAAGCTTCCACCATCACACTCGCGTACATGGCGCAGCGTTTCAAGGATCACCTTGAACCCCTAACCATTGGCAGCATCGAAGGCAGTATTCGCTATGAAAGCAGGGCAGGCCGCGAACAGGTTGGCTATGGCCTTTGCTGGTCGAGACCGTCAACGTTATTGCTTCTCTCGCAGCTCAATTTGCTCGAAGGTTCCTTTTCGGGTGCTGCAATCGACGTTGCGGCGCTTGACGTGGAAGCTCTGGCATTTAGATTTTTCTTCTTATCGGCCGTGTCCTGGTTGATGGCCAGAAACTATCGCGGTGTTAGTGAGGTAGAGCTGACATGTTTTCGATTTTCCATCCACAACAACAGCGGAAAGAGGGGCTGTGCCGATCAGAGCACATTTGGCTGAGGAAATTGTGCAAGCTCTCTCCACTCTAAAGCGAGACGCTTGAACCAACACGCTGAACGCAAATTCGCTCGCTCCTGTCATCAGAGATACGCACAAGCAACACACACAACAGAGCACACCAGCCTCGCTTGCGTATCACGAGTCGATTCAACAACGACTTGCCTTCCTACTCCACCTCGTAACCCTTTCGGCATCATCACCACTCTCCTCAACCTCGTCGACTCAAGAGCTAGCCATACTCGCAGGTAAGTTTATACACAGCCGCCTTCTCTTTCCTCGACAGTGCACACCCGCAGTGTTCTTTCTCCCAGGGCCCCGCACGGATGCTTTCTTCTCAACACCCGCCCATCGTCCGCATCCGCTTTGGCAAAACAGTCAAGCCACCACGACTGCACCACAACATTGGCACACCTGCCAAGTTCCACTGCTTCACCGCCACGTATATCTGAACAAAGCTGATCTCGTCATCATTGCATTACTTTTTCTCAGCAGTCGCAATCCGCTCTCACCAACAGCTCACGGCGGAACGAATCCCATCCACACACAAATAGTGCTGTGCGCATTATAGGCCGAGCACTCCTTTCGCACCCCGCACATCACCCGCTCTTCTTCTCCCTTGCTCCCTCGCTCCCTCGCTCGTTGATCTAGGCGGAGCGATCCGGACACACTTCCCAACATGGCGATGGACCAGTCGCTCATCAAGCTTGTCAACAAGCTTCAGGATGCCTTCAACAATGTTGGCATCCAGAACCCCATCGACTTGCCCCAGATCACGGTGCTCGGCTCCCAATCCTCGGGCAAGTCGAGTGTACTCGAAAACATTGTCGGTCGTGACTTCTTGCCCCGTGGTACCGGTATCGTGACTCGCCGTCCTCTCGTTCTTCAGCTTATCAACCGTCCTGCCACCTCGAAACCCGGCGATGCAGCTCCAGCAGGCTCAGAGAAGGGCGCCAACAATGCAGACGAGTGGGGAGAGTTCCTTCACCTTCCCGGCGAGAAGTTCTTCGACTTTGACAAGATCCGTGACGAGATCGTCCGCGACACCGAGCTCAAGACTGGCAAAAACGCCGGTATCTCACCTCAGCCCATCAACCTTCGCATCTACTCGCCACACGTCCTCACACTCACCCTTGTCGACCTTCCCGGTCTTACAAAGGTGCCCGTCGGTGACCAGCCCAGAGATATTGAGCGTCAGATCCGAGACATGGTGCTCAAGTTCATCTCCAAACCCAACGCCGTTATCCTTGCCGTCACTGCTGCCAACACCGATCTTGCCAACTCGGACGGTCTCAAGCTTGCCCGTGAAGTGGATCCCGAGGGTACTCGTACCGTTGGTGTGCTCACCAAGGTTGACCTCATGGACGCTGGTACCGACGTTGTCGACATTCTTGCTGGTCGTGTCATCCCTCTTCGTCTCGGCTACGTTCCCGTCGTCAACCGAGGTCAGCGTGACATTGACCAAAAGAAGCTCGTCAGCGCCGCTCTCAGCGCCGAAAAGGAGTTCTTCGAGAACCACCCTAGCTACCGCAGCAAAGCCCAATACTGCGGTACTCCCTTCCTTGCCCGCAAGCTCAACACCATCCTCATGCACCACATTCGCAACACATTGCCCGACATCAAGAACAAGATCGGCAGCCAGCTTGCCAAGTTCCAGGCTGAGCTTCAGGCATTGGGCGGTCCTATGGGCGAGACCAACAACGCAGGTGTCGTTCTCCAGATCATCACCGAGTTTGCCAACGAGTTCCGCACTGTCATTGACGGTAACTCGAACGATCTCACTGTCAACGAGCTCGCAGGCGGTGCTCGTATCAGCTTCGTCTTCCACGAACTCTACAGCAATGGTGTCAAGGCCATCGACCCCTTCGACGTGGTCAAGGACACCGACATTCGCACTATCCTATACAACTCGTCCGGTTCTTCTCCAGCTCTCTTCGTCGGCACCACCGCTTTCGAGGTCATTGTCAAGCAGCAGATCAAGCGTCTCGAAGATCCTGCCCTCCGCTGCTGCTCTCTTGTCTACGACGAGTTGGTGCGCATTCTTGCACAGCTCCTCGCCAAGAACTCCAACTTCCGACGATTCCCTGCGCTTCGTGAGCGTTTCAACTCGGTCGTCATCCAGTTCTTCAAAAAGTGCATGGCTCCTACTACCAAGCTTGTCTCGGACTTTGTCGCTGCAGAGGCCGTCTACCTCAACACGGGTCACCCAGACTTCATCAGTGGTCATCGTGCTATGGAGATTGTCAACGAGCGTCTCAACCCACCCCAGCCTGCACATGACCCGAAGAAGCCCAATCCGCAAGGGATCAACAACGACAAGGACCTCGATGTCTCGCTCAAGAATGAATCTGGCTTCTTTGGCTCTTTCTTCCAGAAGGGTCAGCAGACCAACCCAGCAGTCAAAGCAAAGAAGGCACTCATGGAAGCTCCACCGCCGTCGCTCAAGGCTTCCGGTCAATTCAGTCAACGTGAACAGCTCGAGACCGAAGTCGTCAAACTCCTCATCCAGAGCTACTTTAACGTCGTCAAGGTCGAGACCATCTCAATGGTTCCTAAGTGTATCATGCTCAACTTGGTCACACAGTCCAAGGATCAGATGCAGAAGGAGTTGCTTCAGGAGATCTACAGGCCCGATGTACTTGAGGAGTTGATGAAGGAATCGGACCACGTTGTGGCTAGGAGGAAGGAATGTGTCAAGATGATCTCGGCTTTGGAGACAGCGTCCGAGATTATTGCCACTGTTTAGAGTTCCTTTACTGGCTCAGATGTAATTAGCAACAAAAGCTTTGTCATTGTTTTTTATGTAAATGCGTATCTCCTTTTCTCATGGCCACCGAGTGCGAGGTGTTTGCGAGACCTTTGTGAGATGTTTCCACACACTCTCCCTCAAGGACAGCAGAGATGAAAGAAAAACAAGATGTTGTGAAAGGGTGGTATCTGATTGCATTCCAACGGTTGATTGCGGATCAGGCATCTTTGTCGCGCTGTTTCTTGCGTGAGTCAGAAGACTCGAGTCCTGAACGCTTAATTCCTCGCTTTGCATCATCCAAGAACTGGTTGATTGCGAAAGGATCCGTTGTGTCCTTTTCAAACTGAACCGGACCTGATCTCTCCCCACCTGCACCACCAGATGGACCGGCATCAGCATCCTCGGCACCTTTGAACTTGCTTTGACCCAACCCGAATCGATCGTTGTTCTTAAGCTCTTCCTCAAACGCACCCTCATCACCACCACCTGCTCCATAAATATCATCAGCTCCACCCCTCCCTGCTGGACGACGATAGATAGCGGCAGCAGCCGAACTTCCCGAAAACAGAGGCTTATCGTAAAGATTGTAACTATCTTCATCACCGTACCCGGCTGAAAGTGATTCCTGGTTGAACAGACGACTGTCTGTCATCGAATCCTTAGACGCAGTTGGTTTCGCAAGGCCAAGAGCGACTTTTTCAGAGATATCTCGGTTTTGCTCTCGTAGAAGTTGCTTGGCACGTTGTTCAGTACCCATATTGGACATGCGAAGTTCACGTTCTCTCTCGCGACGTCGTTCCTCTCGGATACGATCGCGTTCGCGTGCTCCTTCGTCATCTTCGTCGCCTTCACCGGCAGAAGAGCCTGATCCGGAGTCTGAATCGGATCCGTAGCCTGCAAGCATCGCTGACATGCCACCACCGCGGCTGCCGGATGCAACAGCACCACCGCGGCTGCGTGAAGGTACATCCGAGTCATCCAGTCGTGAAGCTACATCGTCATCGTCGTCTCCACCACGACCAGAGACAGAAGGTGTAGCGGAAGAAAGTCCCGCACGCTCCTCTCGTGCGCGCTGTGCAAGATTCCGCAGATGCTCCTCCTTTGCAGCCTTCTCTTTAGCCGCAAGCTTCTGCTGCATGATACTACGCTGTCGTACTTCCTCCCTTGCGTGTCTATCCGCAAGATTGAGCGCCTCTGCAAGCTGAGCAAAGTTGTCGTTAATCACAACATCCTTGATGCCACTTCCGTCCGCAGCGAGACGCTTGTCAAGTGGAATAGTATAACCCTTGTTGTTCTTCCAATTTGAAATTGCGGGTGGAATCATCCAATCCTTCTGCTCCTGTGCTGTAACTTTGCGTGGTGGTGAGCGAAGAACGGGTGGTGGTGGAGAAGGTGGACCAGGGGCGACTTTCTTGAATCGATGACGGGGCGGTTCCAGTGGATCGCGTGCTGCTTCGGTCATCTTGATGATTCGTTGTGTGCCATTCCCTGCTCCTTGTTGACCTGGTGTATAACGAATGAACTGTGCATCTTGCCTTGCACCGGCTTGACTGACGGGTTTGGCGACGGTAGATTTGGATCTGGTCTTTGTGAGTGCTTCGAGTGCGAGACGTGTTCGTTCGGTTGTGCTCATCACTTCTTCTTGTGATGGACGCTCGAAGCCTGATGCTCGATCCTTGTCCTTGAGGTCAGTGCGCTGGGAGAGAGGTACAAGATCCTTGTACTCTGTCTGAACAGTCTGTCCTGGTCTCAAACCTTGCTTGACGATTGCATCGTATCGCTTGTTGCCCTCGCCGTCTACGCGCATGGCGATCTTGTTGCCTCCTGCAGCTGACCTTGTTCGGCCCATGTCGAGCGGGTATTGTGCGATGTGACATTCCGGGTATGCACCTCCGCCACCAAAGTCGGCTTGTGTTCGTGGTCGCCATGATGCTCGCTGACCGTAAGGTGGGACGTTGGAAGTGGAAGTGGACGCGGAAGCGGAAGGTGAGGTGGAGGGTCCGGCTTCCGCGTTGTCGTACTCTTTGTTGTCATCATCATGGGAGGCAACAGCGGCGCTGTACTTTGGCGCAGGCAGGACGCTCTGTAACGTGGCCACCATAGTGTACGACGGCGACAGCGGCCTCAAGGGTCGAAGTGTGATGGATGAAGATGGTGTGAGAGACGAGAAGAATGTCCGTGTTGAGCAACGCCCACTCGTTTCAAGTCGCTGAAGGCATTCAGGATCGAAATTTGTTACGATCGCAACTTTGAGCCCGATCGAGCACTGACCCGATGCGGAGAATGCCTGCTTCAGTGAGTGAGGCGAGCAGACAAAAGTCCGATTTCCGTGTGTGCTTGACGCGACTTTGAGTTGTCTGTGTGACTTTTGGAAGGCCAATAATAGCCAATACGCTCGCTGAGTCTCACTCCATAACCGATCCACATCCATGGGATCACCTCATTCTCTACGATCCCTTCTCATCTCCCTTTCATCACCGGAACCCAAGCCGTCGATCATTCCGAGTAGGCTGACTCGCCTTTCTTCACTTCCATCTTTGCGACGTTTCGCAGTGCAGCTCTTTCTGCATTCACATTCGCTTCGGTTCGCTTTTCGACTCTCACAACAGATCACCTTATCTCGCCCTTACCCGCACAAGCAGCACCCAGCTCGGCCTTCTATCTCTCTCTTAAGGATCGCTCGCACGCACTCGACGTTCTCTTGCCAGGCATCCACGTGCAGCCTCATGCAACCCAACATAGCGACTCTGCTGCAGCGAGTCCTATCCTAGCAGCCTAATCCCAGCAAAGCGGGGCGCAATACATACTACAGATCAAATCGTAGGCATCGCAGACAACACATACTGTTCTTGAGGGGTCAATACCGCCTCATCCGGAGGTGTTCGCCCATCGGCTTCGTGGAACTTCTGCGTTCGACAACGGGTAGCCAGACGGCTCGACATCGTTCGTCAAGATGTCCAAGCAGCGAGGCACAGCCGCATATCGCGGCTTCACAGTCAGTCATCAGCGTGTTGTCCTCGACCTTGGCTTCAACGGCACAGTGACTGGCTTCACAGAACTCACCATCGTCCCAACCCATCGCAGTCTTCGCACCATCCATCTCAACTGCCGACAAGCTTTTGTGCAATCAACTTCAGTATCAGGGCAACCTGCTGAATTCTCATACGCAGACCACCTCACCGGCGCAACGGTCTCAGGTATACGCGATGTCCATCGCTATCCCGAACTCAAACGGCGGATCTACGCAGCTGCATCCGACGGCGTTCATGGCGAACTTAGCATCCTCATTCCACCAGATGTTCATGTACAGTCACGACGTGCAGGCAGCAGAGCAGCAAGTATCGCTCCAGATGATGCTCCGACACCAGGAGGTTCTTCCTCGTCCAACGAGCTCGCACCTACCACCGTCAGGGTCGACTACTACCTCAAAGATCCAACAGATGGCATTCAGTTTATCCGTCCGACTGCAGACGCGCCCTACCGCGTACCTCATCTCTTCACCATCGCATCCTCACCGGATGCCGCACGCTGCTGGGTTCCATGCGTGGATAGCTTGTGGGAGAGGTGTACATGGGAATTCGAGCTCATCGTGCCCAAGTCGCTCAATACAGCCGACGACGAGGAAGATGCAGCAGATGCCAATGGAAACACGACCGCACTGGAGCTGGCGGCAGCAAACAGTGCCGACACTGCCGATCCTGACTCACAGGTTGTCGTGGTCTGCACTGGTGACTTGATGGAACAGGTGACGCATCCCAACAATCCTTCCAAAACCGTCTTTTGCTACACTCAGGCTGTCCCTACTTCGGTTCAGCACGTCGCCTTTGCTGCCGGTCCCTTCCACATCATGCGCATCGAAGCCAACAATCGCCACGCCGGTCAGATTGCGACAGGCACCATCACAGATCTCACCTCGGGCGTGCCTCCTGCGTTGGATGACTCTGGTCAGCCTGAAATCCTCGCCTTCTGCTTGCCGGGTCGAGAGGAAGAGTTGCGCAGCTCCATCAGCTTCACACGACAGGCTCTCGACTTCTTCTCACAGGAGTACGGCTCCTATCCATTCAACGCCTTCCGTATGGTCTTCGTCGAAGAGCCACCGCAAGATTGTAGCACTCAATCCATGATGGCCATTTGCTCCAACGATCTTCTTCATCCGACATCCGTCATCGACCAAGCTATCGAGAATCGCCAGGTGCTCAGTCATGCCATTGCTTTCCAGTGGGTCGGTGTCAACATCATTCAAGCTACGTGGGCCGACACCTGGCTCGTCAACGGTCTCAGCTTGTATATGAATGGTCTTTTCTTACGCAGGCTCATGGGTAACAATGAATACCGATTCCGACTCAAGAAGGATCTCGATCGACTCTGTGCGTGGGACATTGGCATGCCACCTCTCTACGAAGCAGGTGCTTTTGAGCCACCTGACCCGGCTACATTACCATTTGTCAATCTCAAGGCTCCCTTGGTGCTTCACATTCTCGATCGACGACTGCGAAAGATGGGTGCCTCAGTCGGTCTCGGCCGTGTTATTCCAAAAGTCTTTCTCCAGGCCATGACTGGTGAGATGACAAACAACATGCTCAGTACGCAGCAGTTCCTTCGAACTTGTCGTAAGGTCAGTGGAGCCGACCTTCGTCTCTTTACCGAGCACTGGATCCGTGGTAGTGGCTGCCCGCGTTTCATCTGCAGCGCCAACTTCAACCGTAAGAAGCTCCTCATCGAGATGCACATTCGTCAAGAGGTTCCAGCTGCCCAGTTTGCTGCAGCCCGACCGGGCGACGCACTTGCCGCGAATCCCGTACCTCTGTTCGAAGGTCAGATGACAGTGCGAATTCACGAGGCAGACGGAACGCCGTATGAGCACGTGCTCGAGATCAAAGGCCCTGCCAAACGATACGAAGTACCGTTTAACACCAAGTACAAACGTGTGCGTCGAAATACGAAGCGATTCCAGGCCCGCCAGGCAGCGGCAGCTGCAGCAGCACAAGGTGATCAAGAAGCGCAAGAAGCCATTGGACTCATCGATTTGGGCTTCGGTCTGGGTATGTGGGAAGACGAGAAGGCGCGAGAAGAGTGGAAAGTAGCAGATTGGACTGAAGAGGACGAAGAGAAGATGTCTTCAGCGCCATACGAGTGGATTCGCATGGACGCCGACTTTGAGTGGCTCGCCAGCATCCACTTTGAACAGCCGGACTACATGTGGGTCTCGCAGCTTCAGCGAGATCGGGATGTCGTCGCACAGGTCTCTGCTGTCCATGCGCTCGCACAGATGCCGTCATTGGTGACATGTAGTATGCTCACGCGTACTGTGCTTGTCAACAAGTACTTTTACCGTGTCCGTACGGAGGCGGTACATGCGCTGGTCCATTGCGCTATTCCGCAGCTCGACAATCTCGGCCTCTTCCACCTGCTCAAGCTCTTTCGATCGCAGTTCTGCCATGATCCGCCTGACGATGCATCCATCGAGGATCCGCTGGACGTGCCCTGTATCCCTCGAGCCAACGACTTCAGCGATGCTGCCGATTACTTTTTGCAGCGAGCGTTGATTCATGCCATCAGCCGTGTTCGCGATCCTGACGGACGAACACCACCGCAGATCAAACGCTTCCTGATCAATCTGTTACGCTACAATGACAACTCCACCAACCACTTTGTCGACGACTTTTACCTTGCTGGCGCGATCAATGCCGTGGCTAGCGCCTTCATTCCCGTCGACTCGGCCATGGCCGGCTCGCAAGACCCTGACGCGGCCAACGAGGACAGCTTTTTGCTGACCCATGCAATTGCTGAGGTGGAGCGTCTGCAAGAGCTGGACCGCCTCGTCCCTTCGTATCACAACGTCATCACCCTTGCCTCGCTCGACTTTCAGGTGGCAATGATGCTGGCTAATCTGAAGCCCCGGGATCTTCAGCTGTTCTTTGTCTACACGCGTCAAGGCAACTTCACGCCGGTTCGTATCGCCGCTTTGAACTGTTTGCTCCTCGTGGGCAACCTCGACCACCGTATTGTGGCACGCTACTGCTTTGCGCTTCTTCGCCTCGACGAGAATCGCACGGTGAAGCGAGCCTTGGCGCGAGCATTATGCGAGGGTCTTGCTGTGGGTATGAGTACAGGTGTCTTTGGTGGCGGAGGCCTGCGCGGACCTGAAGCATTGTTGATCGAAGAAGATAGCGGACAGGTCAATGCGGCTGAGAAAGCTCGCGATGCGCAGCTCGAGGCCATGCTCAAGACGCTCAAAAGGGAGATTGGGCGATCTGCAGGTGTACGTGAGGGCTTCTTATCGGCTTTGCTGGCTCCGAATGTGGATGTCGAGGCACGCTGGGCGTTGTTGAAGCTTGCGGAGCTGCTGTTCCGACCTGCTGAGGAGAAGGATTTGCCTCTGCAGCACAAGGTTCAGCTTCGTGTCAGGATGCCGAGTGCCCAGTCGGCGATCGACACCATTGCTCAGGAGTCACCTTCGAAATCCAAGATCAAGCTTGTCAGGCCCAACGTGGCAGCCGAAGAGGATACCGTTGCCAAACCTCGCGTTGCTTTCGATACTCCCGAGAAGCCCAAGCAAACCGATGCGGAGCGTAAGAAGATCAAACCCAAGAAGATCAAGCCACTCGCTCCTGGTCAGGCTTCGGGCATGTCTTTTGCCGACTTGACAGCTTGCAGAAACACGCTCAAGAAGCTCATGCAAAACAAGCATGCTTCTATCTTCCTCAATCCTGTCGATCCTGTGCGCGACCAGGCCACCGACTACTTTGACATCATCAAGGAGCCGATGGACTTGGGCTCGATTCTGAACAAGCTCGACAGCGGTCAGTACAAGGATCGACACGAGCTGCGTGCTGATTTCGAGCTCATGATCAGCAACGCAAAGACCTACACCCCTGATCCTAAGGCTTGGGCTCACAAGCAAGCCGTTGGTCTGGAGAAGGTGTTTGGCCCTCTGTGGAACAGGATGGAGAAGACGCTGGAACAGTCAGCAGCACGACAGAAGGCAGCTCACGAGGCGGCGCTTGCCAACGAGCACATGGCAACTGTACAAGAGACTCCGGATCGCTCTTCGCCTGTCAAGCCGGACGAGTCTCCAGCTGTAACTGCCGCGAACGAGTCAGTGCCGAATGCTGGAGCAGTCAGGGAAGCATCCACTCCAAGCTTTGCACCTGCCAAGCCTTCGCTCAAGGTCAGGGTCAAGACCAAGCCCGCAGTCGAAGAGTCGCCTTTCCCGAGCACTCCCACGCCTCAGCCTAGGACAAGTGCTGTGCCGGAAGAGTCTCCGGTTGCAGCTTCCACGCCGTTATCTACGAAGCTGAAGCTGAAGAAGCCACTGGTCAAGCTCAAGAAGACGAACGATGGCGAGGCTGCTGCGCCTGGAACTCCTTCTCCGGCGCCAACAACAGCTCCTCAGAGTGTTGATGACGATATCTTGGAGGCGCTTGGAGAAAGCGTGCCCAAAGCGAGCAAGGCGAAGCCAGCCAAAGCTTCAGCCATGTCGCCACCACCAGCCGTCGTCGCAGCTTCAACACCTGCCCGTGCTTCGCCAGCAGCCGCAGCATCGCCCAGCGTCAAGAAGAGCAAGTCGAGAAGCTCCGGTACTCCTACCCTGACATCGAACGGCACTGCTCCGTCATCCGGTGGATTGCCGTCCAAGGACATCGCCAAGTGGGCCGAAAGGGACCCTGTTGGCGCTACAGCCAACATGCCTATCAACGGAAAGAAATGCAAGGTCATCCTGCAAGTCATCAAGAAGTCGCCCTTCTCGATCTTCTTCCGCTTCCCAGTGGATCCTATCCGCGATGGTCTGCCGACGTACCTAGACGAGATCAAGGAGCCGATGGACTTGAGTACGACGGAAAAGAAGGTCAATCAAGCGGCCTACTCGACCATGGGCGAATTTGCTTCTGATATTGAACTCATATTTGCCAACTGTCGGCAATTCAACCCTCCTGGAACCGAACCTTGTCAGCACGCAGACGAGTTGGAGAAGCTTTGGCGCAAGGAATGGGCTCGTCTTGTTACACCCAAGCTCGAGGCGAACGAGAAACGTGCCCTTGTTGGGTTGGTGAACAGACTGAAAACCCATCAGTCTTCACTGCTGTTCCGCGAACCAGTCGATCCGGTCGCGCTTGGCATCCCGACGTACTTCGATATCATCCCTAAGAATGACGCAAGGGATCTTAGCTTGATCGAATCAAAACTCAAAGCGGATAAGTACGATAGCTTTGCAGCTTTCGATGCAGATATCAAATTGATGCTGAAGAATTGCTACACCTTCAACGCGCCGGACGAAGGAGTGTTGCAGATCGCAAAAGGCTTTGAAACAGTGTACAAGAAGGAGATGAACCATGCGAAGCAGCAGGCTGGTGTTAGTAGTACTAATGGCAGTGGTGGCGGTGGGGGAGGCGCAGGAACGTCAAGTGGGGGCAAGCGGAAGTTGTCAGTTGCTCCAGCGAACGGCGGAGGCGGAGGAGGAGGAGGGTCGAGTAAGAAGGCTAAGAGTGGTTGAGGCCCCCATACTCTCATCTTTTATTGCTTTAGTGCGGGAAAGCAACTTCTTTCTTGCTCTGCTTTGATTACGCACCTGAAAGAATGCGAAAGAGAGGTAGAGGTGTGATCCTATGAATGTATGTACTGAGCTTAGCGGCAACGTCACTGTGAGTCTTGAGACTCACTCGCAGAACTGTCACAGTTCGTCTTGTGCATCGTAAGCCATAGCAGACGTACGACACAGACTGTCCTCCATCTCGCAGCGGAAGACGTTCGATCAAGCCCGTCCGTCTCTTCACGGTAATAGAAAGATTTGATCCCAGTCAGTTCCACCCAACACTCAAACGCTCGAACGCTCGAACGCTCTGCACCCAAGTCCCAATGTCACACAAGTTTCGCAGATAAGAAGACGAGAGATGCGAGCTTCGATTGGGTATAACCAGCACAACACGCTACTCCTTTGTGGGAGAGCTGATCGAACTAGTTCCCTCCGAAGTCGGCGTCTCCCGCTGTCCACCAGATGACGGAGGACGATCAGTACCCATAACTTTTCTCAATTTATCTGATCTTGAGCGGATGAGTGATCCAATTCCCCCACTTGCTCCATTTTCAGCTTCTGCTCTAGCGTTTGGCTCGTTGGGTATGGTGGCGAGGTTGAACTGATGGTGTCCGTGATGATGAGAGTCTTGGGATGTGCGAGGGTCTCTCGGCGGTAGTGGTTGTTGTTGCCGGCGGAAGTGGGAGGGCAGACTGGAGTTGGTGACGAAGCTAGACAGTTTAGAGCCTCCGCTTGTATTGCTCGGTAAGGTTGAATGTGAGGTGCTGGAGGATTGTGAGAAGCCGAATGGTAACGAAGAGGTTGAGGAAGCGGGCAGACCACTGCTGATAGATGAACCTTTTGTCGTCACTGACCAAGCTCCGACCGTCGACGAAGATGGTGGGAAATTTGAACCCGTGCTACCGCCAGCCGTATCTAGACCGAGATCTTTGAGCAGGGGACCGAGCGACGAAAGCTTATTTTTGATCAGTTGCCTAGCCAAGACGTCAAAATCTTTGACCTGAGCATGAATGGTCTTTTTGATCTTAGCGTCTGCTTTGAGGAGCAACTCTTGGGTTATTCCGTTAATCACTGGTGCAGACGTGTTGCTGGCAGGTAAGAAAGTTTTGTTGTCACTGCTTGTTTCGTTGTGAACTTCCAATCCAGCAGCAGAGAAAGCCTGGCTGATGCTTCCGTTGCGATCAAATTCGTTGCTCGTACTGTCTGAGGCGGAGATGGGAGGTGACGAAGCCCGGCCAAAGGTGCCTGATGGTCCCGCCTCTGGGTAGCTGTTGTAGCCCGCGGTCGCATCTCTTGGTAGGAAGGAGAGCATCTTGTAGTAGATTTCAGTAAGCATATCGCAGAGTGTAAAGAAGGTCTGGAAGAAGTCAAGCTGGAATGGGATGTTGGGTGCCATCAGATACGAGTTCTGCTCATTCGCCGCTAGTGTCGATGCGGGGCCTATACTCGAGTCGAGCGTGCCGAACTCGCTGATCGCCTGTGCGGCAGTCGATCGTTTGAGCGTTTGCCTGCCAGTCTTGAAGAAGCTGCGCATTTTGGTTCTTTGTGCTCCAAAGCTAGCTGCTGCGGAGCCACTGGTGAGGGAAAGAATACTGTCATCGGTGTAGCTGTCGAGCTCGTTGATGAGCGAGACAATGGCACGGGCCATATCGCTCGGCTTGGAGATCTCGAGAATGCTGGAGAGGCTGAGACCGAGGAGAAAGTAGCGGAGAGTGCGTTTGTGCATGCGATCATTGTCGAAGGCGGAAGCGAGCTCGGCGGGGTCAAGCTGAATGGTTTGGAGCCAGGCGCGTTGGCCTTGGAGGGAGCGCTTGAGATAGACGAGACTGCGAATGCGTTTGTTGAAGAGATCGCAGAGATGGTCTGTGCCGCTAAGGCTGGTGGCGGATGTAGGGACGGCTGGGTGATGGTGAGCGACGGATGAGGAAGAGTAGAGGGTGGAGGAGCCGGCGAAGGAAGTGGTTACTGATGGTGACAATGTAGTGTCGCTGTGGCCGTGGAGTGAAGAAGAGGTTGATGCGGCCATAGTGGCAGTACAGAGCGCTCTTTGAAAGCTGAAGGAGCGACTGAGAGGCTCTGCGGGTAACACTTTCCGTGGGATGGCGGTGAGGATGCTGTTGAGCAAGTCGAGACGCTTCCCAGGCGGCGAGTTGTAAGAGTGCTGCAGTCAAGAATCGGCAACACGACATCGACATTTTAGATTCAGAGCTGTCAAAGCGATAAATGTGTGAGTGAGGCTTGCGCACAGACGTGCTATACGCGCTCACTCACGCTTTCGGTTCTTCCGCAACATCACGGAGCCTAAGGTTTGGCTTATGGCCTTAAACATTCCAGTGCCAACTGTCAACCAATCCGAGGTGAGAGCCGACTGGCTGAGCGCTTCTTACTCTGCAATTCCCAACAAAAGCAAAATTTATTCGCCACGGCTTGTGCTGAGCAGTCACGACTGCACTATTGGTGTTGCGCAGCTGCAGCTCGATCTGGGACCTGCGTATTCGACGACGTCTCGAAAGCGAACGGTATTCAACAGCTTGCTTACTGTCTTGGCTTCAACGCAACGCTTCTCAGCCATCCTTCATCACCGCAGTATACTATCGGTCCCTCCGACACACAGTGGCGTAGCCAAACAAAGTTCACAGCGCGCAGACGTTGCCACCAAAAACTCCTTCAACATCACGACAGAGTTTCTCTCCTTCCGTCCCATCGTCCTTCCGTCATCACATTCGGCAATCCCGAAGCATCGCTACATCCAAGCCGGCCGAGCTATAATCTGCGCTCTCTCTCCCTGGTCGAAGTCTACTGTTCACTTCAGCATCCTTCTTCGGACCTTCCGACTCTCTCGCCAAGCCTCGGCAGCGGACATACCGAACAAGACGTTCACGCAGCAGCTCATTCGCTGCTTTTCTCTTCACTCCCTCCGACCTCGACTTTTTCCTCTTGACTCTCGTCAGCTCTGTCTTTGTGAGCTGTTAAGGTCAACCGCCACTTGGATCTCGCGATCCCTACGAGACCTTCATCGACTTGCAAGCGGGTGATATCCTGATCTAGGGTATCGCTCCTTCTTTGCATGGTCGCTCCTACACTACTAGATTGTTGGCATGTGCGCGATCTACAAAGATTTCGCGCCGTACTCAAAGGCAGCCCGGCCGACAAGTCCAACGCCACCCAGCTGAACGGAAATGGTTCCTATGGTGCTGGCCCAGCCGCCTTCTCCAAGTCTCCTCACAGTCACAGCTACAAGGAACAGACAGGACCATGTCCCCCCTCGGAAGTCAATCGTCGCGATCATCTCGGCCGTACTGTACTCCACCACATCGCCTCGAGCAGCGAGCCATGGAGCGTCAGCTATCTGAATGCATTGCTATCTCATCCGAGTGTCAACGTCAATCTTCAAGATGGCGAGAGTGGATATACCGCACTTCATCGTGCTCTTTACCTCGCCAACTTGCAAACCGCCATCATTCTGCTCCGTAGACCCGATCTCGATTTGCGGGTAAAGGACTTTGAGGCACTCACCGCCTTCGACCTGTACAACTCCACCGTAGCCGGCACAAATCCACCAGCAGATGCTCTATCGTTTGAGCCAACCCGCCAACATCACTCACGCACCCTCACACAGCTCTTCACATGGGGATCGAATCGCAACTACAACCTCGGACTCGGTGATGGAGATGACCGTCAATTCCCGGACAAGATCACACTTCGTCGCGGAGAAGCGAATGGCAACATGGGATCGCAGTCTACACAAGATACTTTCAGGGCGTCACTTCCAGCAGGAAAAAAGTTTGATCGTATTGGCATCAAGGATGTGGCCATGGGCCGTCTACATACCGTCGTACTGACAGACGAAAAGCTCTCCAACGTGTGGGTCTGTGGTCTCGGTGGAAGTGGACGTTTGGGCAGATCGCCACAGACGCAAACCTCGTTTGAACCCCTCAAGGACTTCAACGAGACTGCTCGTGTCGTTGCCGTGGCTCAGGATCATACACTCATCATCACGGATGCGGGCGCTGTCTATTCCTTTGGTCTCAACCGCTTCTCACAGCTTGGGTATACAATAGAGCAAGGTCTTGGCACTGTCGGTTCTACCACAGGCAAGCTCGGTGGCGGTGCAGGTGTTACCTTTGGCCAGACCGCACCGCAGAATGTCGAGCTCGATATCCAAATCTCGCCCAGACGAATTCTCGGTGCGCTCAAGAAAGAGGTCGTTCTCGGTGCCGCATGCAGCAAGCTTCATTCAGCCGTCTTCACGTCTGAAGGTCTCTACACGTGGGGCACAAATACCGGTCAGCTTGGTTACCTCAGGAGCGGAACAGCTGTTCAGGTACAGCCTCGTAAAGTCACAGCGCTTGCCGCAGGTGCGGGCATTCAGCAAATTGCCGCTTCCGACTTTGGTACAGCCTGTCTGATGGAGGGTGGCGACGTATACGTGTGGCACAATGACACCCACTTCCGTATCAACTTCCCCTTGGCGCGCTTCTCAAGCAGCATCTCTGTCTTCAGACCAAGGCAGGTGCAGCCAAAAACCCTCATCTCCAAGCTCTCGAGCAGCGGAAACACCTTCTCTGCTCTGAGCGACATGGGTGATCTCTTCACCTTCAACCTTGAGCACCCTTCCGAGTACGGCAACACTGGTACACCAGCTCGAGCTCCTACCAGCGCATCTGCGGCCAAGTCGTCAGCAGCGCAACTTGCACCAAAGCCTCAGCTACTCTGGTCCGTTCGCAAGAAGTTCACAGCTGTTCGTGACGTTGCCATTGGAGCCGATGGTTCCGTCATCCTATGTACAGAAAGCGGTCATTGCTTCGTCCGTCCGCGTCGAAGTGACACAGGAGGCAAAGGCGGTGGAGGAAAGAACTTCAAGTTCCAGCAGATTCCGTACTTGCAAAGAGTTGTCAAAGTCGCAACCAGCGAAAGCGGTGCGTTGGCCGCCATCAAAGCCAATCCAAGCTTGCCAGACGTGCGCGTCAAAGGCAGAACAATCGAAGAAGCGCTTCGGGATCTGCTTCCGCATCTCAAGGTGCAGACCCTGACCAGCAACGCAGAGAAGGAGAAGGGAATCACATCCAAGGTCGTCGAGATATCTGAGATTCGCAGCGAAGCAGGCGCCGACAGCGACTCGGATGACGAGCACGTCGATGACGATCCAAATGAAAGCAGGCCAGATGCGGGCAAGTACGTTAGAATGGCCCTGCTCATCATGGAGGCTGCCAAGCGTTGGACTGCAGGTCGGATCATCTCTGGACCTGATTTCGGCGGCGTTGAGGCTGTCTCCACAGCCGAAGCTCCTATTGACCAAGGAAAGAATGCCGCAACGATTGGGAGGCGGCAGGCTTTCTACGGGCCGTACAATCTCGTGCCGCCCTTCGGATGTGATGCGTTCCTCATCGCCGATGGACACTACTTGCCTGTCCACAAGATCGTTCTCGGTGCTCGCATACCTTCGCTGCAAAAGGCTTTGCAGGACTCCAGCGCCAAGGACCAGCTGCCTGCAGGTGTCAAGGTTGCCACGGCCAGCAGTACCAAGCGTGTTTCCGTTGTGACACTGTCCAATTGTACGCTTGTATCAGCGCTCTTCCTCCTGCATTACGTCTACTCGGACGATCTGCCACCCATCTGGGTTCCTAGTGTCGGTCTTGTCATTGACAAGGAGCTCAAGTCAGCTAAGATCGACCGAACACGCGTTCAAGAAGAGGTGCGCACCATCGCCGAGCGATTGGGACTTTCCGCGCTTGCAGCCAGCATCAAAGCCAGCTTGCCGCGACAACCAGAATCTACGCTTCGTCAGAACATGCTAGATCTCTTCACCTCGTACGTCGACGTTGATGTCACCGAGTCTCAAGAGACCAAAAGCTTCAACGATGTCCTGCTTCGATTCAAAGATCGCACAGTCCCAGCCCACTCGGTGATTCTCCAAAGATCGCCGTTCTTTACAGCGCTGTTCCAGCCTCATTGGACAGTAAGTCGTTGGGACAGTCGCAACGTCATCACTCTCGACATGAGTCATTTGAGGTGGGAGGTAGCTCGTATCGTGCTGATGCACCTCTACACTGATAACGGCGAGACGCTCTTCACTGGATGTGACGCCGAGCGCTCCCTGGAGCAGTACATGGATTTCCTCGTTGAGGTCATGGCAGCTGCCAACGAGTTGTTGCTCGACAAGCTCAAGCTGATCGTCAGCTCGTTGCTTCGCAAGCGCATCCTTGCTCACACTGTCGGCGCAGTCATGACCGAGGCCGACTTCTATAAGGCTGATCAGCTCAAAGACATCACGATGGACTACTGCACGAAGAGTATGGAGACACTGTTGGAAGGAGGTCGACTCAACGAGCTCGACTATGGCATGCTTCGGGCGCTTACTGTCTACGTTCGTCATAAGCAGGACGAAAAGCTACACCGCAGTTTCGCAGAAGATCGCGTTGCAGCTTTGGTCGAGAAACATCGAGAGTTCTACGAAGATCTGGACATTCCACCACCGAGCTTGCATCTCATCGCTGACAAGGTTCGCGCCAAGAAGGGAAGGGGCGTCGCTGGCATCAAGTCGCCGTCTCTGCTTGCCCAAGACTCGGACCGTCGTCGATCTGCGAGTCGTTTCGGTATCTCGTCACCTGCCAGCCCTGATGCGCTTCGACCTGTCGGAGCAAGCATTTTGCAGCGGTCGACAGCCGAAGAAGCCTTTGAAGTCTTTGCCATGGACGAAGAGGAGCCCGCGACGCCACGCAAAGAATCGATCGCTCGCGCTCAAGGTTCACCGTGGGCCACACTCCCGCAGGTTTCACATCTCAGTCTTGATGAAACGGCGGACAAAGGCACACCATCACGTCCTTGGAAGTCCAGGACTGTCGAGGCTGAGAGGAAGAAAGCGGTTGCCGAACCCACTGGTTCGCCTGCGGCTCGTCCCGCAGACGCGCCCAGCGACTTGCGCAGCATCATGGCTAGAGAGCAGCAACGTCAGCAGCAGCAACAGTCCGCATTCGCCCACATCTCGAATGCGTCCACGCCCAGTGGATCAGGCACATCGACGCCGGTACAGAAGTCAGCCACACCAGGCTTCGAGCTTTCTCCGATCAGTATTGCAAACACAAGGCTATCGCAGAAGGAACGCAAGCGCCAGCAACAGGAAGCCGGCCTCGCCGCCGCCGCTGCTGCCCCTGCAGCTCCACCTGCTCCAGCCCAGACGCGCAGTGGAAGCGTTTCATCGCCTTGGAAGGTGGCAGGCGCTATCGGGACATCTCCATCCGACAAAGCCGCCGCCACCTCACCATGGAGCTTGAAAGCAGCTGCCACGACAGCCATGGCTCTCTTTTCGTCTCAGGAAGGCACTCCGCCGGTATCATCACCACTAAATGGTCGACGTCCCTCGGCTGCTGCACTGCAACCTGGCTCAGGCAATCAAGATCCTCGCGCCTCGGTCTCCCGAGCCAGCCCTTTGCCAGCCGAAAGCTTGGGCCCCACGTACACACCGATGCGAATGGGATCTAAGAGCATGACCAAGCGGCTAAGCAGCAACGATTCGGCCTGGTCCACACCTTCCGTGGCTCCGAAACCGAGCGCTTTTGGTACTTCACCGTCGACTGCATCAACCCTCTCTGAGCTGAGGGCGGCGCGGCCAGAGGTCCAAAGAGGGCCATCCTCGAACCTGCAACGCTCCCTAGCTGGTGCTGGCGCTGACGCTGCCAGCGCCACGCGACCATCCTTGGAAGCAACGCGCTCTGCATGCGCGACGACGCCTGCTTCACCAGCCCAGCTGACATTTGCTCAGATCCAAGAGCAACAGAGATTGGCGATCGAAGCCGAGCAAGAGACGATTCGTCAAGCAGCTGCTTCTCGACGCAGCTTTCTCGATATTCAAGAGGAGGAACGCAAAGCAGAGGAGCGACGAAAAGAAGAGCAGAAGCAAGCTGAAGAGTTTGAGAAATGGTTTGCCGAGGAGTCGAAGCGGATTCAGAAGCAAAATAACAAGGGCAGCAAAGGCGGTGCTACCGGTGCGGCTGGTGGCGGAAAGGGCAAGTCGCAGCAGAAGAAGGCGGGCGGTAACAAGCAGCAGCAACAGGCTTCTGGTTCAACAGAACCGGGAAGTGCAAATGGAGCACAGAACGCGGCAGCTAGGGGCAAAGCGCAGAATGGAGGCGGAAACAAGAAAGGCGGTGCGGCTGCCAAAGGCAGTGGCAAGCAAGCCAACGGTGCAGCAACTGAGGCTGATAGTTCTGCTGGCAAGAACGCAGGCAAGCAGCAGCGACCCAAAGCCAACAACGGAGCGGAAGGTGGGAACAAGGCATCGCCAAAAGCAGCCGAGAAGAGCGCTGGAGGCAAAGGCAAGGGTCAGCAGAACAGCAACAATGGTGACGGTCGCAAACCATCTGACGGCAACAACGGCGAGAACACCAATACCCCCCAGCATGGACTGCCGCCAAAGCCACCAACTGCAGCAGCAGCACCTAAATTCTCTGTTGCTGCCCCTACATTCACCCTTCGACAGCCTTGATCTGCTGCCTGAATCACGTGATCAGTCATGAAGGCGTGCGCGTCTGGTGGACTCAACAATCGAATTGTTCCGCTTCTCTGCTCCGCTCTTGACAACATCATTTCGCTTCTCCACTCCTCTCTTCACTACCATCTTCTCCACCAAAGCCAGGCCGTACTATTAGCAGCCTGGTTCGTCGATTATTCGCCCTCCCTGTACATCCTCCCTTGCCGCTCGACCGGCCCCTGTTACGGCGGGCCGGGAGCCTCCTTGTCGAGCTTCGAGGACTTCACGGGTCTTTGCCTGCAATCCACTTAGTTTTGTTCGTGTTAGGTATATACAATTTCGGTTTTGTTCGTGTTAGGTATATACAATTTCGGTTTTGTTTCGTGCGATTGAGTCCAGACGGGATTATCTCACTTGGAACAGAAACAGAAATAGAAAGTCACGAGATCGTATCCTCACTCTGGACTGAAACTGAGGTGTGGCTGTGACAATTGCATGAGAGAACAAAGTGTTTGTGTGTGATCGGGGAATACAGAGCAGTGGTTTATCGAACACTGCAGCTTCAACTAGACCTGCCCAGGCTTAAGCTGACTAGGAGGGGTACTAGTAGCCGCCTCTTCTAACGGATCCAGTGGCGGGGTAGGCGGATGATCATCGCTCAACTCCGACCTCAATGGTTTCGATCTATGAGTATCCACGGCTTCAATCGGCAACTGGAACCTCTTCTCGTCACATCCGTACGCTTTCGGTGTCAACTGAATCACCGTGTGCAACGGAATCTTAATATACGGCAAATCCTCCTGCGACAACGCATGGAAATAAGCATATAGACAACGAATAATAGCCTGATGACCAATAATCAAGATATTCTCCTGTCTTTCCAGCTCCATAATAATCGGTTCCAATCGAACAACAACATCTCGATAAGACTCTCCTCCACGATAACGGTAGTTGAACTTATCATCGTCTCTGTTTGCGTAATCTTCAGGGTAGTATTTCTCGATCTCTTCGTAGGTCATTGCGTCGCATACTCCTGCGTCTAGTTCGTCCAGTGACTTCCAAGCTAGTTTGGGGTAAGGGAGTTCCGAGGCGGTTTGACCAGTTCGTTTGAGAGTACTGTGCCAAACGGTAAGAGGTGCGTCGCCAATATTGTCCTTGATGAGCTGTGGGAGAGCTTTAGCATACATCCAACCACGAGGGGAGAGATCGGAATCTCCACCGATTTTGCCCTCGACGTTGTACTGCGACTCTCCGTGACGTGAGAAGAAGATGTTTCGTGGTGTTAAGTGGAGATTCATGAGGTAGAAAGCGATACGAGATTCGAGATAACCTTGGATACGGTTGATAGTAACGGATTTACCAACGTCAGTGACTTTGACGTAGCTGTAGTGCGATTCGGATCCGTCGTGGTTTACTGGTTCGTAGGTGTCTTCATAGTGTTTGATACGGGCCAAGAAGTCGGCTTTAGCCGCTTCAGGCGTCATACCGGCATAATCGGGATCACCGCTACTGACTTTGACTGCGATGTTGGCATCAATCACCTTGGGGTCAGTGCAGATCGATTCGAGGAAAACAAGCTTGAGATCGGGTTCCTTTGCGATGCGATCCGCAATTTCCTTTCGACGAGCACTGGTAGAGTTGGTCGCATCGTGAATACCGACGTTACCACCACGCTTAAGCCAGCCAATGAGCTGTTCGAGACACTCTTCTGCCATCTGCGATCGAAGCTTGTAGGCCGAAGGATTAGAAGGGTCGAAGAAAGAAGCTGTGTGGTCTTCTTTGACACCAGAGGTGTTGTATTTGACACGTGCAAGAGCACGACGAAGCTGACCGACGTTGAAAACTTTGACATCGTACTCGAGCCAGCGGAGATACTTGAGCACTCGATTGGCGACGTAACTTTTGCCTCGTGCGGGAAGACCGACGGTGCAGACGACGATCTTGGCGCCCGAATAATCTGGTCTCGCACCAGCAGCACCGAGGTTAGGAGTAGAAACACCTGTTCGGATGCCGTGACCGAGACCAAGCGCAGTGCCGAGTCCGCTCTGACCGCTGGAGGAAGGTCCTCCTTCGCCAACTTGGGGTGCATCCTTGAGGATGCGGCCGCGGCCGTCGTCGTAATGACTGTGGCTTGTCGGAGAGGTAAGACCGAGGTTATGGTGTGGGTGCGGGTTCTGCTGCTGATGTTGTTGCGCTTGGGTTTGTGATTGGTGGAAAGAGTTGGAGAGAGATCCGCCAATAGGCAAGACAGGGCCTGCATTATTGACATTGTCGACACCTTCGTACGGGGTACCAGGAACACTGTTGGACTTGCTACCAGCGTGACTGCCAGATCGAGTGCTGAAGGTACCCGTCATCGCCAAATTGGGACCAGCGGCAGCGGCCAAGCTGCTCGAGACCAACTCGGGATGGTCACGCAGCAACGCTTGAAGACCATCCGAAGAGGAAGCGAGATTAGAACCAGCAACAGCTGCATCGAAAGCCTCCCTCTGCGATGCTTGCGGGAAGGGAGCGGGTCTAGAATGACCGTGGCCAGACTGAGAAAAGGGTCTCGGCGATGCTGACGAGAAGCCAGGAGTGCTTCCGGAAAGCTTTCGGGTGCCTGATTTGACGGATGCAGAGCGTGAAAGATCGCGAGCAGACTGCTGACCAGAAGCAGCAGCAGCAGCAGCAGCAGCAGCATCCTTTTGAGCTTGCTCTTGTTGTGTCATTCTTTGCGCGAGCTGTTGAGCTTGTGTAGCGCTGTATCTACCTGGAGAAGCGGTACCTGGTCCGACACCGGGACCACCGCTGAGGTGGCGGTGGTGAATGTAGTTGTGGGGCATGACGGGTGAGGATCCGCCGCTGTCGATGTCGATGGCGCTTTGACCGGCTGTGTTGGCAGCGTCCGCTACGGCGACGCCAGGGATGTTGACAGGTTGTTGCGACATCGTATACCGAAAGTGTCGGGGGATTCGAAGAGAATTTGGTGTGGCTATCAGTTTGGAAGGCCCGAGAAGTCTTGATGTAAGAAGAGGCAAAGATTGTGGCGTTGATCGATCGAACTGTGATCACAGCAAAGGGCCGAAAGGTATCAGAAGCGACCCGACAGCTCTACGGTTACGACGTTCTTGGTTGCGAGCACTGGGTGCTCAGTCGGCACTGAAGTGCGTTAGCCGTTTGTCTGGTTTGTATCGGGTCAGCACTCGGGAGTGAGGAAGGGAGGAAGAAGGGACGGAAGGACGGACGGAAGAACGGAAGAACGGAAGAACGGAAGGAAGGGACAAATGATGCTGGGAAAAAGGATGCACGGTCACTCAGCTTCGGCAAGTAGCTCACTGTGGACATATCGGACCGGAGATCAGCGAGCAAGCAAAGTGAGCAAAGCAATATTGCGGGGAGTGGCCTCAGGGTGTGACAGTGTGAATGCATTCAAGTCAGCTCAAACAGCAGCAGACCGGCATCTCCCCGACCTCAAAGCTGCGCTCTGCTGCCGCTTCTCGGCCGTCCGTGCGTGAGAGACTGCTGCCTCAGAACATCGGGAAGTTGAGGGCCAAGTAAGTGCCTGGAGTTTTCCGATTCCTCCCTTTCGCCCTTGATAGCCGAAAATGTCTGAAAGCTCAATTCTGTGAAGCTCTAACACTCTTGCGTGAAAGCTCAAAAAAGTTGAGGTGGAGTTTTCCGATTTCCTTCCAACTTCGAAGATCATCTCGAAGCCATTCTTCCTTTCACCATCCGTATCAGGTCAGACTCACGCACACAATGACTCCAGAAGAGTACGAAGCGCTCACACCTGAACAGCAGAAGCAGCACGACGAAGCTGAAAGAGCTCGGGAAGCCGCTGAGCAAGCAGCACTCCCATACACTTGGAAGCAGCAGCTCGATGCAGTCGAAATCTCGGTCCCCGTCCCTCAAGGCACGAAGGGTCGCGATCTCGTCGTAGAGCTCAAGAAGCGCAATATCAAGGTCGCACTCAAGGGCAAGGATGCCATCCTCGAAGGCGAGCTCGCTAAGCATATCAAGGAGGAAGACAGCACATGGACCATCGAAGATGGTAACCTTATCGAGATCCACCTCGAGAAGATGAACAAGAATGAGTGGTGGCCCAACGTCGTAACTCACCACCCCAAGATCGACACCACCAAGATCGTTCCCGAAAACTCCAAGCTCAGTGATCTGGATTCTGAGACAAGGTAAGTCACCCAGCCCACTTTCATTCCCTATCTAGCAGTTCAAGTAAGTTGACCATCGCATCTTTGTCTCCGCTTGATGATTGCAGAGCTATGGTCGAAAAGATGATGTTCGACAACCGTCAAAAGGCCATGAACAAGCCCACGTCAGATCAGCTTCAGCAGCAAGAGATGCTCGCAAAGCTTGCTGCCGCCAACCCCAACATCGACTTTTCCAACGCCAAGTTCAACTCATCCTCGCCACAATAATGTATTCTAGCCTCTCAACGCACTAACTCACAACACAGTCACAGCGTACGCACACGACTTCAACGGCTGTTCCCACATCTTGCGAAGGGAATTCAATTTTTGAAAGACGGCAACATCTGTGACGCAAGTGACACTTCTCAACGCGAAACACCGGGAGCACCAGCAGAAGATGCAGCTGACGGCTGACGTTGTTGCTGCCGCTGAGACAACAGCTTGTCCAGCTCCACTGCCTTGTTCCACATCTCCTTAGTCAAACTCTTCTCTCCGTGTGACAAGGCGAGCAAGCGAACAATCGCCATTCTTCGCAGCAGATCCTCCTGTCCAAGTGCACCTTCAGCATTTCTGCCATGCGAGTCCGTGGCTTCTTCCTGTCCCTTCTTCCTTTCGGCCACAAACTCTTTCTGAATATGCTCGCTGACGCTTTCAGGAATCTCAAATGCCTTGGCAGTCGCAAAACTCCTAACGTGCAGCAAGGCCTTCCTCCAAGCCCTCAAGCGGCCCTCATCGACCTGAGGCAGCGAGGTTGAGTACAAATCGGTGTGACCCTCGGCAGGCTGGAGAGGACACTGAATGTCAAATGGCAGGAAGCTCTTCCCTTGGCTGAGAATGACAGCGTTGAGATCCGTGTCGAACTCGAACTCCGAGTAAGGGAAAGCATATGGAAGCTTGTGAGACTCAAGCACTGAAGAGAGCGCCTTGATGTTGCGGATCCCTGTGTCCTTGAGTTGACCCTCGCCCATGGTTCCTTCGTTGACCACCACTGTGGTTCCGTGAACCAACTGCAGTCGGCCCGCTTCGAGCCCAGTACATTCGCCTGCACTCCTGGGGTACAGTGGCTTACGGTCGTCATTGAGTGTAGCAAGGTCCATCGACACGTCCACTACAGCCGGCAGCAGCAGCTCAAGGCGACGCGACAGCTGCGTCTGTGCTGAGGCCGAAGATGGAGCAGCAAAGTTGGAGACGTTGAGCGTAAGAGCACCGAGGCACAAATTTGCACGACGAACGTGGATGCGAGCGATCGTCGCAAGCAAGACGAGCTCAGCTGCCACGCTGTCACCGCCCAGAGCACCGGCCAAGTAGTGGATCAAGGCATTGCGCTCTGCTGCCTGAGAGAGCGTGTTTGAGCTCGAAGCTGCACCGGCGGACTCCTCAGGTCCCAATGAGTCGAGCTCAGCAGAGGAGGCATAGACGGTGTGAACGCAAGGGACCTGTGCTGGTTCCGAGGACGATTCACCAGCCGCGCCAGTCTCCTGCCACTCGGCGTGCGGAAGGCCAGCTGTGTCCAAGATACCGACAACCTCAACCAGTTCCGTTGTCTTGAACTTTTCGGCGGCTTCAATGTCGTACAGCTTAACCAGAGCTCCGACATGCGACGCTTCCGGAAGTGGAGCTTTGGCAAGGTACGCGCGGGGCAAACTGGACGAGCTCGTGCTGCCTTGCGCCTTTGAGCTCGAATGAGTTTGCGACGATGCCTGACCTCGCAACTCGGCGGCAGCGGCCTCGGGACCCACTTCCAGTTCACGCTTCATGCCGTTCATCGCCTCCTCTCTAGTGCCAGGACGACGGCCGAAGCAGTCGGTACCGACTCGTACGTTGTTACTGCCTGCCATAGTTGCGACATCCATATCGGCCGACATGCCCATGCTAAGCTCGAGGCCACCGTTCGCATCAGTGCCACCGACCAGCTCGTCGTATGCCTCCTTGATGTGTGCCTGATCCGCCTTTTTGACTTCGGCGTTTTCGCGAAGTAGCTTGACCAAGTTGGCTCGGGTGTAAATAAGACGCTCGAAGTCTGGGTTGGCTGAGACAATCTCGTCAACGCTCTTTGGCTCATCAGCCTTGGCACTGGAGCTGTTAGCAGCTGCACCAATGGTCATAACGCCTCGGAGTCGCAGGTTGGGGCATTTTGTGATAACATGAACGGCCAGTTGAAGCAATTCGCTGTCCTTGGCCTGTTCGGCATCGGTAGAAAGGATAGGTGGCAGACCGCTCTTGGCGCCCTCACCACTAGTGTTGACCTGGAGGTAGACACGCAGTGGTTCATCTCGCTTGGCGGCGTCTGGCGAGGATAGCGCCTTCTGCAAGACGTTGGCAGCCTTGATGGAATCGAGTGTTTCGAGGAGGTATAGGTTGGGAATGGATGCCAAAAGCTTGCCTTTGTTGCTTTGCAGTCCACCAACAAAGTGCCAGCGAATCTCTCTAGGGAGGACCTTGGCCTTGTCGACCATCTCCTGAACGTAGTTCTCTCCGAAGTGAAGCTGGCCAGCTTGCTTGTGGGCAGCAAGAATGGCAGAAGGAGGGTGGAGCTTGGAAATGGCTACCAATCGAGGCTCCTCGCCTGCCGAGCCGATCTCCTTGCCCTTCTGCACAGCACTCTGAATACGCTTGCGCACTTCACGAACTTTTTGTGGCGACTGCGGCTCTTCAATAGATACCGCTGAGGCTGCCTCTGCAAGCTGTTCGACACTCGACTTAGGCTTTTCGCCATGCGCTTCAGCAGCCCAAGCAGACTGACCAGGGACCGAGACAGCGTACATGACTGTCCTCTCCGCCAAGTCTTGGTGATTCAAGTCACCTTGTTGCGTCTGCTCCGAATGGTCGTTCGACGATGGAATGCTGGCTTCACCGCCAAAGAGACCGGTGATGGTGCGCCCTTCGTGTTGATGCTTTGCGAGGAAGACTTCTGAGCCGAGACCAGTGTCCTGTATCATAGCGCGGAAGCGCACCAGACGGTGTGACGATGAAGCAGTTCCATTTGATGATGGCAGCAGAGAGTCGATGTTGCCAGGCGAAAGGGTCGGGATCTTAGCCCTCGCATCGGGCGAGGCGAACAGTTGGCGGAAATGTGTCTCCACGAGCTTGGTGATGTTGGCGGATGACTTGTCTGAGGCATCACTGTAGATCTGCTGGACCGCATCGAGAGGCTTTGTGAGAGCAGTGGAGAACTCGGTGTCGGGCACCATCTTGACGGCTTGTCTTCGGGTAGTGGCGCTGAAACTGCAACTGCTGGGTGAGCTTTGCAGACGGAATGCTGCTGCTGGTTTCGCTTGGACAATGAGGGCTGAAAGGGTGCGAGACCAGGTGTGCATGCCTCTCGCGCTGAGTTATAATTGTGATTGTCCATGGAAATGATGACTAGGAGAAGCGAGCGAGAAGATAGTGAGGTTGAATCCCCGAATTGGAAGGTATCAGGCTGAGCGAAAGAGACGTTATACTCGGCTTGGTTGACCGAGCCCTGACAAAATGAGTGGAAAGCTCGATTACTGTTGCTTTGTCATACTTGTCAACGTTCAAAACCCAACTTCAGGCATTGCAACGCCGCTTAGCCGGAGTTGGACCCTGAATGTAGCTTTCTGTTGTAGCTCGTGCACATCAACACCATCCCTAAAGAATACCTTTGCATTCAAAGTATCATCCGTCACCTCGACTGCCAACCCCTTCCGACAGGACTCGCTACGATACCGGTATCCGCATCATGTCACAGCCTGGCGAGTCATTCACATTGCTGGAGAGCGGCACTTCGCGCCAACACTTCAAGCTCGCCAAAGCACTCGAAGATGCGAGCACTCCAAGGCAAAGAGACATCGTCATAGTCGAGACCGTGGCTGAGCTCCGCAAGCAGCTTACTTCGCGAGCACTATCGAGCGATGTTTCAAAGCTCACCTCAGCACTTCTCACCTTGCTTCACTGTCTCCAGCACTACCCTGCTTCGGATACCACGTTAACAGTATCTCCTGCCACACTCGATGTCAGCTTTGCGCTGATACCAGCATTGCAGCTTCTCGGACTTGCGACGGACTGGAAGCGCCTCCTCCTTGCACATCAGCTTCTACCATACCTTTTGCCTTTGCGGACACATACAGAAACGGATCGCAGGCTAGCGGTCAATGACTTGCTTGAATCCCAGGTCGATGACCTGGATAGCAAGAGTCAGACCTCAGCATCCGCATCCGCATCGACATCTTCACGCCCTCCGTCATTCATCGCTCGTAGCCCTCCGTCTCATCGCTACTCAGATCCAGCTTCGACTCGGGACAACAAGGACGCGCAATCTTCGATATCGCAAGGAAGCGTGGATGATTCTTCTTCCCTCCTCCTTCTCAACACATTCAGGGCCAATCTGACAGCAGCTGTCGGGCAGGCTGAACAGGACAATGAACGCTCAGATCGTCAGCGCTCTGCCAGATTAAGCTCGCGTTCCAGCTCTCCGACCTTATCACGCTCTCCCTCACGCATACGGCTCACCAAGATTCCCAGTCACAATGCATCTTCTTTCAGAATTCAGTTTCGTGCCTCAGCATCTTTGCGGTCACTCGCGGCAGGGACGCCACAAGGACCAGCTGTGCTCCCATCTCTGGCCTCCACGCTAGTCGCGCTGACTAAACACTCCGACTCTTCAATACGGTCTCTGACGCTCAACGTCATGCTTGCGTGCGCATCCTTCTCGTCCTCCGATGCCGCTGACAAAGAAGGCCAGCTCGAGGTGCTTGACGCAGCTCTGACGATTGTCCGCCTTACTCTCGCCTCGACGTACGCCTTTTCACCTGGCTCAGGCCTAGACGAGCAGCAAGGTCTCATTCTGTCAGAGATGGAGCGTCGTGTCGACTCCAACCCTTCCGTGCTTCGCTCATGTATAAGAGTCATCGATCACGCTCGCGCTGTTGGCTTGATAACGAACGCAGAAGCAGCGTGCCATGCTGTCGAGGCGCTGCAAGCAAGCAGATGGGCACCGATGCATCTCGACCTTCCGGAATTTCAGCAGCAGCGGATTGCTCCGTCTGTGGTGACCCGCACCGAAGGGATCCGCGCCCGTAAGGCTGCCAAGCAAAAGCCAACATTGCAGTCCGACCACGACTATCACGGAACATATGCTCCATGGCTCGTTGAAGCATGCTTGTCTTCGTTGACCAAGTCTCTTCGAGATTTGCTGCAGTCATCCACCGCAGTCGACACAAGTACTAGCGTGGAGCTGACGAAGACCATCCTGCGTTTGTACAATGTGGCGTCTCAAGGCAAAGCAGCCGCATTCGCACTTTGCGTTTCGGCTGCCATGTGTATCGGCGCTCTACACAGCAAGAGCATAGATTCATCCAGCCCCTCTGATGGAGAAACTACCGCCCTGTGGTCTTCAGCATCGACGCATATCATGTCTCAGCTGCATAGCACCAATCCGAACCGCAAGACCACGGCTCTCATGTTGCTTGAAGCGCTGTTGCCGATCGGATGGGCTCAGGTTACAGATTCAGAGGAACGAGAAGATCAAACTTCGGTCCGGTCGCCATTACAGGTTTCCGAAGAGGACATGGGTCAGCTGATGGCGTTTCTCGCGGATCCAGACACGTCCATACGTAAGAGAGCGTTGACGCTTCTTGACAGAGTCGATCCAAGCATCACACGGCTTCTGCGGGGTCAGCTCCAATCAGCTGTTGATGCGGCTTTGTCAAGCGGAGGTGGCCATAGCAGTCTACCCGTAAACGAGTCTGTTGGCGATCCTACCTTGGACTTGATGCAACGACTGGTCGAGGTCGCAATCTTCGCAGTGGCTTCGTCAGGCTTTGATGGTTCATCAGCACAGAGCTCAGAAGCTGCTGATTCGATGACTGCTCTCGAACAAGCAATCACCAGCGTGACTACGTATGGAATCTTTGAATTCTTCGAGCGCAATTTTGCGTTGCAGGAGACAGCCTGGCTCGAACGTATCCTCATTAGCATTAGAACGTTGCCACTCGAAGCGCGACTCGACCTGCTGCAACGTCTTACAAGAGGCATCAGAAAGATGGAGGATGCGTCGCACGCTACAACGGGCCTGTACTTGGTCTGCCGTCTAATCTGCAATCTGGATGCGCGCGACTTTCGCGGGGAAAAAGACACTGACTCGTTCATCAGATGGGTGTCATCAGAGCTGCTAAGCTCCCACGGGCTTCCCGGCACGCTCGTTCGACTCTCGATGGATCGTTCTGAAGCGATCGCTGCACGGGAAGCTGTGCTTGGTGTCCTTGCTCGCACCATCTCCCTCGTCACACAGATCGTTGGATCTAGGAGGGCCGCTTCAGATCTGGCCACTGGACTAGAGACGCTTCAATCGACGCTGTCGAAAGTCGTCGAAGCTGCATCGCCAGCCGCTCTTCGCACGGAAGCTGGCAACTTGCAGCTCATCTGTCAAAACCACCTTTGTCTCGATTCCGATTTGGATGGCGGGCTGGCGAGAAGGATCTTCACACTTGCCAGCAAAAGTCATACGATCGAGGACGCCGTTCGGGTCTTGCTGGAGCTACATCTCGAACCTCGTTCGCCAGAGAACAAGAGCGAAAGAGGAAACTTCGACTCTTCTCGTGAGTAGCTTATATCTCGATGCTTTCTAACATGTTAGACTCTAATAAACCGGAAGCCACGTGGTCTGAGCACTGGGTCTTCCGTATTCCGAGTACTGACATTTTAATCTACGTTGTGATCTTCGCCATTTCTTCTTGACTGCTGATCCTCGACGGGAACAGACATCTCCACAGGTTCATCTATTCTAGCCACTGCAAGCCAGCTCTTTGCGCCCACAATCGGATCGGCAAAGCACCCAACTGACACCAAGCACACTTTTGCAGATTTACGGTCTCAACATCAATTGCCGGACTCTGTCTTGCAATCCTCGCGGCTGTTGTCACCCGACGATAGCACTGCAACGCTGAGATCCTCAAAGCACGATTCGCGATCTCCCACCGGCAAGCCTCGAGAGCGTCGCTCACGCCGTGATATCGACCACCAGCAAGCTTCTGCCATCTCCTCAGAGTTGAAGCGCATCCGCGACCGGAACATTGCTGCAGCCATGTCCGATTCAATAGCCAATCTGGTACTGGGCTCTAACGCAAGGACGCAGTCCTCCGACAACGAAGTAATCTTTTCGGCGACCTCCTCGGGGCTGCTGGAAAATGAGGAATTTGAGCTGGTCAATGAAGTTGCGGACTCCGAACGTCGATTAGATGCGGCAGCCGAGACAGGACAGAAGCCCTCGCTGTTGGACCTTGTCCATCAATGTCACAATCACGAGCCTTGGCTAGACATGAGCTTGACGCCCTTCGTTCTTGACGGAGTCCAGATCGGATTTCTACCGCCTCAGGTGGTCAAGGCATGCGTGGAAGATTCGGAAAAGCAACGTCAGGCCGGGGCCCCTGCTGTGCTTCGCAAAGTGCACTTTGCCATGCACCACCGAGAGATCGTGCCACCAACAACCGCAACCCGGGTGTGCGAAGCCATCACCTTTACACCTGAGTTCTCAATCCCGGAAAGAAGGACAGCCGGTCTCAATGCAGTAGCACAACGATGGCGGGAGGCAAGCATCTTCCCTGACCCACTCGACGGCTGGCGCAATGAGCTTTACGCAATCTACGGACTCAACCCACGACCAGGCTCTCGCAATACAATTGCCTTTAAGCTGGAGCGTTCAGCCTGCGCCCTTTTCGGATTTGCAACCTTTGGTGTCCATCTGACTGCGTACACGGTCTCACCAGGCACGGGCGAGCTCAAAGTGTGGGTGCCTCAGCGAAGCAGCACCAAGTCGACATGGCCTGGGTACCTGGACAATTCGGTTGCAGGCGGAATCGTTGCTGGCGATCTACCGATGGAAAGCATGGTGCGTGAATGCGAGGAAGAGGCAAATTTGGAGTCGACTCTTGTGGAGAAACACATCAAGCAAACCGGCGTCTTGAGTTACTGCTACAAGACAGCCAAACAAGGCTGGATGCAGCCTGAGGTGGAATACGTCTACGACCTTCCCTTACCTTCAGACGTCACGCTTCAACCCAAGGACGGCGAGGTGGATCACTTTGAACTGATGACCCTCGACGAGATCTACAACAAGATGAGACAGGGCAAATTCAAGGCCAATTGCGTGTTGGTTTTGCTCGACTTTTTGATCCGACATGGACACATTACTGCCGAGAACGAGCCGAGTTATCGTCAAATAGTAGCTCAATTGCATGTAGACTTACGACTGCCTGGTCCATGAGAGCCATCATGGAACCCGGATATCACATATCACGCCTCCTGGCCTCGACGCTAGATGGATAGGCTTCTACCAGGGGCGAGAGATAAGCTTATGTAAACAGGAATAGCAAATATGTTCCTTGAGGAATGATGAGCTGAACGAGGCCGAACAACGTCAAAGCCAGCGTTATCGCGGGTGAATGACCTGCTTGCCGCGGCCTTCCCTGCTTCAGTACGATCCGAAAACGACACAACACAATGTATTTCTTGGATTGCATGTCGAATGATGTGTGCGAAATGCGCGGATGGACGGCACGATCGCGTGGAGCTCGTAACCCAAACATCAAAATAAGGGTCCTGACACTAGCGTAGAGCTTACGTGAGGAATGTACATCTGGACCTTTAGCTTGACCAATGACGTCGATGCATTGACGCGAGCCTTTTTTTCTTTTCTTTTAAATTTACTTGTAATTTCTTATAATTTTGTTGCGTCCCGTCTGGACTCAATCGCACGAAACAAGACCGAAATTGTATATATAACACGAACAAAACTAAGTGAATTGCAGGCAAAGACCCGTGAGGTCCTCGAAGCTCGACAGGGAGGCTCCCGGCCCGCCGTAACAGGGGCCGGTCGAGCGGCAAGGGAGGATGTACAGGGAGGGCGAATAATCGACGAACCAGGCTGCTAATAGTACGGCCTGGCTTTGGTGGAGATGATGGTAGTGAAGAGAGGAGCGGAGGAGCGGAAAGATGTTGTCAAGAGGCTTCTCCGCTCCGCTCTTCACAAAGCGAAACAAATTTTACGATTGTTGAGTCCAGCCTAGACGCGCACGCCTTCATTACTGATCACGTGATGCAACTGCTGGCTGTTCTTCACCACTCCTAACCCGACTAGGTAAAGGTGGCCGACATCATTTTGGTCGAAGCCTCGCTTACGGAGACTTGCGGGGAGTATGGAATCACAGCATCCTTATGTCGGAGCTGCATTTGGCAACGTCGGTAAGGTTTTGCTAGGACCCACGAGATATCTGGTTGTCTTGCCAACTTGACAGCTCTCAGCGTCGGACGCTCCATCCATACAGTCAACTTGTACCCTGGTTCGACCTGCATGGCCACGAGTTCGATGACGAGCAACATCGTTCGATGTCGAACCGCAGGTAAATGCAACAACGAAGCAAGACTAAGCTGACGAGCATGGGCAAGCCACGATGTAGCCTGCGGTCAGAAAGTTGCATAGATTGGAGGGAAAGGTCGAGACTGTAATCGTCGGGAACCATCACGCAGCCAACGACTCGGTTGGTCGGCCGGTCAGCAGCAGCCAAGTAAGTACACATGCAGGTCAATTCCACCACCAAGAAACAGAACCTGGCCCCCATGTCAGCTCCTTGGCTTCGTCAAGAACGGTTTGCTTCCCTCCAACTCCGGCAAGCCTGGGGGAAAAGTCGACCCTGAGCAACCGAAATCGACGCCGCAGTCGCTTATGGTTCTCTATGCAGCTTTAGCTGAGACTTTTAGTGGCATTCAGTCGAGAAGACATCCGAATCGGGCCAAGAACAGAACAAGCAAAGCCTCCTCGTGACGCTGAACTAGACTCTAACGGTTCGTGTAGAAATGAAGTGTAAGCCTCGACAAGATCTATGTAAGATGCAGAAGACTCGTTTTCCAACTCCGCACACAAAACTCTCCGAAAGCTGAGATGACCACACAGCAAAAACAGATATGTAGTGCACACCAGATTGCAGCCGGATTCTGCTCACGAGGTCTCAACTTTCAATGCCATTGATTCGTACATCCACATGGCCCCGTCCTTTTATCGCAATGCTGTTGAGCGGCACGTCTTGATCGGTACCGTCATGATTGCGAGGCAAATGGCGCTGGTTTTTATGCAGTCATGCATAGCCTATACGTCGAAAGAGATTGACCATGAGTCTACCGGGAGATAAAGCGAATTGAACAGCCTAAATGTTACATGCGCTGGTTATGTGCACGTTGTAACGTGGTGGTGGGAAGGAGGATCTAGAGGGAAGCTAGTTTAAGTACTAGCTTCCGTACAAAGCAACGATAGGAATTCGAACTCTCTCGTGCGGCATGTATTTGCACGAGAAAGTGCCCAGGCGTGACACTAAGTGATGTGAGTATCCATCAGCTCTGCATGCAGGGTCAAAACAACACGAGGCGCATTCCTTGCATCTTTGGGGAGGGCGAGGTGTTGTAGGTCTACTGTATGACTACAGATCGATTAAGTCCGCTCCTTCTGGTCGATATCTTGAGCAGCTTCTTCTTCGCTTCCAAACGAAGCGAGAGCCTCGATCCCCGCAGCTCCTTTTGAAGGAGAACCTCAAGATCTCGTCGGAATCGTTGCCGTGCAAGCCACTTTTTGCCATCCGGATTCGGGAAGCATGGGCGTCACTCGAATCCCTGTGCGATCCTTACCCTTGCTAGTCGCCGTTCAATGAATCTCGTCAGCGATGCTGAGTTTCTTGACGTCTTTGAGCTTCTTGTTCAATCTCAGAATCGCTTTGCAGACGAGTGAAGTTCGCATTGTCCAACATGACCATTAAGCAGTTTCGTATCTCATTTGTGACTCGCCGGGTCAGCATTCCGACAAGCATAGCAAAAGCTCAGCCCTGTGTTGTTCGAGACACTCGAAAGTATGAAGCGTCAGGAAGCTACCCGCTTTGTGAACACCCAGTTGGTGTTGAGGTAGGGTTGCACGAGACAGCCCTGATAGAGTCCAACAACGTTAGGAGGTCGATGCTGAGATGTGTGCTCTTTGTGGATCGACAGAGACTCGCCTGCGTTTCGAGTCAACGCAAACGCAAAATTAACAAAACAAAAATAATTTCCGAAAATTGTCAACAGGGAAAATGTCGCGATGGTGACAGTCGAGGAAGGGTTGAGTGGAGGTTACCAAAGGCCAACTGAACGCTTAAGAGAGACCTTCAGGGCCCAAGGGCTCACGTCAGGGTTTCCCTTGTGGACAACAGTAACTGCAGCGCTATGACGATGGGACGATTCCGCTCGTTCCCAAGCCACCCTTTGCTGAAACATTTTCGCCGATCCTGCTTCGTGTTTCGTCTCGCCTGCTCTTGCCCTACTACCATCCTGTCCCAACATGCAAATGTAACGACAATGTGCCCTTGAGCGTTCCTTGCTTTTTGGTTCCGATCTAAAGAAGCCCCAGCTCGATCCCGAGACCCTGTTCTTGTCGATAGTTCGCCTGACTCACACTTCGATGAATGACGTATCAAGCCTCTCCATTGCCTACCATTCAGTGCAGTCTAAAGCTGCTTACATTACTTGTCTTCAACTCCTTCTCTGAGAATCTCTACGTCAATTCTGAGCAGAACCGCCTTTCGACCCTTGCGAACAGGTAAGGTGCCTATTGTATCACGCATTCTGCGGTCAAACATTCGTTCATCCGCTTTTGCCGTTACAGAAACCGCTGGTCCACGTCACACATGCACACCGGGCAATTGACCCACCCTTCCATCTAGATCAGGCTCAATCGACCTTCACGACTACGGTATCAGCCGCTTCGAGATGCTTCTACCTATCTCTGTCAACATCCGCCGGATGATGAAAGGACAAAGTTTCTGCGATAGGCAATTACGTCGTGATGCAATCTTGAGTTTCCTCTTACAGGTTCAGTGCCCCGTCTGCCTCTAAGCTGAACTCTTCCTCTTGTTCGTGATTGATATTCCTGTCAGCATTCCCATTTCTCCCGGCTCTATCGCTCTGTTCCTCGAGAGTGCTTCTAGCAACCTGCGACCCTGGACCTGTGTCGTCTAGGTCCACATATAAGGAAGCAGCTATGTCGTCCATAAGTTATGCACTTTCCACCATCTGCCCCTCTGTTCCCAACACGGACACTTCCTCCGACCTTCTCTCAACGTGACGACCAGGGCTACTGATACTCCTTCTCACCATCCTACATCAACTTTCGCCGCTTCAAAGTCGATTTCAAAATGAACTCTGTCACTGAGTTTGTCAAGCGTGCGGGCAATGAGGCCCTCCGCGTCAACCCCACGGTCGCCGACATCGACATCACCACCGCTGGTTCCGACTGGCTTTGGGCTGTATTCTCCGTGATGGCCGCCTGTGGTCTTGGTACCATGGTCTGGTCGCTCAAGGTCTCGCGGGGTGAACGTGCCTTCCACTACCTCTCGGCCGCCATTCTTGCTACCGCCTCCGTTGCCTACTTCTCCATGGCTTCGGACCTCGGTTCCACCCCGATCAACGTTAGGTTTCTCCACTACGGCCCTGACTCGGTCAACGGCATGCGCCCCACCCGTTCGATCTGGTACGTTCGTTACATCGACTGGACCATCACCACCCCCCTCCTTCTCCTTGAGCTCCTCCTCCTTTCCGGCCTTCCCCTCTCCACTGTTTTCATCGCCATCTTCTTCGATTTGGTCATGATTATCACTGGTCTCGTTGGTGCCCTTGTCGAGTCCACCTACAAGTGGGGTTTCTACACCATGGGTTGCGTTGCCATGTTCTACGTCTTCTGGATCATCTACGGCCCCGGTCTCAAGTCCGCCTCACACCTCGGCGACGACTTCAAAAAGTCCTATCTCTACTCTGCCCTCATCCTTACCACTCTCTGGTTTATCTACCCTGTAAGTACCCGTGGCAGCCGTATTCGAGTCGAAAGCATCGCTCGCCGATTTTGACGTTATTTCAGACAGAAAACTAACCACCTTGCGATCCTCATCCCTCCTCACACCTTCCATCCTTGCTCCTATCGCCTGCAACAACCTTCACGCCGTCGAATCGAGCAGATTGCTTGGGGTTTGTGCGATGGCGGAAATGTGATTAGCCCTAACGCCGAGATGATCTGGTACGGTATCCTTGACCTGTTGGCCAAGCCGGTGTTTACGCTTTTCCATCTCTTCTCCCTTCGGAGGTGCAACTATTCGTCGCTCCATCTCAAGAGCGGCAAGTTTTCTGACTACGAGGACCTCTCTGGTGCCCACTACCGTGGTATTGGTGCCGATAAGGCTGCTGAAGCCGGTGCCACTACCAACGCCAACAACACTTCCACTGTCAACAGTGCCCACGCTGCCCCTGCTACTACCATGCAGCGGACTCAGGTCACCCAGTAAGCTCTCTTGCTTAAAGCAAAGGAATGGAATTGCATGAGTTCCGCGAACAAGACGACCCTGCCCTGATCGATGTAAACTTTACGACCCTTCTCATCCAGTTGAAGACAGATACACCACTTCGTTGGGACCACAATCAGGCTCCCTTCGCACAGGTGTATAGTAACTGCAATTCTTATCTAATTCAAAGGAACTGACACTACAAACATGAGTATATATACCTTTGACACCATCTCTGAGGACGTGGAGTTGCCTTAGATGAGTCGAGTGTCTCTCCTGCAGAGGCCCTGAGCCGTTGCCATGTCAACCTTGATGCATTTCACGTGCCTGAGTAAGCTCGTGAATAAGCGGCGTATGCTTTCACCTGCTCCGCCCCCATCCACACTTTGCTTTCACTGACTCAGCACCACCGGGCTGGTATAAGCTCTGTTTCGTTTATCTTTCACAGCATACCCAGTTTCCTTCCTCCCCTCTTCATGTAGTATGATACCACGTTGATATTATCCCTATCTTTCACAAAAAATGGATTCTGCGTATTAATCTGATCCTGGTCGCGAACCTGGAGAGTCTGCTCAGATCTCGGAATGGGACTCCACCTACATATCACATCAGACACTGAAACATCGACGCAGCAAAGCGTATTGCTAATGAGAAGCGACAGAAGCAAGGTGCTATCCCGGGGGCGATGATGTTTATCGCATTGAGGAGGTCGAGATTGCCTTACTAGAGGACATTCTCAATGGCAGGCACACAAGAACACATTTTTCAGAAAGGTCTCTGTAATCCAATTGCACCGCTGACATTGCTTTGCCGTCGAGCAGCCTGACCGATAGACGTTGTTGATCCAGTCTCACTACTGTATCTTGCTACTGTCGAGAGATGGCATAAGCGACATCAGTGACTATCGTGACCAGCATCCTCCATAAATGTTCGGTTTTGTGAGATCGAGGAAAATATTTTCGGTTGAAACGTTGCAGGCAAAATTTGTCAAGCTTAGTCATCCATTGAATTTGCCTTGGTGAGAAAAAGTGGACGTGCAGATGTGGATTTTTCTCCCTTCGAAGCTTTTTTGGAAGAACTGCGCTGAGAAAAATTTCAGTTCACGATACAGCGCAACGAATCGTTTCAGGGTCGAGCTGAGTTCCTCATCATCTGTGAACCCTCGTTCACCATCATCTCCTTTTCACCTGCACTTATCAACGTCCATTCCCTCGCTCATCGTATCTGTCCTTCCAACGGAACGCCGCATTCTTCCTCCTACACACACATCGTGAGGGTGCTTTGCAGCAGGTTGCCTAGCGAGGTGGAACGCTAAACGTCAGCGGTATTCCAAGGGGCCTGCCCTTGGAGTCTAGATCACAATGGACATCAAGAAGCCCATCACCTCCACCATCTCCTCGGCTTCCTTCTCCTTCCTCACTGCAGAAGATATTCGTAGGATTTCTGTTAAGCAAATCATCAACCCCGTCCTGCTCGATACCACCAACCACCCAAATGCAGGAGGTCTTTACGACCCGGCTCTCGGGCCGATGCGTCCCCATGACATCTGCTCAACATGTCACCTCAACTCTTATCAATGCTCTGGCCACTTCGGCCACATCGAGCTCCCATCTCCAGTCTTCCATCCACTCTTCATGGGCAACATGTTCAACTTGCTCCGAGGTACCTGTTTCTACTGCCATCGATTCCGTGCCTCGCTTGTAGTTCTCACCAAGGTCATCGGCCGCCTGAGGCTTCTCGAGTACGGTCTCGTGGATGATGCAGAGAATATCGATGCTGAGGAGCCTCGTTCGAATGCAAAGTTTTCCGACCTTAGCAACGAGGATTTCGACGACGTCGACGAAGATGATAATGACGATGAGGACAGTAGCAAGAAGTCGAAGCCCAGCGGCTCCAAGTCAAAAGCCTCCAGCGGAGAGACCCCTGCTGAATTTGCGGAGCGCGTCAACAAACAAGTCAAGGAACTCATCAAGCAAGCCAAGGCGAGCGGCAAGGCTTCGGTTGGGCTGGAAGCAGGCAGCATCGCATACACATTGCGCAAGAAGTGCATCAACGACTTCATGAAGGAGATCCACAAGAAGCGATGTGGCCAATGCCATGCGATCAGCCCCAACGTGCGCCGTGACGGTTTCCTCAAGATCATGGAAAAGGCACCCACACAGAAGGAGATTGCCTCCAACGAACACGCGGGATACCTCCGCATTTCGCCTGTCAAGCGTGTTGCGACAATCGAGCGTCGGTTCGCTGCGAACGCCGCTTCAACCTCTGCGTCTACAGATGGCGACGACGACTCCGGTATTGCATCACAAGCCATCTCTGCGGACAACGCACCGAAAGAGGCAGGTTACCGTGTCATGCCAGCAGTGGAATGCCAAGCGCACCTCCGTCTTCTCTTCCACAACGAAGGCCCTCTCTGTTCGCTCCTCTTTGGTCGCAACGGCCCCTTCCGTCTGGGCAACTCCAACGGCAAGGTCAAGGTCAAGACCGGCTCGTCCATCTGGCAGACACCTAATGGCGCGAGCGCCGACAACTTCTTCATAACTGTTCTTGCAGTCCCACCAACACGGTTCCGTCCTGCCAGCATCATGGGCGACATGACCTTCGAGAACTCGCAAAATGAGCTGCTCACCAACGCACTCAAGACGACCTTTGCCATTCGGGACCAAATTACCGAGTTAACAAGGCTCACATCCAAGAAGGACTTCCCAGAGCTTGGCCCCAACGCACCTGAGTCTGACTACCGTGCTGCTGAGGTACAGCTCATCAAGGCTCGTGAAGATACTCGCCGCAAGGTGCTCAACTCGATGATGCAGCTTCAGGTCGATGTCAACTCGTTCATCGATGCCAATAAGAACCCCATGCCCTTGCGTCAAGGCCAACTTCCACCACCAGGTGTCAAGCAGGGTCTCGAGAAGAAGGAGGGTCTCTTCCGAAAGCACATGATGGGCAAGCGAGTCAACTTTGCTGCTCGTTCCGTCATCTCTCCTGATGTCAACATCGAGACGAACGAGATTGGTGTCCCGCCCGTCTTTGCTCGCAAGCTCACATATCCTGAGCCAGCCACTGTTCACAACATTCAGCTGATGCGACAACTCGTCATCAATGGTCCGTTCAAGTACCCTGGTGCCGTTGCTATCCGCAGCGAAGACGGTACAGAGACCCAGCTCGACAAGCTCAGCGTTGAAGAGAGGACGGCACTTGCCAATCAGCTTCTGACACCGCAAGAGCACTCCTCCAAGCAAGCACGCGGTACCTTTGCCGGTTTGGGCAGCTCCACACGAACGCCCATTGCCAACAAGCAGGTGCTCCGTCACTTGCGCGATGGTGATATCTTGCTGCTCAACCGACAGCCCACCTTGCATCGTCCTTCGATGATGGCTCACAAGGCCCGTGTGCTTGTCGGCGAGAAGACGATCCGCATGCACTACGCCAACTGTAACTCGTACAATGCCGATTTCGATGGTGACGAGATGAACATGCATTTCCCACAGTCACAAGCCGCACGTTCCGAGTGCTACTACGTTGCCAACACCGACAACCAGTACCTCACACCTACCAGTGGTAACCCATTGCGCGGTCTTATTCAGGACCACGTCGTTGCTGGTGTGTGGATGACTTCCAAGAACACGCTGTACACACGTGCCGAGTACCAGCAGATGCTCTACGGCGCTCTGCGTCCCGAGGGAAAATACACCGGTGGCGGTCGAGTGCTCACCGTACCTCCCGCTTTGCTGAAGCCCGAGCCGCTCTGGACAGGTAAGCAGGTCATCTCCACTGTCCTGCTCAACCTCAAGCCTGCCAAGTCGGACGGTCTCAACCTCACTTCCAAGGCCAAGGTCGCAGGTCGAATGTGGGGCAAAGACCATGCTAACGAAGAAAAGGTCATCATCGAGGACGGAGAGCTCTTGCAAGGTGTCCTCGACAAGGCCGCCTTCGGTGCCTCCGCTTACGGTCTTGTCCACGCTGTCTTTGAGATCTACGGGTCCGAGACCGCAGGAAAGCTGCTCAGTATCCTTTCGCGTCTCTTCACCAAGTTCCTTCAAACCAACGCCTTCTCTTGTCGAATGGACGATCTGTTGCTCAGCAAAGAGGGCGACGAAGTCCGACGCAAGACGCTCGATGCTGCTCAAGGACAGGGCAAGGGTGTTGCCATGAAGACCGTCGGTCTCGAAGGCGAGGATGAAAAGAACCCGGACACCGACAGGAACTTGCGCATTCGTCTGGAAGAGGTGCTGCGTGACGACGACAAGCTGGCCGTTCTTGACGGTGAGATGATGAATTCGTCCAACGCCCTCACCTCAAAGATTATCGAGTCGTGCCTGCCTGCAGGTCTGTACAAGAAGTTCCCAGAGAATAACATGCAAATGATGACTGGATCTGGTGCTAAGGGTTCCGCCGTCAACGTCTCGCAGATCTCGTGTCTGCTCGGTCAGCAGGCGCTCGAGGGTCGACGTGTCCCTCTAATGGTCAGCGGAAAGTCTCTTCCTTCATTCCGACCCTTCGAGACCTCGGCACGAGCTGGTGGTTTCGTCAGCGGCCGTTTCTTGACCGGCATCCGACCACAGGAGTACTTCTTCCATTGCATGGCTGGTCGTGAAGGTCTCATCGACACGGCTGTCAAGACCTCGCGTTCCGGTTACTTGCAGCGGTGCTTGATCAAGCATCTCGAGGGTGTCCACATCCAGTACGACAACACGGTGCGCAACGCTGACGGCTCGATTCTGCAATTCGCTTACGGAGAGGATGCACTCGACACTACCAAGAGCAAGTACATTGGCCAGTTCGACTTCACTGCGGCCAACTTCGAGAACTACAACAAACGCTACGACCCTAAGCAGCTCAGCGAGGTGGTCGAGGCTGAGCTTGCCGCCGAACACATGAAGAAGGCACTCAAGAAGCCACATAAGTACGACCCGGTTTTGAGTGTCTACACCCCCTCGACACACTTCGGCTCTATGTCCGAGAAGTATGCCAAGGAGATCGAGGCGTACATCGAGAAGAACCCAAGCAAGCTTCTCGCCGACAAGAAGAAGAAGAGTAAGAAGCACAAGTCCGAGGCTGAGGCAGGTGCGCAAGAAGAGGCAAGCACCGTCGAAAAGCTGCGCTTCGCCAAGGAGAAGCTCGGTGTCGAGGCCTTCCGTGCCATGTGCAAGGTGCTGTACCACCGCGGATTGGTCGATCCTGGTGAGGCCGTTGGTCTACTTGCCGCTCAGGGTGTTGGTGAGCCCTCGACACAGATGACGCTCAACACTTTCCACTTCGCCGGTCACGGTGCCGCCAACGTGACGCTCGGTATCCCGCGTTTGCGTGAGATCGTCATGACTGCTTCGCAGAATATCAAGACGCCCATCATGCGATTGCCCGTCCTGGACGGCATCACCAACGACCAGATCAAAACCTTCTGCAAGGACGGCAGCCGTCTCGTTCTCAGTCAGGTCATTGACGAGGCCATTGTCACTGAGAAGATCTCGCCCAAGTCCGAGTCAACTGGGTTCCACCGACAAAAGACTTACACCGTGCGCCTCAACTTTTACCCCGCCGAGGAGTGCCAGGAAGAGTACAACTGCACCACCTCACACATCCTTCGTGGTTTGCAGGAGACTTTTGCTCCCAACCTCGAGAACAGCATCAACAATGAGGTGCGAAAGCAAAAACGCGAACATGCTTTGCAAGCAGCTGCCATCGGCAAGGGTCAGACCTTCTCCGACAACGCTTCCGCTGGCGACAACGCCGACGACGAGGGTGCCGAACGCGCCAACGGTCGTCAGGCACGATCGAGGGGCAACGATGCCGACTCGGATGACGAGGACGACGCCTCATCGGACGTTGGTGACGGCGATGCTGACGATGCCAAGAGGAAGCAGCGCTCGGCCGCCCATGCTTCGTACGAAGAGGGTGACGACGAGGAGATGGCTGGTGTGCCCTCCACCACCGAGGACATCGAGGCGGCGTTCAGCAACGGCACCAAGAAGTCGACCAATGCCATGGACGTCGGCAGCAACGACAGCGATAGCAGCAGCGACTCCGACTCGGACGACGGCTCGATCAACGAGGAGTGGGCCGAGCAGACGTCGGCGCTCGAGAGGGCTCTGCAGGAAAACTCCAAGTACATCAACGCCTTCCGCTTCGACGACGTCAAGGCTCGATGGGCCGAGTTCGATCTCACCCTTGCTACCCAGTCGCAGAAGTTGTTGCTTATCAACATCGTCGAGCGTGTTTGCCGACAGAGTGTCATTCACGAGATTCCCAACATTGCACGTGTTATGAAGCCACCTCCCAAGGCCGGCGAGGAAGGCGTTTCGCTCACTGCCGAGGGTATCAACTTCCGCGACCTCTGGGACTTCGGCTTCGGTGTTGTCGACCTCGACAACCTCTACACCAACGACATCGGTGCTGTGTTGCACACGTATGGTGTTGAGGCAGCACGTGCCGCTATTGTGTCCGAGATGCGCGGTATCTTCGACACCTACGGTATTGCTGTATCGCCACGACACTTGTTCCTCATTGCCGACTATCAGACGGCCGCAGGTGGTTTCCGACCATTCAACAGGTCTGGTATTGCAGAGTCGTCATCAACGCTGCTCAAGGCCTCGTTCGAGATGACCATGGCTTTCATCGGTGGATCGGCACTGCACGGAGACGTCGACATGCTCAAGACGCCTTCGAGTAAGCTCGTTGTTGGTCGCCCTGTTTCTTCGGGTACGGGCACACCTGAAATTCGCCTCGCACTTCCGTCTCCCATCGGAGCTGCTGCTTGAATCCTCAGAGTCGAGATAGTCGCTTCTTGCATTGTTTGTACCAATATCATTGTCAAATAGTTACATTAGCTACAGAAAATCAGATCATGTCCTTCAACCATCTCAATACACCATCCCGACTGAGTCCGACTGCGCCTTGATTGGAAACACTGTCTGAATGCTTCGCTGCGAAAGGCGAGGGGAGTTCGCCACTGGCTGAAGTTATCGCTTGCTTTAAGACGTACTGAATCGACGGGACCGTGACCCCTGTCGTCCCACTTCACCTGTCATGGCAAGCTAATGAAAGAACGGCTGCGGCTCGAAAGTCGGGCTCGAACTGTGACTTTGCCAACGTGTGGATGTGATGTGTGGTTATAGAGAGAAAGATGTATTAACTGCGGGCGTCACTTCAAAGCACAGCGCCACATCTCGAGAGGCTCGTGCGCACCGTCATGAAGATCTGAAGATGAAGCTTATTGCCCACACGACCATGTCTTCATTGCAACGATTTTGCAGCGATGCTGACATCCTGTGAACCGATAGACTCGTTTCGCACCCCGTAGCCGCATCGACGCGGTGAGTCTGGCCAACGGCAGCGATATATATAATCACAATCTGCCACTGCTGAAGGTTACGATCCAGTGAAAATGCTAAAAGATGACATAGAGCCGATCTGATCGGAGATCGGGCGGAGTCGATACAGTAAGGAATCGGGTACCGCTTAGTCCCACTTGTTGTCACACTCCGTCATTAAGAAGGATGCTCCCACCCTTGGCATGTGCCACTACTATGTATAGGCCCCAGGCTGCTACCACGTTTCTTTAGGTCAGTATAGTATAGTATTTCTGCTCAATAGCTTGAACACTGTGCTCTGACTGCTATCGACCGTCAAGCGTCGACACCCGTCCTTCTATTACTATTTCAACAGCCACTACTATACAGTCATCTCAGAAATCTGGTCGAACTCGATCATCACTCGCCTTCCCCTTCCTTTTCCTTCCTGAAACTACCATGGTCAACGAAAATGCTGTTCCACAGCTGCACAAGCCCATTCTTAAGCAGTGAGCCTCAGAACAATACAGCTCAGGTCTAGCAAAACCGCACCGCTGACGGTTGCACAATATCCCTGTCAATCATTTAGAGGGCTAAAGAAAGTTTTTTCCAATACAAAAAGACAGCTGACTGGGGCAAGCCAACGTGGAACTTCCTTCGGGACAAATGGCCCTAAGGAAACGTATACCTGAACGCACGCGCCTCTACCAAGTTTGCAGACGCCCTGGTCGAGGACATAGGCGTTCGCAGTGATAACGTTTCATTGAATGAAACGTTGATGAAGATGGGCTTTTGCAAAGAGAACCTCGGCCATGTGCTCCAGACCTTCGAGCTAGGGTTCCATACGCTCCTACCATGTGAGATGGTCACTATTCGCTCCCGCATTCCGACAAGCACACAAAGGTTCGATCCAGCAGGGGCTCAAGGCGATTGATCACGTTCTCGAAGCGAATTTCGTTATCGATCAAAGGCTGAACCCACCATAGGACTTCTTCGTCAACCTTTACGAAAAATGGAACCTCGACACAGATAATCACTTCGCAGAAACATCAGCCAACCATTTTGCTCAAGCTTCTATGGCTCGGCACAAGACTCTTACCGGAGTAGCGAAGCGGGCCGTGTGGAAACAACTCTTAGGGATGGCCAATGACATTTGGTTGAAAGAAAGGCTGGTCAGCGCTTCCACAGCGCAAGGCTCAATGGGAGATTTTGAGGGCTAAATGCCGTCGAGCTGTGGTATTCTGTGCCCAAGCACATCACTTGAAGCTCAACGATGCGGCATTCCTACCTATCTTTCCGTTCTTCATTGGATTGATGGCATGCGAAAAGGAGCTTCTTGTAGAACTTGCACGTCTTCGTGCCTTGGAGATCTACAACTCAAGGTTGAGACTCTTTCCGATGGTTCAAATCCAAAATGATGGTTACTCGAAGAATGCCTTTTTACGCAACCCTGAATCAAAGGACTTTGTTCCGACCAGCGATACTGTGACTCTGTTCATGGAGAGCAGGGACAGATACATACTTGGCAGACAGTCTTGCAAGATAAAGGCTGGAAAGGTCGCTGACATAATCTGGGCCTCGTTGCTCATTAGGTTCAAGGACTATTTTCTCTAGTTACTGAAAACAAAAGTTGACCTACACATGCCGACGCCTTTATCCTGGCCCAACAGTCTGTTTCATCTTGTTGTGTTTAATGTCTGTATGGTCAGGCTGATGCCACAAAGTGCATTAAAGAGGAGCGCATTGATCTCTGCTGAGACCAAGCCTGAGCAGCTTGAAAGTCGACCTGCCAGCGCAAAGCGTCGTGTAGCCCGCGCAAGATCCTGTTAGTAGTAGCTAGCAGATTTGGACGTGCTGAAGCGTTAGTTGAGGATCTCGCGTGGAGTTGCTTGGACGCGGCTAGACGAGCTGTTGTTGTGAGAACGCGCTGTGGAGCTGCATGGAGAAGCGGCAAGGGTCCAAAAATTCTCAGGCGACCTCGGTGTCTCACCATTCATCAACATCTCTGGATCAACGCTTCTCGAGCTTCTTTCCGCACCATCATCCCTCAACATGCCCTGCCAGCTACCTTGAATTGCATGGACGTCACCGAAAGACGAAGGCGTGCCAGAGCTAATACAAGCGCCAGACGAGATGCGAGCAACGAGCTCATTCGCTAATGACTTTGGCTCGACAGCTCACCTCGAGGTGGGAAATCTGGCGCCACGTACAGCAAATACGAAGGTGGGAAGAGCACACAAGAAACGCCGACTAATACATATCGGATCCTCGCCTCCGCCTTTCACCACAGGCCTTCATCATCATGGATGCAATAAGTTGGACCGCACAAATACCGCGCTCACATCTCCAAAAGCAACGCGGAAGAGACGAGCAGCGGCAGCACCGACCAAAAATCCTCTCGAGCTTCGCTCTTCTTCACCAGCTTCGCCTCCTCCTGACGAGCCACTACGCCTTGGATGGCTCACAGCGGCTTCACGGGAACTACAACCTCGCGCCAGAAGCCAAGTCGATGCAGCAACTCATTCGGCGAGTCGAGACTTGCTTCAACGCAAGCGACAATTGGATCGAAGCGACCCAAGCTCGCCGATTGGCACCTTTGGTGGTCAAGCTGTTGGAAGATCCGATCGCAACCTTGGACCATCTCGCTTCGGATCATCCGACCCAGCGATCCTGGCTCGTCACCCGAAACGCACCGTCGGCCTGCCGGTGGTAGAGCAGCCTACACAAGCTCGTTCGCGGCTTCGTAGCAAGGCACTTCCGGCGCCGGTCGTGGACAACGAGAATGCAGAAGCGCCAGTACAGCAGGCGCTAAGGACGGAGGAGAAGGTCGCAAAGCTGAGGCGGCGTAGAACCAAGATCCAGCGTGTGCAGTTCGGGAACACTCCGCCCTCTTCCTCAGCACCGGATCAGCCGCTCAGCGATGCGGATCATCAGCTCATCTCACAACCTGACGCAGCTGAACAATTGCAGCCTGGCCCCTTTGACGCAGCCGACGAGTCAGAGATCAGCTACTTTCCCACGCTTCCTCGTGTGCAACTTCGTTCGACGGAGGAGCGGAACGCTGCCGGTACAACAAATGGTCAAGTTAACTCCACGCCACCGAGCCGTATCTCGGATCGCCCACCCTCCTTGTTTGGTCAAGACTTTACCGGTGCGTCTGCGTCCAACTCATCCAGCCCTAGCAATGCTGCAGGACATGACCAAAGTTTACCTCCAGAGAACGAACAGGCCAGCGAAGGCGACTCAAGCGTTGGACTCCTCCAAGTGCTCTCGCAGAGCGCCATGCGGAGGGTCGAATCTGCTCCAACGGCCGGGATCGAAACACTACAGCAGCAAAGTCGGGGCGTTGCCGTCAATCCACAAGTGCAGGTTGACTTTGATGCCTCCCATTTCACTAGCACACAAGCTGAGCATGTTGCCAACTCCCTGGTCGGAAGCAAGTCAAAACGAAAGCAGTGGCTGACAGTTGATCCGGACTCCATTGCCAAGCGCCAAGCAGTAAAGCTACTGTGTCGAACGCATTCCTACAAGGTCATTCAGACAGGGTGGCGTCCACCATCCAGTTGTCACGTTGCTCGAGACTTGGCCTTGTCACCGGCGCAATTGACAAGGAAGCATGGTTGCGAAGTTCTCGAGTTCAGCCATCATCATGCTCGAAGTCCGGATCGGGAATCACGGAGTCAAGATGACGAAGAGCTTGCGCCTTTCGAGCATGGTCCTCGCTTTGTTGGGTATCGACTTGAACGATCCGGGTCAATCACTGCGGCAGGTAGTCAAGGAGGGACCGCGAGGTGGATATCACAACTACAGCCCTTTGACGCCGAAGCACTGCACAAGCGAATGCAATCGCGTCGCAAAGAGGTCGTCAAGATCATAGTACCCTTCTCTGAACCATCACTGTCAGCGCGTGCTACTCGAGCTTGCTTCATTGCGCCCCATCAGACCGCCGCTTCTCAAGCACGTAGCTCAGACAACGACATGAAGCTTGTTTGGATGCAGTCCACAGCCCAACGCTTTTTTGCGGCACTCGAGGCCATGTTGCAAGCAGGCCTCGCTCGAACGGCACAGACTCAATCATACCGCGTCGACTCAGACGAAGCCGACTTATACCCATACCCTATCTTGCATTACGTCGCACATGCTGGCTCCAACAACAACAAGACCGGAGCATCATATCATAATGGTCAAAAGACAAGTACGCCGTCCTACGTGGTCCTCTACGTGCATCTCGACAGGATCGCAGAGGCACGACAGAAGCTTTCAGCCCTTGAACTCGGCCATGATGCCGACGAGGCGAGTCGATGCGGCAGCTATCGGCCATTCAGCGACCCAGCACTCCGTCTGCTCGTAACAAGTATGAAGGGAGAACCACTATGCTTGATCTAAACTCTTTGTTCCGACTGCACATCTCATGCTTCTTTCGTTTGTTTTATAGTATACCCTCGATGCTCGATCTTTCAGCCTTGACACAACCAAGCATGTCGAATAAACACACATCGCAAGAAGACGTGCTAGATTCGGCAATGTATCGAGCTGAGCGAGGTCAAGCCTCGATCGAGAGCAGATCGAAATTGAAATGTGTGAATGGCGTTCCAGTATCGACTCGCTTCCTACCTTTTCTCGATTTAATTCTGGACGCAGACTCTTGTTCCTTCTCAGCCGTGCACACTCGCGTGTCTCGTTCCTCTGTCTTTGGCACCACTGCTTCTGTCAATGACAGTAGCTCCAGCAGTCGATTGGCGATTCGATCAGCTGAGTCCCTCATCCCACCAAGATTGCCTGCGGCAGGACCAATTTGCAGTCCTGCATAAGCGCCTGTCACGAAGAGGGGAACATCACGACGGTACTCCAAATCAGAGGTGAGGACTGGCATTCCACCCACAAGACGAATCGGATGTGTTCGTTGGACCGTCTTGAGGAAGGGAAGGCTGCCGAAGTCGATCTTTGCTCCAGTGGCCACAACGAGGTAGTCTGCTCGAATGGTGGTGAGCGAACCTCCGTCAGATGTGCAGCGCAGTAGTAGGCTCCATTGCTTCTCTCCGCTCTGGTCTTCTTCCTCGATCGGTCCCGTCTTTTCGGCATTGGCTTCGCCCTCTTCTTCGTCCTGGCGTTGAGGGTCGAGCAAGGTAGTAGGAGCGTACCAAGCGGTAGAGATAGTAGTATGAGTCCGAATGTCTACCTTGCCTAGCGCCTGTAATCTCGCTAACACTTTAGCGTATGTGGGTGTCACGCTACCTCCGTTTCGAGCAGCACGCAAGGTATTGAGTCGTTCTTGCACATCTTCGTTCTGCCAGAACTGCATTTTGAGATAGTTGCTGTATCGACCGACCCAACCGAGATCAACATCGAATATTTTGCTCTTCAGATGACCGCGGGTGAGAAGGATGACTTTGTCGTAGCCGTGTTCGAGAGCGCGTACTACTATTTGGGCTGAGGTGAGACCGCCTCCCACCACAACCATAATTCGGTCGTGAGGTGTCGAGGCGAGGGTCGAGGGCGAGGGGAAGGGGAAGGGTTTCGAAGCGAGACAGCTAGAGTGCATCCAGCCTGGGCCGCATGCTGGATGTGCGGTGGCTGGCGAAGGTCGGGAGGGTATGGAATTCGTGAGGAAGGAAGGGATCACGGGCAAGCCACCGAATCCAACTGCACTGACTACAGCCTTAGCTGAGATGACAAAGCCCGTATCCTTCTCTGTGCCGTCGTCAAGCTCGAGCAGGAAGCCAGAATGATGGTTGCCGAAGTCATCTTGCACGGTGGACTTGGTACCGTCGAACCAAGCCATCTCTTTGACGCGGCCTTTCAGTGTGGTCACTGGAGTGTCTTCCAGCCCGGCACCTTCCTCCGACGCCGATGAAGCAGGCGTTGGGGCGCTCGTCGAGCCCTCATCGACATTGTCGTCAAAGAACTCTGAGACTCTTGGCCAAGTCGGAGAGCAGCAATGATCGCAAGACTGCACGCGATACTTCTGCTCCAGCCTTCGTGTGAATGAATTGAACAACGAGGAGCTGGGAGTAAAGTAGTCACGACGATCCCGCTCGTTGACGTGCATTTTGGCGGAAGTTGCATCGATAGCGCTCGACTGCTGCTGCTTGCGTTTGTGTTTGGACTTTTCTTTGCCGACGACGCCCAAGATCTCGATCAGATCCGGAAGACTAGAGTCGTTCGAGCCACTTCTCTTGCTTCCAGCCTGATCTATAGGCGAAGGTGGCCGTTTGCTCTTACATCGTCGACGGCACCCACGACCCTTTGTTGTGGTGTTTGAGGTGTTACAGGCAACAATCCGCTCTTCGATCAGTTTAATGACCTGATCGGGCGTCCCTTCGCCCGCTTTACCTTGCTGGTTAGCATATGCAATCAAGGCGTCAAAATCGCTCGCGTCAGGGTGGAAGAACATCGGCGAGCGCAAATGGCTGATACCGAGTGCTCTAAAGTTTCTCCTCCAAAGACCCATAAAGCCTTCGCCCAGTCGATCAATGACGAGAATCTTGATCCTTCCATCGCATGGACACAAGTCATCATTGTTGTGGAAATTCCACAGACCCTTGCCGCGTTTCTTTCTGCCTTGGTATGTCTGTGCTTTGAGGTCTCTGGCAGGCAAGCTAGAGGGTCTGGCGACCTTTGAAGGGATCAGAGCCGGGGAGCGCTGACGATGGGTAAAGTGTAGATGACAGTGTTCGTCTTCGGTGTAGAGGGCGGCTGGTCGAGATTCGAGGATGCGTGAGATGACGGCAAGAGCTGCAGGACCAGCGCCGATGATGACAAGGTCGAAGTGTGCTGCTGCTTCGACGTCTGGTGATGATAGTTTAGATGGAGTTGGAGTATCTGGCTCGCCAGAGAAGACGCAGGGTTGGGCAGCGGCATGATCTGAACCATCGACCTCTTCTGGCATGACGAGGTTTTCGGGTGTCTTTCGGTGTGGCGGCAGCATGCTGAATGAGGATGATGGATCTTGCACATAATGGATTCGGGGCTCACATCCAGGCTCAGACCTATATACTCTGCCTCAGACACGATAGGAGGCGTGAGCTCCTCATGGCAGTAACCTGCTCTTGCGAGGGTATGTTACCTTTCAGGTCATGAATCAGGCATCTGTTAATGTTTGGCATGGCCTACGGGGGACATTGCACCGATCAAGGGGCATGTGGCAACGTCAATGCCGCCAGCAGCGCCATCGAGGGTGTCATGCAACGCGGGGGATCTTATCAGTGATAGTTGTGACTATCAAGGTACTCACTACTCCAAGGGTCGTGGATCCGATCTGTTTCCCGATGTAGACCCATGACAAGATCGATAATCTCGATACGGAGTTGAATGTGCTTCCGGTTGGCAGAACAAAGCGGAACAATTTTTTTTCGATTGTTTTGAGTCCAGCCCAGACGCGCACGCCATCATGACTGATCACGTGATGCCCAAATGTAACCACCGCCTCTACAGTGGATCAAAGAAATGGCGTCAGAGTCGTGTAGCCTTGGTGATCTGCTTAGCGCGGATTCCGTGATTGAACGTCGACTTTGCACGAGTCGGCAAAGCAGCAGGGTGAATCAAATTTAATTTAAATTATTATTCATTTCGATGTTGGACAGCTGTCTGTACTGCAGTTGAGAAAGGGCCTGCAACTCCAGATCAGCTCTTCAACCTCCGCAGAAAATGGTAATCAACACCATCTCGCCATCGCTCACGAACATCATCCAACAAATGATGCGAGATAGAAGGATAGATTGAACGCCCCGCTACAGGTCTTTGTTTGCTAGCACTCGCTTGCCACAACTTCTCGATTCCTGCCGCCTCCGCGTGGGAACGTGGGCTTCCTCATTATTCGTCTTTGTTACACCAGTGTGACCCCCTCCTCGTGTGCCAACCAAACAGAGAGTCTTTCCAATCACTCACATGCGATCTTCCCGCGCCTCCAAGCTTCTTGTTCTTGCATATTAGAGATTCGCTCGCCATCTCACTACCGAGTTGCACCGTCAGCTTTGATCTTATCTCAGGGTGTGAAAGCTTCCCGTTGGACCACTTGATCTCTGATACCTTCTTATTCAGCCTGGTCCAAGACCAGCATTCCCTATTTCTCTGCTCATCAAGCTCTTAGTGCAAGCCCACTTTCGTCACTGCTCGAAGCTAAAAGGCTTCGGCTGAATGCACAGTAAAACCTGGTAATGAGTCCCTTTGGAAACGCAACCCTTGCGCCCTCAATTATGCCATACTCGGTCGGAGTCTTCCCTTTTCTTCGGGAAGACATTGCATGTCTTTTGTCCCAGGACACTGGAGACTGTGTCCGTGCCGCACTTTAGGGCGCTGGTGGGAGTGGAGTTATTCAGCGAAGAAGTACCTGTGCACTGAGCGTGAGAACTTGCCCGCCCGCGAATGCCATGTCTTTTGGCTTGGTGCCTTTGGTGAGATAGATCTTGAAAACAGGTGCCAAGCACTAAGGTGCTGTGATGCATGAATGATCTCGTCTAACTGATCTTTTCGATGGGATCCTGTTTTCGATGCTCGTCCCTTGCGCAATCAGCGAGAAGAAATGAACAAAGTAATGACGGTCGGCTGAGCTCCCCTAGGATACTTAAAGGACTTACTCACACCATCTCCCTCCCCGCCGACACCCTTGCGTCCCTCTATACCCTCCTCAATCCGGACTTCTTTGGCTTGATCAGCGGGTCTTTGGCCTACATATCTTCATACGGGATAGTCGAGAAGCTACAACTGAAGTGGAACAGCATCATTCATCATGGTTTCGGCCCCTCCTCTGTCACAGGGAGCCGGCTACGGTGTAGTCATCGGCCTAGGTACCCTCTTCGCTGTCGTAAGTGCTCCACCTCGAGCTGTCATCCACGACGTCTCCAGATCTAAGCTGACTTATCCTACCCTTTGAATAATGTGGTTAGGTCGTCGTCGGTATCTCACGATCCCTCGTCCGATACGCCGGTATCTCGAAAGACGCTGAAGAGTTTAGTGTCGCTCGTCGTTCGCTCGGAACTGGTCTGACCGCAGCCGCTGTCATTAGTTCTTGGACATGGTCTACCACCCTACTTTCTTCTGTCTCTACTGCCTACAACTACGGCGTAGCCGGTGCCATGCTCTACGCCTCGGGCAATTGCACCCAAATTGTGCTATTCTCCACCCTCGCCATCCAGCTCAAACGTCGTGCTCCATCGGTCCACACTTACCTCGAGCTCGTCCGCATCCGATTCGGCACCTTTCCACACCTCACCTACATCTTCTTTGCTCTCGCTACCAACATTTTGGTCTGCAGTTCGGTTTTGCTCGGTGGCGCCGCCGCGATTAACTCGATCACAGGCATGAACGTCTACGCTGCGCTCTTCCTCCTCCCCATCACCGTCATCGCCTACACCCTCCGTGGCGGTCTTCGAAGCACAATCCTCGCAGACTACCTGCACACGATCATCATCTTCGTAATACTGTTCGTTTTCTGGCTTCGTGCCTACGCGACCTTCCCCGAAATCGGCAGTCCAGGAGCAATGTACGACCTTCTCATCAACGCTCAGAAAAACATCAGCATCGATGGCAACTACGATGGAAGTCTTCTTACTCTCAAGACTGAGGGAGGACAGTACTTTGCTTGGCTGTCCGCGTTCGAGTATACCGGTGTCGTTTTCTTGGACGCGAGCTTCCATCAGAAAGGAGTTGCAGCGATGCCAGAAGCTGCGTTCCCAGGTTATCTGATCGGAGGTTTGGCTTGGTTCTCGATTCCTTTCTGTTTGGCAACCACTGCCGGTCTGGCTGCTCTTGCTCTCGAGACCACGTACCCCGGTTTTCCGACCTACCCCAACCGCATTCCCAAGGCCGACGTTTCTGCAGGTCTCGTCCTTCCCTATGCCGCTCAGGCGCTGTTGGGTAAGGGAGGCTCAGCAGCTGTGCTTTTGCTCATGTTTATGAGTTGTACCTCGGCCATTTCGGCTCAAATGGTTGGTGTGTCCGCTGTTGTCTCTTACGACATCTTCAAGACCTACTTCAAGCCAACCATATCCCCTGAGAAGCTCCTTCGCGTCAACCAGTACGTCGTCGTCGGATTCGGTTTGTTCGCCGCCGCCTTTGGAAGTCTGCTTCACGGGATTGGATTAGACCTTGGATTCATCTACAACTTTACAGGAATCTTTACATGTGCTGGTCTATCTCCACTGATCTTCACCTTCTTCGACACAAGGTTGCATCCAGCGGTGGTTTTCCCAGGCATCTGGATCAACTTTGCGTCAGGTGTTGCAGTATGGCTCGCCGTGGCTTGGCACAAATATGGCGTTGTGGATCTGTCCAGTGTGGGTGGGGTGGTGCCCTGTTTGGCAGGTTCAGGCACAGGCATTGGAGTTGGTTTAGTTCTCTCCACGCTCTCAGTTCTCTTCTTCCCACGCGACTTTGCCTGGAGCCGAATTCCCGAGATCCTCGAACAGCAGCACAAGGAACAGGTCGAACGAGGTGCGAAGCAACATCTTCCTGGAACCGCTGGCGACAGCTCGCCAAATGGTGACAGCGAAAAGGCGCGAAGCATCACGTCAAGCCCTGACCCCCGAACGCAGCTTGAGTTCATCGAAAATGATCCATCCTACAACCCCGCTCGCCTCGACCGTTTCTTCCGCATTGCCGTCGCTTCGTCCTTCACGATCTTTGTGGTCATCACCATCATCTGGCCTTTCTCGCTCTACCGAGACTACATCTTCAGCAAGTCATTCTTCGAAGGATGGGTGGTGGTCTCGTTCATCTGGGCCATCCTTGCCTTCACGGGTGTCGGAATCTTCCCTGTAATTCAGGGTATTCCCGTGGCCAGGGTGATCCTGCTGAACTTGAGGAACAAGATTCGTGGTGGTCAGACCATGTCCAACGCAAGCGAGACAGCTGAGAAGAGCAAATCCGGAGAGGAGAGGAGAGGCTCGGGCGGCACCAACACCGCGACTGCAGAAACGCCTTCGTCTTCGGGGACGAAGAACAAGCAGCTGCAGACTCACATTGACTCTGCTTATATCGCTTGATCGCGCGCTTATTCCCAAAAGTCTTTGCACATTTAGATACCATAGTTTGTGAGGCTTCTGAAAGAGTTTGACGTTCATTGTATGAGCTGTGCCAGTCCTGAAAGATCAGCGACAACAACGTCTACATAGTCTGGCTTTCCGTCCTGAGGTAGAGTGTCTTCGGTCGGCCTTGATGAGACGAAGACTGTAGTCATACCGCATGCCTTGGCAGCTTGGAGGTCGTATAGCTGTAATGAACATTCGACGGAAAGATCTGGTAAGCTCGTACAATGCAATTGACAAAAGCGATTGCGATGTGTGATTGACATACTCACATGTGCAGCAACCATACATGCTCGATGTCCGTCAACGTCTGGCTGGATATTGAAGAGGCGCATGCTCTTCTTGTACATCTCAGGATCCGGCTTGAAGCTACCAAGCAGATCGGCTGTGAGCAAGAAGTCCCATAGTAGCTTACCGTTCTTCGCCATATCGACCATCAGATTGAGGTTACCATTTGTCAATGTTCCGATCTTGAAGCATGTCTTGAGCGTCTCCATACCTGCAACCGAATCAGGCCAAGGTTCGAGCAAATGCCAAGTGAAATTGAGACGATCTCTCGCTTCTTGTGTCCAAGCATGCTCCAATGCTTCAGAGGCAACATCTATGGAATAGCTACCGATCGATGGCGACGTGGCATCTGTGGGCACAGGAAGTGAGGCGATCAGCCGATTGAGAGCGGTGAGATGCATTTGGTCGACAGTAATCTTTTCGGGATTGCCGATGCCTGCGAGTCGCTGCGTTTCGCTCTTGTATTCCTCCCGCCACTTTATGGTAAAGTGTTGCCAGTCATAAACTTCTTGCAGAGCCTGGAGTAGATTAGTGTCCGCTATTTGCGCGGAGCGGATCTCTCGATGCAGTGCTTTGGTGATAGTTCCGACATAGTCGACGACGGTGCCAAAGACGTCGAAGAAGAGAACCTCGACGTTGCGGAGCTTGCCTTTGGCGTGTGTCGACATCCTTGCTGAGGAGCTCCGGCCTGTCACGGATGAAAAGCGACGACAAATCGAGGTAGCTTACCCAGGCTTGGAGTCAGGGTCCACGGCAAGTGCTTAGGCGCGAGTAGGTGGAGCGAGCACATACGACAACGGTGTTTCTCTGACCTCTTGTAGAGCCAGCATTATCAACACACCTGCACGGCAGCTTACCCTTCTGATCCATTGACTCTAATTGCTCTCTCATGCCATTGTAAACTGGCATGGTGTGCTCATATCATAGTCTTTCGTAGCATCATGTCCGTGCACTTCGGGGACTGCAGCGGGTAAAGAAATCTTGGATCTGGAGTCCGGTAACTGTTGACGCCGACAGCGTTTTGGTCTTTCCTCCTCCAACAACGAAACGCGCTCCGGCTTGCTTGATGCTGACCGTAAGAGCAGAGTTTCGAAGTCCGAGATCCGGTTTTTTGGCAACTGCAGGTCACAGTCACACAGTGGCTCAGCACAGTATGCACGTGTGTGAATCAGATTCGAGGTCACTGTGATACGCACGGTGCTTTCCTATGCGCTTCCTTTCCACACAACACCACCACATTTTCCCTTAGACAGGCTCGATAGCCAGCTACGACAGTGCTTGGGCTACAACCAAGCGCTCCAACACAACAGCAACAGCATAGCAGCGTTCAGACAGGTTCAACTTCAGGAAGACGAGCGCTGTATAGAGATCCGCGACAAGCAGGCGCCAATTCCCTCGGATCAGAGCAAACGTTCTCCGATACCACAGGCTCAACTTCGAATAAGAGCTGTTTCATCATCGACTTAACCTCAATCTGACTTCTGCTGCTTGGGCGTGTCCGCTCAGCTTCGCGAAGGTCTTTTGCAACCCGCGCCAGCGTTTCGGTTACTGGACCCGGTCTCATCGGCTCCTTCCACGCAAGATCGGAACAGTCTCCCTTGGACTCTATGAGCACATTGAGGCCCTCCTCCAAATCCATGTCCACCGATCGAAATGAAAAGCAGCATCACTTCGAGTCCGCCGATGTAGGGCCAAAGCGCCGAAATGCGGGTCGCAACAACTCACATCATGTTCGGCCCGATATCAGCACCAATCAGCAAGGCAAGCGTGGTGGGCAGAGCATGAACCATTTGCTCTCCTTCACGCTTCCGCCGCGCAGTAGACCTCCTCTCGCCGGTCCAGCTCGCAGGTCGCGTAGGGGTGTAGCACACACACCGTTCAACAAGGAACGCTATGTCAACGCTCAGTATCGTTTCCTCGTCAAGCCAACAGGCGACTACACGGCATATTTTGCCGACCCCGACATCTATCTCAACTGGGCTGATATTCTCCAAGTCGTCATTCCAACTTCTTCAGCTCTAGCTGGCGTAGGGTCGTCTGCGCTCATATTGGATCAGCCGCGCGAGCCCGCTCACGAAGGCGCTGCGTGCCCTATTTGTCTCTCGCCACCTACTGCCCCACGTATGACCAAGTGTGGCCACGTATTCTGCTATCCTTGCATTCTACACTACCTCACTCTCAAGGACGACCACAATTCTCGTCCAACTGTACCTACTCTGCAGCAACCCACTCAGAAATGGCGACGTTGTCCTATCTGTTGGGACGCCGTGTATGCGCGCGATCTTAAGGCAGTGCGATGGTGGGATGCGCAAGCTGCTGCTCGTGAGCGCGAAGCCAAGCTCCAGGAACAGTATGATCTAGAACGCGCTCGACACATCAGCGAGCTCGACGAGGATGGACAGCAGGGCCTGGAGGAAGCCAACTCGAACAAAGGTGCGCCAAGCTTGACACATTCGCATCCGGACATGCTCGCCATGCGTCTCATCGAGAGACCTAACGTCACCACACTCGCACTGCCACAGTCTTGGACCTGGCCCGCTTCCGAACTCGATCATCCGCTCATCGCAGTACATTCGGCACCATGGCATTTTCAGCCAGATGTCATGGGGTTTGCCAAATTCATGCTGGCCACACCAGAGCTCTTGATCGAATCGCTCGACAAAGACCTGCAAGAGCTGGATGAAGAGATCGGCGTTCTGAAAAGTTTTGGCACAGATGCAAGCGGACTTCACTTCGTCGCACTGGCGCAGAACAAGGTCAAGGATCAGATGCAAAAGGTGCGCGATGAGCTGGATCTACCCATTGTTCGCAGCATCATCGGACAGGCACGGAACGATCTCAAGGATCACGAAGCAGCACTATTAGGCCAGCTTGAGCGCACCGACCTAAGTCGACGTCAGCGTAAGCGCATGGAGCGCTCTCAGACAGACGAAGAACCTGAATCGACAGCACCTCTGCGCGAATCCACGAAAGCTGAGAGCGCAGCTGCTCGTGATGGTGCACCCGAAGCTGCTCTTGGTGCCGAAAAGTTCCCGGTCCTTCGAGCTCAATCGCAAGGTGGAATGATGGCACATGCGTCGGCAGATGGAGGATCAACAACTCGCAAGGAAGATGCGTCAGAAGAGCCAGCAGCTGGCTCAACACACAAGATTACGTCTCCTCGGCAGCCAAAGGCGCGCAAGAACGTAAACCCGCCCCAGCCCGAGTCTTCCTCATACGTCTTCTTCCAGGCCGCTTCTGGACAGAGCATCTTCTTACATCCCCTAGACACGAAGATCCTCCTGTCGCACTATGGGGCTTACGCCAAGCTGCCGCGCAATCTTGCGGTCAAAGTGGCTGGTGCCGACGAGGGCAGCATGGATGAAGAGTTGAGGAGGCGCTGCAAGTATCTTAACCACATCCCGATGGCGGCTGATGTTGTGTTCATCGAAGTGGATTGGGAAGGCATGCAGCTGATCGACAAAGCAACGTTGCGCCCGTACGAGCAAGCTCTGCGACAACGACGCAACCGACGACGAGACAAGGAAAGGCGTGAGGATCGAGCCAAGATTCGCGCTGAGGAAGCCGAGCTGATCTCGAACCAAGGTGGACCCGCTGCAGCTGCAGCCTATCGTCGACAGCAGGAGCAGCTTGCAGCCTTCACGAGCGAGGCCAACTTCCCGTCGGACGGCCTGTTGCGCAGCTTTGATCACGGTCAGGGTGCAGCTCGTGGTGGAGATTCGGCTGATGGCGGAGGTCCCGTATCAAGCACATCACCTAGCTTCCGAGAGGCAGCCATGTTTGGAGCCGAGCGCGAATTCCCTGTTCACCCCGGAGCTGCTGAGACGGAGGACTTCCCCGACTCACTCCGAAGTACACGCAACGGGCTGGAACGCGTCTCGATCTCGTCGGACGACCAAGCAAACCGTACTCCTGGCAAACCACCGGCGCGTGGAGCAGCGCCCCTCAAGAAGACAGTCTGGGGGACGCCTGCTACTAAGTCGAGCTTTGCAAATGCGATCCAGGGTCGTGGTTCGGACGCTCATGATTTATGGGATGATCAGATGGACGATGCTTGGCATGAGCTTGAGGAGGATTACATTCTGGGGTCCACTTCGTCGGGAAGGAGACCAACAGACGCAGTTCGCGAAGGACGTGGCCTCAACAAGCAAGTCAAAGGCGCTGGCAGAGCTCCAGCAGCTGCTGTCAAGGACAGTCATCGTGTTGAAGGCTCAGTATCAGCCAGTGAAGCAGTCGGAACAGCTGATGGTGACAAGTCGGGTTCGGAAGCGGCAACAGCAGCAGCAGCGGCGAAGCCGAAGCGTGTCAAAAAGAAACTGATTCTTACAGGTGGCGGTGGCGGACGTGGTTCTCGTTGAGTCTGGCAAGCACGCCTTGTTCGCAAGCATTACTTTATTCGCATATATGCTAGAATTCTATCGACATCATTACAATACAATCATGAGCGTTGTTTGATGGAGCCTTTTTCCTGATAACGCCTGGAACAGATGTGGTACACTGCAGGAAGCGGTTTGAAATTAGTGAGAGAGACACAGAGACGGCACGTCTCGCTTAGTTGTGCGCTCGCCAAGCGAGAGAACAGTCGCGGAACTGCGAAATCTTTGAGACACGAAGCTGACACTCCGTAGTTGGTGTGTGCAATTCGGCACGATGATCGTATCGCCCTTTACCCTCGCTTCGTCGCAGCAATACGAGCATGTCGACTTTGAGCTGCAGGACAAGCAAGGCCGACTGAGACAGAGAGGAGTTGATAGCTCCGACGCAGTGGCCACTCGAATGCAGCGTGCGCTTCCATTCCGAACCCCAACGTGTCTGCATCACGTGATCGTCAAGAAGGCGTGCCCGTCTGGACTGGACTCAACAATCGAATTGTTCCGCTTCTCCGCTCCTCGTTCCAGTTTGGTCTGACCTCACATCACGCAGCTCTCTCTTCACTCTGCTCATCACGGCTTCTAGAGCTCCCGCTACAGTCTCCTCGGACGCTGTTATCACTTGCGCAGGCTGCCCTTGTTCTTCCCGTCTATCTGATCGTTTCCTGCAAGCATTGCCTGGTGCAACCCCGTACACGCATCGAACGTAGTAACAAATTCGCAGCTGCCCGCCTCTCTCCTCGCTCCTCGACCTCTTCACTTCGACTTGCTCTACCGCCGGAACCTCGCTTTGTATCATACGCACCACATTTGTCTTCAGCTCATGTCGACCTTCGCAGCCCTCTAAAGTACCGACTGCTTTTGGCACTGGCGTCTTCGCCTCTCTCGCTCGCCTTCGCAGTCCTCCGCGTTGATCCTGCTTTCTTATCTGTACGAAACACCCACGTTTGCAGAGCGCATTGCCACCGTCTTATCTCAGCCGTCAACATCATAGCCTTGGCTTCTAGCGCGTTCAACACGCTGGTCTCTGTTCGACAGAACGACACCCCAGGTCACTGCCACCTCTCGTAGGTGCCTTTCTGCCATCGTCTTCAGCAGATAGAATCGTCCTTTCCAACAACCTTCACGGCACCCAGCTCCTCTGCAGCCATGTTCTCTTTTCCCAGCTCCAACAGGGGAAAGCGTCGCGACGACCGCCTTCTCCCACTCACCGACTTCAAGGTCGGTCCATTCAAGATTCGCAGCTCGAGCAACACACCCAGTAGCGAATGTGAATACACTGCGCTCACGTCATCAACGGAGACCGCAGTCGATATCCCGCTAGGTGACCAGCACTCTTCACGGCGCCATTCAGCATCTTCACTTGATCAATTCAATGACGTCCCGTCACCGCCACCAGGCTATAAGCCGCCATCATACTACTCAACGTTGTTGGGAGCGACACATCGTCGAGCAAAGAGCCCTTCGCGGCGGTGCAAGATTCTCACGCTGGCCGGCATCATTCTACCATGCTTATACATCTTCTGTTACATCACCTTCCGACCACCGCACTACGTTGTGCTTCCACCAGAGAGATACGTCGATGTTCTCAGAGAGACATTGACACAACACATTCCCAGCCAACAAGCACGAGACGGTCTGCTGGCTCAACTTGCTCGTATCGAGCACCCAGACGTCAGCGAAGCCAAGCACGCATCAGCGAAGCCAGCGGAGGCATCAACACCTTACATCCCGCACTCTATCGTTCCTCCGACGATTTGGTCTTCGGATGGCAAGCCCGCGCCCGCAGCCTGGTCCACCAAATGGACGCAGATGGGCTTTGAGCCCAAGTTCCTCAACGATGCTGGCGCCGAGAATTGGATTCAGACTCACTTCGCCAACTCCTCAGTCAAGCAAATGTGGGACTCGATGCCGCGCTTTATCCTCAAAGCGGACCTCTTGCGCTACCTCCTCATGCTAGAGGAAGGTGGGACTTGGAGCGACATGGACACGGTCCCACTCATGCATCGCACCGATTGGACCAAGGACGCTGTCCCGATAGCGGTGCTTCCCGAGGATTCAGGCGTCTTTGGCAGGGCTGGTTCCGCCACCATCAGGGACTCAACAGCTGCATCATCTCCGGAGCCCGTACGTGCAATCATCGGTATCGAGAACGACCCTAACGAAAATTACGATCCACGCAACTTCTTCGAGCGATTACGGTTGCTTCCCATGCGACGACATCGACCTCTTCAGTTCGTGCAGTGGACACTGCACGCTGCGCCGAACCATCCCATCATGCTCGACGTTCTCAGACGCATTCTGCGAGCTACCGACGTGTACCGTGCTTACGAGATCGAGCAACAGCGCGATGCGCACAGCGATGGCTGGGGCTGGGGCGACAAGTCTGTTGAAGCCAGGAAGGAACAGGCCAAGATGAGAGAGGCTCATGTGTCGAACCCCTGGGATGCAGTGTCGATGTCATGGAAGTGGCAAGCTGGTCATTGGAGGTTCGGCTGGGATCTTCTTTCCATTGAGGAATGGACAGGGCCGGCTGTGTTCACTGACGCAGTCGTCAGCTATCTCTACGCTTCAGCGGGTGTAAGGCCAGAAGATCTATCGTTGCTCAAGAAGCCAGTACAAATCCGAGACGTCGTGATTGTGCCTTCGCTAGGCTTCAATCCCACAAATCATCGCAAAGAAGGTGTCAGTAGGCTGGTTCATTTGTTCCGCGGCTCTTGGAAGGGTTAGGCCCGCAATCAGAAGTATCACAATCGTTATGTTCCTGTCACGTTGCATCATCAACCCTAGACCTAGCACTTTGCAATTGGCATCGTGTTCCCTATGCCAATTGTGTCTGAGCTTGTGAGTTAAAATTAGATACACCGCTCTAGAGGCCACTATTAGGCGCTCTTTACAGTCGAGTGTGTCTGAGTGAGAAGACTTGTTATTTCGAGGCAAGAGGAGCTACAAAACAGGAGTATATATACCTTACCGGTTGACTATGCTCGCCCTTCGAGTCACATCTATGGGCCGTGCGTCCAGTGGGTCACCTTTCATAACCGTTGCCTTGTCAACACCTCCTAACCGTTGCCATGTCAACCTGCCTCCTGCATGCCTTGGTGTCAAACCTCGAGCATAGGCCGCATATGCTCCCACGAGCTTTGCATCTATCTCATCTCCGTTGGCACTTGGCATCGTTCCGGCATCCTGGTCCTGAATGTTCCGCTCTAACATGTCGGCCCTTGGAAATACCGACGTATCTTCAACTTTGTGTCATTTCAAAAGAAGCGGGAACATTGTGAGCTTGTGAGCGGAGGAACCTTGACCTCACCCAGATGAAGCTCGAGGATCGTACATCATTTTGGAGCCGCGGAAGTCCGGTCGTGCTTCGTACCTTTTCCTGGTCTCCTTCATCCCGTTTGTATCAAACCTTTCATAATTGCTGCGGTTGTTGTCACAGCCAGCGTTGGGTAGGCTCAAGCTCGCACAGATTGTGCCGTCCGTCCATTTGGCGTCGCGGACAACAGCCTATCATCTTCTTGTCGTCACAGTTTTTGTGATAGCGGACAATGGTGCTGTATGGCTCGTGCAACGCTGTCTTCAGCCTGAAGCCCAAACATGGAGCGGACGTCGATGCAGGTAGATGAAGAGCAGATACTCTTTGTTCCATCTTCATCTCCATTGCGAAGCACCTGCGTCTCCCGTTCTGCCCTCTAAGCCAAACTAATCTCGGATGTCTCTGCGTCGTGTGTCCTTCCTTCTCCGTTGTAGGCCCTCGCCCACAGCATTGCGTTCAGCAGCAAAGTTTGTCGCATTTCTTACGTGAGGCAAAATAAACGGTATCGTCCCCATGGATCGAATAATGACACTCTCGATCGTCAAGTCGCTAGTCAAATTTTCACAATTGTCCTGCGGTTCCGTCTGGAAACGGAGCTCACGCATCGAAGTTGCTTGTCCTGATGCTACTCACCGCTCTCGGACGCGGCTCACGCATTTCGTTCACTCGTCGTGTCTCTACACACTGCTCTGAAATGGAGCTTACAAGCCCAAGTCAATCGCTTCGTCACTACACATCGCTCAGATGCGGAAGTAAGCTGATGAGGTTTTTGCAACAATGCGTGCGCTGAATACAAAGCCACCGAGCTTAGTCTCAAGACAGATTCTACACGACAAAATGTCTGAAATGGTGCTGTCGCTACACATCCGCTGTGATGCGGAAGCGGATTGATGAGCTGACAGATTCTGCTTTTCGTAGTGAACAGGCTGACCTGACTTCTTTCGCTGCAGGCAGAGGTCGAGCACTTCCTTGTGGTTCAGCTTTCCCGCTATCGTCTAGCTCTTCCGCTTTCGTCGAGCACTTGAACTTCGATGGGCACTTTTGCTGTCTTGTCTGAAGATAAAGAACCCTCTATCTGCCTCTCCTTTGACGCTCGTTCAAGCAAGCTCGACAGGAGATATAAGCAGCCATTCCTCTGAGCAATCGACTTTGCTGTCCCCTCAACACACGGCTTTTCCACCTCCCCTCCTCAAGTCCCGCAGCGACACGCTGTTCTACGCTTGCCTTCGATGACCCGATATCGACGATTTGATTGTCCGCGAATCCTTCTTCATTCCTATCTTCCCCTCAACAACATGTCTTTTGTCCCCTTGGACGGAACTAGGGTTTGGCAGGATGACGATATCATCCTCATGCATGGTTTGTTTGGTAAGTATCATCCCATTTGACGCGACTGTTCCTTAAAGACGATTTCAAACTGACCGGCTACGACTTCTAGGACGTCCTTTGTTATGAAGAGGACAAAGATACGAAGTGTCGATACATCATCACTGTTCTTGCACCCAGATGTGTGCCTCTTGGCCCTGACCAGGGATTGACGTGCGAGGATGATCTTCGTTCTTTCTTTGATGACGTGAAGGAGAACGTTCACCGCTTCAATATCGAGCAGAACGCTCTCGGTTCAGACGCTACTGGGAGACAGACCGAATACTCGATACTCGCTGTACGAATCGGAAAGGCCGTCACCTCCCGCACCGGGTTAAGTCACTCAGCTAATATCTAGCCCCCTGTCGCCTTCTATGACATCAATCGCTAACCTTTTCCCATCTCCTATTCGATCATCGCTGTCAGATCTGGAAGGACTACTTTACTTCTCACTAGTCCGACGTCTCCGGCTTTCGACTTGCATCCAGTTTCCGAACAAGTCGACTTGACGATCTCGCTTTGATTCAAGATAGACGAGCTCACTCACCTCTCCCCTCCAAATGTCCCGTGTTGCGTTCTTCTCTCTCCACTCTCATATCTTTCGACAGACCCTGGAGCGGTTCCGGCGCTCTATTCCACTGGCGTCGGCCTGTTGCGTCTTCGTAACTTTGTGTTCTCACGGTCGTCAAATCTTGGTTCTCCTGTCTAAACTAGAACCTGTCTTTGTGACCGACTCGGCAAGCCGCACGAAACCAAGCGCGAATCGAATCTTCACACCATACTCAGCGCAGTCGTTGCCGTCAGAGGTCGGCTTAGTATAAGAGATGCATTGTATAAGAGATGCATTGATGAACATCCTACGACAAAGAGTAAAGACCATATCTAAGGCTTGTACCCAGCCTCAGCAAGCGCCTCCTTAATAGACTTCAACAGGTAATCAAGGTCACCCCTCTCCTTATCGTTCACAACAGTAACACCCATATGACCGACCCTGAAGTATTCATCCTTGACCTGCTTATGCAGACCAGCAGCAACGACAATGTTCTTCGCCACCAGCTTAGGCAACAGATCAGTCGCCTTCAAACCTTGAGGGTAGCGAACAGCAGTCATACCGTGAGCGCCATCCTTCTTTCCATCCGCAGCAAGCTGTTTGAGACCAAGCGAAGTGATAAAGTCCTTAACCTTGTCTGAAGCTGCGACGTGTTGTTTGAATCGGTCCTCGATGGAAGGGGAGCCTTTGGTGATGGTGGTCAAGCTGGCGTGGAGAGCGTAGATAAGGTTGGTGGGAGGGGTGGCGAAGTAAGCACCAGTACCAGCCTCATAAGCCTTCATGACAGGAAGCCATCGAGACCAAGAAGCAAAGTAGCTGTTGGGTGGAACTGTACGCTTCTCAAATGCAGCGATGGCCTTCTTGCTAGCAGCCAAGACCATCAACCCAGGAGGACAGCCAAGACCTTTCTGAGTAGCAGTGAGAACAATATCGATACCCCACTCCTCCATACGGATCTCTTCGCTTCCAACACTGCATACACCGTCCAAAACGAGGATAGTCTCGGGGCTAACACGCTTTACGACCTCACCAAGTCCCTTGGCATCGCTGAGAACACCGGTGGAAGTGTCGACGTGGGTGAAGGTAAGCACCTTGTACTTCTTCTTCTGGAGTGCCTCTTCGACCTCAGCAAGCGAAGGCTTGGATCCGATGGGAGCCTTGATCTGGTCTACCTTGGCACCGTAGGTCTCGAGGCAGTCGGCAAAGCTGTCACCAAAGTAGCCCGAGTTGAGAACGAGAGCATCCTCGCCAGGCTGGATGACGTTGGCAGCAACGTGGTCCCAGCCGAGAGTACCGGAACCGGCGGTGAGAACAGGCTGCGAGTTTGGTGCGAAGAGGACCTCGCGGAGCATGCGAATGCAGTCGCCAAAGACAGGAATGAAGTCGGGCGAGACGTGCGACATGGCTGGGTGGGCGTTGGCCAAGAGTACGTCATCGGCGACCTCGATGGGTCCCGGAATGACGAGCAGCTTGTGAGGGGCCTGCTTGAACTCTTGAGTCGACATCTCTTTTCGTAATGTGGATGGGAGCTTATGGGATATGTGTTGTGTGACCTGCTGGATTCGGTTCCTTGCTACTGTTGTGACGTCACGTGTAACAAAAGTATTCGAAGAGGTTGAAGGTCGCCGTGAGGGGACGTGATCGTTATTTTCTGCCATTGGGCCGGACAGTGATTGACGGCGAGAAGGCATGTTGTCGGTGGTGTTGATCGGAATGAATGTATGCGATGCGATGTGATGCGATGTGATGCGGAAGATGCAGCAGTGGTAATGAGGAAACCAAAGAAATGTTGTCGAGAGCAAGAATGCGAGAATAGATCAGATGATCAGAGCCGTAAGAATGTGATGGTGACGAGAGTATGGTGGCGGCAATCGGAACGTCGAGGCCAGGGAGGACGTGGGTCGAAGCGAGCAAGTTGAGTCAGTGCGGCGAGAGCAAGGGAAGCGGTCGGGGCGGGAAAGTGACAGCAGGAGGAGCAACACAGAAGATGAAAGCCAAGCCCCGGAGCGAAGGTCCATTTCGCAAGTGTCGACCGAGTACGTCCGAAAAGCACAAGTAGCAGTCAGCCCCGCGAAGCGAAGGATTGGCCGTCACGGCGAAATCCAGAAGAAATTGAAACGAAAATGAGCACGCGCCAAAGGCGGCAAACGTGTCAGGAAATGACAGGGCATGGCCAAAGCGCGCAGTAAGCAAGCGAGCGAGCGGGGAACAAGACGCATCGGGGATAAGTGCCATCACCAGAGCCGAATGACAGGCGAGACCGTGCGAGAGACAGCCAAGCGAAAAAGCGACCGGCAACCAGAGCATGCGAAGTGTCAGAGTGTAGAGCCAGCATCCGAATGTAAGAAAGCGACCAAAATCATCGTGGGAGAAAGGCGTCCGATCAAGGCCCGATCGGCGATCGCAACGTTGGTTCGTTATGCCAGCCAACATTGGATCAGTGGAGCGTCACAAATGCGTATCAGCATAGGTGCATGAAAGCCCAATACGATGCCGACAAGTTCGTGATGCCGAGCGAGCATGCATGTGCAAGCATCGATCAAATGTTGGAGCAGGTAACGAAACAAAGAGGCGCGCGAGACCGCCGACATTGCAACGAACGAAGTTTTCGACAGCGAAAACGCAAGATAAGGGTGTTGCAGACCATAACGATCGCAAGACGACAGCGGCAGGCGACGCAGAAGACGGATAGTCGGTGAAGGTGGCGCATGAGAGCCAGATATGTTACGAGGTGGCAGAAGGAGCGACGAAGAATGTCAGCGCGGACGAGCGTCCAGTACGAGCAGAGGCCATCCGCATACGGCAAATGTTGCAAGGCGCCGAACCACCATTTTCCATGTGAATTAGTTCAAAGATCCAGATGAGGAGCGGTGCGGATAGGCAGAATGGTCGTGGGTGGTTCAGCGACCATGAAGGAGGGGAAAGAAGAAGATCAAAGCAACGAAATAGTCAATATCGAAAGTACTCCTGACGTAGATAGGTCAGAACAAGGCCAGTGTGACCTCAATGGAAATGTTGCAATGCTTACACCTTCTAGCGGTAGATAGATTTGGAAGAGCGAAAGCAAGTGATAGAAGTTGGAGTATGGAAGAGAAAGTTGGATTGCTGCGATGTCAAAGGAAGACCAACGGCGACTGGCCCGGGCGAGTGCATTCCAGGGTTTGTTGCATATCACGGCCTTTGTGTGGAGAAAGAGAGCGCTTTCTCAGCCTTTCAAACGCGGCTTCGCCGGCTGGATCAGTCGATTCTTTTTCTCGTTTAGCCCAATTGTGCCGGACTAGACCGAAATCGGATCGGGCGAAAGCTCACCGCTCAATCATCGGCGATATTTATTGCAGGCCGCATTTAGGTCGTGTCCAATCAGGCTCCGCTTGCTCCACGCAACCGCGTACAGAGCACGGCCCTGGTTTTGGAAGAAACAAGTCTTCGGTGACCAATTCCCCACTCTTGAACTAGCTCATCGGTGGACTTTCTCCTATCGCTGAACCACCATCTTCCGGCCCTCCTTCGTTTTTATCTTCGGTCTCTACAGTAAGTCGCTCTCGTGTGCAGGTGGACGCCGCCCTATACTACTCCAGCTTTAATTGACGGTACGACTTCCCTGACGACCTGCTCCTTCTTCGACGCTGGAACACCAGATATGCGGTTCTTCTCTCTTGCTGCCTCGACTCTTCTCGCCCTGATCCCCGCTGTTCTCGTTGCAGCTCAGGCGCACGATACCCCCGAGCTTGGCATCGTCACCACCTTCCCTAACAACCCTTTCTCTAGTAAGTTGCCTTGCTGCCGCCTAAGCACCTGAAGCCCTGAAAGATGCTGACTTCTATCTGCCTGTTGATCCCGCAGTTGTCAAGAACGGCCAAGCAAACACCGTAGTCTTCTCCATCACCAACCCTCCCAAAGATGACCGTCTGCTCACCCTTCAATCCATCACCGGCGCCTTCCTCAACCCCAAGAAGAACGATGGTCAACGAGGCCGCGTTCTCCGCAACATGACCACAACTGCCTTCAAGTCTCGTCCTCTTCGTTCCGTCGGTGGTCGTCCCGTCCAGATTCCCTTCGACTTTGTCCCTGAGTTCAAGCCTCAAGAGCTTTCCGTCGAGTTCAGCCTGCTGGTCAATGACGAACAGACCGGCAAGAAGCACCGTATCCACGCCTACCGCGGTAACGTTCAGGTCATCGAGCCCCCTAAGAACTGGTTCGATCTGCAGCTTCTTTCCGTGTACTTGATCGCTGCTGCCGTTGTGGCTGGTGTTGGATACGCTGTCTACTCGACCTATCTCAAGCCTGAGGAGAAAACAGTTGCGGGCAGCAAGAAGTTTGAGAAGCCAGCACCTGTTCAGCAGGCTGGTGTTCAGGATGAGTGGATCGTAAGTAGACCTCGCTCTCCAAGGGAATTGATGTTGATCCTGAGATGTGAAGAATCGATGGCTGACCGCAGACATTCCTTTCTCGCTTTGTTGTGTCACACCTGCAGCCCGAGCACCACCTCCGTGGCCGCAAGAACAAGAGCAAGTCGGCTGGCGCTCTTAGCAGCGGTGACGATGAGCCTTCTAATCCTAAGCGACGAGGCAAGGGCCGTAAGTAAACCTTGCGCCTTGCACGCTCGTCCTCTCTGCGTTCTTTGCAAGCAATCAGACCGTCACTTGATGACCTCCTTGTACTCTGACAAAGCTGCCTCAGGCGACGATCCACTCGTTTACTGCGTCAAGCGCTCCTTCACATTGTAAATAGCGTTTTCGGACTCTGCGTAATCCGTAGTGGCTGCAATGCAGAGCAACCTCAAACAGACATGTCACTGCTTTGAATCCGTCAAAAGGCTGCGTACACGGCGGAATCGACGAGCGTCGAGGACAGATTGTATGCTTGGCTTCTGCTTGCGGAACACCTATTCGCGACGAAATCGGGAGATCGCCAACTTGACCTTCTTCCCGTCTGTGCACACGTCAAGTTTGGCGTACAAGCCTCCACACATAAGCGTTGAACCCTTCATGCATTTCGTGCCTCGCTGATCAAAGCAAGGGTCTAAGCTTCTTGACACATGTCTCTTGTTCTTCCAGGGTTGTCCTGTAGGTGTATGCTGTACGAGCTTGTGCTTTGTGCCACTCTCTTGTTCATCGATTGTACCACCATCCACACTCTTCCCGGAATTTTCCTTGATCCATCCCCGGATAGTCTGACAGGATGACAGCCTCAATATCACCCGACAATCCCCCATATCTGACTCTGACCATCTCACAGGCCCTCTCACTTCCGGCTCCAGCCTCCCTGGAACCAACACAACATGAAACGGTCAATATGATGCTCGACTCTCGAGCACGTGAGAAGCCGGATCACCTGGCTACAGGATTCACCTATCTGACTCCCGAGGGCGCATGGCAATGTCACACCTTGACCTATGCTCAGATACGCAGCCTCTCCATCAGTCTTGCTGCCGAGCTGAAAGCAAAGCTGCCAGGGAGCGAAGCAAACCCTAAATCGCCCAACAGCACTCCACTGGTCGCAGTGCTCTCGCCGTCTGGAATTGATCTGTTTGCGCACATTGTTGCACTGTGGAGATTGGGATATGGCGTTCTGTGTATCGCACCAGGCTCACCTGCCGAGTCGATAGCAAATCTGCTCAGGCTGACAGAGACCAAGGTGATTCTGGCGCACGCCTCCCAGTTCAAGGCTGCTCAAGCGGCTATAGAAGCTGCGGCTACAGAAGGAAACGGTAAGGCGATCACAGCTGAGGCTGAAGAGATGCTGCCACACGTTACCAAATACATCTCTTCCAACCAGAGCAACGGGCATACAAACCCCGAACAAACGTCGCCGGACAGTGCTAGCTCAGCAGACGTCCTAGTAACAATGCACACCTCGGGGTCATCTGGCCTGCCCAAACCTATCTACCAACTCCACCGATTCTGGACAACATCCATGCTCTCCGCTCCCGGTCGAGAACTCTCTGCATTCACAACAACCCCGCTTTTCCATGGAGGAATGTCCGATCTTCTACGCAGCATTCAAGCTGGATCCACAATATATTTCCACCCCACCGCCGACCCGGGTGCGCTGTCGACTCAAGCTATCTGCTCAGCTATCACCGCCTGCAAGCAGCCAATTTCGTACTTCCTCTCCGTGCCGTACATCCTTAATATGCTCTTCACTGACCGCGCTGACAGGGGGCGGAAGATGCTAGCTAGCATGGAACTTGTCAGTACGGGCGGTGCTCCACTCCCTCAGCAGTTGGGCGATGATATGGTGCAAGAAGGTGTAAAGCTTGTCAGCAGGCTAGGCAGTTCAGAGTGCGGCTTTCTGATGTCTTCCTGGCGAGACTTTGGAAACGACAACGAGTGGAATCAACTTCGTTTACCCGATAAGCTTGGGCAAGAATGGATCCGGTTCCAACCGCATGATCCCAACTCCAGCTCGAGGCTGTACGAGCTAGTGGTCACCAAAGATTGGCCGACAAAGCTCGTCGCGAACAGAGGCGATGGAAGTTACGCCACTTCCGATCTATATGCTAAGCACGAAAGCCTGCCGAACACATGGAGGTACGATTCGAGATCAGATGACACCATCGTCCTTGTCTCTGGCAAGAAAGTATCTTCACCATTGGCCGAGTCGAAGTTGAAAGCCTCTCCCATGGTCAGCGAAGCGATACTCTTTGGTGCGAACAGAGCTATTCTTGGAGCCCTCGTCTTCATCACCCAAGAAGCCGCACCGGAAGGTATACCTTTTGACGCTGCAGCAAAAGTCAAAGTACTGGAACAGCTCCAGCCAGTGTTGGCAGAAATCAAAGCCGCTTCCCCACCCCACGCACAACTAGCGACAGAGATGCTATGCCTCCTACCACCGAGTGAGGCAGCTAGGATCCCTCGAGCTAGCAAAGGCACACTTCAGCGCGGTGGAGCGTATCAGCACTACGCCGACCTGATCGATTCGGTGTATAGTGATTTTGAAGAAGGTCGTTCGTTACGGCTCGAGCATGCCAATGGGTCTGGAGCGAAAGACAGTCTCAAAGGAGAAGAGTTGATTGCATGGCTACTGGGGAAAGTGGAGAGTATCAATGGAGCGAGTTTGTCGCCGGATATAGACCTCTTCGTTGCCGGTGTGGACTCGATTCAGTCGGCAAGAATTAGAGCTGCGATTCATCAGAGCATCGAGCTAGGAGGGAGGTTGTTGGAGAGGAATGTTGTGTATGAGTATCCTACCATGCGGTTGCTCGCGAAGCATGTTGAGGAGGCTAGAACAGGCAGCGATGGCAGCCGAACGAAGGACGAAAAGCAGCAGCGAGAGATCAAGTTGATGCAGGAGCTCATGGAGAAGTACGCTAAGCCGCAGAGCCAGGCAGCTACTCGGAAGCAAAACGGAGCGAACGCTGCGGCGGGGACGCTGTACGTCCTGACAGGAGTGACAGGAGGACTGGGCGCACAAGTGCTGGACCAAGTTCTCACGCAGTCACAGCCAAGAGACATGATCGTGTGCTTAGTTCGCGCTAAAGCAGAACATCACGCTCGCCAACGTGTGCTCGACTCTCTCTCATCACGGCAGCTCGATCAAGCCCTTTCTTCGGTCGAGTCGAGACACGGACGGGTTTACTGCTTACCAGCTGACCTCTCGCGTGCTGATTGCGGCCTGGCAGATGGTACTCTCTCCAAGCTCGCACACCACGAAAAAGTGGTGACTGTCCACTCTGCATGGTCAGTCAACTTTGTCGCAGGCCTTTGCAGCTTCGAAGCTGAAAACATCGCCGGTCTTGCCCATCTTATCGACCTACACCAAGCCCTCGCCTCACACAGCAAGGATCCTCGAGCCTCCTGCTTCACCTTCTGCTCATCTGTCGCTTCCATTCTGGGACAAAGGTCGACTGACGGAGGATTGGGTGAGAGGCTCTCCACAGACCCCGAAGATGCAGTCGCGATGGGATACGCGCGAAGCAAGTGGGTAGCAGAGCAAATCGTCTCTCGTCGAGCCCAAAACTCCCAATCACGATCAAACATCATCCGTCTCGGCCAACTATGTTCCGACACACGCCACGGAGTATGGAACGAAAGTGAAGCATGGCCTATCTTGATCCAAATCAGTCAAAAAATCGGTTGTTTCCCTGATCTGCCAAACGAACGACTCGACTGGCTCAGCGCCGATGTCGCTGCTCGTGCCGTGCTCGATCTCTCTCGCTCACCGGAAGAAGCTGGAAAAGAAGGGGAGAAGGAGGTGGAAGTGTACAATCTTGCCCAACCAACAACTCGCAGCCAAGAAAAGGTTGCGAGCTGGAGAGTCTTGCACAGCTGGCTCCAGTCTTCTGGTCTACCTTTTGAGCTTGTTCGGCCGACGGAATGGCTAGACAGGGTGCAAAAGTCGGATGTCGATCATAGGGGACTGCTATCGTTGTGGCAGAAAAACTTCTCTGCTGCTCCAGCAACAGACTCTCCAACGCGCTTCGTTTGCGACAAAGCACTGGCAACAAGCGACGCCTTCCGCACCTGGCAGACGGAAGCCGTGACAGAGTCTCTCGTCAACAAGACGGTTCAAAGATGGAAGACAATTGGCTTCCTCAAGTAAGCTCGATCGCTGGGACTGATAGAAGAATAGAAGCTCACAGCCTCAGATGATTTCACACAGTAGATTCAGCTGGTTGTGATAAGAAAGGTGTGTGTGTGAATTGCCTCTGGTAATGCGTGCGATAAGGTGACGACAGTGAGGAAGTATCATGTGGTTGAGGAAGCAGCACTCGATGCCGGCATAGACTCATTCGGTCCAGGTCTCGGTGGCGCTCCCCCACCCGGTCCCTGCGGGCCTGCATGCGATAGTTGTCCACCGCCATAATGAGGCCCCCCACCATACGGCATGCCACCCAGTTGACCAGGGTAGTACATTTGAGGAGGCTGACCACCTGGTGGTCCCTTCTGCAGATGCGGCGGTGGCGGCCTAGGTCCTCCAGCCGCACCGGGTGGAGGCATGGGCATGAACTGCTGTTGCCCTGTGGGAGGTACGTTGCCCATCTGCGGGCTGTACATATTTTGAGGTGCACCATGTTGGTGCATAGGAGAGAAGTGCATTTGACCCATAAATTGCTGAGGAACTGCACCGTATGGCATGGGACCGCCTTGCATTCCGGGACCCATTTGCATGGGTTGTGGCATACCTGGTTGGCGACCTTGCGGCATTGCTCCTGGTTGTGGCTGGCCACCGGGGTATTGGTACGGTCCGGCGGTGCCGTAAGGCTGGTAGACCATGCCGAATGGCTGCTGTTGTGGTCCGGGTCCAGGTACAGGGCCGGGACCTGGGCCTGGTACTGGCGTTGGTCCAGCTGGTCCTGGACCTCCTTGTGGCGCCGGAATAGGCATCTGACCGGGATGCATAGGCTGTGGTGTCTGAGCTCCTGGAATCATACCAGGCTGCATCATACCGGCGTGAGGTACGAACAAGCCAGTTCCATCATCCATGGCACCACCAGGAGGAGGGATGACAAAGTGCTGACGGTATGGCTTGCCACTGAAAGCCCACATGGGGCCGACTGACTTGGCATCAGGCACCTTGCTGACCTTGAACGGGTTGAAATCTTCGCGGATGTTCAAGTTACCAGTGGACTTCTTGATGAGCTTATTGCCAAAGAAGAGGTTGGCTGGCGCTGCTGCCGAGGTAGAATCTACAGGTGGAGAGCCAGTGAGCAAAGGACGAGCCGACAGCGTCGGGACAGCGGCAGAATACGCAGGGCTACCGGCGGCTGGTGGAGCAGGAGCAGCAGTTGCGACTGCGGGTGTGAAGGATGCACCGCCGGGAGTGAAGCTGGCTGCATTGGGGTTGAAAGGCTTGAAGGAGCTGGCCTTGGCACTGAGCTTGAACGATGAGGTGCTGACAGAGGATGGCATGCCTCCGTCTACCTTGGCTGCCGTTCCCTTGGCTACATCTCCGCCTTCCGCGTTGCTGCCACTGTTACCAGCAGCAGCTGCAGCCTGTCTTGCCCTCAACTTGTCTGGGTTGAATGGAGGGATCTTTGGAATCGTCATCTTCTGAAGCATCGCCTTGCTCTCTGCGAGCTTCTGAGCGTCGTTGCTGGCCTGTGCAGAGCCAGAGCCGCCGGCGGGGCTCACCACATTGGAAGACGAGATTTGTGCTGCGCGAGAGGCGGCGGATGACCTGCTAGCATCCGCCTTAGATAAAGGCGTAGCAGTCGAGTGCGAAGGGGTGGGGCTGAGGCTCTTCTGCAGGCTTGGATCGCGAGGCTTGTCCGATGCAGTCGCCTTGTCCTTCTGCACCATATCAGCCACATCCGAGGGCATAGGCGTCTTGAGCTTGAACGAGCTGCCCCACGACTTGAGGTCAGCCAGGCGGGTGTCTTTCTCCTTCTTGGCCAGTGCCGCCTTCTTCTTCTCCAGACGCTCGCGCTCTGAGCTGACAAACTGACGGAAGTCGGCGGTGAGCGGGTTGGCGGCATCGACGGAAGGCTTCTTGCCAGAAGCGTCTTTGCTCTGCGGCTCCTGAGGGATGCTGGGACTGGGTACCTTGACGTTGACGGTCGGAGGGACGACCGAGACGGGTGGCGGCGGTACCGAAGTGGTTTCAGTCGATGTCATTGCGTCAGTAGTAGCAGATGTAGCAGCTGCACCGTTAACTTTCGGCGTAGATGCCTGAGCAGCAGCAGTAGGCGTCGCAGCGGGCGTGGCGTTTGCAGGTCCCTTCTTGGCGCCAGCACCTGCAGCTGCAGCCATCTGTTTGCGGAGCGCAGGAGGAACGTAGGCGTTAGGGTTGCGAACCACAGCGCCGTACTTGTCCTCTTCGTTGACACCAGAATCATCCGCCTGACCTCTCTCCTCAGCCAAATGTGGATTGTTGGTAGCCTGACCCATGATCTCGCGTGCGATGCGATCAGCCTCTCGCTCACGATCGCGGAAGTCTTTGCCGCTTCGGTCGAGCTTGGTGGTGTAGAGGTTTTCTTCGTAGTTGGACTTGATGCCGAAGCGAGCTTCGTTGGCAGCGAACTGGTCCCAATGCTTGTTTGCACCGCTGCTGGACGTGTCACCAAGGCCACCACCGACATCGTTAGGCGAGGCCCAAGCTGGCAAGCCGCTGCTAGGTTCATCGAGATCGGCAAGGTCAGGGTCGTCAGACCACTTCTGAAGCGCCCTGCCGCTGCCAAGAGGGTCGAAGGCCTTGGAGATCTCTGTGTCGGTGCGGAAGGCCTCCTTCTCACGAGCCTCGCGCATCTCTCTGGCTTGCTCCTGCATTCTGACTTCGGCAGCCTCGATGCTTTCGAGGTCTTTGTAGTTGACGAGCAAGGTCGACTTGAACTCGCCCAGTTCGGGCTGACCGTGCTTCTGTTTGGCAGGTAAGATCTGTTGAGCGGAAGCGAGGGCGACAGATACTTCGCCGCCCTCGGTGTTGGCAGCTGAGAAGATACCGAAGAATTGAGCTCCACCCTTGACAGTGACAGTAATGGGATTGCCGACAAGCGTGACCAACAAGAACATCATTCGATCATGCATGAGCTTGTGCAAGTCGTCTTGGGTGTTGCCGGCGGCGAGCGATGGGAAGGCAGTCGACTGCTGGTTGTTGTTGGAGCTGGCTGCAGCGCCGCGCTGGTTGGAGGTTTTGCTGTTGCTGTTGTTGGAGTCGAGGGGAGGCCTAGAACCTGGAACGTTCCTGTGCTGCTGACCATGAGATGGCGTGCTGTTGCCGGAGGAAGCGCAGGAAGGGGGACCGTTGCCCCATCTCGAGCTCTGAGGAGGTGCACCTGAGCCTCCTCGGTTGCCTGCTGCTCCGCCGCCTCGACCTCCACCATGATGGTTGTGCCCACCACGACCACCCGAGTTGTAGCTGCCACGTCCCCCACCTGGGCCGCCCCTCGTGTTGCCGTTGGTCGCCATGCTGGTTCTTGAATGGTGTTACAAGCTGCTGTGGATGGACTGCAAATCAGCTTCGGTCTGGGAGTCTGCGTGATTAGGTTTGTGATGTTTGAGCTTGCTGGGAATTGCTCAACGTCGCATCCGTGATTGCCCCGCGCTGAATGGAAAGGGCAGCGTGGGACTCTCGAAAAAGATAGCACGACTACAAGAGAGAAATCGGGTCGCAAGCCTTCGCCTGGGACAAAACGTATATTGAATCAGCACACTTCCGTGCACCTTGAGCTCCTGAGTCTTCTGCAAGTCCGCTGCAGCAGATACAGAGAGAGTTCGATCACCCCGCCAGGAAGAGACAGGACAAGTCTCGTGCCAGGCGCTCCAAGGAAGGAGATTCAGGAGAATGTGCCGATTCCAGAACGCAAAGTCCTTAAGATTGCAGCAACCACCAGCGATCGAACGAGTGATCCAGCTCGCGATCGGGAGGTGTTGTGAAGGAAGAGAAGGAGGATATGGGGAAGGGTAAGGTAGAGATGCTGGGGTTAAAGCAGGATGAGGAAAAGGACGGATGAGAAAGGTGGAAGGTCGCGGATTCAAGAATATTGTAGCCTCGTGCCGCTGCCTGGATTTGTCAAGGAACGGGCGAGCGTGTTGCAGACTGCCATTTCCAAGCCAATTCAAACAACGGCCGTGCAGACGTTGGAAGCGAGTGAGGCAGCGGGAAAAGGTTGCTCGTGTTCTCTGTGTCCGAGTCGCTCGACTGTTACAGAATGCATCTCTCTCTCTCTCTCTTTCTAGTTGAAAGGTCGTTCTGAGTCAATCGAGTCGTGCGTTTTAAGTCGATGATCACAGTTAACAATTGCAATAATGATCCATACTATCTACAGGACAATGCAACTGCTTATATACTTGTCTATGTTCTTCATATGCATGTATGATGTCTAGCATGATGAGGTCAAAAATGTGAGTGAGTGCTATAGTGAGGTTACACTGGTTATTTACTGACCAGTGTCTTGATGTCTGACAATTGATCCAGGTATTGCACTAAACCCAAGTAAGCAAGGCTGGTGATTGGATGTGACCTCAGAGTAGAAGTTGCATACTCCAAGGTGCAGCATGCAACTACTCTGAGGTATCACATGCTTCAACTGTCCCTCTTGTCAGCTGAGCAAATGGCTGGTTCAATAGTGGTCATTCCTAGATGTCGGTGTGTTTGGGTCAAGAGGTGTTGTGAAACTGGTTTGGTGAGAAAATCAGCAAGATTGTTGTTGGTCTTTACATACTTCATTAGAATATCACCTTCTTGTATGTGATCACAAATAAGATGGTATCTGGTGTTGATGTGCTTGAGTTTTGTGTGCATGGCTTGATCCTTGACTACCTGGATGCAACCTGTGTTATCAGTGAGTATCATGGGAGTTTGATCACTGAAACCAAGGCTGCAGAGGAGATATCCATGAAAAAGCACTTCCCTTGTGGCTGTTGACCCAGCAATGTATTCCGCCTCTATTGTGGAGCTGGTGGTGCATTTTTGGACATGTGAGTTCCACATTACTATGCTACCATATACCTTGATGACTAACCCTGATGTACTTTTGTGATCTGTGTTGGGATCTGATGCCCAGTTGGCATCAGTATAGGTTTTGATTGGGCTCTTGGTCAAATGTTGGCTGCCAATCCAAAGGACTTCATTCTGCATCTGGTTTAAGTACTTGACAACACATAGTGCCATCTGCATGGCTTCCTTAGTTGGTGTGGACATGTGTTGTGCAAGGGTATTGACTGCATAGCAGATATCAGGCCAAACAGTGTTGGATACCCAAAGGAGTTTTCCCACTAGTGTGGGATACTTTTGTTGAAGATCCTCCTGAACCTCAGAGCCATTGGGTGCTTTTGCTGGGGTCATGGTTATGGGGGTCCAGGTTTTCTCCTCAGGTCATATCCATTTGTTGATGATCTCTTTTATGTACACTCTTTGATCAAGATCAATTGTCCAGTTCTTTCTATCACACATGATTTTGATCTTTAAGAACTCCTTCACAGGGCCATTGTCTTCTATCTTCCATTTTTGTATGATCATCCATTTAATTTCATCAACATGTGTCCTTCATGGAGCTGCTATGAGCATATCATTTATGTAGATGACAATAATTGCTTGGCCTTTGCCTGCACCCTTGAGATAAACACATGGTGTGGCTTGTACCAGGAAGAATCTTAGGTGTCAGAGATGTGAGTCCATTTCTTTATACCATTCCCATCCAGATTGCTTTAGGCTGTAGAGACTTCTGATTAGCTCATATACTTTACCAGGCAGTATATTTGTGCATTTGGGGGGTTTGAGGTAAATATCATGTTCCAGTTTTGCATTCAGGTATGCTTGTTTTATATCAATCAAATCCAATTCCCAATCAAACCTAGCAGTGATGACCAGTACAGTCCTGATGGTGTCCTGAGGGACTACCAGTGCAAAGATCTCCATGTAGTCCAGGCCTGTCATGGGCCTGAATGCTCAAGAAGCAGGAGGGTCACTGGTTCATATGGAAGGAGCACAGGTATCGGAGATCTAGTCAATACCAGTAGAGAGCATGGTCATAGTGCAGTCTCCATGGAGACCATGGACTCCTACAGACTCGCATGCAAAGGAGCACCAAGCCCATATGTGAGGAGGGCCAGGCACAGCCATGAGGAGGACCAAGCTCAAGGAGCATGCAGATGGTTACCACTCAGGGGCTCGAGAGACAAGAGTCAAAGGAACTGTCACCAGTCAAAGGAGAAGGAGCAGTGTATAGGGAACCGGCAAGCAGGTCCTGAGGAGGAGCAGTGTCGAAGGAGTTGACACAGCTCAAGAGGCACAGGGGTGCCAAGCAAGCAGGTTAGCAAGGAGGAGGAGCAGTGCTAGAGGGGCCCCTGTACAGTACTCGATGAAGAAGGTACTCTCTGGAGAGAGAGCAGGAGCAGCATCACTGGCAATGCTGTGAAGAGGTATATAACCATACTTCTCATCATCAAAGGTCAAGTGGATCCTCATCCACTCTACACACATCATAACTAGTTATCACTTCAGCATAAGTATATATTAGTTTCAGTCAGCATAGTAGCAATCTATCAAGGTTGCTCCTCATTGTAGTGCATGTGTTGTATCACCACTACCTGATGTCTGAAGGCAGTTCATAGCAAACCAGCAGTCCAGATATAGATAGAACCAAAGGCAGTAGTCCACTGTGGTCTGGGGATCACTTCAAGCATCAAGTCAACACACTGGACACTCGTGTTGATGCCACCAACCTTATCACCAACACCATCAACCTCATCATCATCAACACTCACACCAGACCTTGGTGTCATCATAACCTACATATTGATATTGATTGTGCCAAGCTACCCCTGAACAGAGTGTCCACAGAGGTCAGCCAAAACCTATGATAGTATATACAACAAATGCCACCCACTGTCATCATGCAACTTGATAGTCGCCAAGCGACTAGCTCATTGAGACTGATACTGAGACAATAGCTGTTGCACAGTTTGATAGTCACTGAGTATCTCGACAGACCGACCTGGGTTTCAGGCGCGAGACCCCTGACAAGTCTATGGCCAGTTTGGACCTTGGTGTAATTAATCCATTCCTTCAATACTTGTAGTGCATCAGATTTTGTTCTCATGGGCTTGACATAGGTAAAACTCGATGTGTCATCTATCACTACAAGTAGACATGAGTATTCCATTCTTGTCAAGAAATGAGTAGCCAAGTCAATGTGCAGCAGTTCGAGAGGTAACTTGGCATGCTCCCCACTGCCTTGGCCCATTCAAGCCTTTGTTGACTTACTTGCTATACAGTTTTGGCATTCAGAAGGTTTGGTCTGGATCTCATAGATCCTTCCAATGGATTGAGTCTTGTCTCATCCAGGGTGACCACACTTTTCATGGATGAAGTTGCTACTGAACTTGTGTGATTTTGGGTTCATTCTCCAGCTCAAATTGATCTGGTAGGTTGGCTATGTTGTTGTCAATTGTCATCGTGAATAGCTCTGGTGTACTTGGTAGGATTTCCCAATGCCTAGTGCAAGGGTTTGCATGTCCATATACTTTGTGGCCAGTAGGCCATTCAAGGCATACTTTGTCAGATTCAAAAGTCACACATATGCTGTCATTTGCTAAGGCCCATATTGATATCAGGTTTATGTTTGCATCTGGGACATAAAGTACATTGGTTAGATGCACCTCATGACCATCCACATTAATAATGACTTGACCTCTAGCTAGAATATGAATCATTGTTCCACTGGCAGTCTTCACAAAACCTGTGCATGGAGTGGGAGAGATGAGGATTGTATTGCTATTTGTAATATGGTCAGTTGCACCTGAGTCTACAATCCAAGGACTGGACTGCTGATCTAGAGATCAGTGGTAAGCAGAAGCTATGGTGCACCAGGTATCCTAGGTGGGCCTCTTGTTGCTGTTGGGAGTGGGGGTGGTGCTAGTGCCATTGGGCATCTGTGATTCACTGTTTGGGTTCTTGGGGCAGAATCAGCTGATGTGATTCTCACCTTGACAATAGTAACACTTTTGGCAACCATCATGGCCTGGTTTGCCCATTCTGTATGTGTCTTGGTTTGTGATCTGTCTGTTGGTCATTGCCGTGAATGCTTGGGTGGTTTTGCTGTCAGTCCTATGGTTTGGTTTTGTCACCATGTCATCTTGTCATTTGAGTAGAGCTGCACAGATTGCATCATAATCTGTTCCTCAACCATTATCTTGAAGATTCACAATGCAATTGTGATACACTGTTATGAGCTTGGCTTGGTCAATGAGGGTTTTGATCTTGAGGACCTGTGTCAGGTTGTATCCCATAGTTTCGGCCTTGGCCCAGTGTTTGTTGATGTCATCAAAGAGTTTGCGGACATTTGCATTGTACTGTCATAGGACCTGCGCAGAAGATCAGGTCTGCGCAAGAAAATCTGAAATGAAGATGAAGTGCACCTAAAAGTGGATGAAAATGCGAAATCAACCATAATGCAGGTTCCCAGTTGATTTCAGGGAAACCAACAGCTTCAAGGTTTTCCAGTTGGTTTTGTTGAAATCAAGCAGAATACACTCATCAGATTAATTTCACCAAACACACCACAAGAGGCCCCCATTGGTACAGAATGGGTCAACAGAATACAAGGAAGCAACAGGAGGCTTGGTAGAGAAGGCCCCATTGTCGAAGGCAGAGAGAAGATGCCAGGAAAGGTTTCACACATGGAGAGAGGGCCCGAGTTCAGCCAAGAAGAGGACCGAGCTCAGGAGCATGCGGTAGGTTACTGTCAGAGGTTGTGCGCCAGAAACCTGAAATCTGTAGTAGAATTAGAACTACTATTGATTCTATCGAGATCTGTGGTAAACAGCTGTTTATTACTATTCTTGTCAAGATCTGTCATAGAAGCCTTCTATGACTTTACTTGCTCAAATCTGTGGTAGCTTGGTTGTTACTGCAGGTTTTGACTAACTGCTGTGGACACTCCATCCAGAGGTAGCTTGGCACAATCAAGAACTGTAGATATGATGTGATGACACCAAGGTCTGGTGTGTGTGATGTTATTGGTGCCAACACAAGTGTCCAGTGTGTCAACTGAGTGTTGGAGTGATCCCTGGACTGCAGTGGACAACTGCCTTCGGTTCTAATGATTGAGAGAGCCAGACCACAGTATGAACCACCTTTGGTGTCAATTGATGTCAATGAGCAGTGATACAACACATGTGCTATGTAGAAGCAATGCTCTGCAATTGCTACCATTGACAGAATACTAATGTATACTTATGTGAAAGCTATAACTAGTAATATATGGTGTAGAGTGGATGTGGATCCACTCAGCTCCTATGATGAGGAGCATGGTTATATAGCCAGTCCCACAATGTTGCTGGTGACATTGTTCCTGCTTTGGGAGTCCTCCTCCAACCTGCTCCTCTTCCTCTTGTCTCAGTCCTGGCTCCCCTACAAAGCTGCTCATTGGCACCGCTTTCTTGTCTTCCTGTGGATGGGCAGTCAGCATGCTGCTTCATAGTCGACAGGGGCCACTCCCACTTCATCTGAGTGGCAACTTGCACCCTCCTTCATCTTTCCCATCTTCCTGCTTGCAAGTTCATCATCGAGCCACCCCCCCCCTGCTTCATCAGGGTGGCAACCGCAATGCTTTTGGCATCTGACTTGTTGTGAGATTGGCATCCTCTCACTGGTGCCTGCAAGATCTGTTATACAATCATGATACTACAGATTACAGTGGGTTTTGCTGTAGTATCCCGTTTGTACCAATGTGAGCGAGATCTGTCATAGAACCCCTCTACTACAGATCTTGCTGAATTCCACTGTAAACTCTCGTTTTGCCTGATCTTGTGATTCCTGCACTCCTTCTCATATGGCTTCGGTCCTTCCTGCCTCTTGCGCATATGGTCCTATGACAGTTACCACACAGGGGGGACGTGCTCTTGATCGCGTAGGGCCAGTCACAAGGTAGATAGCATGGACAGGAGTGGGACAATAAGGATGGTCACACAGTCAGGGAGGGCCACCAGATAGGGGCCAAGAGAATGGCCATGGATTGAGAGGAGAGGGAGACAGACCAAGGGGACCAGCATGGGAACCATGAGGAGGACAGGCAGTGTTGAGGAGGTCAACACACAGCTCAAGGGAGAGGAGGAGACAGGAGGAGGACAGGAACACTCTCCACAAGGAGCAGGAGTGGTGCCATGGATGACACCTTCCAAACACATAAATACTACCACTTCACCATAGCATATGAGTGGATCCTCATCCACTCTACTCTTTATCTTATTTACCCCTTTACTTGGTTCATATCATTGCAATAGCATAGCTTTGCAATGACATCTCAAATGTGTGTGTTGTATCACCATCAGATGTCAACTGTAGGTGGTGTTCCTCAACACCTGTGGTCCAGTTCATCACTGTAGGTGGTGTTGCTCAACATCTGCAGTCTAGTCAGTTACTGTAGGTGGTGTCCAACACACCTGTGGTCCAGTACCTCCCATCATCTGTAGGTGATAGTCTTATTGCAGTCCAGATGACATCAAGAGCATCAAGCATTACAAACACTCATACTGCAATAGGAGAGTTGTGTCTGATACCACTCTCATACCAATGTGTTATGGGTGTGCTGCATAGCCTCTGAATGGAGTGTTCAAGGCAGTCAGCCAAAACCTACCAGAACTCAACTGTCTGGTTACTTTCAACCAAAATGTACCAAATAGATCATACCCAATTGATCTCACCAAAATCAACCGGAAACACTCAACCTGGTTTCTGGCGCATGACCACTTACATGTACATGCGAATCTTGCCAGCTTCATATAAGGGAGTTGATTCAGCAATGTGTTCCATCTTGGTTAGATCCTTCTTGAGTCGGTTATAGAGTTCATTTAAAAGTTTGGCACTTGGAGGGCAGCTTGTACAAGGAAATTTTGGCTTGTTTACATAGGGTGGGCTGTGTGAGCATGTTACAGAGGGTATTGGTAATCATTTTGTTGATATCATTGAGATTGAGCAGAGGTTTGCTTGTTTTGCTGTTGTCACTGTCAGGATTGTTGGAGGAGGAGATGTCATGTTCAGTGATCTGCTGGTGGTCTGTTAGTGCTGGGATCATTTCGGCCTGGTCATCAGAGGACTCCTCAAGTGAAGGGTTGTTGGCAGTATGTGGGTTGTTGGATTGCGGAGGCATGGTGTCAAGGATCGTTTGGTAAGAGCAGTCAGACTCTTAATCAGTTGAAGGGTTGTTCTGAGTCAATCGAGTCATGCATTTTAAGTTGATGATCACAGTTAATGATTGTGATAATGATCCATACTATCTACAGGACAATGCAACTGCTTATATACTTGTCTATGTTCTTCATATGCATGTATGATGTCTAGCATGATGAGGTCAAAAATGTGAGTGAGTGCTATAGTGAGGTTACACTGGTTATTTACTGACTGGTGTCTTGATGTCTGACAATTGATCTGGGTATTGCACTAAACCCAAGTAAGCAAGGCTGGTGATTGGATGTGACCTCAGAGTAGAAGTTGCATACTCCAAGGTGCAGCATGCAACTACTCCAAAGTATCACATGCTTCAACTTTTCTCTCTCTCTTTCTCTCTCTCTTCAATAGAAGATCCTGTCTCAAAAGGAATGAATTGTGGGAGCTCGATCGTATAATTCAAAAATGTTCCTGTTTGTATTAGCGCGTTGCCCACTTTGTAATCAGATCGGGAGGCAAGATTTCATTTTCCTGCCTTACACCTTCCGCTCTGCAAAGCTGGAGAGCATGATTTTGACACCCCCACTCTTCTTAGGCTAACCCACTGAACATGGAAGTAACTATCCTACGGTCCTCACCATGTCTGCACACAAAGTGTTTATGTATGGAATGCAGATGACTGCAAGCTTTTGTCAATAATTAATCGTAGGTCAAGTGGTGGTTGGCGTGATACATGATACAGTCGCATGACGAGTAGTAAGTACATCGTCAACGTCGTTGCATCCTCGTTAAAGCTCTGAGCGGACTGTCGACGAGCTTTGCCAACGGAGCCAGTCGAACCATCCCGAGATCTTGGTAGCATCTGCGGCGCCCGCACCACGGGCCTCAGCTCTCGATGACCACCATCCCGAGGAAGTGCCTCCAAAGCCAAGTGTGCTGCCGATGGGCACTTTGAGCACTCTTGCACAAATCCAGACTGCTCCTCCGCCGCCAACAACAACGAGCCCAATGTAGCCCCAGAACTGCCAGCGGTTGGTGGTAAAGCTGAGAGCGTTGCGATCGTTGCCACCTTGCACTGCGCCTTTCGGATCCACCGCAATAGCGCAGATGAGACCATACAGATCCGCGACCTGCCCTTCACGAATGCTGACATTGAGTGGTCCGGCTCCAAGCCCTGGAATCTTGAGCCCGAGCTTGCGGCAGTATGTGTCGGGCTGAACCTCGTGACGCTGTTGTGCGAGATCCAGATCTGCTTTGGTGGCCACAAAGAGCGATGGCATCGATTGTAGCAATGGGTATTGCTGCCGCAAGTTGGAGATGTAGCTGAACGAGTTAGTGTCACTCGAGTCGTATACGAAAACAATGACATCAGCCGCCGAAAGCTTGGCCGTGTTACGCAGCACCTCAGCCTCGTAGCGCGACCCGAACTCCTGCAGCACGAGATAACGCTCGGCACCGCCTTGCTCGACTGTGCTGACTACGCTCATCATCTTTTGTGTTGGCTCGTATGTATTTGCGAAGCGCTTGCCGACCATATTTCGCAAGATGGCAGTCTTGCCGCTCCCCGCTGCACCGAGCACAAATCCCAAAAACACGCTCCGTTGAATCGCACCCTTCTTTTTCTTGTCTGTCTTCCTTGGCCGTGTGAGCTTCAATGCAGTAGTGGTGGATGGTGGACATGGCGTGCGGTTGCGCGATGGTCTAGAGCCAGGTGGGTTGGTAGGTGTCAATGGTATTGGCGCAGGCGCCGAGGTGCTGCTGGAGGAACCTGCGAGCGGGACCGAAGGGTAGCCGAGGTAGGCCAAGTATGCGAGCGTAGTGCGGTGGTCGAGAAGGGTGGTCATGCTCCATTGCGCAAGCCAGCCCTGTAATGTGACAGCGCCGTGCTCGTCTGTGATGGTGGAAGCCGGGAAGCCAGTATCTTGCCAGGGATGGCGGTTGTCAGGTGCAGTAATGAAAAGACTATCAAGTTCTTCCTCGCTGAGTGCACCATCGCGGTCCTTGTCGTGCACTTCAAAGATATCTGTCAGGAACTGATAGCCGTGGGGTGAGAGCTCGACGGAGCATTCTGGTGGCACTGCAAAGGCAGGCTTGACAAAGGAATCTTCGAGTGTGAGGTCGGCACCGTAACCAAAGGTGCGCAAGACGGTCCATGTTGTCTCGAGGCGACCGCGTTGAATAAAGAGTGTATGGAGGTAGAGGAAACCAGCCATGGTGAGGCTTCCTTCACACAGATGTGGGTGATGTGCTGGAGCGTCTCCGTTGGCGCTAGAGCTGGAAGCGGCGACACTAGCGTTCTCGTGATTGTACCGCAAACCGGCGACGGGAGCCTGGATGACGAGATCCTTGATGCCTTCGAGCTCTTGCGCTTGTAGTGGTGTGTCGAAGCACTTGCGTTGGAAGTCGTTGAGCTCTGCATCGCTCAGCAATCCATCCTTGTCCGAGTCGCAGAGACGGAAGATGCGTTTCAAGGCGTCGACGCAGGCAGGTTTGAGAACGTGCTCGCGACTGTCGTAGAGCGGTGCTGTGGGGTAGAGGACGGCTTTCTGGGCAAAGTAGAACACTTCGCTAACATTGAGGGGAATGCGGGCTGAGCACTCGACGCAGGTCTCCACCTCCTTGAACTCGGCCATGACGGGCGCCAGCTCGTCCTCGAGAGCAGCATTAGTAACATTGCCAGAGCGAAGGTCGATCTTGTTGCCGACAAGGATGACGGGCACGTTGATGCCTAGCGAGCGGATGTATGGCAGCCAGTAGGTGGGTATACGATCGAAAGAGGATGGTGCCGAGATGGAGTAAACAATGCAAATGACGTTGGCCCTGCGAAGCTCTGCTTCGAGATTAGCGCGGTGCTCTGGACTGGAGCTTGTATCGACAATCTTTGTCACCACTGCTTCTGGCGCAACTTCTGGTGGTAATGTGATGGGTGGCACCACTTTCTGAACTATGGCAACGTAAGTTTCCTTGACAAGCGAGGTGATTAGAGTCGACTTGCCCACATCCGGGTCGCCAGCAAGGACGATACGCACGTCCTTGCGCATGATGAAAGATGAGCCTCTAGCGCGCTCGTGAAGCGGCTTTGCTCTGTGCAAGCGACAAGAACAGTGTCGAAGGAAGCCTGGTCAGCTGCTACAGCGGAATCCAACAGCTGAGATGATGCGATGCTCGCGATGCTCACGAGCTGTGTTGTCTGCGCGAGCGGATCCTTATCCCTCGGTACTCGTGACCGTGAAATGGGATGCGATGGCTCTGTAGGTTTCGCGGAAACCTCGTAGCAGCTGCTAATTGGGGGATGGTGCTGCTGCTGCAAGGTGTTTTGCTACCGCGATGAGAATGAGATGATGTTGGAGCGACCTGTGTTGGTACGATGCGAGGTCTGTGTGATGTGGTCGAGTCTCGTGGAAACCTCGCAAGTGTATCAGCTAAGAAACAGCACGGCAACACTCACCGCCTGAGGCGCTGCTTGACTTGGCTTGCGTACCTTGAAAAAAAAAAATCAAAAAGAAACCTCTCTGTCCAAAAATTGTTAAAATTCCGAGCCAACATCAAGGAACAGCAGCCAGCGCGAGGATGAAACGGTCCGGTCAACACCGTCGATGCTTGCCTAGGCACTCCTTGAAATGACTAAAGCATCATCGACCTGATCCATGAGTGGATCTTGCAAAGCTGTGCCTTGAGTTTGTGTCACAGAAACGACTTGCTCTGCAGAGGAAGCTAAAAGACGCGCAAGACGGGATCCGACAGCTTCCGAATGTGGCTCGGCTTCCACTGTGTCGTTCTTGGTTGACCGTCAAGCTGAGTTAGTGATAGCGTCCGGACGCAGAGTTTTACAATGTCAGAAGTAACGGTCAAACACTCATTCTGCGAGAAAATCGTGATCGAGTTGTTCCTCACAGCTGTCACTTTTTTTTTTTTTTTTTTTTTTTTTTTTTTTCTTTTTTTTCTCTTGCTTTCTTCTCAAGCCAGCAGGAAGAAACACCAAAACTCAGCCAGGAGCGAGACAGGCGTGAGTGTTAAGGCAGTCTCTTTCCTTCTTGCCTCAACCATCCCCCTTCCCCCCAACCCGACCCCTCCCTATCCCTTTCTGCAGACAGAGGAGAGAGGTGCGCAACACGCCGCAATCTCAAAGGTCGGATCGCAGCTCGCTGAACTGGACACCGCTCTAGCTCTTTGCCAGGGCAATCTTGCCATCGTCTTCGCACGATGCCTCCTCGAGCGGTCATTGGCTGACCACGCCTCACGACGGCCGCACAGCCCTTGATCTAATAGCGAGGAAACGCAAGCGAGAACACCAGGGTTTGGTCGTCGATCAGCGTATTGTCGATCCGTCTCCAACTTTGCTGGTCTGAGCGGTCCCCTTTCTCTAACATTTGTAGCTTCCAAATTCAGGTAAGTTCTGCTCTTGTCAACTTCTGCCCACAGTCAGATTACCGCCTTTGAGATACCGATGGATGAACCATCGTTCTCGAGGAAGCAATGCAGAATGGCTTTCAGTCCAAAGGCCACCGTTACTCGCCGGCACATTCTTCTGGATGCGCCTTCAACCTGGTTTGCCCTCTGGGCAGACCCATGCGAGTGGGAAGGTCCGCGTACTCCTCCTACCTTTTTGGCCCTCGTGCCGAAGCCGGTCTCTGATCTCCGGAAGGACTGTGACGCTCTTGCGTCGTCTCATCTTGGTCTTCGGATTCAGGTGGGTTGGCCGTGAGTGTCACGGGCTTCTTCTCGTAACATCTGCTCTAGCTGGGCGAGTTCAAGCTTCAAGGCGCTGGCCGTCAGTGCATTTATGCCATCGACACAAAGTGCCCACACCAGAAATGATAATCTCGTCAAGCCTCGATGATGTCAGCAGTCTTCCCTTTGATCCCTGACCTTCAATCCTTTTGCAACACAATGCGATTGTGGCGCCGCTCGATCTGGGACAAAGCCCCGCGGACCCGTCTTGCTGTCTCGCTTGGCTGTCAGTGCTAGAGTAATGCAATCCTAAGACACCACCCTCCATCTAAATGTGGAATTGGGCAAGGAAGAGGATAAACGGTCTCTAGTCTAGCTGCGTCAAGCGAGCACGGAAGTTCGCGCTTGGGCACCCTGAGTCTTGCTCGTCAAGCTCAGTGTGGTCTTTGGTCCAGTTGGATTGCTGCGCGCATTTGAGCGGACGGCTGTTGCGATGGGTTGGGTTGTCATGCCTCTCTGAGGAGCTGCATCATCAGGCGAAGAGAATGGAATCGGGCCGCCAAAGAAGATCAGGTTTAGATGTGGGCTCGGCGATGGGAATACTCCCTAGATACTGGGAACCCGCAAGGCGTTGGCACGAAGGCTCGCCTATCGTGCTCGCGTGCTTGTCTGTTGTCGAGCTTGTCACGGCTGTAAACTGCGCCAGCTTTTGCTAGGACGCATGTTCGGGGTAAGGAGGATGCTCAGCCTCTCTTCGGGGAGGTGAAGGCTTGAGTGCAATTGGTGGCGTCTCCTCCTCTCTCTGTAGGAGAGAGGGGGAGCCAACTCGACGCGAGACTACTCTTGGTCTGGAAGCCACTGCTCTTGTTTTTTCTTGATTGTTTCGGTTTCTCGTTCGCTTTCGTGTTCCGGCGGTGATTGGCTTGCGGCACGATAGATGTTCTTACAAGAGCAAGGACAAACGTTGTCTTCTCACTCTCTCTCTCTCTCTCTCTCGCTACCAAGTGTGTTGCGTTGGAGTGGATCGACATCCTGAAACGATCAATTGCATTCGTCGACAAACCTTCGAGACGCGCTTCCGCATAGTTCGTCTCTCGTTGGATTTCAAAGACGAACACATGGTTGTCCCTTCTTGCTCCCTCCTACCTTTGATCTCTTGGCTTGTGTAATGCCCCTTGTCACGCTGTGCAATCAATTCGTAAACATCAAAGAAAGACTGCATTTCGTGAAAGAATCAGTTGTAAGGAATCGAAACAGGAAGCAAAATTGCGTTTGAAAAAGAGAAGCCGCCTCATCGTCGTCATCTCCAAACGAAACGAAACGAAACGAATGAATAAAAGTAGAAACAACACCATCATGACTAGTGAACAAAAAGACGTGAGGAGATGACCGACTTCCGAAGCGTCGCCAAGGAGGTTGCACTGGAGCCTTAGGAACGGATACGAATACCTTTATCCTGTACAACATTGTTACCGAATCTTCCTGCCCTACCGGATCGATCTGGGTGATCCAAGCCCAATGCGTCATCTGGCTGGAACTTGTGCTCGTACAACAAGTCTTCGTCTTCCAAATAAGTCGGTTGTTTGTAGGTCGATGACTGAACCAGAGCAAACCTGTACTTGGCAAATTCCTTCTCAGGAACCTCGAGCCTCTCTTGCAACCTTCTCCTTGTCTCTCGGAATGGCTCGTTGCGCTTTACAACAAATCGGAAAGGCACACCGTGAGTTCGTACCAACTCCTTACTGAAGTGGAAAACGTTGATAATCTTATCGTCCTCCGTCAAGCTGAGCTCTTCCAATGGAATCTCCTCAGCAAACAATTCGGCATTTTCACCAATGTTACCGATCATTTCAACACCGTTAAACTCTCGCTGTTGACGTCCGTTGAGAATTGCCTCGAATAAACGCACTTTGCCGGTCCCGTTCGGTGTAAGCTTGACCTGCTTAGCAAGCTGATCTGTCACCTCGACAATGCTAGCCGTCTTGGGCAAGAGGAACTGATGCACCGAATCTTCCTTGTTGTTGATACCACACCAGAAGATCTTGAGATTGCGCTTGGTCTCCAACTCGATAATGCTGACATCGAGAAGCTCGTAGTACAACAACGAGGCTTGACCTTGGATGTAACTTGGCGAAACAATCTCGTTGACCGTCTGGTTGGCAGTTCGCTTGAGCACTGTCTTGGGTGTGCCGTTGGGACCGTTGCCTGTGGTGAAGCGAAGCTTGAAGGGGTCATGCTTGAGACGCTCGCCTGCCTTGGCAGCCATCATGTCGTACGTCATCTTCTTGCTGAGTGTCAACTCGAACTCAGCCTTGTAGTCGACATCCTCGAAGCGTGGCTTGAAGAGGACCTTGATTTGGTTCTGCAAGAAATCGTAGAACTGGATCGGGTTCGAGTAGAGCGATTGTGACTCGTAATCGTGTGCGTCTTTTTCGGACAGCTCGATCTGGAAGCAGATAACATCTCCATCCTGGATCTCGCTCTGGGAGAAAGTCGCCTTAGGCTTCATCTGCTCGATCATTCCAGGCTTGATCTCCTCAAACAGCTTGACCTGCGTAGTTGGTGGCCAGCGCATGAGCTCGTTGATGGTTGGCACCAAGTCGCCCACCTTCATGTGGCGCTGAACGTAGACACGCGAGACACCGAGCAGCGTCTGTCGGGAAGTGTCAAAGTACTTGAGGAAGATCATCATCGAAGGATTGGCCTCGTTGTTGGGGATGTCATTGTTGACGATCTCGAGGAAGAGGCGCAAGTCGTGCTGGCGCGATGCCATTCGGTCGCGAACCGTCTCGAGTGTGAGGCTTGGATCGTTCTCGGGCACCACAGTGTCAGGTCGCACCGTCTTGTTCTGACGGTTGACCAAGACCCACATGCGAATGTTCTCCTCGGGCAAGTTGTACTGAGCTGCGATGCGCGACTTAAAGTTGAGGTAGAGCTCATTCTTCAGCACGCGGAATGTTGGCAGGTCTGTAGCTGGCAAGTTGCGCTCCTCGAAGGTGGCAAGATCGAAGCCCTGGTGGCCGCGGAAGGTGTCCTCGGTGATGAGCTTGACAGTAAGGTAGAGGTGCTGCTCCTCACGCTCACGCTTGCGAGCCTCCATCTGCATCCGCTCGTCTTCGAGTCGCTGTCGCAGGTGAATAGGTGTGTCTTCGGGTGCCAATGGCTTGAGGACCTCGTCGATATCTCGTTCGCGAACGTAGACAAGCATGTAGGCGTTGGTGAAGCGCTTCATGGCACGCACAGGAGCCCGAGCACCAATCTGACCTGCGGGATGGCCGTTAGTGATTTCGCCTCCGTAGTTGTCTTCGAGTACCTCCTTCTCAGTGACGGGTGTAACACGGTCATCGTCAAACTTGAACCACTTGCCGTTCTTTTCGGGCTTGAGTAGTGCAAAGTAGTGACCACCGTGCAAGTCGCCCGAGTGGACGAGGACACCGTGCAGCTTATAATTCCAGTCCTCCTTGCTAAGCGGCGACTCCTTGTCAATATAGTGAGCAAGGTCAATGTCGAGTGGGAACTCGTGACGGTCGTTGATTTTGACCATCGAGTCCTTCTCGATGTCGTACTCGAATCGCTTGAGCTGCAAGTGCAGGACAGGAGGGAATTTTTCAAAGATGACACCCTTCTTGGCGTCTTGCAGACCATATCCTTCAGCGTGGTACTTGTTGTCGCCCTCAAGCATCTCGGTCTGAACATAGTCACGGAAGGAGTCGGCGAGGTCGTTCATGCCCTTGACGTTGAGCTGGATGTCGTAGAAATCTTCTGATCGCGACGACTCGTAGTCGACATTGACACACTTGAGGTAGGACTTCATCTTGCCGACAAAGAGACGAGTGATGGCGCCATCTGCAGCGGTGCCCTTCATTTTGGTCTCGAGCTTCTCCTGCAAGACACGGTTGAACTCCTGCACGTCGTGCTGGAGGAAACTATCGAGCGACTTCCATCCGAATGACTTGGTCAACTCGTTGGTGCCGACAGGCTGATCTGATGTCTGAAGCAAGTAGAAGACCCGTTGAAGCGCCAAAGCTACGCTCTCGGATGGGATGTCGCCTTCGGTGGGTATTTGGTAGACAGCCTTGCGGAAGTAGTGTGTGCAGAAAAGGGACTGAAGGAGCGAGTTCATGTAGCATGTGGCACCTTGATTCTTGAGTCCGACGTAGCCGGTCTCCTTCTTGGAGTCGTAGTTGATGAAATTGTGCCAGAGGACGCCAGTTGGGTCCTTGAGAACACGGACGTAAGCGGTGACATTGGCGCAGTCGTTCTCGATGATGGGTCTGCTTCGACCGTCGGTAGGGACCGCGAGTTTGCGGAGTTCGTTGAAACGAGTAAACCCCCAGTCCATCTCCTCGGCTGTGAAGCGATGATGGGCTTGACTGGTAGAGAAGATGGTAGGGTCTTGTGGATTTGAGATGACGAGAGCGAACTGTGCGCAGACGTGCCAGCCCTCGGGACTACCTTTTGGATCGGCGTAGTCGAGGTAGACTGAGACCATATCGTTAGGTTGACCATTGGAGTTACCGAAGGGGAAAAGGAGTATGCGCCATCGGTGACCACCGCACTCGAACTCAGGACCTGTGAGCCTCTTGTCTAGTGTACGCCAGCCCTTGATGTTCCATGTGCATACGGCGAAATCCTGCTCCTCTTGCCCAAGATCTGCGAGATGCTTTTCGGCAAAAGCCTTTGCATCAAGAACAGACACTGGCTCCTCAAGCTCCATTGGGCTGGCTGCATTCTTGTCCATCTCTGGGTTGAGCAGAGCGGTGGTAGGATCGAGATGGGGGTCCATCTTGATTGTTTTGGTGTGACTACAACTGGTTCCTGCCCAAGTAGAAGAGAGACGTTTCTATGTTTGGTGCAGCAATCGGACTTGACCCACTTCCAAGTTGAAGAATGTGACAAGAAGCTAGGAAAGCGTTGTATTCCACGAGCCTGTGTAGGTCGAAGGGCACACGGCTGAACTAGCGGTTGTGGTGCTGCTGCGTTTAGTAGCTGACGATGAAAGAGAGGCGAGGGAGAGAGCTAGTCAGCAGCTTCTTGATCAATCTGCTGGCGTGTCAACACTTCAAAACGGGGAACGTCGTTGTCGGAACTACTGAGTTTCGAGCGGTGACGATGAGAAGGCTCGATGAGCTCGTGCACGATGGGTGGCCGAAAGAAAACCAAAGAGAGACTACAGGGGATCAACGACGGGTGATCGCGACCGACTGGACGAAGCGCAGCAAGGACGTGCGGCTTTCTCGTGGTCAAGAGACGGTGCGAGCGGAAGGAGGGTGATGGGAAGAACGGGCGACCGAAAGATAGGGACGGAGATGTGATGACGACGACGACAAGAACAATGAAGATGCAAGCAGCCGTCGTGACTTTTGCAGACGGAGAAGCTAAAGGCAGGCGTCTGTGAAGGCGGAGAGGCTACGCAAAATGGACGTGCGATCGAAGAGGGCTCTCAGGGTCAGCAAGAGCCAAGAGCTAGATTCAACGCTGGGACTGCACAAAATCAAATCGAGGCAGCAGAGCAGCAGAGCAGCAGAGCAGCAAGCAAAACAAGTGAAATTTGAACAAAGTCGTGACTGAGCCTTCCACAGCCTCTTGGCTTCTCTGGTTCGTGCGCAGAGATGGTCAGAGCGTGGTTCAGTTCCAGTTTGAGCACAAGTCGAATTTTCGAGGCAGGAAAGCGACTTGGGGGCGAGGTTGCTGAAAGTGTCGCTTCTGAGGCTCAGTTTTACTCTCAAATCTCCAGCTGCTCCTGTTGGCCGTCTGTGGAAAGCCAATTAGTTGTGTCGGCGTAACACAGTAAGCTTAGCGTTTTGCAGAAGCAGGCTCAAAGCATCATCAGTTACGGCTGTGGAAGACGACATTGTGACCTTTCTGTTGTCATCTCAAGGCCGGACTATCCTGCTGTCAAGCTTTCTGTTCCCCTGCCCCAGCTGAAGGCGCAACAATTCCTCTTTAGATAACACCCAGACCCCAAGCCGCTAGCCAAGTCTGGGAAAAGCTTATCCATAAATATTAGGCAAGAGATGTATGTGGAAGGTCAAGGGCAGCCGATCGGAAGGGCGAGACAGGCCTAAAATTCACGAAAGGAACCAAATAAAATTGTACCTGGAAAAGAGGACAGAAAAGGTAACCAAAAAATCCCTGCTTAGAATTGCAAAGCCGACGACTTTAGGTGCTTGACAGCGACAGAGCGGTAGCTAACCCTTGCATAGAAGATGCAGCCGGGAGCTTTCAGGTTGCTCGACACGAACGGAGATGTGCTGCCTCCAGCCTCAAGCGAAAGGGCAACCTGACAGAGAAAGCGCTCTTGCCCCTGGACTAAGAACAGAGCTCGTTCGGCATGACCAAGTTCTGAGTTGTGCTTCCAGATCGACATTCTGCAGCACAATGCGGATCAGTAGCTAAATCAAGAGACCGATGCGCTCACTATGAGCGGACAAGACATGGTGCAAAGATCGATACGCTGTCACTTGAATTCTGACAATCGTCTTGCGGATCCATTTAGGGAGATCGCTCAAGATTGCTAAGGTTGAAGGCAACAAGGAAGCACGAACACCGAGGCGGAGCAGATATAGGTTCAGGAGCCAAGCCTGAGGCAAGGCAAAGGAAGTGACCTGTAAGGCAAGGCCAGGCAAGGAAAGTGCAAGGTTCCAACAGGGCGATTCACAGTCCATGGCGATAGGGTGCGCAAGAGGGCATTCAAGGTGCAGCAGACAGCGAACTGCATTTCCAGACCAACACCGAACGGGCCAGAGAAGCAGCAGGATTTTGCATTTGACAGCCGAGTCTCTGTATGCTCAAGATGGCCTTTGCTAGCTTCCCACGCCTTCCGTGGCTGACTCGGCGCTCCTCTTTTGGTTCAAAAAAAGGTTGACGCTGTGGCTTGTATGTACACTGCAGCATTGCTCCCCATTCCTCGTCCCAACCTCACCACCATTCAAATGGCCAGGGCAAGCCTGCAGTACAAATTGCGGCCTTGACACAAAGGCACCTGCTGCTAGTCAGACATGATCGGCGAGGTTGTGTCAGGACGATGCCATCTGGGTGAAAGCGGCACCGATCGGTCAATCTGTACACCTCGGCTGTTATGCATCGTCACGATGTCAAGCTTGACGGGCATGGTCTAGTTCAACGAGTGGTCTCTCCCTCAAGAGTGACCATTATGTGCGGTCGAGAAGAGTATGCCTACCGGACATGCGATGCGAGTGACGCCGAGGCCGAGTTGCTCTTGCAGTGCCGGACTTTTTGAAAGCTAGAGCGCGTCCGAGCTGCCTTTGATCTCACCGAGCGGTCTTGTAGTGTGAGTCAAGTCGGCCGCCTCATGCTGGGCTCGGACTGTCATACAGCTTGACGCGAGCTCGACCCTAGCCCACTTGCCGCACCAACCCTAATCCAATCAAAAAGCAACCAGCCATTTGCAGATAAGACCAGGTAACTTGGTCTTTATCGGCACATTCGCCTTCAAAGCAACAAGTTTAAGTTCAAGCTAAGATTCTGATGCCAACGATAGTCAGTAATGTTCTCGAGTAAAATGGGAAAAACAATTTCAAGGAACATGCGCATCTGGCAACGAGAAAAGAGAGAGGAAGAAATTAATTCAAAATGACAGCAGTTGGTCTCAAAGTGGCTGCTGTTCTTCGGATTGTTTCCGATTCGCGTGTGTTCATCCTCCTGTTCTGCCTTGCGTCGAGATGACGATCAGGCGCTTGCTCTCTCTTCTTTGGCTTTGCTTAAGCCCTAGATTGGCGAGACCCTTTTCTCTGGACACTCGCTTGCCGTGTGCCGTGTGCCTCGTGCCTTTACCCTGTCAGGCTGCTCCTGTGCATTGGACATGCTTTGCCTTCGGCTTGGCCGACTCTCATGTCTCAGCAGTGCAAACCAAATGCATGCCTCTCCGATGGCTTTTTGAATTGGTCCAGCTTGTAGGCAGTCTTGCGTGTTTCAAAGTTGTCGGTCGGTCGGCTGCAGTCCTTTCGGTGCTTCCGTTTGAATTCGTCAGGTCGATGTCCGAAGCAGCAGCTTTCTTTCATTTTTATTTTCTATTATTATTATTATTATTATTATTATTTTTTTCTTTTTTTCTCTCTCTCTCTGCCCTTCTGTCTCTATTGCGCTGCTCGACATTTCAAGGCTCGGTATGCTCCTGTTGGAGGGAAGCAAACCGTTCTTGACAAAGCCGAGAAGCCGACAAGGGGGATTATCTCAGTTCATCGTCCGCTCTTTTCTCATCATCCGCTCTTGTCTCATCATCCGCATCCTCTCCATCCTCCTCATCCTCCTCATCCTCCTCATCTATACTCTCCGCTCGTCGATCTTTGCATCTGCGATATCTCGGTCTCATCCTCAGCTGCCACACCACACCGCACCACGTCAAGCTCACGCATCGCTCGACCTCCGAGGTTTAACGTGTCCAAAGTCAGTGGCGCTCATCGACGCTTTGAACCTCGCTTCCATATCCCATCCTGTCGAATCAAATCGAATCGAACCTGCCAGGTCTCGTCTTGTCTCTCTTGGTCTCGTCTCCATCCTCATCACCATCCTCGTCGCCATCTTGCTTCTCTTCCACCATCTCTCTCTCTCTCTCTCTCTCTCTCTCTTTCTCTCCATACCACTCCACTCCAACCCTAGCCTCTTGCTCCCCCTCCCCTTCCCCATCATCTCTTACCCAACTCGATCGCATTCGTTTACAGGTCGACTACTCTCTCTTACAACGACATCTCGTATTTACCACAACTTTGACGTTATAACCGGCTTGCACGAATCAAAAGATCGACTTCAGCTGTCTTTTAGCATCGAACCGACTGTCTTTTCTGCTCTCTAGTCTATCCTTGTTTCCATTTCCAATCTCTTCTTAGGCACTTCCCCATCACCCACCGGATCCCTTTCTTTCGCACACTTGCAGCAGCAACGGCACACCGACACCAGACCGACTTGCAATCCGGACATCTTTCATTCTTGCTTTACCTCCACCTCACCCACCCACAGCTAAATCATAATGCGCATATCACAAGCCATCAAAGTGGCAGCCATCGCGGCACCCGTCGCTTTGCTAGCTGCTGCCTCTGCCAACGCCGCCTCGGACGCGTGTATCAGCCTTCAGGGCAGTACCATGTGCCCTTCCTTCCAGAACAACTTCATCAAGCCAAGTAACCTCTCCTCCGAATTCAGCTTCTTTGACACTGTTACCGACGTCGCTTCCTTCGACTCTCTTTTCCAGTACTACATGACTTCGTAAGTTGCCAACTCCCACCCTTCTTGAGGTTGTACACATGCACGTCATACTCATTTGCGTTGAACCCACCTCTACTTTCCCCTCATTTGATATTGCAGGCAAAACGGCTACTACAACGACAAGATCCAGGACGGTCTCGGATGCAACACCACCCTCGCCCAGAACGTTACCATTCAATGGCAACAGACCGTCTTCTGCTCCCAGTTCTCTCAAGTTTCTTTCGAGTCCGGCTGCACTGCGGAAACCCCACCCACCCTCGTCTGCCAGGAAACCTGCAACCAGTTCGCCTCGTCTGAGGAAGACATTGTTGACAACACCGCCTACTGTCGATCCACCGAACAGCTCAACCCATTCCAGCGAAGCGTTCGTTCCGATACTCTCTCCAACGACTACTACACCTGCACCGACTACAGCTCCCTCGCCACTACCAACGTCAACTCGTGTGTCTCTGGTATCGAGAACGAAGGCAGCTGTGGTTTCGGTTACTCCATCGACCAACTCTGTGCCTTTTGCGACCCTGCAGGCGGCGTCACTCCTCCTCCTTGCTGTTACGAGGCCCGATCCAACCTTTCGCAGTGCTCCCAGTGGGGCCACCCTCTTGCTGCCACCATTCGACCTACTACCACTGTTGCCACTAACGTTCCCGGTGCTGCTCAGTCCATTGCCGCCGGTGCTAACGGATCTGCCACTGTGACCAACGGTGCTGCCTCGCCCACTGGCACTGGCACTGGCACTGGCGCTGGTGCTTCTTCCACTTTGGGCAGCAACAGCAACGGTGGCGTCTCTGGCGCCAACATGGCTCCTGATGGTCAGCAGATTGTCAGTGCCGACGACAAGGTCTTCAGCACTGGTCAGCTTGCCGGTATCATCGTCGGATGCTGTGTTGGTGCTGCCATCCTTGGTGCCCTCCTTGCTCTGTGCCTCTTCCGCCGACGTGGCGAGAAGACTGACACCGAGAAGAACACTGTCTACGGTGATCCTGCCAACGAGAGCCACGTCGAACGTCCCTGGATCCAGAGCGAAGAGGCTATGGTCAAGTCTCCCGCACTCGGTCGCCCCTCTACCGATGCCAAGTTCGCCAACGCAGCCGGTGTCGGTGCTCTTACCGGTGCTGCTGCTGTCGCTGCTACCAAGAGTCGTGACTCGGCTGACGAGCGTCCCAACAGTGCTATGAGCGGCGAGACCGGTACTGACGGTCGTGGAACCACCATCCCTGCTGTCAAGGACCAGTACTCTTCGCACGACATCTGCGCCGGTGAGACCGTCGTTGCTATCTACCCTTACAACGCTACTCTCAACGACGAGATCACTCTTCAGCCAGATGATGTCGTCACTGTTCAGCGTCTGTACGATGATGGATGGGCACTCGGTCGAACTGAGTCCGGTAGCGAAGGTGCTTTCCCATTGGTCTGTGTCACTTCGACCAAGGGTGGCACTTCGGGATCGGGCGAGAACCTTGGCAGCTCGACCAGTGGAGGTGTCACAAGTGGGAATGAGGGTAATGTTGCTTCGTCAGTAAATGGCGCTGTTACTGCGGAAGAAGGTGACTTTACATCAGATGCTCCTAGTCGTCACTAAATCCCGTCCTTGCTTCCTATGCCATCTTCCCTCGCCTCCTTAGACTCCCCATCACATTGCTCTCACATCCTGTAGACAACGTTCATGCTGCTCTATGATCATCCCCTCCTATGTTCCTGCTCCATATCCTTGTACTTCGTCTCCCTGTTGTTCTCCCCCCCTCTCACATTCCCAGCTTTTTCTGCCCAAAGCGCGAAGGCCCTCTTCCTTTCCCTCGCAATTGGTGGGCTCACGATCCTCCCATCCTCCGTCTCACACCCCTCTTCTTCCCTAGCTGTGTTTGGAAAGAAGGAGACGCGAAAAGGATGGGACCGCTTCGTCTCAGAGACCCCAATTTTCATGGGCCCCTTACTCGGCTTTGCTCGGAAACTCGCTGGTTGGTTTCCTTCCCTCTTTTCGGCTTTTGTCACGGTGATCCACAACTCCCTCCTCCCCTTTGGTTTCGGCTTCCCTGTTCTTGTTTTCAGCGTTTTATCTCAAACTGTAGCTACTATCACAGTCCCTTCTTTTGTTAGAGATCCCAAACCCTTCCCGTGTGCCTATCTTTGGAAATTGATTCATTCCCCCTCAAACACTGCTAATGTGTGTCCAAGACTTTGTTCTCGTGATGGCTGAGCTAAAATACATGAGATGGGACTAGAAGTTGTAGATGGGGAGGATTTTATGCAATTGTAACGGTTGTCTGCATAAAGGACATTCAGGTTTTTCTGCTATCCAACTTGTGATACAGTTCCAATCGAAACAATGACCGCATTCGGTTACTGCAGAGGTTCCTTTGTGAGGAGTTCGTTGATCCATGCATAGGGTACATTGGAGTGTGTTGGTTGCGTTGGAAGTTGCTGCTGTTGTGTTCATCCTTGCTACCACCACTTCTTCCTTCTCCCCGCTTCCTTCTTCGTCGTCGTCGGGGAGATGGGCGTAGAGTAGTTCGACTATTCCTTTACTTTCTTCTGCTGCGGAACGGAGGCGTTTTGGTGGTTGTGAAACATGCGAGAAAACATTTTTGTCAATGACTACTGTTGTACTTGGATCCATCGCTCCCGCACTACTGCCTGATGATGTTTGTTTCTTCGATCCCTCCTGTGAGCTTGGGCTTTGTTGTTTACGAGACCTCCTGTAACTCCTCACCTCCATCAACAGTTTAACTGATAACTGAATCCCCAACAGTACACCCAAAACCTCATAACTCGGTGGTTGATACCCCTGTCTTTTCGGAATGGTCGAAATGTACCTTGTTCCCGTCAACCTCTGTGCAAGACTATAAAACTTGCCTCCTAGATAGAACAACATCAGATGAGCTGCTGAAAGATATGCTAACCAACCATCTTGACTTTGCAATGTCTCCAGTGGTGGCATTAATCCAGCTAACCTCTCCACCACTCTGCGCTGTAAGGGGTTTGCGGGGTGGTACGGTTTATCGAGAGCTCTAGCCCGGGCTTTAGCACGTGCTTCTTGTTGGTCTAGCCGTTCTTTTGTGTTTACCGCATATCGCCGTAATGCTGCGTAGAGTTTGGTCAAAGAGTATGGGCCTAATACGTGGAGTAAGATCCAAGCTAGTCGTTTGGAAGGAGTGACTATACGGCCAGAGCGAGTGTCTTGTGGGATGCAATTGACGTATTCTTCTCCGAGAGTTTGTCCTCCTCTACCATCCCCCATGCCAGGGATGGAGGATGTGGAGAGGAGGTAATACCCCAAAGCACCAACAAGAGAGATCGAGGATAGGTGGGAATGCTGGACGCGGGTTCCAAAGAGAGAGCGGACCACATCGGAGACTTGAGATGTGAAGAGGTCTTTGTAGTAAGTGTCTTTTTGATAGGCTCGAACGATTTCGGGTTGGGCTGCGGCGGGGAAGCTGAAGCGTGATTGCGGTCGATAGCCACTCTGAGAGGTGGATACGGGTGATATTGGGACGGCGGAGGAGGAGGAGGTGGTGGTGGATGCGGTTGTGCCGCTACCAGATGCGCTGGCGGGGGCCGGCGATGGTGTGTTGTCCGCCATAGTTGAGTTTTGCTGTGTACCAAGTTGGGCTTAGGGTCCTGTGGTTGAGCAGTGTGGTTAGTGGCTTTGAGTGCGCAGATAAGAGTGGCTCGAGTAGTTGCGAGAAGGTGGATCTGATGCCGATGAAAGCTAGGTCAGGGCGAATGGTGATAGGATGTTGGTGTGGAGAAGCTTTGTGTGAAGAATCGCTTTCAACTTATGACCGTGATCCGGCCTCTTCCCCCACCCGGCCCATTTTGTTCGAGACGGACTTTGTGTTCAAAAATAAGCTTAACATTTCAAAGAAATCGGCCTGGCCTCCGGATTTCCGACTCTCTCTTCCTCAAATGACGACAACACACACGCACACACTGCAGACACATACAGTTGTAAAAAGAACAATGGTATTGCTGGCATTGCAAGATTCTTGCTATACATCATCTTGTCGCTACCCCATCATCATACTAATATCTTCCGGAGGATACTTCGTCTGTGCAAAAGTCATCAACCTCTTCAAACTCTGAATATATTTCCTTGATACCTCATCGTTCAACACATGAGCCACATTACTACTGAAGATCTTCTCTCTCCCTGACCTCTCATGAATACCCACCATCGTAACACCGATCGGCCATGGTGCATTCCCAATCGAAAGCTGCAGATACGAATCGTTCGCGTTCCTATACTGTCTCTTCTGCATGTAGTGCACGATCTCTGCTATCCGCATTAGGACGTCTGGTGTCAGCGCGCGTTTGCGTAGCTTCTTGAAAAGGGGTTTGAGGTAGTCTGCGGATTGAACCTGGGTTGCGGCTGCAAGTTTGCCTTGCATGGTATGTTTGACTTCATCGGGACGGGAGGCGAGGGAGTCGGCCCACTCTTGGAGGAGACCTTTGAGGGTGTAGTATATGATAGGGTAGACTCGGTCGATGTCGGTTTTGATCAGGTTAAGGTCGAGAACTTGGCCCATACCCACTCCTTCTCGTGTTTTGGAGATTTCGCCCTCCTCCCCGTCCTTCTGATCTGATGTGGATGGCTGGTCAGCGAGAGCTTTCTCAGCATCACCTATCGCAGCTGCTGCGGCTGCATCTTGCCGTAACCCTTCGAGACGAGCTTGTTCGAATTTGCCTTTGTTTGCGGCGTTTCTCTTCTCTAGTAGGTCAAGCGCAGTTGCGCTTTCAGCACTTTGTAGAGCGTTGCGGAAATCGTTCTGACCCACAGCTCCACCTCCTTTCTCCTCGATAAGTTCGAGCGCGCGCAATCGGAGACGACGTTCTTTATCCGACTCTCCGAAGAGTCTGATCGGTTCGCCTTTTGCTCGTAGTCGACGGACAGCTTCTTCATTGGATACGTTGAACCTTTCGCGCCCGACTTCTGCCGCTGCTGTGTCGAGCGCTGCTTTTGTTGCTGAGCTGAGCCTCGTTGATGTTGATGTTGAGGGGCAAGCTGAGCGTGCTATAGCGTCTGCCTCAGTCTTGAGGCGCTTGCTTGGCGAAGATGTTGCTGTGCGCGATGAGGCAGATGGAGAGGCGGAAGAGGATGGTGAAACGGATCGTTCTTGCTGTTCTCGAAGCTTTTCGAGGTCTCCTCTTCGCATGTACTTGTTCGGTGGTGGTGCAGCCGCCGCTTTGGAGGTGCTAGCTGATGCTGTCGAGGTGGCGACCTCAGCCGCCTTGCGCTTGTTGGAGATCTCTGCTTTGAGAAAGTCCATCCTTGCAGGGCGGCTCAGTGTCAAGATGGTAGAGAGGAAGGTACTTATCTTAAGGAAGTTAGGGAAGTTAAGGGAGTAATAGAAGCGAACGAGCTACCAGGGTCCAAAAAAGTGGAGGAAAGTCGAGTTTGTTAGAGCCTTCAAGTTTCCATCGATTTCTTCTCGCGCCTTTTCGGAACCGATGGGTTGCTGTTACCGTGCGTGAGCAAAAAACCCGGAATCGACAGCCAGAAGAAAGGCAAGTCGAGATCAAGCCTTAGCTACACAGTGACTAACAGGCGAGAGCTCAACATCGTCGTTGGTGTCGTCGCCATCATCAATCACCTTGACCACCACATAGTGTCTATCGTCATCGCTCATCAAAATGTCCGACTCCTCCGAACAAAAGTCCTTCACCCTCCAAACCGCCTCCTTTGACGCGCGTTTCCCTAACCAGAACCAGACCAAGCACTGCTGGCAAAAGTATGTCCCAACACTGCCCCAACCAATCCAGTGGAAAGTTATGAAGAGGAGAACAAGAAGTACTGACGGTCAAACTTTCGATGTTGGAATCATGGTGGGTTTGCAGCTACATTGACTACTTCCGATGTGTCAACGCTAAGGGTGAGGAGTTTGTTCCTTGCAAGCAATTCTTCCGTGCCTACAACTCTTTGTGCCCTAACGAGTGGGTGAGTATCTACAAACCTTGTTCACAGTCATCCTAGCAGGCAAGAGCACAGGCAGACGGAGCGATCGAGAATGATATACATCCGACATCATTTCAGCAGCATACGAACGAACCTTATGTTACGTTGGTGAATAGAGCTTGGCACGTTCTGCACAACACAACGCCTTCCGCATCCGCTCGATATCAATCCACATGGCCAACGATAGGAGAAGAGCTGCAGTCCAGAACAATCATCTGCGGTATCGACAAGGAAGGATCAATCGTCCATTGAGGCGCAGGTCAGAGTTCTTACCGCACGCCTCCTCAGCCTCTATCGCCTTCTCGAACCGACATGCCAGTTTTTCTAAGGTGACAAAAGCGTACCAGCAACAGCCCGAAGCAATCGCAGATGTATGAAATCTTCAGCTGCTCGTCTGGTGCTTGTCACGCAAATGCCATATCAGACGAATTGCTCTTTGGTGCTGTTTGCAAACGCTTTGCTTGACTGACTGACAAGTCAAACAAGTATGCAGCGTTGTCTATTTGGTCTAGCGACCGCCTCGCACACTCTACACAGCGAACAATTCCCATCTGGACATCCCCACAATTGACCGGTGCAAGCAGCAACTACTTGATCAGCATTAGGAAATCCCGACTTTCAACACATAGCCTTCGAATCGCCGCCTCGCCTCAACACTTCGCTTCTGACCTGCTGCTACTCTGTCTCTGCGCCATTTTGCATACACTTCGAAGTGCAATCCTACTGACCATTTCTTGTCTCAATTCTTCTCATTGTGCAGATCGCCAAGTGGGACGAGCAGCGAGAGAACAACAACTTCCCCGCTTCGCTTGAGTCTTGAAACCGTCATCATCTCCTCAACGATAATGGCATTCTGATGTACAAGCCTTACTCGCAACTTCTCACATGCTGATTCTTCACTTCGGCTGCGAAGGAAGCGGGTTGTAGTCTTTGGAATACTTTAGAAATCCTTCTTTTGCAACCAGCTTTCCGGTTCCAGTCTGTTTTTGTGTGTATCTTTTGCTGCTCTCGATATCGATGGAGCCTCAAGTCAAGTCAGATCGGATGAAGGGTCTTATACACAAGCTGTCCAACAGGATCGCAGTCAAAGCAACATCGTCTGAACCCGTTGCATTGCATTCTTCAGTAGTACTCCGTTTCTAAGCACCGAAAACCTTCAATCGCTCCTGATTCTCCTTCTCCTCATCATACCCCTTAGGCTTAGGTTCTTCCGTCTTGGCACCGAACACCAGCTCAGCCCTAAGCTTCCAGTCCTCGGGCAAGTTGTATTTCTTCTTCAACTCTCCCTCTGTCAGATTTCCATAGTGCTGAAGGTTCGCACCGTAGCCAGCATTAGTCAGTGCGACCCAAACATTGTTCTGAGCGATAGCAGATGCGTGTTCGCTCCAAGTAGGGAAGTGTTCTGCATACTGTGGGATGCTGTCTTGCTGCCCCTTGACTGCAGCCTGAGATTCGAAGAAGAGAACGGTACCAAATGCGGGTTTGAACAGGTTCAGACGACCCACTGCACCGTCGATCGCTTTTTGGTCTCCACCAGTAGACTTGATAGCGTTAGTCAGAGCGTTGGTGACGGTGGAAGACCAGTATTCATCGTGGTCGGAACCGAGAAGGAGGACGAGTCGGGGGGATTTGGAATTGAAGGAGGAGGGAGATTCGCGGAGGATCTTGGAGAGGATAGTTTGGATTTGGTCGGTGCTGAGGATGGAGGGGGATTTTGAGAGGGCGTAGGCCGAACGACGGGCGGAGAGAAGGTCGAGGAAGGTTGAGGCTTGGGTTGGAAGCGACATCTTGATTATCAGTCTAAGGGTTAAGGCTGGGATGCAGTATGTCTTTCGGTTGGTTGGTATGTTGAGGGAGAGATAGTGAGGGCAAGTAGGAGTGCGAGGGGTCTATATATGGATTCAAGAAAGATGGGGGGCCGAAGGAGTCGGCAACCTTATTCCCACCCAGAGAGCAACACAAACTGTGTGTAGCAATCACGAAACCACCAAACTTCTTCTCTGGATGACGTGCGAGCCATGCTGACCTTGTGTGGAAGAGCAGAGCTGTCAAAATCAGCCTGAGCTATGCCGTGATCCACACTATAGCTGGTGAGCACTTTTGCCGATCCTCTTTGCATAATTTCTAATGCCTCTACTTGTACTTGCTGCTACGGAGAAACGGAGCTAAGCCTCAGCCCCATCAATCTCCCACTTCAGATAGCTCTCGACTTTCTGGCCACAAGCTCTTTTCGAAGACGTTGGCGTTTAGCATGTCCAATTGCCTCGCACCCAAGTCCGCACAGACTCTTGTTGATGGTCTCAACACATGCAGAGTACAGAGAAGAGAGCGGTGCAAGGTAGAAATGACGAAATACCCTAACCCCACATCGCAAACACATGCAAGTAGACACAACAGCAAGGTCTCGCCTGCCTCACTCGACACATGGGCGTTGCGAGTGCGGAGGGAAGATACGGTGGAGAAGGGCCTGACAGCAAGCCAACCGGTCATCTCGTCGGGTGCAGACATTCGAGCAAGGAGTGAAACGAGTGTGTGTGTATGTTCAACGACCTCCGAACAAGAAAGCAGGCGATTGACCACGCCAGTTAGTCTCAGCTTGAGCCGTGAGCCCACCCAAATGCTTTGGTGGAGGCAGAGGCGATCCTCCCGCCGCCACCACCTTCATCGCACCACCCTGAACCGTATTCGCACTTCCACCCGCACTCGCCCCCGGAGCAACAGCAGTAGGCGTAGGCGTCGGAGTAGGAGAAACAGTCTTTGTCGCTGTAGACGGGGTTCCAGCTTTACTTTGCGCTGCTTTCTCTCCTCCTCCCCCTGCGCCTGCTCCACCTGCCGCTGCCGTCTGCCCCGGAGCAGTGGTCGTTGGAACATCAAACTTCTTCTCGTACCCCCTATCTTCACCACCATAGAAAACGGGAATACTCCACGGCCTTCCACCCATACTCAAGATCTCCCTTTTCGCTTTCAACCATCTTCTCGGCTGCCTATTCGTCCTCTCTAGCGGAACCACCGTCTGGAAAGCCGTCGGGATCCTAGCTATTGGCTGTACAGGAGGTCCAGCTCTTGATGACGGTAATGGAGGATACCTGAACCCAGGATTTTTAGCTGTTCCGGCCTTAGCACTGAGATCACCCGTGAAAGTCTGCCCACCAGGTCCAGACACGATCTTGATCGATGAAGAAGCTCCACCTCCATGAGACGAACTCGCTGGTTTTGCAGGCGCAGCTGCGAGTGTCGAAGATGATTTCGACTTGGGAATAGCAGCAGCTGAGGGTGTGGGTGTGCCTTCGCTTTTCACCCTCACCGCTACAGCATCGATCGCGGGAGAAGACCTGGCATTGGTAGTATCACCAAAAGTAGCAGGCGTCGTCTCAGCGGACGGTAACTCATACACAGGTTTCTGACCTTTCGTCAAACCTTTCCTCCACCCTCTACCTGGTCCAGCAGCACCTCTTGCCTTTGCCGTCTTCCTTCTCTTTGCTGCAGGCAACGCGTCCAATTCCTCCACGGTCATATTTCGAACTTGGGCTATGCGGGCTTGGTTTCCACGTCGTACGACTTTGTTCGCTGGACTAGCAGAGCCATCCCCCGAGGGTGAAGCTGAGCTGCCTCCACCGCCGGGGGCGGAGGACCGAGGTTTGAGTGTGATACTGCGGCGTTTGGGGGTAGAAGTGGAGGAATTGGCTGCGGCGGGTGTGCCATCTTCGTCTTCTTCTTCGAGCTCGTCGAGTTCGTCCAATTCGTCTTCGTCTTCGTCTTGGCTGTTGAGGGAGCCAGCTTCATCGTCCTCGTCAAGACCAGCAGCACCGGTGGAGGCGGAGGGACTGCCACCATTGCGTGGTTGAGGAATGGTCTCTTCGTCATCGTCAGAATAGTCCGGTGCTGAACGGAGCGGGTTTGGGTTGGCCAGTGGAGAAGAGGTTTCGCGTGGTGCTGACGAGAGGGGGACTCTCAGCTTCACTTTGACCATTGCAATGTTGGCTCGGTCACTATGAGGTTGGTAACGCTATCGGTGTGAAGTGCTGACTCGGTGTGTGTGCGCGTGCGAATGATTCGTGCTGATAGCTGAAGATCAGGTTGATGGAGCGCTTGCAGGTGTTATGATGCACCAAGACTTGCGCTGTAGTGAAACGAATGCTGAAAGTAAACGAAGGATGTGAATACGAACGTCGTAGTTGATGTGGCTGTAAAGCTGCTCGCGGCGTCCCCTGCGATGATGCGTTGTCATCGCTCGCTCACGCCGCAGCTCAGCACAACTTGCCCTTTGTCGGGATGCGGAATGCTGCTGCAAATAAGTCGGCCACACAAAGGTGGCTCGCTCGTTCCCTTTCAAAAACGCTCAAATTGTACATCGGCAGATGGAATCGGCTCACCTTCGTGCTTAACAGCGGCATCCACGCCACCTTGATACGCCTTCGCGGGTCGCAATTGAAAATCCAATTCTCCTCTACAAGTTGACATCACAAGCCTTTCATGATCCGACACTTTCCGCACGATGTTGCGCTACAAGACAAAACCTGGCTTGCGCAACAAGGTCAACTCCGGAGATAGCAGTCTCTACAATCGAGACGGCCGTCACTGGACTGCGAACCTTTGGAGTCGCATTTAAGTTTTGACACAGCGAGTGATGTTCTGCTTCGATCGAAGGTCGAGCGGCCCAGAGCATGCTCAGCATCTGCTATCGTCTCAGAAAGCTAGTTCAGAGCAGAGAAAGAACCTTCTTTTAAGGCAATGACCTAGCATCATGCAGCAGAATCTTTCGAAACACAATCATACGGGCTCGGTCGAAGCTCGTCGTCCGGGGAGCATCGGATCGCATCTCGGGCCGATGTCAAGGGCTCTGCGCAGAAAATCTTTTGCTAGGTTGATAAAAGTACAAATGAAGCTACCATTGACAGCTATGAGTGAGTGTCGCTGTCGATGGGTAATGCGGGTATATGGTGTTGTGATGCGGCAATAGCATGTGTGCTGGCCAGCTAGTATTGCTGTCTCGTCGAGTAGTCTGTTTGATCATGGCAATGCAGCAAAGGTATCGTTGTCAGGTACAGCCCGTCACATGACGCAAGTACACACACAGAAGAGATAGGAGGAACTTACCTTTGGGACTAATAACCAGACCTCTACCCTTACTTGCACCTCTGTAGACCACCTCCACAATATCAATCAGCTCTTGACGATCGGTTATTGCCCAGTTGCTAGACCCATCCACCAATGCAAAGCTCTTGTCAGCATCCTTTACTCTCTATCTCTCGCTGTCCCATGTGCTCGGAGGATGAACTTACATCTTGTTATTGTTACCAGTCCCCAAATCAATCATGATGTGCTTGTTACGATAGAAGAACATGGTTGAACATGCATCGTACAGCTCATACATCTTGTTGAAGTCCGGTACCTGTGTAATGTCGACAAGGTAGATGACGGCAAAGTTTTGGACGGCTGTTGAGATCTTGTAGAGTGTTTCGTCCATTTCCATGCATACGGGATCGGTGTCGTGGCCGAAGCGGATGATGACGACTCGGTCTTCTTCGGATAAGATGGCTTGATCGACGTGCCAGCCTGTTGGCAGGTGTGGGAGGAAGTAGGACATGGTTGCTGCCGCCGGCTGAGAGCGAAGAGGCCTATTCAGTCGTTTGGTCCAAGGGTTAGGTTGCGAACGAGAAGAAAGGTGGAAAGCGTTCTAGTGGAAAAGAAGCGGTCTGAGCAAAGTTGTGGAAAATGGTGTGGAGAGCGGCTACCAAAAAAAGCTTCGGAAAACGGAACAACACCAACAACATCGCGTTCATAAGAGATTTCGAGACATGGTACACATACTTCTGAGCAAACTGAACCGCAAAGACACTCTTGCCTGTTGTGTGAGCTCCAAGCTGTACGTTGAAATGATTTCATAAAGGCTAAAAGTACACAGAGGGATTACAACGCAACAATCTGACGACACGGTCGGGTGAGAACCTGGATCGAAAAACGAGGCGATGAATGCTGACGAGGTCCGTCACCTCTCCGAAGGAGAGCGACTGCGTTTTCGATCCTCTTCCTTGACCTGTGACTGCGATGTTGTATTGTCAGCTGGCACCATCTCGCCTTCCTCTTCTTCCACCTCACCCTCCTCACCTGCACGTTTTCCCTCGACATCCCCGTTGGCGGCTGTACGCTGTTCACGACTCTCCTTCCGTTCACGATCACGACGTTCCCTTTCCCGTTCAAAGTCTCGCTCGCGTTCCCTGTCCTTATCTGACCGTGACCCACCCAGACCTGAACCATTCTGAGTCCTTGTCGTTGTTCCTGTTGCTGATCCCTGTGCCGGCCGACCGTTCGCACTGCCGCCATTGTGCCCAGCTGTTGTTGTCGCCAGCATCCCCATCGGTGGTGCATTCGGGTTCCTCCTCCTCTCATCAAACTCTCCAATCATCTCTCTCAACCTAAAATACCCTAAATGCATCTTGCCTCCGAAATGATCCGCCAACCTCCTATCTGAATCCAGAATACTCAAGTAGGCACCACATACATCGCAAACCCTCAACTTCTGGTGTCCACTCGCACCGGAGTTCTCTTGTGCATTGTGTAGCTCCTTCTCCTTCTGTGCTTTCTCCTCTTTGAGTGCATCGGCTTTGGCCAGCTCGGCGAGCGACTCTTCGATCTGTCCTTGCTCTCCTAATGCTTCCACCTCGGCCATGACTGCTGCTAGGGCGGTTTCGATTTCCGAGATCTCGCGGTTCATGTTGGCGAACTTGGCGAGCTCTTCCGGTGTCTGCTCGAGACGACGTTTGTTAGCGGCAACCTTGCGGTCAATGTCGTTGATGAAGGCGAAGATGTTGTGCTCGTGTTCGCGCTCGAAGTCGGGGAAGCGTTCGCCTGAGGCCAGGGCTTTGCGGTATTCGTCTTTGTACTTTGGTGTATGTGATTTGGGACATGGGCCTAGATCAACTTTCTGTGAGAGTTGGACGCAAGGAAGATATGTGAAGGTACGGGGCACGTCAGTAAAGCTTCTCTGTCACTGACAGAGCTCGAAAGCTTAGTGAGAACGTACTGTGTTGGCAAAGAGGTCATGTGGGCAAGTGCCGCACAAGAAGTTACGGCACACCTTGGGGTCGGTGAAGTGTAAGTTGGCGGTCGGGATACCCATGGCTGTGGAAACAGAAGTCCAAAGCGGAATCAGCAGAGTCAGTATTGCATCCCGTGGCCAAGTAGCTAGTCGAAAACATGGTGGAAGTAGAACCTACCTTCAGGGCCCATGAGCTTCTCCAGCATCATGCGCTGCACCTCGGCTTTGCGACCCATCTTGGCGGCAGTATACTAGCAGACGAGTCAGTGTCTGTGGCTGCAATAAGCGAAAAGTCTGTCGCCGAGGTGGGAGGCTGCGTCCTCAGGGCAAAGTTGAAGGTGTTGGTCTGGACGAAGAAGTAATGTCGAAGGTGACTGTGAGTGTTGGAAAGTTGACCCTTAAATGTTGATCCCGACTCCCGAAAATGGTCTCTAGAATTTTTGGCTGCACTGCCGAGAAAGTGCAGCTTCCAAAGCTCAGTTGACGCTCATAAAGTGGACACTGTACATGACACTCACCTTCTGAACCTGACTCCACACCATTTCAACCCCCCACCTGACAGCTCGCTGGACAATCATGGGTGCCTCCCAATCGTCGCACAAGGCGGGTGCGGCAGGAGGCACCGCCACCGATGCTAACGGCGAGCCAGCCTTCGTCGACTACTACGAGCTTCTCCACGTAGAACAGACCGCCACTTCCGACGAGATTCGCAAAGCCTACCGCAAACTCGCACTCAAGCACCACCCAGATAAGAATCCGGACAACATCGAACAAGCCAACAAGATCTTCCACAAGCTTCAGGAAGCCTACGAGATTCTTTCGGATGACACAGAACGGGCATGGTACGATCAAAACCGTGAGCGTTTGCTCAATGGCGAGGGACCAGACTTGGACGATGAGGAGGTGTTCGAGGCGTTTCGCTCGGGAGCGGCTGAAGCGCCGCAGCCCACTAGCTCGTCACGCGGCTTGACGGCGAAGGCATTGCTTCGCTTCTTCGATCCAAGCCTGGCAAAGGACTTGACAGATGGAGACAATGGTTTCTTCGCTACGTACCGCCGTCTATTCGAGCGGCTTGCTCAAGAGGAGCGCGTAGCAGCACCCTACCTAGGAGAAGAGAAGGACTCGGTGATTTCTTCTGCCGATGCATATCCGTCTTTTGGCTACAGCCATACACCCTACTCGAACGCAAAGGGACAGGAAGCTGCTGTCCACCAAACACCTGCCAAGGACTTTTACAACGTCTTCATGAACTTCCAGTCACGCAAGAGCTTTGGCTGGTTCGACAAATACGACCTGCGCGATGCACCAGATCGACGTGTCAAGCGTCTCATGGAGAAGGAGAACAAGCGTGCACGAGACGCCGCCAGGCGCGAATATAACGATGCCGTTCGCTCCCTTGCTGCCTTTGTTCGCAAACGAGATCCGAGATACAAGAAGTTTCAGAGCGAGCTCAACTCTACAGGGCCTGGTTCGGCGGCAGACCTGGCCAGGAAGAAGGCGGAAGCCGAGAAGATCCGATTGGAGCGAGAAGTTCGTGCTCAGTCATACCAGGCACAGAGCTGGCAGCAGCCTGACTACCGCTTTTCGGACGATGAGGTCGATGATGACGAAGACGAAGATGAACATGAGGAGGACGATGACGGCGACGGAGATGGCGAAGCGGAAGGTGATGAGGCAGGGCTGCCAGCATCGGGCGAGGCGCTTGACCCGCTTGATGATGACCCTTCTAACTCGGGCTGGGACTGCGTCGCATGCGACAAGTTCTTCCAATCCGAAGCGGCTTTCCGCAATCACGAACGCAGTGCAAAGCACAAAAAGGCAGTCAAGCAGCTTCAGCGAGAGATGCAAGACGAGGAAGACGAGCTCGGTCTTGGCTTCGATGCGGACGACATTGCCATCGACGCTTCTTTGGCAGATATGCACCTCAACGGAAAGGCAAACAAAAAGACGACAGACGCGAACTTCTCGGCTGGCTTCTCGATACCCGCCTTTGCCGGCGCTGACAGTGGCGCGAGCAGTAAGAGCAAGAAACAGAAGAAGCAAGACAAGAAGCGCAGACAGATGGAACAGGTCGCTGGCCGTACTCTGGATGAAGATGGATTTGTGGTGCAGGATCTGAACCGAAACCCAAAGGCCAAGCCAAAGACGGCGCCGGTCCCGGTTGCTAGTGATGATGAAGAGGGAGCGGACGAAGCAAAGGAGGAGGATGCGGCCACACCTGCGGTCCACGTCATTGACGATGAAAACGTCAGCGATGCCGACAAGGCCGTGGATGTTACTGAGAAAGTAGGAGCTGGTGACGAAGAGACTGCTCCGGTACAACCACCCTCATCCTCGCAGAAAGATGAAGTCAGGACTAAGGCGGCATCAACATCATTGGAGCCAAAGACCGACACCGCAAAGGATGAGGATGACCCGTGGAGCGGCCTCAAAGATCCCTACATCCCTGCCTCAGCCTTTTCTTCCGCCATCCCGCCGCCTCTTCCCCCTCTTTCGCGACCCGCCGGCTCCTTCGACATCTTTGGCTACGGCAGTCTCATCTTCAAGCCTCCTCCCCATGTCATTGCTGCAACACCCTGCTATATCAAAGGTTTTGTGCGACGCTTTGCACAGAACTCTATCGACCACCGCGGGACACGTGAACGACCCGGTCGCGTCGTCACCCTGGTCAAAGCATCTGATTGGCACCCTCTCTGCAAAGCTGCCAAGGTCAACGAGCCAAAATCGCCCGAAGGCGACATCGTCTGGGGTGTTTCTTTCACGATCGATCCCGAGCATTCACAGGTCGTTCGTCAGTATCTCGATTACCGTGAAAAGAACGGATACAGCGCAATAAATGTTCCTCTCTACAGCAAGAGTCAGGTGGAAGGGGAAGAAGAGAAGGAGATCACCGTTCTAAAAAATGCACTTGTGTATGTTGGTTTGCCTTCCAATCCGGCATTCGTCGGCCCGCAGTCATTGGATGCGCTCGCGCAACGCATATATACATGCTCCGGTCCATCAGGTCCGAATCCGGAGTATCTGCTGAATCTAGCAAAGGCTGTGAGAGAACTCGCGCCTCAATCCGTCGATCATCACTTGTTTAGTCTCGAGAAACGTCTACTTCTGCTGCAGGAGCAAAACATCGATCCAGCAGTGCTCATCGCTCAAGAAGCCAAGCAAGACGTTTCTGCCAAGAAGAATGACAAGACAGCGTCCCAAGACGACTTTGGTGAAGAGGAAGAGGCGGGAGGAAAGGGAAAGAAAGGCAAAACCAAGCGGACGGGTAAGAGCAAAGAATGGTGCAACGTCTGCAAAGCTGGGTTTGAGAGCAGGAGTAAGTTGTTCAACCATATTCGCGAAACCGGGCATGCGCTGGCTGGTGAACAGAGCGGAAAGAAGGAGCGGAGGAAGTAGACTTGCACCGTGCTTGGTTTTCGATAATAGATATCAATGCAATAGATAGATGCACATACGGCACAAAGCTTGTATATGCTACAACGGTATAGATCTGTGTTCGTGTGAGAGTACCATGTGAACAAGTGGCGAGTCGATGAGATGAGATCAGGCACCAACCGCTGCAGAAGCAGCGTGTGCCGCGTGGACGTGTGTAGTTCTGCAAAGGCGCACAGGGAACGCCACCAACCAGAAAACCGTCAGGATGTCGCCACGTGGCACCACTCTTCCATCCTTGTTCCCTTCTTCTAAGGCTTCATGCAACGCGTTGACCAGCGTACTCTCGTGGCGGTGGCGAGCCAGCAGCAATGCACTTTGTTGTTCTGAAGGTAGGTTCGGGGTAGGTGGTAGCCACCATTTCTGATGTGGCGAAATGGGCGAGGAGCAGGATGTGTGGGAATTGTTGCTTGGTGTTGTGCGCCTCCCGTGTGTAGGTTGGATAGTCGCGTAGCCTGTCTGCTGTGCTCCGTGGTACAGGGATGTCTGTGTGGTAGCTGATCCTGCTTGGACAGGTTCCACGTCCATGCTGTATGAAGACTTTGCAGAGTTGAGGCATAAGGATACTCGGCGCCAGTGGTACAGACACGTCGAGCTTGGGGGCTTCTTGAGACAAGGCAAAGACGATCATAGAGGGTGTTCAAACATCCTAACTGCAAGCAAAGAAGAGATATAAGCCGGCCCGTACTCGTCACTACACATATCTTCTCCTCATCAACCCCCAATCTCACACCAGCATCCACTTTGCTCTTTTCCTCTACCCGCACTCTTCTGCGACCACTCATTCCCCAACTCCAAACTAAATTACTCGAATCAGCAACAATGTTGAAGAACACCACCACCAACACCGCCTCCGCTAACTGATGGCTCCTCACCCTCGCCGTTCTCCTCACCTTCCTTGCCAACTTTCCCCCCATCCTGGCTCTCCCCACCACCTCTCTTTCCTCCATGGAGAAGCGCCAAGCCCCGAACCAAATGTACATGAACTAGCCTACCCTCCAGACCGCCTCGCTCAACATGACCACTTTCATCCTACCCATCCCGCTCTCCGAAGCTTTCTCCCTCGCTTCACTTTACAATCTCCTTCTCAACCACGACTTGCCTACTTCTGTCATCCCTTCTGGCTATATCCCGCTCCAAGTGGTGCTGGGTTACTTCTACGACATTCGTCAACGACTTGTGCTTGGTCTGCTGCCGTTCCAGGTGCAACAGTTGAGCGTGGTCGAGGTGTACTTGCCCTTCGTGGACGTCCTAGGTGACGGAAAACCATTTAGAAGGAGTGCCAAGACGTACATGGACCAACTCATTCCCACTCTCGTAGGAGGAGTTACTCAGTTTACTAATGCGCAGTTGGCTTATTTCGATCCTGAACATGTAGTATGTTCCCGCTCTCCCCCGTTTGCCCTTTCTCCACCAGTGTGCTCCAGTTCATATCCTGACTCTTTCTTCCGTTTGTCGCCTTGCCACCAGGCCTACAAACCAGCCGGAGGCATCACTCTTAGCTTTGCTGTCGCTCAGGGACTGATCAATACAGTAAGCTTCCCCTTACCCCTTCCTCCTCCTCTCCCACTTACCAACTAAATGCTAACATCCGTTCCTTGACGATACAGGTGGATGGACCAGGCCTAGTCTCCCCCCTTCCATCGACTACCCCATCAGCGCAGCAACTTTCCGCTCAATGCTAGACCAGTCCTACTACACAACCTCCGGAGCTGGATGCAACACGATTGACCTCTACTGCAACTACACCAATTCCAATGCCAGCTTCGTCAGCGGTAACGTGCAGGCGTTCAGCCCTTCGATTAGTGTCAATACGAACTATGCTACTGCTTATGGGTACAGTGCTGCTACGTAAGTACCATGACAACACCATACTGATTGGTTAGAGAGCATCGCTGACGAGAGATGCATTGCACATTGGGGTGGTTTGGGGAGAACAGTCAGTGGGTTTCGCCTTTGAGCTTGGCTGCTTGCAGCACCTTTGCTTGAAGGTGTTACAGTAGTGACGATGCAGAGAGATGTCGGTAGCTGAAGATACACGGTTCGGCTCAAGACGTCTTCAAAGATGCATCGATCTTGTGTTTTGTCAATCCTTTGAAAGAGAGAAGTTTTGTGCCTCAGCTCCTCAGCTTCAGACGGCCCAGCATCTCTCTTCCCTTTCCCTCCTTGTGTTTGTGTCTCCTTACGAAATGTCCATGTCAACAGTAGGGGGTTTCAGTTTTTTTTTGCCCTCGAAAACTAGAGTCTTCGAATAGTGAAAAAAGGCCAGAAAATTGATGTCCCCAAATGTAAGCTGTGTTTTTAGAAAATTAATTTTGGAAGCCAAAAAGGGAGGGTAGTGTCAGCCAGAAAATGAAGCAGTTCCAAAATCCAAACAGTTGAAGTCATTCGTCAGCGTGTTGGAGTCATTCGTCAGTGGTTGGGGTTGAGGTGTCTTTGTTGATGATGGTAGTAGGAGAGAGAGAGAGCGAGAGAGCTAGGAGTCTATATATACAAAAGAAGAGCGGCGGAGAGCTGCATTGACTGTGGAGCATAACAAAGCATTTGCCTTGAGTAGGTTGTGACACATGTGGTCTGTGCTAAGATGTTCAGGCCTTTTACTCGGCCATAAGCACTACCTTCACTGTCTCCACGCTTTGTGCGGCTTTATCTACTTCAACTCCCCCCCTCAACAGCATATGTACCCTGTTCATTATGCTGTTGCTTCAAGGTGTGACCTCCGTTCTTCAACACTGTCGCATAGCTCGGGGACCCCATTCCGTACACTGCTGCCGGTATTTGCAGGTGTAGCCCAGATCTTGCTTGCTGCATTGCCTGCCTCCCAATGGGCTTTGTGAGTACGTCTGCCAAGTTTCTTGTGGTGTCTACGTACTTGATCTGCACCCTTCCCTCTTGTACATTGTTACAGACGAAGTGATACTTGGTGTCAATGTGCTTAAGCTTCCAGTGCTGTGCTGGGTCCTTACTAACCTGTATGCAACCAGTGTTGTCCGAGTAGACCGTCGGTGTGCCTGTGGCAATGCCAATTGAGCATAGCAGCTGCTTGAGGAAGAGCACCTCACGTGTTGCTTCCGTGGCTGCAATGAACTCTGCCTCGACAGCGGACAATGACACGCATTTTTGTGTCGCTGACTTCCAGGCTACTGGGTTCCTGTACACTAACGCCACTGACCCCGATGTGCTTCTTCTCTGTATGGTGGCATCGCTTGCCCAGTTTGCATCACTGTGTGCAACCAGTGGCTCTTGCGACTCACTTGCCCTATAAACCAATCCAACCTGCCTTGTGCTTTCGAGGTAGCGTAAGACCCTTTGTGCTGCCTGATAATGCTCCTGTGATGGTTCACACATGTGCCTAGCGAGAACACCCACGGTGAGACTAAGGTCGGGCCGGGTGCTGTTGGCAACCCAGAGCAGCTTGCCAACAATCACCGGATACTCCTTCTGTTGTGCTGCACTTGCGACAAGGGTTCCCTCCGGTATGCTCTGCATTGGAACCATGGTTGGCTTCGTACGTTTGTCCAGGTGCTTTGCCAGCACTTGGTCGATGTACCCTGACTGACCAATCGTCATGGTGCGCATCGCACGGTCTCGACTGATTTTGATGCCCAAGAAGTGAGAGACCTCACCACTATCTTCCATCTTCCATCTCTGACCAATCTGCTTCTTAACCTTTAGGACTGTTTCCAGCCGTGGTGCTATGACTAATGTATCATCGACGTAGATGACCACAATGGCCATATCTTCACCCTGTCCCTTGGTGTAGATGCAGGGAGCGCACTCTACCTGGAAGAATCCCATGCGTCGCAAAGACCTGTCGAACTCCTGATTCCATTCTCGCCCAGACTGCTTTAGGCCATATAGGCCCTTGACTACCTTGTACACCTTGCCAGGTGCTACTCCTGATCCTTCTGGCAGCTTCATGTAGATTGCTTCCTTTAACGTGGAGTTCAAGTAAGCCATAGTGATGTCCAGAGCATGTACCTCCCAGTTGTTCTGCACCGCTAGTGCTAAGATGGCTCTGATCACTCCGAGGGGTGCTACTGGAGAGAAGGTTTCTTGGTAGTCGATCCCCTCTCTCTGTGTGAAGCCCCTTGCAACCAGTTGCGCTTTGTGCTTAACAGGTACACCATCAGCGTCAAGCTTCAGCCGAAGCACAACCTTAGAGTCCACAAGTGGTACTCCTGGTGGTTGGTGCACCACCTCCCAAGTCCCCATTGCCTCAAGTCCTTCTAGCTCCTTTTGTATTGCCTCCTTCCAGAGCTGGGCATCCTCACCATTCATTGCTTCCCCAAGCGTTGGGTCCAGGTTCAGTATTGCTGTGTTGGCGGCACCCACTGTGCTGTCTACGGCTGGTAGGAGATCCTCCACTGCGGCCTCTGATCTGGTCTCCTCCTCTACTATGGCTGGCATGACACCCTCCTCCTCGACCTCCATGGTCACCATGGGCCTGACTGCCTCTTGTTGGCGATCACTCCATCCTTTGTCCTCATGGAACATTGCTGAGTTGCTCCATTGAATTGATGCAGGCTGGTCCGGGTTGCAAAACTTCCATGCTTTGTGTTCGTCGTCATACCCAATCATGATGGCTGGCTTTGCTCTAGCTCCGTGCTTGCCTTGCTGGTCCTTCTGTTGAACATGAACCCATGCCAAGCATCCGAAGACTCGCAGTTGCTGGGCCAGCTTGTGTGTGGTGGTTCCATAAAAGGCCTCGTGGGGAATGGTTTTGGTGGCTGACGGGGTAAGGTTCATCACATGTGCTGCTGCTGTGATTGCATATGGCCACAACTCTCTGGGGCAAGCTCGACCAATCAGCATCGAGCGCATCTTTTCTTGGACTGATCTGATTGCTCTCTCCGCCCGTCCATTTTGGATGCTGATCCCCGGGACGCTCTTTTGCCACTTAAAACCCTCTTGAGTTTGCCAGTCTTCGGCTGCTATGCTGCACCATTCTCCTCCATTGTCGCTGCGGAGTGTTTTGAGTTTCCTGTCCGTTGCCCGTTCCATCCTGGCTATCCACCTTCTCAGCGCCGTGAGTGTGGCACTCTTTGTGCAGAGTGGTTCCACGTAGATCAGAGAGGAGAAGTCGTCCACAGCAACTAGTGCATAGTGGTAGTTGGCATGTCCTTTGAAATCTGTCATCAGGTCTACGTGTACCAGCTCTAATGGTGCCTCCATTCTTTCCGACTCTGATTGGATCATCCATGCTCGAGTCTGTTTTCCTTGACTGCACGCGTTGCAGTGCTTCGACTCATGTTCCATTTCCTCGTCGGTACCTAGGTAATGGGCCCGGATTTGTCTCGTTTTGTCTCATCCTGGGTGTCTGAACCTCTCATGCCATAGGTAGCTGTCTCGATGCTTCGTGTCCTTATTGCCCTCCGGGGCATTATCTAGTTTTCCTGTGTTCTGGTTGTCCTCTGGGATGCCATCTCGTGTTTCCTCCAGTTCCAAAGCCAGTGCTTGTCCTCGCACTTTGAAGTGGCCCTGTCTTCTGTCCCTTTTGAATTGTACTTGGGTACCATCATTCTGCTTTATGGTAGTTCCAAACTCATCAAAGATTACTCGTGCACCATTCTCGATCAAGCCTTGTATGGACAATAAGTTAGCATTCAGTTTCGGTACATAAAGCACATCCAATAGTTGGATGGTGGCCTCACCAACCCGAAGGGAGGCATCTCCTATAGCCTTCACCTGAAGCTTTTCGTCCCCTGCCGTACTGATTTGGCCGACCTTGTTCGTTGAGGTGAGCAGCATTCTCTCATCATTTACCATATGATGGGTTGCACCTGAATCAATGATCCAGGTGTCGCATGCTGATCGCTCGCCCCTGTCGACTGCTAGAAAGGTGCACCCGAGTTCCTAGTGGTTCACCTCTTGTGTCGTACGAGTGACAGGTTCGCTTGTGCCTCGTGCGTTTGTGCAATTTCGAGCAATGTGATTTGGTCCTCCGCAAGCGTAGCACTTTGGAGGGGCCAAGGGATTGCGAGGATCGCGCCTCCCCCTGGGTCCTTGCTCCGCCTGGTTGGCACTCCCCTGTTCCGCGTTTGTGGCGACCCTTGCTGCTCCTCTAATACGACCAGTGATCTCACCATCCTGCTGTTTCTTGGCCAGTGCATGGTAGGCTTCGTCATACTTGCAGTCTGGTCTGGCCGTTTTCAGTGCATTGACAGTGTTGGCGTAGAACCAATCTTGAGCCGTGCAGCGATAGAGAGTTGATTTCTTGAGGTCCTCGTCGAAATGCTTTCTGAGGCGTGCCGCATCGTTCCAGATCGAATCAAGTTCCTTGCCTAGTCTGACAATGTCTCGATTGTGCAAGCGCACTGTGTGGATACAATCCTGCAGTCCTGCTCGCTTTACAGTGTCGTTTAGTGTTAGTGCCTTCTTGAGTTTGGCATAGAGTGTGCTACCAAGTTGAACTTCTTCATCCACCCCTCTGACGGTGTAGGTGTCGATGCGGCTATCCGGGCTGTTATCGCAGCAGGCGTGGATGAGGCCCACAAGTGCCTTGTCTAGGTCTTCATCGTATTCCTCGCTCCCAGGTACAATGGTACCATACAGGATTTCCTTCATGTTGTGCACTCTCTGGAGGCAGTCGATAAAGGTGGGTTCCCAGGTGTGCCAATTGCTATCGCTGAGCTTCTTGATGTGAGCAATGGAGCTCGATACGTCCTTGGGGATCTTTTCGGTCTCCCCGCATGGAGCTTGGTTGCTAATGTTGACCAGACCCATGGCCCGTACTATTGCTTCCTCTGCCAATAGTGCCGGGTTCGCCAGCTGGAGGATCCTGACTACCTGCGTGAGCCATCCTTCCTCCTGTCCATTGCTTGTGGTCGTTTGATCATCATCGCCCCTTCCCGT